TTCCTAGCTGTCGGCTTTGTCTTTTCTCTTTTGGGGGGCATCTGTGGTCCAGATTGCCAGTTCCCAATGAGCCACGGAAGGTGATGAGGATTATATAGATTTTATTGGGACCCTAAAAACACCGCCCCTATAGTTCCTATATCTAGTTCAATTTAATTTGAGGTTGTTGGGAAGTAGACTATCAGGTTCATTCAAGGGTCTGCGCTAAAACCAGGAGCTTCCCACCTTTGATCGCAATATAGAGCCACAAATAGATATGGCCCCGCGATCCCGCAAATAATGGCGGACTACTTATTCGTGTCATCAGGGATTATCAGCCTTCCAATCCACCGGCAGTCTTGTGACTGTAAGTTCGAAATGTTCACCCCTATTTTGTTCACCGTATCTCTATTATTACCTATATCTTGTTGTGGGCCGTATAAGCGTTGAAAGCTTCTATGAAATTGTGATCTGCGAAATCAGCCTGCTCTGTCTAGCCTGTTATTAAGAGAGAATTGATATTTGTCCAAATGATAATGGCTTCGGAAAGCCTACCCTTGGAACTTTTGCTTCTTATCGCCGAATTACTGAACTCCATCACACGAACATAAAAGATCTCCGCGTCAAAATTAACAATATCTTACAGTGATCTGCGAAATAAACCTCCCCCCCCTTTCCCCAGAACTATGTCCAGCTTTATAATTCCATGGCAAGTTACACTAAGCCTATCATTATAGGCAGTGCCGAATATATATCATTGTACTCTGTAATCTTATACAGTAACGATACAGATTCTACAGTATGTACATAGAAAGCGTAAATAAATTACAAGGGGTTCAGGAACCTTCCATGTAGATTTGATATAACTTGACGGACACTGCATCAATCTTCTCGCTACACATAACAGATGGTAAGCTTTCTTCAGCTTATCGTAGAGATGTAATTTATAGTACCTATGCGCTGTTTCGTAAACTGAGAAAAGCATGTACCTTAATTCTCCCCTCAATCTTTTTGCGGTACATATGACATGTGACAAGGCTGTCGCCGCACTCAGCACAGCAGACATGTCCACAGCTTGAAAAACAAGTATCAAGTCTTCTGTCCATGCAGATCATGCATAGAGAGTCAACATCTTCACTCGTTCTGTGAATTTGGAAATGCGCACTCCGAGCAAGATATAGTTCGTTTCTAAAATGTTCAATGTGCGGAAATTTTGCAGTGAGTCGTCTCCATACGTTGAGGCTCCGCACAGTTTCTCCTAGCTCCAATAGCTCTTGACTAATGGTGTCGAAAAAGGAGAAATTCTCAGGGTTCTCATGGAGTAGTTGTTCCAGCTTATCAACCAGAATGCCTCTGTTGTGGCATGTTTCGAGAGCCCCCCTGAATCCAGCAAGTAAATTGGGGTTTTCGGGCCTAGAGCGGAGAAGTGCTTCCCAGATAGGCAGAGTCTTGTCCGCTTGTAAATGGCCACACTGTGTGTGTAGAGCTTCACAGATTTTGGCCAAAAGAGCTTCACCTCTTTCACCCTGTGGGATCTTGATCCAAAGCTTCGCCGCTTCTTCGACATGCCCAAAGTCAAGGAGCAGCTCGCAAGTGTCGAGATCGGATTGTGTGCCTCTAGATAGCTCCAACAACGCACAAACAGCAGATTTATCTCCTGTCCCGATAGCACAGTGGAGCAAATATTTTTCCACCTCTTCCTTCTGGCCAGGGACTAACTGGTACTTTGAGTCAAGGCTGTTGAATGCTTGATAAGAATTATTGAATTGTCGTTGCGAGAGGAACTCCAGAGCGATCTCCCAATCAATCCAAAAGGAAGGATATTGGTTTTGAACTTGAAATAGCAGCTCTAGACGCCGAGCAGGACACAGCTGGCCAACTGTATAGAGAAAACCTTCTCTGAACTGGATTCGTTTGGGATATTTGTTGAGTTGGCGGACCCAAGTTGTGCAGGCATCGTCATGTAGGCCATTATCTGTACATGCAAAGGCTCTCTGGCATATGAGCCATTCGTTATTGGGGTGTATATTCAAGAGGTCTTGGAAAACACGAAGGCGGGTCTGAGGTGGGCAATCCCGAAGGAGATCAACAAGCTTTTTTTGTGTTGCGAGCTGCTCGGGGTTTGACTTGATCTTCAAAATGCATGAATCAAGGGTGGACATGTTAGTGTTGACGTGGGCGCAAAATAGAGGCCGGAGCCGGGGTTTAGCATTACTTTTTATATTTGTGTAATCGATGCAACTTTGATGAGTGCCTTATAATAGCTTGTCTTGGGCTCATGCGCCTTCCTGGCTGTACCCTCCGCCCTCTGGACCCGCCACGAGGGCGGCAGAACAGAACCCCAGGCATCGGACAACACAGGCCTTGACGAGGCTCCAAGTTCGTCAGGAAAGTAATAGTTTACGGTGAAGGAATGTACATAGAGATTAGAGACAGTGGTACCCTGCATATCGCTTAAGGCGAGGGGCCAGCGTATGAATCATCATCATCATCATACTGTAAGGACCTGAACATATTTCCCATAAATTGCCATTTTTCTTTGCTTAACATCCTCATGACCCAAGTCCTCTCTTGATTTCCTGGCGGAAACATCTAGCTTGGGATATGGCCTGTAAATATCTTATTCTGCCATCTCGGAGACTCTGCGGAGAAAAGGACCGGTGTGCTGACTTCAAAAAGGCTACATCGATACAAACAGACACTTTCCACCTTTGACTCAACGATTTTGATTCTCGCGTTTCCCAGAATTTTCAGCGCATCTCCGATCTGGGAGATGTCAGGCGTATGCATACTCTTGTAGGGGCTGGGTTGAACACACCATGTTTTGCATAGGTCGGAGGATCTTCAGATAAGATGCTTGCTTTTTGACTACGCTCCATTGGCAAAAATAGGCCTTGTTATATGTGAAGAGCAAGGCGTTTGCTCTCTTATACATACCCCACCGCTCATTCAAGCGAACATTCATTTGACCGATTACCATTTTAAAAGATAGGCAAAGATCGGGATGAACGGGGAACGATCAAGACCTCAATAACGTAAATCTGTTAGGATTAGGCTGCGGCAAATCCGCGGATGTGGATACCACTTTGACATCTGCATCCAACTGTCGGATATCCTTGAAATCCAATAATTATCCGCACTAGCATAAAATTCGCTAATTTAATTTATTTTGGCATCTTTATAGGTACATCTGACCAAGCAATCTTTTCCCGTAACCAACTAGTTAACAAAAATTCCGAGAATTCGAATATCAAAGATTTTATCCTTTCAAACTGTAACAGCTCTTCGACTTTGGGGTTCTCTTGAGCAATCTGTAAAAGCGTGCTTGCTGAAAGTCGAAATAAATAAGCAAAGGGTCTTTATTATCCGTATGTGATTCTCAATATACTGATGGAAGTATTCCGTTTTAGCGAAAAGTCCGGCTTGATTCTGTATCGAATAGATTGCCATCGTTGTATAGGCCTAGTATTGATAGGCTATTCGTTGTCGCTCGATATTCTGAAAATCTTCTATAAATCGGTATATCTTTATCTACTAGTCTTATAGGACGCTGGCTGTTGCTCGAGTTGGGCCGTTGGCGCTCCGTTTCCGCTTGTGTTTTATGTCTTACAGATTTGACTGATGTTGTATAGACCCAATATTGATGGGCTGTTCGCTTTGGTTTGATGTTCTGAAAATGTTCTATACATCGGTATATCTTCGTCTATCGGTCTTATGGCCCATGGGGCGCTGGCTGTTGCTAAAGTTGATATCTCATTTCCGCTTGTGCTATGTCTCATGGGTTCCTAATAGAAATTCTATATTAGTATAATATTCCAAGGAAAGAGGAAACTACCGTTCGCTTACCGGTATAGTAATTCAGTCATGGTTTCCCAAGTTCATTGGTGGCCGGGCATGGTAAACTGAAGTATCGATATCATCTTTGTCTATTTCGAGAAGTTGGAGGTTTAGATGCTGAGCCTCATGATATCCTATTGACTGTCTAGGATTGTCCATGCTATGCCGTCCTGACAGCTACTCCGTCTTAACTCAGTTTCGAAGGAGCAGCTAAATAAAAGCAGAAAAATAGACAGAACACTGTCCTATGTCTGTTGAATGGGGCTCTGGAAGAAAAAAGATGAAGTATAAAAGATAGACAGAATACTGTCCTATATCTGCTGCATGGGGCTCTATGAGAAGAGAGATGAAGTATGGAAGACGAAGAAAGAAGAGGAAGAAGGGGGGGGAGGGGTTTATATATAAACCTGACCCTATTATATTTCACTCTATCTATTGGTCCTTATATATTCACCTTTTTGCTTCTATCTTCTTCCATAACCTATATATTCACCTTTAGATTCACAGTTTTCAAGAACTTCCTGGAACTTCCTTCTATCTCTTCACCTTTGTAATCTGTGAAAGATTAAATCTGTGATTTATCTCTCCAGTTATCAGGGTGGAAATGCGCAGAATAATGAAGGAGAAAATACTGCATTACTGAACTTATTTTAATCGATTTTATTGGAGCGGACTTAGATTTTTGCGGATGCTGCCGCAGCCTACTGATAGTTGGTATAACCAGAACAGATGTAAAAAACAGTATGATATTTTGATGACTGACTGAGCAGCTTTATGATCAAAATTATGAAAAGGTTGGGTCAAATTGGGTCTTATTGGGTTTTATTGGGTTTTATTGGGGCCCCAGTATTGGGTCCGGGTTGGGTCTGGGTTAGAGAAGTTCAACCCGGGTGCTGGGTTGGGTTTTGGGTCGAGAACTTCGACCCAAGTTGGGTTACAGTATGCGGAAGTCTAGGCTTCGATACTAATTAAGAAGAAAAGGCAAGAAAAAAGGCAAAAAGAAACAGGCAGTAAATCATTTGCTATCTCTTCACAAGGTCGTACCGAAGGCCCAAAAAAAGCAGAGAGAAAGAAAAAAGAGAGACAGAGCGAAGAGTTGATTGATGTTCGACCAGGAGCCTATGGGCATCCCAAAGTCTCCTCAGATAGGATTTCTATTCCTCACACAGTCTTGTTACTAGCTCATGCAAGTACAGGTTGAACTGCACTCAGTGCGCATAGTAGTGGATTTGCTGATAGGCGATGTGCTAGTAGGGGGCTTACCAGTAGGGAACGAGGTAGTGGAAGATGAGGTGGAAGATGAGGTGGTGGAAGATGAGGTGGTGGAAGATGAGGTGGTGGAAGATGAGGTGGTGGAAGATGAGGTGGTGGAAGATGAATTTGCGCTAGATTTTGTGGATGATTCCTCCAATTCAGCACGGCACCAGCTGCCCTTTTTGAGCCCTTTCTTGAGCGTGCAGGATGACTGCTCTCCACCCTGATTTTTAAAAGTCACTAGGCCCGTTTTGCTCACTTCAATCCAAGCGGCTGGCTTTCCGTTCTTAGTACCACATGCGCCGACATTGACCATTGATTTGTCTTTGCGCTCTCCGTTTATAATTTCGCTGATAGCTAGCAGAGATTTAGTTTTAGTTACAAATGTGTATTTGGGACCGAATCATTGCCTACTTGAGCAATCATCTCTATCAAGAAGGGCAAAAGGTGTCGAATATCCAGTGCATCCATAATTATTGTTCGAATATATCAAGCATTTACCACCATAATCTATCACTCCCAAGGTGCCAGCCTGTGAAAGCCACGTGTGTGCTGCCAGAAGAAGAAATGTAAATAAAAAATGCATCCTGGAATGTTCCTGGGCTTTTCGATCTTGCTGGGAAACACAAGGGATCGAAGTGCGAAAAGCATAGGCTTAAATACGTTTCTGTTGACTTGAGCAATGGACTCTATACTTGAGAATCCAATAGTGGTGGCCCAGAAGAAGGCCTGGTATTTGATAAGGGGGAAATTGTATGAGGACGCCCAGAGTATTAGTAGCTAATTCTTTGTCTCCTGTGACTGATCAACCAGTATTTTGATACTTTCGGGGCCTTCAAAGATATTTTTTGCGGGCTAGATCGCTATTTCTATTACATAACATTAAGGGTCATCTTTCCCGATTTCATTATGTAACGCTTTCCTCATTCTGTTTGAATAAATGAGGAAACGTGGTTTTACTTGGTAACTTTACCAGATGTATGAAGAGGCATAGGCGACAGTCAGAAAAGGATCCTGCATTTGACGCTCATACAATAATTAGCTCCTAGATAGTCTGCCTCGGCTTCTTACTCTAATCTCATCTTTAGCACTGTTCATTAAGATGTCAGAAATCGATCGACTTTGTAATCGACTTTAGTTCTCTTACAGCGCAGTTTTTTCCCTCCTTTTTCTTTCTGTCATTCGACCTTCCTTTTTACTTTTTTTAAATAAATATAAACAGTCACTAGCAAAATTCGTTTCCCCCATATGATCACTTTTCTTGTTCTTGATCCCGCTATGTACCAAATCTGAGTTTGGACCTGAAAATTGAATTTCACTACCTGTATAAGGAAGTACACCTTTTCAACCGCATTTAAAAAATACAATAGACGAAAAGGCTGACTCGAATCATGATGTATTAATGAGTGACTATGAATAGCTATGGAGGAGAAATTACGTGTCAGCGCCTCCGCCATGAGATTTTTAGAACAATGCTGAGGTTTCTGCAACCGTTATATCTTCAACTAAAGAAGGATATTCAATCCTTCGAGATTTCTTTGCATGCGGACGAACTTTGAATAAAAACCCTAGTGCTTTCAACAGGTTGGTTAAAGCGATATTTGGGCCCATTATGCGCATACCTTAATTTTCATCTTATCCAAGGCTCAACGATTTGGTTCCCTTTACAGTATGTAAAGCTCAACTGTATGTAAAGCTCAATTCAGGCAGGATAATTAGAGCAGCACAACCAGCAAAAGAGAAAATGGTGGAAGAATAATCATCAAACAAATGATGAACATGCGTAAGGACGTGAAACTACCATCATACGGCTCCGCATTCCGAAAGAATACGGATAGGCCAGGGTTCCCTCCACCAAAAGCACTATCTTCCATCGGACCAGGAAAGGTATCCTGTACTTCGCGAATATCAGGCGGCATTATATCTACTTCAGTTGCTTCTGTTGGCCTTGACTTTAATTGCTGTACTTGTTGCTTCTGCCATCCTTCTCTTCGGTATTCGACAGCTGTAGAGGGATCTGGCCAGAATTCCTCATTTGTCTTCGTTTGTGCATGGCTGTTATTCCCATGCAACTCCTCTTGGAGAAGAGGCGTAGACTGTAGTTTATTAGAATGATCTTTGTATACTCAAGAATACTGTACTCACTGAATCTTCATCCTGGTTGTCATATTGTAGGCTCTCCATATGATTTTAAATAATCTTTTGGCTGCTCCTATCTTAATCCTCGCTTGGAAGAGAAGAATAGTGAATAATTACATCAAACCCATTAGTTAAGTACGTAGGATTGTTTATGTACAGTAACGGAGTCCAAAACCAAGTACAACTACTAAGCTCTGGAACCTCATTAGATGCATGACGATAAGCACAATGTACATGGTTCAGCCGGTCAAAACTCGTTAGGTGTATGAGCAATCTTGGTCAAACAGAAATCATGGCGTCTCCGCCCTTCCATGCTGTGGCCGTATTGTCGACGAGATAACTTGGTCATTGTAGTTAACATGAGCAGCTGGCCTACTCTGCTACTTCGTTCACCCGGGTATTCCCTTCCAGCTCTGTTTGCAAGGATCACCGAGCAACCCTCGTAAGAGTACCCATCGTCACCAAGTACAAACGCCCCTTGATTTTACTCAATTCCTCCATTTAAATTCCCACATTAACTGGCCTTCACACCAAGGAGCCGCCACTAACAGACTGCTGGGTCTTCTGTCTCAACCAATGACCAGTAAAGAATCCATGCCATAATGTTGAATACAGTATCTGACATGGCATTTACGTGGGTAAATGTAGAAAAAGCCCGGGCAAAACAGGAGCGAAGGCGCCCGCCGATCGTGCTTTCCACCAGGGAGGCAAGACCACTAATCCTTTCGGGAATTTGATCAGGGGGTACGACTTTGGGTTCATCCGAAATCTCGAACATGTCCAAAAAGAAATTACGAATACGAACTCCGTGAATCTAGGTGGATTTACATGACAATACTGGGAAAGGGAAACCAAGTGGGGAAAACCCATATTGAGGCAACAAATAAGAGAACTATTCCAGAAAAAAAAAAAAAGAAAAGAAAAGAAAAGAAAACCAGGTATTAGATCAACAGATACATGCTTTAAAAAGGTGGGCATAATGTTAAATGATTCCAGAAACCATCAAATCAATAATCGCATACGCAGGGTGGATGTAAGACTGTTGAACCATCCCATTCTTTCCCAAGCCGCCAGCGGGCCCGACCTCATTCAGAAGCCGAAAGACAAGTTTCTTCATAAATTGGTGGACAGGAGGCTTCAAGTGGAACAGATCGAAGAGAAGTTCGGTCGAACGTTTGCCGGAAGGGATCTGAAATCCCTGCAAGGACGGTGGTCAAGAAAAGTGAAGTTTGAATCCCGGCTGGCACATGTTCAAAACCCAGAGGCAAATATCGTCCAGATCTTTGTTTTGTGCTCTGGGACTGTACGGGGTCTGCCGAGATACTGTGCATGTTAGATGTGTTTCGGTACTCAAACTAGTATATTTCTCACTTTGGCGTCTGGAGTTAGTCGCTGCTCTCAACCCTTTCCCTCATGTCCAGGAAACGGAGGCTGTACGCATCAGGCAAAAAATTGTGTTTTAGGTCTAGTCATCGAACGGCCATGCTTCTTCCCACGCAACCTTTTCCGTTTCAGAATGTGCTATCTGGTTAATTAGCTCCGCCTTTGCTTGCTTTAGAAGCTTCTTTACTTCCTCGTATTGCTCTGGCCGCACAACACCTTTCTCAGGCCACATCTGGCCCAGCGACTGCCTTAGACTCCGCATCAATTCCATACCTCTGATTGCGTCAGAAGCATCCTCATTAATCAAAGCAACCTCATCTGCAGAGAACAGCAATGGAAACTGCGGGTTGCCAGAGGCTTGCACACCCGGTAGGGCTATCCAATCCTTTTCGAGGTCAAGGCATCTTGATCGATATAATGCCTCCCCGTCTATAAGGAGGTTTTGAGCAAGAAGTAGCATCTCAAAGCTGGTAGTCTGTCGAAACTCCATGGCTTTGAATAATGTTATGTTATTGCTGTACGTGAACCTTCGGTATAATGCTGAGAGTGACATTTTCAGATACAGATCCTGAGCTTCCGCTTTCTCGGCAGGATTGAGTTTGTCGAAATCCTCCGGGAATGCTGGTGGATCAATACCTGTCGATGGAGGACCATCGTAATCAAGAAAGTACGGCTGGCGCGCGTGGTCAAAAAGCGGTAACAGTTCACTTGATTGCCAATCTATGATCCCTAGCACCTCTGCTGGCCTTTCAGGGTGAACAAAGATGTTCTCCGCGTGGAGGTCAGGGTGCCATAGAAAGGCAGACGTGATTGATGGATCTGTTGGTAGAAGGTATTTCACAAGACGAAGATAAGCTTGAAGAGCCGCTATCTTTTTAGAACGAGAACGGCGGTACGTGCCGGGTCCATATAGCGATAACTGTGATCGAGGTAATCGGGTCATATTTTGCACACATGCAATCTCTCGAAGGCCGACTGCCGACTTGTACTGCTCTGCACTATTCCCTAGAATAATCAAGTAAGCAGATATCTTCAGAATGGCATGTTATGAAGTCATACAAGGGCCTCTATCAAAATTCAATGCCATCCGACCATCATCGAGAAATTCGCGGCCTGTTGACGGGCCAACAGCGAACCGATGGTGCTTTGATATAGACAAAGCCCCCTTCACAGAGTCAGATGCATTGGAATCTTGCATGTCAGTCGAGTAGTAGAGGCTTCCATATTGGGTGAAAGGTATCGACATCCAGGTTTTTTGATATCCGGAGATTGTTTTCACGAGTTCAAATCTTTCCTTGATACCCATTGTAGGCCAAACTTTACTAAGCTGGACTCCGGCAGCCTTCTCCATTATAATGTATTCGGCGCCTACCGTGTTGTCTTCTGCTTTAGAGCTCCAAGCTAACACTTTCGGTACCGGGGTGCGTAACTCATTTCGAGCCTAGGGGTGAAGCATTAGATAGAGGGTAATCAGGGTCAAGTAGAGTTCTGCTTACAAAATCCATTGTTGCCACTTCACTGGCAGTCGTGTAGTGAGCTCGCCCCGCATTTGGGTTCGGCACTTTACCTACGACTTGCGTCCCATCGTGCATTGTGAAGAGGAAGGTCTTATTAAACATCCCGTCAGGGAACTTCTCCACCCGGGAGCATTGTGTAGATGTCAAGCCGACTGATTCAGTAGCGCACTTTATTAATTCGTTCATATTGAAGTTAATACAACGTATTGACATTTCCTGAGCCTCGTTGAATAGAAATCGGCCTCTTGTGTAGCGAAACCAGTCATCGTTTGATTTGCAATTTGTGTGAGATGACCGGTTGAAGCTGTTTGCCGAATAAATAGAAGGATAGGACGACATCCGTTTTTGCTTCTTGAATAGAGAAAAGGTGCTGCGCATGGTATCAAGTAACAGTAAAGTAGAATAGTGAGGAGGAGAGGTGTAAGATGCAGAGTCCTTTGCACCTGACTGGGAAGGTCGTTGTTGAAGTGCGGAGTTGACTAAGCAATTGCGGTAAGACGATCATCGCCTTGCTCGGCTGCGAAATTGCGGTATTGCGCATTCTGCAATATTGCAATATGAAGCTATAGAATAGCGGTCAAAATAAGCAATTCTAGCATTGTATATAGACCTCCTAGATAGCCGGAAAAGAGGTCTTCAACACCTTCAATCTACTCGTTTGATATAGCCAATTCAATTGCTTCATTTAATCGTTTTTAGTGGTCCAATCTATCCGGATCCTTAGTCATTCTGCTTGCCAAGCCTTCGCCCTTTTACACCGTTGATGCCTAAGCACCACACGAATCTTAAGTTAGTTACCCTTCCCGTCACAGTCATACATACCATCAGTAAGGTATGCCCTGTAACATCGGGCGGGATTTGTGAAATTTTGAGGTGCGGGGCGCTTTTTCGGCCCGTTCTCACGTATGACAAATACTCGCTAGTTAATGCATTGGTAGTCACCTTTATGTTTGACTCTTGCAGATTTGTCGATGGGAAACTATTTTGAGCTTGACTGGCTTCCGCTGTTCAAATGTCGAGGTGTCAGGATATCGCTAACTCAATGAGACGGTTGACCAAAGGACCCAGCCTTGGGAGGTGGGCAATTTTTTCTGACTCTAAAATTAAACATGACATTTACCTGAGATACGGACCCCACTGACAACTAGTATAGTCTTCAACCCGTTCTGGCAAGGGATGATTGTAGTTGGGACGACTTTATATAGCTTTCCTCGCCATGATGACTACATGGATGGACCTAATAGACATATCTAATAGACAATTTAAAAGGCAAAGTTACATGAATTAACCAACAAAGAAACCAACCAAGCATGCACCAATGACAATGGTATCAACCATATATCTGCCTGCAGGATCACATATCTAGCACAACTACATAATGCTCATATATTATTCCTTGCCCTTCTTGGAGGTCGGCTGATCAGATCCAGACGTCGAACCAGAATTCCCAGTCGCGACGCCCTCCGGCGGGATAATCGGCGCCCCGGGCATCGGGGGAAGCTTCACAGGCTTGAATGTCGCCTCCTTGGAGAACTTGACATACCCGTTGAGATAGGCATGCGCGGATGTAACCCGTTTACCGTCCTTATCCAGAAGAATCACGGACCCATGGTATGGGTCGTCGCGATTGGGCGTGGGGTGAGGATTTCCGCTATCCACGTTAGCTGAATTCATACCTTCGATCCAAGGGAGTATGCAAGTGTCTTACATTACCTGCGCGCTGACAACGCGAGCCCTCAGCCCGGGGACTTCATCGATGGAGTGCTCAATTTGCTGGATCAACCAGTTGACATCGATGGTTGTCCCCTGGAAGGTCCAGTTCAGCTGCTTCAACTGTCTGGCGGTGCTTGAGAATGCTCGCAAGGCCATGATTGTCGACTTTCGTAGACGTAGATATAGATAATGCGGGAAGAGGGTGATTCAATTGTGCGAGTTGTCTTCGAATATGAAAGTAATGTGATAAGTCTGTGTTGACACTGAGGAGCTGTGGTATGCACCTGTCTTATATACCTTCATCAGGAGCGATATCAACTAGTGCATAATTTACCCTGACTGCTCTTCGCCGTGGATTACACAGAGCATTTCCGAATCCATTGGCAGAGAGACTGCGAAACGGCGTAGGACAAATTGCGCTCCCGAAACATTCTTGGAACTAAGTATAGGTGCTTCTAATTATGGCTGTTTTTACGTGTCTACTCACACCTTGATCTACATCGGTTGCATTGCCGCCTTCCCCACCCATCTATCTCCATGATTTTCAGGTTTCTGCCGTCCGGTAAAACTCGAAAATGATAGGATATAATTCGCGCTCTATAAGGCTATAGTCAAGGGTCTGAGGCTCAGCTAGAGGCTGACACAGTCCGCGTTGCAAGCAGGCGCTTACTCCTTGGTCCTAGGTGAGTTTCCACCACGGCGCCAAATTCGGGGCAGTGCCTGATTGACCACTGGTATCCACCAGTAGCAATGCAAAGAATCGCTGGCCACCTACGCGCTGTTGGACTGTACAAAAGCAGGAGAGACCTTCTTGGGCGTCGCCAATACGCTCTCTCGGCCAACTGAAGCGTGACCAGAGCCATTCCGGCATGCTATTATTGTTCGGCGTCAAAGTCGAACGAGGATGAGGCTGGTATTCTTACTAGCCTACTATGCCATCTACCAGCTGAACCAATCACTCCCAAAGGTCTTGTCCTCTCTACACGGCATAGTTGTGGCTTTTGGCAACTTATCGTTGTCTTCCTCACTGTCTTGATCTCACTGGCTGACAGCTCCTAGTCTGTATCAGGAATAGTCACCTGCTGTGGCCGCGGGGGTTGACTAAGCCGGCATTTCATCGCCTTGCTCAGCCAAAATGATCGATCGTCAATTATTTAACGTAATTGCATCTTATGGTGAAATGAATGATGAACTTCGAAGCTCTAGAGATTGCATAAAGATAAGCTGAATTCCATAGATAGAATAACCAAGACCATTCATATTGAATCAGTGAAGATCACGTAATTCAGCGCTCTAGTCATTTCCTGCCAAGCCCTCCGAACTGCCATACCCCCTATGGCAGTTTGGAGGGCTTGGCAGGGATGACTAAAGCACTGAATTACGTGATCTCCACGGATTCGATTGAAGGTCTTGATATTCTAACTATGCGATATAGCTCGTATTTATGCAATCCCTGGAGCTTCAAAATGATGATCAATCAACTCAACAGGAAGAAGCAATTATGTTGAATAATTGACTGGTCGATTATTTCGGCTGCGCAAGGCGATGAAATGCCGGCTTAGTCAACTCCCGCGGCCACACCCCCTTAGTACCGTGCCACGTGATCAAGTTCACCGATGCTCGGCTTTTTCTTGACCTTCTTCTTTTTCGACAACTATTAATATCACATTCTCCCGTCGGGTCACGGGGAGTAATTCTGGAATGAACATCATAAGGCCATCCATTCCTCATTTATCTGCCTTGCTTCGCAAGAAACCATTTCCCATGCATTCTTCCGGGCCACTTTTATCGCCTGGCATACTCGTGGACGAAGAGATCTCGCCAGTGTACGATTCCAAGTACTTCTACCCAGCGAAGCCTGGAGAGGTACTCGCTGATCGTTACCAAACCCTGGTCAAGGTTGGCTGGGGCGTCTCTTCAACAGTATGGCTCGCGCGTGATTTGCAAGGGTAACCTTCAATAATTTCTGTTCAATTCGAAAAGCTCTCTGTCTCTAACAAATATACAGGCATATCGAAGAGCCAGATAGCGTCGTGGCACTGAAATTCGCCAATAATAATGCAAGTTCCGCTTGTCATGAGCGCGAAGTTGAAGAGCACATTTCCACGGCAGACCCATCACATCGCGGTCGCTCAGTTATCAGAACATTACTAGACTCTTTTGAAGTTAAAGGTCCGGAAGGATCTTATTCGTGTCTTGTGTATCCGCCTATGAGGGAGCCATTGTCAATGTATCAGCGTCGCTTTGACAATAGAAAGATGCCACTGCCCCTCATTAAAACATACATTCGTGCTTTTCTTACGGGGCTTGAATATCTTCACAAAGAATGCAGGATAGTCCATACGGGTAAGTTCATCTTCGGCCTTGCTTCCGTCGGTGATACTGAGCCCAGGCGGCTGCCTAGATCTAAAGCTTGAAAACATCATGGTCTCATTCGAGGATCCAACCGTGCTTGCTGATTTCATGGATTCTCAGCTTGAAAACCCGATGGCTTATAAGATTGATTCTACGGGACGACCAGTGTATCAGTCCCGGAATGACTTTGGGCCACTCAAGACTCTGAGAAGTATACCACAGATTGTCGACTTTGGCTTGGCAACCAGACTTGAGGAAGACGATGACTGGGGCGTCTGGCCTATTCAGCCAGACCACTATCGGGCGCCAGAGGTGATTCTGGGTAATGGATGGCAAATGCCTGCGGATATTTGGAATCTTGGTGTTCTGGTGCGTCCCGTTGTTCTCCAAAGTTGTTGCATCCGCTAATGCCAGACCAGTTGTGGGATATGATCGAAGGCAAAGAGCTATTTCGGCGTATCCATGATCAACAAGGTCGCTACGATGCTAGATTGCACATCGCCGAAATGATAGCCTTACTTGGTCCACCCCCTCCAGAAGTCATACAAAGGTATCAATACATGCGAGAGTACTCATGGCCGGAACCTGTCAGACGAGAAGATGACAAAGTATGCGAGACCGCGGAGGAGTACTTCTGTGGGCCATTCTTTGACAATAATGGTATTACTGGGTTTCCTATCTCGAATAAATCATTCTCAGACTCACGAAATATCTCAGGTCGCTTTCTCTACGAAGACCTAATCTCCGACCGGAAACTAGGCGACACAGTTTCCTTCCTTGAGGAAGAGGAGAGGGAAGCGTTCCTGGATCTCGCCAAGGGAATGCTTGTCTGGCATCCAGATGCGAGAAAAACGGCAGGTGAACTGGCGAAGCATCCTTTCCTTCAACTAACGCAATAAGCGCCTGATTTCTGCGAGCGTTTGCTAGCAGAATGAGTTGAACTCGTGGTTGATCCCAGTTCAGCGGTGCCATAAGATGGCCGGTTGAGGCGTTAACGTAGTTAATCGATTTCGTCGTCCACGATCCCCTTTTTAGCGTTAGCTAGTTTTTGGTCGTCATCATGGTTCCAACAGTCAAAGTCTGTCGGTCTAATATCTTTGCCTGGCCCGTCATAGTGGGTACATATTTAGAACAAGACCCACAAGGACTCCAAATAATGCCAAAAAAGAATGTTTCTCTCCTAATAGCAATTCTATAGCCATGAAGGCTCTTGTTCCAGTCTTAACCCTTGCGCCAGATGCTTGATCTCTGTGTTCCCTGATAGCAAGGCCCAAATCAACCAGGAAAGCGGGCCAGGAACAGTTGTGCTCCTGCGCGTTGATGATCAGGTTGCCGGTGGAGATATCTCCTTGTAGAACCCCCTCTTTCTTGTGTAGCGACTCATAACCTTTTCAGAATCAATGAGTGGTATTCGGGATCATGAAAAAATATGGGGCGCCACCTTCAACAAACGCCTCCAGTGCATTCAGAAGAACGACGCGGGAACTTGCTCTATAAATGGACTTGCAGTAATCTCGGACAAAAACACGACAATGGACACGGTTTTGTAATAGTTGATCATCTCAAGGGACCGGTGAGCACGAGCGAGTTCTTTTACCTGGTGGTAGGGATGGCTCAGTACAGTAAACACTCCAGTTTCTCTTGATATAGGCCTTCAGCTCAGCAAAGAGCTCTTCGATGGGGTTCAGGTCAGGCGAGTATGGTGGAGGAAAAAGCAAAATAACGCCTTTCTCTAAACATAACTGTTCTACTCGCTCAGAGTGATGGAAGGACGCATTATCCATCACAAGAACTGACCTTTCTGCGGGGTACTTCCCACCACGCAGAAGATCTTCAATAAACTCTTCAAAAATGACGGCATCCGTGGTACCACTGAAGATTCGGGCCAGGAAGCGGACAACACCATCCTGGGAATATGCAGGGAGTACCTGATAGCGCTGAGCCCGGTGAAATTGTGTGACTTGTACTGGTGTAACACCGGAAGGCGACCAGCCCGTGCGTATAAATCCTATTCGTTTGTCACAGCCGGATTCATCACCGAAAACTAGTTGGTGCGATTTGAATTCGGAAATATCATGGATATACTCGTCCCGTAGATCGGGATTCTGTTATTTGGCTTTTCGCTGAATTATCTTCTTAGACCAGCCAGTGAAGGAAAGCGCCGGGCTTATGCTGCTGTTTGTTATTGGGAGGCCGAACTCGTCCCACAGAAAAACCGCCATTTCCAACCATCTTCTGCACCACTGCAAGGTATCCGGGTTTTGAGGTTCGCAGGGTCGAGGTAGACGCAATCGTGCTGGATTGATGGGCAGTTGCCTGACTAGGTTTAGCTCCATGCTGCAGAAATTCTGGAAACTTTCATGCAAACACGTCAAACAGAAGGGGGAGATGGTACCTCTACCACGTGAATCCTCGCGGGAAGGAACGACCCGTTCTCCACGCCAGCCCGACTCGAGTTGGGGCAGAGATCTTCTATACTGTACTGTGTACCCAATCATGCCTCCATAACAAGCACAAAGCCTACAGCATCATTCCCTACTGTCTGACTCGAAGGAACGATGCGATGCCGATATCCGCGCTGCCCCTCCTCCGGGTAGCTAATGTAGCCCTGTGGTTGGTAAGTAGAGATTGTGAGGCTGTGAACGCAACTGCCTTAGCTTCCCCACGACTTTAGCTCTGCTTACCCTCCATTTCTAGCTCTAAGCCTTCTTATCCGAAAACTTGAGATAACAAACCTGCTTGAATCTCTAATCAAAACCCTTCTATAACCTGTGCTACAAAATGCGACTGAGAAGCCGCGAAGACTTTGCGATCGCGATCATCTGTGTCTTCCCTTTTGAGGCGGAAGCGGTCGAAGCCCTGTTCGATGATATCTATAATCGGCTTAGAAGACACTATAACAAACAACGAGGCGACGCGAATATATATATAAATAGACGGATTGGCAAGCACGATGTGGTTCTGTGCTCTATGCCTGGAATGGGTAAGGGAAGTGCGGCAGGTGTTTTGTCCAGTCTGCTAGTTAGCTATCAGGACATCAGACTTGCTCTAGTTATTAGGATCTGCGGAGGCGCGCTACTACCATCAGAGTATTAAGAGATCTTTCTTAGTAATATAATTATCAATGACTTGATAATCGAACATGACTTTGGCAGACAATACTCTGATAGGTTTTAACGGAAGACTGAAGTTAAGAACACGCTGGGCAGGCCAGATTGAGAGATCTGTGTTTTGTAAATGGTCTTCGTGCGGAAAATGCTCGCAGTGAACTTTAGCATTAGGCGTAGCAGTATTTCATACCCTTTAATAAAACGGGATCAAATGGATTCATTCAGGGGTCAATGACTTCCTTTCAAGGCCCGCTATCTTCATAAGCATTACAGTAATGCTTCTGCTGGGTGCTCTTGTTTCGGAAGTGACGCACCTGAGCAAATCTGCGAAGAGGCATTAGGGAAGGACTGTAATGAGCTGGATTGCGACCAAGATCAACAAGTCCGATGTCGCGAGGCCTCGGAAGCGATATGTACCAACCTTTATATATATCGTACTAATCGCTTCTGCGGACACGGTCATGAAGGCTGGACAGAATTGGGATAGAATTGGTCGCGAAGAGAAGGTTCTTGGGTTTGATCTAGAGGGGGCAGAGATATGGGACAATGTTCCATGTATCATCACCAAGGGAGTGTGTGACTATGCCGACAGCCACAAGAGCAAGGTGTGGCAAGCATACACTGTAGTGACCGGAGCGTCGGTGGCAAAGGCGTTCTTAGAGTACTGGATGCCAGCAAACTACAAAGGTCAGTGGATTGTCTAGTACAGTATGATGTGCTACTGTAGACGAGAAAATTCCTCAGTTGCAGAGAGAGACGGGTTAGGCTGGAAGCCTGGAAAACGAGAGAGGAAAACCTCCTCCATTTCTTCGTAAGTAGGGCCACAGGACCCACTTTAATACAGCTTCTGCCTCTCCATTGTGATGACGAGGTATGCTGGAGGGTGGCTTTGAAATTCGTATGGCTGCATTACTTAGTAACGCAAATTGGTCGGCCAGATGGCTTTTGTTTTAGGTCGTTAACATTTTCTCTTTTTCCCTAATGTTCTGGGCTCTTCTGTCACGTTCCCCACTCGGAAAATTTCTTTCTATATATGTACTTCTTCTTCATCCCTTCCACCTGACGCCGGAGCAAGTAATACATAGAAAGTAGAACATGAGTGTAAATTTATAACGGTCACAGCAGGGCTATTAGTGTTCTCTCTCGTACGCGGAATCACAAGCATGTTATAAAGTTTGCTTGGTATTGTCTCTTGATAGTTTATCTCATTTCTTTTCTTTTGTAATCAACTGTTTACATGTATCGATAGGATGTTCCGTCTGGAAAGAGAGACAGGGACCGGAAAAGGCCGCAGGTAAAAGAAGGTTCCTTGGGTGTTAGTGTTCGACGGATAGTTCCTGGGAGCAAAAATCGTGGTGTTTGACAAAACCATGGCACAGGACTCGAAGAATCCCTACCTGCCAAAACTAAAACGAACGCCATTGTCTGTCATTGGCTCCTACGGGTGTGTACGATCCGCACAAAAGTGTACCTGAGACATAGCTCCACAACTAGGCCACTTGAAAACCTCCGGAGGAATTCCATCTATCCCACTGGAGGACTCTGAAGAGTACTACGATGGTGCTAACAAGCAAATGTTTATGCAGTTCATTAGGAAGATGCTTCGATGGGACGCAGATGAGAGATAGAGCGCTCGTGAACTTTTGACAGGCCCTTGGTTAAACAATCAGTAGTAGTAATAATATGTTTTCGCAGATGGTTTCTAAATATCTTTTTTTTTTTTTGGCACGCTAATCCCTCGCATAGAGTTGTCCGTTCGATCAGCTGGCGAAGAAATGGATGGCTGCTGTGCGATGCGGTACGTACCCACATCCCGCAAACACTTACCCAGATGGTATGAAGAGCAAACTGCGGAAAGCCCCCAGCCCTTTCCCATGAATCAGACTCGGATCCAACAAGCAGCTTCATAAACGCCGAAGGATTATCAAACTCCTAACCTCTCCGTAAAAGGTTACATTGTCTTCAGATGATAACGCCATGTCCTTCCTTTCTGCAACTCCAAAGGTTTCGGATAAACCAGGCGAACCCGTTGAACTGCTTGCCCGCCACACATCTGCATTTTCAGTTGTTGGCGGATCGGGCTAAGCCTGTGATTCCGCAGGAGCATGTGAGAGGGAGTTACAAACATTCAACAAGAAGCAGAGATAGGAAGTGAGAGCGTGGTACCGCAGACGGATTCTCTGAGTTATGGAAGTAATCAGCGCACAGTAGTACAAGCATCGTTATGACTGCCTCCCTTTGAGCTTCGTACTCCAATATACCTGAATAGAACCCTGGCTCCTTCCGGGGTATTGATCCGAAAATAATCTCGTTACATCAGACCAAGGTAGTCCCCGGGTGTTCCTCAGTTCTAGCAAAAGTCTCTCCTCCTCAGGTACCCATGGCATTCCTTTCCTGGATTTTTCATGGGAACCACTGTTATCCAGAGATCCTGCATTCCCTTGAGACGTGTCCCAGCGGACTTGTTTTCGGACTCCTGTATCGAGTTTCCTCTTTGCAGGTGTGATGCTGGTGGCGATTTCAGGCTCAAATGTGCATTGTGGGAGTACTTCATCAAACAGCCAGGAGAGAAACTCTAAGCGAGCGTTTGTCGGCAATGATAAAAATTGAACACGGAGGCTGGCGCAAGAATCCCCAGCAGGCGGAGATGTTGCGTCAAGCCTTTGGCGTTCAGATGGCCGTCTTCTATCTTCGATCGTCCCGGTGAGTGGCCGTTTGCGCTGTCCAGATCGGTTGACGTTGATTCTGCAGTGCTGTTGCTCTGAGCGTTGAAGCAAAGATCCATTACTTTCAGCGCTATTATCCAGAGATGTCTCTCGAGCGTGTTCATTACCATGAAGACAGGTGGCTGGTCGATGGTCATCAATCAGCCCAAAGGAGAGATGATCATTGTCGAATATGCTCTGTGACAACATAGGAGGTTCGGGATACGGACAAGCTGTTTCTTCTTGACGGAACCAGATGTCATCACCATCATCAATATTCTGACACAGCTGGCTCGGTTCCAATTTAAATTCATTACTTAAGATGATCGGATCGATTGGAAGGGCAGTCGGCTCGTCTGGAATTGGAGACTGTTGTACCGAACTTTCCGGACTTTCTGATACAGGGTGGCATCCACCAGCACACTGAATGGAGCACTGCGATCCGATGGAGGTACCAGTGGTAATGGCATGATGGAGACAACTTCGGTCCGAGGCTGGCGAGCCACTTGGGGTTTGCGCTCGTGCAGACATTGTGGCGCGGATTGCAGAATCCACAGGCGACTTATCAGGTTCTGAGAATAATATGCCATTCGATCCGCTGGTGGTCGAGACAGACTCCTCCCTAAACCCAGAACGTGCACCCTGTCTAATGGCTGGCTGGGAATTTCCATGCACAGAAACTTCGGCAGGTGGCCGTGCAGGGAGCGAGTGCCGTTGATTGCTTTGCTGGCCATCCAAGACATCCGGAGAAACAGGGGCATGATACGGGCTGGGAAAGGCATGACTGCTTCTGACAGGAAAAAGGCTTTGTGAGGGTCGGCATGTGAAGGGCATGGCCGTGGAATTGATTTGGGGAGTGAGGGATTCCATGGTCTGATGGAGTCAATAGGAAAAGCAGTGGTGCTCATGTTCCAGGGCAGAGCGTGGCAAGGTCAAGGAATAGAGAACGATGGAGGTGCTCTGAGCTTTATATGCTGTATGTTGCGAAAGGAAGACGGATATTCTTGATAACTGCTCCGGGAGGTCCTATCGACTTCCTTATAAGTCCGATCATACCTTTCATTTCAACCGAGAAAGAGGACTTGACTCCGTAGGTCAACAGGCAACAGACTTTCTCCTAGCAGCTCGCTCGTCTCTGCCTCCCGAGCTAGAAAACGCTCCGGCTTGAGCCTGCTCACTCGCGTGAGATCATTCCGATCAATGTAACCCCTTCGCACTGCCCCAGCCAACGGGACAAATAATCTTGTGACAAAGACGACGAGAAGCTGCGCCCAAGACAAATGGCATTCAAGGTTTGGAGCTTTTACTTCTCAAAGCCGAGCAACTGCTGGGTTTCTGGGCACACCCGAGTCCCAGCTAGCAGTGCGGGATTTTCGCCATTAGCTCATAAGCTCGTTCTCTGAAGTCGAGCTGGTGACGGGGTGCAAGTGGTCGAGCCTTCCCAATCTGGGAGTGGAGACTTGGTCGCATCATCGGCTGACGCGAGCATGAACAAGGGCAGACGAGGCATGTTTTCGATCTGCCTCATGGCTCCCAAGGGAATTTCGGAGTGGACAAGTGATCGGAGAAAGCGACGAAGACATAAGGACTCTTTCGCTGGCCGAGGTAAAGGCATTAACATTCTCAAACGACCATGACAAAGTAGCGCTCGCCGATGGGCAACAGGAATAACAATTTCGCCACGAATCCAATATGATGCAGAATGTGGCGTAAGATGGCACACCGCAGGAACGTTCCCAGTGAATCAGCCTGTGGGCATGTCGGCGGAGTCGCCATGAGCAAGTCTGTTTCCTAAGATCCTTTGCCCGACTTTGGGAAAGGCATCCCGCATTATTCTGGCATGGGCCTCCCGATAATAATGCAACAAGACGCTGTATTGAAGATCTCGAGTATATACGACAGACAGAGCCGTCCAAGAGGAAAGTCCTTCTCGTCATGCTTTCCGAAGCTGTCAGCCTTGAACAGAAGCGCAATTGTACGTGCTCTAACGGGATGCACGAACAAAGGGGTGATGACATCCAATCTCTACGAGCGCCTCATCTTAATATCTCTATCAAGAACCTATGCCAAAACCTTTATCCTGGTATGAGTAAGCAACAGAAACGTATCAAGAAGGCCCGAATATCTTCGGAATCACTTTATGGATGGAAATGGAAACTTCTAAAAAACGTCGCTTTGATATTATCATTAGTGAACGCCAATGTCAAAGGGTTAGTAGTTCACACAATATCTATTTCGGATTCAGACGGCTGACTCAATAAAGATATGAGAGGAAGGCCTGGAAGACCTTAGAAGTCGATGCAATCAATGCCTATATGCAAACGCTGCCTCAGTTTGGCATTCTCGATGACCTCGAAAAGGCCTGGGAATCTGTCGTTACGTTCTATCGTGGTAGTCACCAACAACGTGTTCAAGCCTCAGATCATTTGTTAATTCCCACCAACGCTCAAGGTAAACAGTCTTCATCTATTGAACAATATCCAGTCAGCTAATGTTAGATTATAATCATAAGATTTGCAGCCAATGGTCACTCAACCGAATAATCAATCACCACTCCCTGCTGAGATCAATCAAATTCTCGAAATACCCCTAGTAGATGGTCCTCGAGACGGAAAAAGAAAAAGACACAAATATCGACACAGGGCTTCACGTAAACGGCAATGCATGCAAAAATCGCTGGCATACGATATTGAGCCTCAGTCGGACTTGCAAGACGAACTAGCGGGAGTTCCGCTTCCAAATGAACAACTTCCACCTCTGATAAGTCAACCAGGCGACCGAGTATTTCAAACAACCATTATTGACCTGAGCGCTTGTGAGCACGTCGGTAATGCCGAGTCATTAGTCCCTACATTAGCATCCTTGCACGAAACCTCAGAGCCTTAGAGTAACTATTCGCAAGACGTTCTGCCAAACCTGGGCGGTATAAATTTCTCTTCTGAGCAAGAAGGGCTCACTCTTGAGGATCCTGGAGACCCCGAGTCCTTGGTCGCAACACTTGAGTATCTTCATGGTACTCCTCTTTCCTCAAATGCCTTAATAGAGGCCTCGCGAACGTTCTTTAACCCTGTAATATGAAATATCTCTTCAAATAAATCGGAAGTCATCCAAAGGAAAAGAATCAAACTATTTATTCCCGGCTGTAAATATTCAATTGAAACCGGAGATGGGTAAAGTGGTGAATTGTTGCTTGGCGGTAATACTTTATTTACCGCCTTCTTTTCAATATCAATATATACTTAAGCTTTAATGACTAGTTTTAAAGAGCTATGCTTCATTAATCGTCAAATTGCGCGCTAAATAAGAAAGAGGGTGTGATATCATAATAAATACTACTCTTCAATAGTCACATAAGGAAGGAAAAGAAAACAGCATCTTTTTTCAGCCTTTCCCACGTAAGAGAGCAGGTTTCCTCCAGGTACCACAATTATTTCACCTTCTCTCCATTCATCAATGAGCGCGGAATTTTCACGAGCGCCGGTTTTATTTTTGACCTCGATGCGTGTATCCTTGTCCAGCTCTATTAACGGTATAAGAATGGCAAAGAAGCAGCCATCAAGTATAAAGTCGCCGTCTTCAAGCATAACAGCGCTTGTGTGAAGCCGTTTGACACGGGGAGGTGAGTCGGCGGGTAGGAAATGTCTGTTCAGAGCGGTTTCTAGAACCTTTTCTGGGTTAGATAGGAACATCAATGTTTCTATTAAGCTTACTTACATGTGGAAGATGGGTTTTATCGAATAGCTGTGCAACTAACACACAGGAAGGTGGTGTTGGAACAACGGCGAGAATTTTCGAGTCCTCCTTTCGACGCGCATGTTGAGGGTTGATCTCTATTGAGGCTTTGCTCGCAGCCTCTTTAAATTTGTCATCAGTTTTGATATAGGTGAAAAGCTGGCTAGGATTTCCTTCGAACATTGCTCTGTTCTTATTGTTTCTTTTATTTTCAGGTTAAAGTGGGCGAACTGGGTGTGAATGTTGGGCGGAATAAGGGCGGTGGGGTGATTAATGGCAGAAAACAAAGGGAACCCCGCTCATTAAAAGGAGGGCCAAAATTTCAGAATCTTCCTATTTCAAAAGGAAGGTGTGTAACCACTAAGTTTTTCCTCCCAATATTGCCTCAAATTGGGCAGCTTTGCACTACCCATGGCACGTACAGATAAATAGCTAGAAGACATGGCAAATAAAGCCAGGCTACGTTTTCAAGTCAATTACAACGAGCAGTACTTCAAAACCCTGTATCTAAATACAAAATACGAAGGGACAGTATCATGCGCTTCTAATCAAGTTATATTTACGCCTAATCCGTAGGTATCTAATTACGACCTAGAGTAGCTAGGATAGATCAGATCGTTATTTTCTTCAAGATTACGAAGATCCGCAGGTTAGTTATTGATTTCTCGAACGGAGCCTTGGGAATAAATCAAGAAATTTAAACGATTAAGTTTATTTCACAGTGTGTTTGCCATTCATAAGGGACATCGGGTGTGTGTTCCCCTGTCCCGATAGCTGGCCTCTCTGTGAGGTACCTAATCATAAAATAAAATCAGTAAGATTCTGGCCTCTGCTAGTATAAAAGTTTAGAATTAATGACCTACTTCCAGTGAGTAAAAGGCGTTTCGTTATTGCTTTTGAACCACGCTTCTGAAAGCCGATTCAAGAGACCTAGAAAGGTGATATTAATGCGACGTGATTCCTCGATATAACCTTCTGTCCATTCAGAAAACTGCACTTTGCCCCAGTCAATATTTGGGAGTTCTGAAAGAGGCTTATAAAGCCTGGTATCTTTGGTGGATGATTCATGATCGAAGGTAGATACCTGGATACCAAGTGTTTTGAGGTCGTGATCGGCAAAAAAAAGCTTGCTCGATGATACTTATGACATTTGTTTGTTCTAGGCGATTGATGATATCTTCACGCAGATTTAAGTTCTGGTTTCCAGGGAAGAACATATCCGAGGCGGATGTAATTATTTCTGGTGCTACCTCTTGTTCTTTGTTTGTAGGAGAACTTAGAGGAATCAAGACCTTTAATCAAATCGTTGGAGATCACCTTCTTCCTTCAGACCATCTAGTCAACCATGCCAAGACCCAAACTGCAATATGCCTCCGTAATCACGTGTTCCAGGAACGGACTAAACAGGGGGCCGTCCATAAATCAATTGAAACAAATCAGACCAGACCAACTAGACAAACAACACGGCTGTTGAATGATGGTCACGCGATCTTTGCCCCTCCTTTGTTGCCTGATAGATATTTTAGATGTAGTTTTAAGACCGTTCCTTAGTGAACCTTTCGAGGATGCCCTCTTCTACCCAGGTTCATCCACGTGTATCGCCATAATAAACGAAGACTCACCTTACCGATTCAATCTCGACCTGTTCATCACGCATTGCAATGGTGAACTAAGTGTTGCGCATGGTACTACAATACACCACCAATCCGAAGAACGTCGCCCTCATGTTCCTTCGGGCGATCAACTCTGCGCTGCTCAACCTGCTCAACTTGTTCTATTTGAACATCCCATCTCTGTATTCACGGTTGTTCAAAGGAAATCAAGTCCAGCACGTTCATGAGTTGTTACCCATTTTAACAGGGGCCAAAACAACAAGGACTGGTAAATAAATTGGACGGTACAGGTTCGATCTCGAGGCTGTTTCAATGGTACCGTACATTACAAAGGGTTTTTCAATACGATGATTTATTACGTTGTATGTGGCGGTGCGTATATTACGATGATTATATACGAGCGGTATGAGTGTCATCAAGGATTCGGATAGTTCTAATCCTCTGCACCCTACATACATACATCCTTAAAACACTCTTCACTTGACAAAGAGTGCGAGCTGGGAGTCTTGGGTATTCGTGCTAAGCAAGATCATAAAGCTACACTAACACAAGGCTCTCTACAGATAAAACGAAGTCTTAGCTTGATCAGAGGCACATAATGAGTTAAGAACTTAAGACTTAAGAATCTAGCAATTATGTTAAAGAGCACAAAATAAGATTGAGGAACTAAAAGACTTACTTGTGAGTGCATTCGCCCTTGGCGTAGGCTGGAGTGGTCCTGGACAGGCATCTTCTTAGCCTTACATTGGACGGGCCTGCTCGCAGCTCCGCTCGGCAGGACGACGGCGATCTTTTTCTGGCATGTATACCAGCCATCCTTCGTCGGCCAAGATGTACTTAATAAACTGCGAGTAAGGTTAGAATGTAGCAAAATTCCATTATGGAATAATTTTTAACAAACCCGATCTAGTTCTTCAGTGGTAGCCGCGGGAATCTGACGCCTGGTCCGCCATTCAAGAGCCCTAACAAGCCTTTGTGTATACCTTTGAATGTCCCTGACTAGGTGTTTGGGTCCGGTTTTTCCCTTTGTCGACATCACATACCATCGGATAAAAGATATCAAATTCAAAGATGAGGGGGCAGGAAACAACTCGTTGACACGAAATCCATCATTCTTTTCTTCTGTCTCGACGAGAAACCTAGCTCATTAACGTTAATTTCACATCTAATTATATAGATATCAAGGCAGCATACTTCTCAAATATTTCTATCCTATAGTGGTACCTGTTCTCTCGTCGTCGATTTCTTCCCCGTTGGCGAGCAATTGGGTTCGTCTGAGGGTCCATTTCGATGGTACGTTCAAGAAGAAAGCCGTGGGTTCCACGGTTCCACCAAGAGAGATGATTTTGAAATTGGCCCGGAATACCAATAAGACGGGCATAGTTCGCTATTTTAGAAAGTCAGTCTACGGCGAGCCATTACGACCATTCAACAATAATTTAGCTCGCGATATTCTTAGCTGAGACTATCAGCATAGGGTTCCAATCGGATGTCATCATGGACGTCTTATGAAGCAGGACGACCTGCTTAGGTTGGTTTATTGGCTACTGGGCTTGAGCATCATGGGAAACCGGAATTCTTTGCGCATCTGTGAAGATGTGCTCCATAGCTCTTTCGGAATTTCCTTCGTTTTCCTTCTCACCCCATAGAGTGACCCCTGAGAGAAGAATATATTTGAGCATTGTTTTCTCTTATATGTACACGGCTTTGATGTAGCCCACTATGACATTACAAGACAATGAGCTGTTGGACAACCTACGAAGTCGTCGATCTCTACAGTTGCTTCGTCAAAAGGTGGTAATCAAGCTCTTGGGGATCACGAATGATTATATTTGCCAATGGAAAGTCTCCTGCACGACTATAATTCCGGCATACAGATTCTATACTAAACGCACATGCGCGGTCTAATTGCAGAGCTAGCCGATGGACAGGACAAGTTCATCCTATGACACTGATTATCTTCTGGAGATCTACATCGGTTCAAATAACTACTATTCAGAGGTTTCAACATTAGGCTAGTTCATTGTGGCACCATAGCTAAACACGACCCATTCGACTAAAGAGATCTTGCAATCGGCCTTGACCTGGTTGAACGTCGAGGGGACGGTTTTATGAGCGACCACCTTTTTCGAAGTGAACGGGGGTTCCGACGATGGAAATATTTTTGAAACTCCGGTATGGCCGATTCGAGAGATCCCAGTTCCTTCATGAGCCTCTTCAATAAAGTGTCCTCTTCCTGGCTATAAGATTTACCTGGAGATGAGGTGCGCAGATCCGTAGGTTTATGATAACTCTGGGCCAAAGCTCTGGTCTGGGCCCTTGTGGTGGGCCTTGTTGAGTTTTCGGCTTTCTCGTGGCTTTGGGTATCGGCGGCTAGTTGCGTCATATGGCCGACTTCACATGCCGATGTCAACTCACTGGTTGTCGAGCCAGGTGCTGGCTGGCTCGGCTGCGTTGATAATGTGCTATCGATGAGCGTACCGTTGGCTTCGAAGAAGGCGGTATCTTGGCAATTCATTATCCCCTGGGTAGGGTTCGCGAGGGGTTCTGGATGGGAAGAATTGGTCTCTGTTGGGTCACTGACGCAGTGGTTTTCTCCATACTTCTCAGAATCACTTGTAATGTCCTGTTCACTCTCTTGGGCTTGTTGGCATATGAAGGGAAGGGGGGAGTGTAAGATCTGTGGGTCGATAGGGACTGCACTAAGATCAGGGCCCACTGATGAATGACTTGAGCAGATACTCTCATCATCTATCAGCCCGGGAGGGTCGAGTGAGACAGATGGAGAAGAATAGCTATCCTGAGATATATCGGACACAACGATGCTTGAGCAATGGCTGGTTTCATGCCCACATAAGCTGCGGCGGCAATTTTCGATTTGTTTTTTCTTCTCGGCCACGGCTGGGTTTGTGGATCTGGGCTGTATCGAGGAAGGTTCCCAAAATTTGAACCTCAATTCTTTCTCACCCTGTGGTGACTTCGGGGCGATCCTTTGGCGTTTGCAATGTCTTTTCAGCTCCATATCCCGGTTTTTGCCTGTGGTGAATGTCTCATCTAGGGTAGAGGAGGATCGTTTCTTGCAGGCCTTCTCGGGACGCAAACAGATAGTTTTATGATAACGGTGCGCGTCGTGGAGATGTCGACGGTAGGCAACTTCGTCAGAGGCGACGTGACGACACAACGGGTCAGCACACTGCGAAGGCCATTGTTTCTGTTCAATATGGCCCTCCAGATGGTCTCTCAAATCATTGCTTCTGTCGAAAGCACTCATCCTAGAACTAGCCGACTTCGTGGTATCCCAAAGGCATTCAATACAATATCCGGCGCGTATTCTCGTATTGCGGTATAGCATCACTTCATAGTGCTGGTTGGTCATCGAGGGGAGGTGACCTTCGCAGTGTTTCTCAAACTCGGCAGTTCTCCCATCATGGAAGGTGTAACACTCCCAGCAATACTTTACTTTTCGAAACGGGATCTGATATTTCTCAGCGTGTTCGCGCCGACGGCAAACATGGATATGACTGCTCCAACTGGACCTTTGGATTCTGCCAAATGTTAGTAAGAGAGCAGCTAGAAGATCAAGGGGTGGCTAACAATCGTAAGTCTTTTTTACAGTTTTCCACTGGACATCGGCCTTTCACGGGGTCTTCTCCCGGGAGATATACCACAGAGAAGTCGCGGAGACAGTGGGTGTGGAGATCCTCCACCACACTGGCTTTCTCATGAAAAGTAAGCGGTTTATTGCAAGACATAATTCCCGTCAAGCGACCTAATTCGGGCATGATCTTTCCCAGTGCCTGCTTTTCTGCAACCTCCTCAACATATTCTGTGCGTTCTCTACCCCCAGATGTAATTTTCCGGTCACGTCGTTCCCGCACCCATCGGTCGTGATAATCATGCAACGCCTTGGGATGGAGCTGTCGCTTAAGAGCACTTCGCTCCTTCTGTAATCTTCTTCTCTCGTCAGGTAGTGCCGCATTCTCAATTTTCCGGTCTATGGCAACCAAATCTGGGTGCTCATCAAGTTTCAATTGCTCTTCGAAAGGTAGCCGATGGGGAAGGCCATTTTCATGAAATTGCTCGTAGCCTTGCAAATAGTCAATGAGGCGATTGTCCACGGCATTTCCCCTCATTGCATTGACCACATCTACACCCGAGCAGCTGGCAAGATAGTTGTCACCATAAATCTGCTCTGACCTGTGCGTAAGAAGCTGCGCCACAAGAGCCGGTGTGTATTTGGCTGCGCAGGTCTTAGCAAGACTCCGATTGATGATATAGAATGGGGAAAATCACAGACCTGCAATTTTCTTTCCTAGAAAACGACGCATGGCATGAACCGTGGCAGTGATGGAGTAACCAGCCCACCTCAAGATCTTGCTGAGGTCGGCCTGATACTTCCACTGTGTTAATGGATCCTCACTGACACCTTCGCCTGTGACACTTCGGACAACGCATCTTTCTAATGCTTCATCTTCCCATCGAAGTACCATCTCGTTTTCTCCTTCCGGAATTCTTTGTTCAAACACATCTTTGGCGCTCTTGAAATGAAAGAGAGCGCCATCCGCAAGAGCCAGCGCAAGAAGATATATTGCTCCTGAGTACATGGGTTCATCACAGTCCCAGATAGCAGTACCAAACCTATCAAAGTCATTATTTGGTTAATGCAAGGGACCGGATAAGACAAGCTGCATACACTGTATTATCAGGGTCTTTATTACCCTTGACAAACCGTTGGTCCAGTCTCCATCCAATTAGCCAAGGATCATCCTGGGTACGAAATAATACAAGCTGGATATCCTGGGTTTGTTAGCATTTAAAATGCAAAGAGATGGAAATATGGAAGGTGGGGCCCGCACTTTGTAACGAAGGCCCCGTTTGGTTTGATCTTCGGTTTGATCTTCGGTTTGATCTTCGGTTTGATCTTCGGTTTGAGCTTCGGTTTGAGCTTCGGTTTGAGCTTCGTTTTCATTTTTGGTTGAAGGTGTAAAGTGAGAAACTCTGGCAGCGGAACATAGAAACTGGAGAGTAATGAAGTGAAATTGGACACGATGTCTCCCTGGCATGAAACATGCGTCATCAGAGGTCCAGAAAACAGCAAAAGTGCGCTCAAAGCTTTCAAGTCCGAAGTCATTCAGTGGCTTCGTGGCTGTTGATAGGAATCCTTCTTCGACTAATTCATTTTCTATGAACTGCAATGGTCAGACAAATTTTAGGTTGATTTATGCAAAAGTGAACTTACCTCATAGAAGGCTGAACTATCGTTCTTTGGTATCTCATTCCCAGTCACGAGGTAAAAGCCAGCGACGAACTTTTGAGCCCAGTTCAAGGTCGAGTTTCGTGTAGGCCGCCCATTTCTAGCAAGCCTACCCTTGGTAGAAACGGCATACCAGCGAATAAACTCTTTAAGCTCCTCTAGCGTAGGTGTCGGATATCCCTCTCCAACATTGTGATCATCTGGCATATTCTTCTCATCCTGGAGAAACCTAAAACACCACAATGAAAATAGCTCCGCGCCGAAAAGGATGAAAAACTTACACCTGATATTTTCTGACATGATCCTTGTAAACAGCTCGTGATTTTCCTGATGCTCTTTTTCTCCTGCGTTCGGAATCTTTCTGTCGATAGTCGTCAGGATTGTATCCTTGTTGCTCACGGCGTTTACGGGCTTCTTCTCTTTTCTTTTGTTGCTGCGCGACCTTCCATTCCAAAGAGCGTTTGAAAGAGCGTTTAGCCATCGTGCACAGTGACAGGGATAAATATTATGTGAGGTAGTAGGTACGGTAGAAAGTACATGTAGGAAGTAGGGAAGAAGGAGGGAGAAAAGGAGACCATCCCTGGGGGTAAGAGGCTGTATTTATCTTGACATCAGGAGCGAAATGCATTGTAGCTACCTTTAATGTCACTAGTCCATTTCTAATCTGCAGTCAGTGCTCAACACGTTCATCTGAGTGGGTATAGTGTGGGATGAGCAGGAAAATTCCATCAGCCCTTGCCCAGATGAGGGCCTCAGTAAAGTGTTGTGTAATCGGTAATGGATATAGTTCGAAATGTCTTGGCACACACACGGTTTAGAGGCCCTATGTTTGTCACGTGATTAATGATCTTGGTTGGGCAAGAGCTCCTCCGGTTTTGCTCCCTGAGGGCTCCGGGACGATCCGGGACTCGGTGGATCGGCCGGTGCGTGCGCCATGATCAGGGAGGGAGTGGCCGGAGCGGACCAGGAGCGGACCAGAAGTGCGCCGGGAGTGCGCCGGGATCGATCACGTGTGCCCCTCATAAAAGCGGCGGCACCTGAATCGGGCAATCAGGCGAAAAGCGCAGAAAAACACTTCATACATGTACTTATAAAATATGACCATGAACAGACGACTCCACCACCCTTCAACAACTACGCAAGCCATCGGCGCCACCATCCTCGAAAACCAGGCCTTCGTAGCCAACTTCATGGAGAAGTCAAGGCAGGATCTCGCGAAGACATATCGCATCGTGACTTCGTCTTTGGACAGGGAGGGAATCAATTACGTGAAGGGCGGGTAAGTTGTGATACCATTCTCTATCTTTATCACGTTACAAAACCCGTGTTGTTTTGTCCCTGCTACAATACATACTTTGGTACTTTCCTGCCCCTCCTTCAATCTCGATTGCCATAGCACTTGTATATCTCATCTACAACACTCCCTCCCCACTCTAACCAACATCCCAGAACCGCCGGTTTCTTTATCTTCATCGACCTCTCCCCCTATCTACCAACCAGCACCAGCACCACCGAAGGCGAATTCGCCCTAGCGCAGAAATTCTTCGACGCAGGTGTCTTCCTACACCCCGGTGAAGAGCACGCGAAGCAGGCGGGGTGGTTTCGGCTTGTGTTTTCGCACGAGGAGGATGTGTTGAACGAGGGGTTGAGGAGGTAAGTGCCCTCTATACATGCCCGTAGAGATATATAATTTCTTACTCTTCATTCTACGGGCTGTGGGTCTGCAGGGTTAACCGCTAACGGACTTTTTGTCTTTTGACACACTTGTCTGAGTATAGGATGTTGCTGGTTTTGAAAGATGGTTCATATTAGGCATCTAGGTCTAGTCGTTCAAGTGTTTGGGATTTGTGGGAGACTGCGATATGGTGGGTGGATTAGGTTGGGTGGTTGTGGTTCATTCATATGTATCAGGGGTATATACTTTGCTGCTCATACTTTCGGTTGAGATTAGACATGATAAAAATATCTAAATGAGGTTTATCCCGTTATGAACATCAAAAAATCATTGCATTTCTTCATCGTCGTACTCTTATTTTAATCTTAATTTATGTCTTATACCTCCCAAGCCCACCGCTTTAGATCTGTATATCTAGAAAGGATAGATAGATACTATACCCTCATCCAAGATCCCAGACTGCCAATTTACTCCGCAATGTTGGCAAACGCGAAGGTCGGGTTACCAGGAACAGCATTTTCAGCCTGCAGACCCTCTCTCTTCTCGCCAGTGCCCAGCACCTCACCAGTCTTACCACCCTCCTCGACAGCGATGATCTCGAGCTCCTTGCAACCCGTCGTGCGCTTCAAACCACCCCGCATCTCCTCGAGGACGGCGAACTCGTCGAACGGCAGTTTCCGAGCAAACACGGTATCCGGGGTCTCCTTGCTCACGACCAGACGCTTCTTCAGGCCCTGCACGAAAGGCATGGCCTTCTTCATCTCACCGAGCTTGCCGACCTTGGCGTTCAGCTCCTTGTCGTTGATCGAGAGGCTGAGGGAGTCGAAGGCCTCGCGGACCAGGTCGATGTACTTCTCCTGCCACTCGGGGTACTTCTTCGCGGCGAAGATGGTAATCTTCTTGGGCTTGCGGGGGTCGAAGGAGCTGGACTTGCCCTTGGAAAGCTTCTTGATGAAGTTGGCCTCGGCGGAGGTGATTCCGGAGGAGGTGCTGCGGACGTAGCTCGACGCGGCCAACAGTTCAGGGGAAGGCTGGGGGACCTCGGGGAAGCGAGCGAAGTGGATGGTCTCGGGCTGTAGTGTTGAGAGTTAGTATTTTTCCCCCTCTTCTTTTTTGCCATTCTTTGGTTAGAGATAAACGAATGAGAGCACTGACCTTCTTGAGGACCTCGAGCCAGAGGTGTTCTGCCCAGTGAGGAGCGATGGGAGCCATCAGAAGAGCCTGCAGCTCAATGTAGCGGAGGATCATGTCACGGTGCATTCCCACGCCGGCCGCGGTGGTTGCCTCACGGTAGACGTCACGAACACCGGTCAAGTCATACAGAGAAGACTTCAGAGCAAGCTTGAAGTTTGTACTGGATTCATTATTAGCAACCGTTCGGCTGGATATGGGCGGATTTGCCATGCATGAGACTCACTCTTGGTAGTTCTTGATAGCCTCGTGAACCAAGTTGTTCAGTTCATTGCTGAACAGCTTATCCCAGAAGGAGTCCGCAGGGCCAGTTCGCAGAGACTCATCCTTGACGACCTCCTCGATCCATTCCTTGAGGGTGAATAGTCGCAGAATGTTGCTGTTGGCAACGGTTTCCTCGAAGTTGGCATCCTCGATGCCGTCACCAGCATCGGCAAAGGCAATACGGGTGGCATCGGCACCGAATTTCTCGACGGAATCCTTGAGAGTGAGGAAGTTACCCGTGCTCTTACTCATCTTGTCACCGTTGAGAAGCAAGTGTCCGTTGGCACGGACACCACGAGGCCAGTACTCAGAGGGGAAGAGAGCCACGTGAATGTAGAGGAAGAAGGTCAAGTGGTTCTGGATAAGGTCCTTTCCGGACACTCTGACATCCAAGGGGTACCAGTACTCAAACTCTCTCCGCAGCTGCTGCAGGGACTCTTTGCTGATACCACTCTTCGACACCAGGTCGTCGCTGAGCTCGCGTCTTGTGAAGACGTAGTCCCAAACTTCGTCGGTCATCTGCTCGGCCTTCACACCCAAGGACCCCGTAGTTTCACCGTAACGGTCACCGTGCAGGAGGTGGGCAATCGTGTAGTAGGCCATGTAAACGGTACTGTCACTCAAACTCTCAACCAGGAATTGGGGATCCCAGGGGAGTTTAGATCCGAGACCATACGTTCTGGCGCAAGCCCAGCGGTTGAGCCAGTCAAGGTTCTTCTCGAAACCGTTCTTGGTCTCGTTCGAGTAGGTGTTGAGGGTGTTGACGACGTGGTTCAAGGTGTCCTTCTGCCACTTGGAGTCGTTCTCGCCGTAGTTCAAGAACCACTGGCCAAGGTAGGCAACGACACAGTCATCTCCACTGCGGCTGACAACCTTACCCATGGGGTCGGCGAAGGCGAAAGCATCTCCACTGTCGTAGAGAGCCTTGCGGATCTTATCCTTGACAGCGCTCACGGGTTGACCCTTGAACTCGCCAACAAGCATGGTGCCCTTGTAGAAAGCTTCGCCATAAGCCAGTTCCTTGGCCTGGGCAAGCTGGTTGACGTCCTTGGGGGAGTTGATCTTGAGCTGCTTGACCAGAGTAGGGGCGGTGAGGTTTCCGTATGTCGGGGTATCAATGAGAGGGTGGATCTCCAGCTCGGCCCACTCCTTCTGGATGCCATAGTATTCAGACTTCTTCGCAAGATCCATCAAGGTAGCGTAGTCATCGGGACTGTCGGAAGGCACAGAGGTGACAACGCCAGTACCCTTGCTGGCAGAAACGCCATCCATGGGCAGGATGCGCACACCTTCAGTGTGGAAAGAGAGCGGCGCATTGACCAGGGTGCCAACGAAGGCGGATCCGGGAGCCTCGACGACCAAGGGCAGCTGATCCTGCGTCTTGGGGAAGTGCTCGCTGTCGAAGAAAATTCCCTGGAAGGCCATGTTCCAGGCGGCTCTCTTAGTGGCAACGAAGTACTCCTTCTCCTTCACCTTGAAGATGCCGTATTCGATCTTAGGGCCGAGGAAGCAGCAGGTCTGCCCATACATGGTCTCGGGACGCAGAGTAGCAGGGACAAAGTAAACACTAGCATCGTCCTCAATCTTGCCCTTCACGAGCTCAGCCACCTTAGGTGCCCATTCCTTGACCTTCAGCTTCATAGCGGTGTACTCCTGGGGTCCGATTCCCTCGCCCTCTGTTCGGTCGTGGTCCATGCAGGGCTGTCCATCCTTGGGGGAGTAGATGGTGTAACGGTTGCCGTACTGAATCTTTCCGAGTTCGTGAAGACGGTTCATCTGCCAGCGCACAAAGGCATCGTAGTAGGGGTTCGCGTCGGTGGTAACAAACTGTCTACGCCAGTCGACTCTGGCACCCAGGCTGTCGAGATCGCGGATGGCGAGAGGAGGGAAGTGCTGGAGCCAGTGGCTGGCGTCGGCGAACTTGTGAATCTCCTCCAGAGGAATACCGATGGCCAACATGATCTGGAATTGGTACTTCATCTTCACGGTCTTGGCGGCGGCCTTGCTCTTCTTGCCGGAAAACTTCTCCTGCTGCTCAGCCTTGACCTCCTGGGTAGGAGCGGCCTGAGTTTCCTCTTCGCCCTCCTCCTTGTATCCTTCGAAGTTCTGTCCGAATTTCTTGACTTCGTCGGCGAGCTTGTCCGCGCAGGCCTTGATGGGCATACCGGTGCAGTGGAATCCGAGAGGGAAGAGAGCCCGCTTTCCCTCCATACGGGCCACACCAGTCATGAATTCGACCTTACTGGCGGTGAAACTGTGACCAGCGTGCAGGGTTCCGTTCATATACGGGTAGGCCATGGTTCCGAAGAACTTGGGGTGCTTCTCACGCAGTTCCGCGCCGGTCATGGATCCCGCAGGAATCTCTGACAGAGACGGAGCGTCGACCTCGAAAACCTTGTTGTCCTTCCATTGCGCCTGGTATTTCTTCTCGATGGCGATGAGGGTGTCTCGCTTCTCGGTCTATCATATTACTCCACCCATTAGCACTCTGAATACGGTAAACGTTCTCTGGGGGTGGAGAGGAGGGGTAAATTGCAGAACATTTTCGAGTTTGAGGGTGTTTTTAGAGCTGTTGCCCGGGTCGAGCACAGCTGCGGATGCAGCGGCGGCCGTCATAGCTCCCGTTAATTAGTCTGCTTTGTCGCAAACCGAAAATAGAGAGCCGTAAAGGCGGAGATGGAGGGGAAGGATAGAGATATCAATCGCGGGGTTGGGCTTTATCGACTTCTGATTCGAAAGATTATGTGGGAGTCACCCTTGCTCACCGCCTGCTTTCTTTGAAGCCAGCAGGTTCAAGTCACGTGTTTTACTATCGGAGTCGTTTTCTTTTCCGCCGACAACTCCCCAAAAGATCGGGATGCGGTTCATGCCAGAAGACATCGAATTCAATCAATTGCCCTCTGGCCGCCATTCTCCGCCGTCGTTCCTATAACTCACCTATTCTTTCAATCTTTTCTTGACAACGACCCAGAGCGTGTGCGCTCTTAACCGTCATCATGGTGAACATGCTCAAGCGGATGCGAAAGCTGCAATCTGTATGTTGAACTCTGTTCCTAACAATTCGAGACGTGATAACGTATGATGACTGACAAATTTGACTTTACAGAAGGTAAAGAGTCTCCGATATCCCCATGCCCCTTTTAAAGACTTCCGGTATCCAAACTGCGCAATATGGGATCCATTCCCCCGGACAAATTTCCCTAGAAAACCGGCCCGTTGAAAAACAACCAGCAAGAGAGATATCAAAACCCGAAATACTAACTCTGGACGATCCGTCTACAGCTCGTCAACATCCGCGTCGGTACCGGTGCCGCCACCTTCCCGACCGCTTCATCCGCAAACAAAGAATTCCCAGCCATCACCCGTCTCCATCTCACATACGCCCGCAAGATCTACGGCGGCCACCAAGGTGCACGGCATTTCTGGCGCAACTGCCTCCCTCGACTGAAGTACCACAACCCGGCTATCCCGATGACCGTGAGACGGACCGACGAGCAGGACGGACCGGCCGCTTTGACGATATACTTCGCCGAACAGGCCAGCAACGCCGCATCATTGGCGGCGTCTCAGATCAACGACAAACACGCCCCCGCGCCTTCGGAGACGGAAAAGTCGGCGATTCTGGATGTCAAGAACCTCGACTACCAGCAGATCTGGAAGAAGGTGCAGATGATGACCGGGGCGCAGGAGATTGCCGCGACCGCGGAGGAAGAGGCCGAGGTGCGGAAGTTTGAGCAGTGGCGTCAGCAGTCGGATAAAGACCGTGTGCGTATGGCTGGCCTTCGACAGGCGAAGAAGGACCAAGAGCGCATGCTCCAAGAAGCTAGGGGAGAGGTTGAGAGGCTGAAGCAGCTGTAAGGGCTTTGGGCTCGAAGTGTGCTTGGTAAATAACTCTTCTTCTGGGGGGGGGGGGGGGGGGGGGGGGGGGGTGAAATTGGGTTTGTGGAAAATTCACATTGTAGCATAGCCCTTTATTTTGTTTTTGGTTTTGCTTTCTTATGTACTCCGACCATGTAGTTCTAGGGATCATCGTTTTTTGTGGATTATAATGGATTTAAGTTGAAATTTATGGACATTGCTATCATTGATTCATAGCCATTGAGGTACGACACATCGAATGCATGCGACGGACGCCTCAACTACTGAGTATTATATGATCGCCAGGTAATATCGAACTATGCAATGGAGTATTCATTTATACACCCAAGGATATCGACCCAAAGAAAGATCGTAACGAACGCTTGCACACACACTCCTGGGCATATCGTGTTTGAGTTTCGTACTTGAACCAAGATCAAGTGAAATCACCGAGTTCATGCCTCTCTTCCATTTATCCCAAACGAGCAACCAAACTCCCTAAAGCCATGTCATGCACAATCCTTTGCAAAATTTAGGAGTGGTCTGGCGTGTAACTGGTCTCACCCAGCATAGCCTGTCCCGTTGATACCGTCGGCGTTGCTGTCTGTGTTTGACTGGGCCCTGCTTGGTTTGAGGCAGACTGGTTAGGCGGTGCCCTTCCCGCAGCTGCTGCCTGGAGTCTCTGGTCCAAAGCCTTGAGAGCTAAGGCGCGTCTCCTCTCGGCTTCTTCCCGCTTTGCTATGCCCCTCGCGCCGCCTCTCTGGCTGGTAAGAAGGCTAGGGAGACCGGCCTCACCTCTTGCAAGGACCTGTTCATTGCCGGACGCAATGTCTTCTTCCGAAAATGGTGTGCATATCTTCAGTGTGACAAGTAGAATGTAGATCTGATCGGAGACGAATGCAATAGGGGGCTGGACGACGTCGGGGAAGAGACAGGCGAAGGCAAAAGTCTCGCTCGCATCGCCCTTGATGCCCAACCCATCCGTGCTCGTGCCGGTAAGGTCTGGCTGTCGCTTGAGAAATCGTAGATAGGACCAGCTGGTCAACAATCCAAACCAAGACAGGATGGCAGCCACATGCGTGCCGAACAAGACCCCGCTAAGGGTGTTCAGAAACAAGAAGAGGGCGGGGAAATGCTTCACGCGCATCTTCACCAAGCCCTTGAAGAGGGTTACCGTATGTTCGGGTACGAGCTGCTTGAAAGCGACGAGGAAAGAGGCTTGGATCGATATCCCGCCGCAAATCTGGATTACACTGTGACAACACGCAAAGTTAGCAACCGGGGCGCAACGCAGTCGGGTCTTTCGAATCGGAGAGCTCGGCGTACCTGCTAGATGGGGTTCCCCGAATCGCAGCCCAGATCAGGTAGAACGGGACGATGACCACATTTGGGACTACCGCGATGGTGAGGATGAATTTCGCAAATTCCCGAGAACTCCACGCGCGCTCCAAGTACTTTCCGCCATAGAATAGAGTGGCCCCGTTCAAAAGCACGGTGAAGATGTTCTGCTCCACAAACGTCGCCGTCAAAAGAGTCCAAGGATAGAAGAGGACCAGCGATGGCACGAGGGTCAAATAGGGGATTATGGGGGCGACCGAGGGAGTTCCTCCGGTGGTGTCAATCTGTCGCCATCTGGCGATGTTGTACAACAAGGATAGGGTGAGCAGGCTGATGAGGCAGACGCGGGTCGCGGGCGGGATATTGACTCGAAGGGCCATTTTGTGGAAGAGAAGCTCATGCGGCTGCGGGAAAGAAATGCAGACCGCAGGCCGTTGATCAAAAACCCAGTCGAAGGGGGTGTTGCGGAGGAGAAAAGGGAGTTGAGGTCTTTAAAAGGTCGGGTGTGTTTGGGTTCAGCCTGGCAGGTTGGAGATTTCGAATTCGGGCAATGGCAGTTTTGGGTTTGGCTTGGTCACGGATCGCCTCGATGTGATTGGAGCCGCCCCACAATGTCCATCGGCATGCTACTTTTTTGCTTTTTCTTTTTTCATTTTTACTGACGGGTTGCCGCCCTGCTGTAGGGCCAGTCTGTACCACCTTTGAACTACGGAGTACGGAGTATGACCTTTGTAATTCGTAGAGAGGGGGACTTCGTCAAGCAGTGGTGAGTAGGGACATGTCAGGTCTAATTATGCTTAGGTCACAAATGCGAAGAACCTTCTGAATGAACGGAGTACTCTGTACAATAGTCAATAAGGGGGAAATGGGCAGTACGACACCCGTGGACCGATCTGTGTTCATCGGTAGTCGACTCCGTCCTGCGTAAGAATTAAAAATTAAGAAATAAAGAATTATTTTCGTCTCCCCACCGAGGATTAGTAAGTGCATCTGCCACGATTCCTTCCGCGGAATAGATACATGCGTAGTCCAGAAGATGACAACGTCAGAGGAATTCTGCAGGATTGGACCGCGTGGTTGGTAAATGATATCTACAATATAATAATTAGTTATCTCATAAGGAATAGATATACACCGTAGGACATACACAGTAGTAATTGATGATCTTGACTTTCCACTTTTAGAGGATACACACAATTCCCATTATCGTTGAATCATTGAACCATTGTGCAATCGGGAGTTCCGGGAGGGATGCAGCCACAATGATCCATAAAGAAGAAGAAGGAAGAATCGAACCCTGAATGTACTCCGTAGGGTGTGACACACTCCAAAAGTCCAAAAGACGAACGAAACTCAGAATTCAAGGTCACCTGACCTGACCACGCTAGACCCCTTCTGGGGCAGCCCCAGCAGGTCCCACTGGCACTAGTGCCCAAAATGGCCAAGCGTGGAAGCCGATCCTCAGGCCGTCAGAACCGCACAAGGGGCCCGGTGGATTTTCCAACTGCACGCTAGTCCCATGGCCCAGACGCCACAACGAGTCAAGCCCAAAAAGTCCCAGGCCCAGAGTCAAAAAATTGAAAAAAGAAAAAAAAAAAAAAAAGAAAGGAAGGAAGGAAAAGTGCTCCCCCGTCTGAAACAGCGTCCCAGAGCCGCCTGGAGAAATTCCCTGCTTGCCTCTCTGGGTTTGGTGACTCTGGGTGACTTTTGGCGCCTTTTTTGGCCTCTCTGGGTGCTCTGTTCGCGACTCGACCCTCGAAACTCGATCCCGACTCCCGTAACCTTGCTCTCTCACTGAACTGAACTTGTCCGGGACTGGCCTGGACTGGAACTTGACTTGCTTGACGGACGGTTCATCACCTGCGATCTCTCTCCACCACCGTTAGCTAACTCTAACCTACGCGCTCTCGATCCTTGACTTCTTCTTCTCTTCTCTTCCCTTCCCTTACTCAGTTCTCTCACTCTTTCTCTCTCTCTCTCTCTCAGCTCAGTCCCTCCTCTCTCCCTCTCCCTCTCCCTCTTCCCTCCCCTCCTCTCGTTTTCGTCCTTCGCACCCACCACCCTCCCCATAAACCTGCTGCAGCTCCAACTTTCGCAGTTCGCTAGCGGGTCTGCTATCTCAAGCCACACGTTGGTGCTCGATTTCGTACCGGTTCGATAATTCGTGGACTTCTTCTGTTCACCCTGCTCTCTTCTCGTTCCAACCTTGGGATTTCTCCGCTGTGTCCCTTGAAGCCCGTCCCAAAGGCCCCCAGCTGCCAATAGGATGTTCCGCAGTCCCCTGCCCTTTTTTTGATGATCTTTCTATCAACCTACTCCCGCTAGCCCGTCCTTCTTCTTCCCTCTTCATTCTTCCCATTCAAATTACTGTCACTTCTCTCCCTCCCTTGTCACGGCCTTGGCTGCGTCTTCGCCAGTCGTTTCTCGTCGGCTTCCACTTAAAGTCCGCCCTCTCAAATCTTGGTCCTTTTGCTCGGGAGCCCGTTCCATCCAAGTCCCCTTTGTCTCAAATCGGTTAACCTACCCGTTTTTCAATTCTCCGCATCTTCGAGGCTTCAGCTTGCCCGCCGTTGTCTTTCTACAATCCTGCTCAGCGGAGAAATCTTTCATCACTGGCATGCTAGCGGATCCTCCACCTTACTAGCTGTCATACATGTAACAATGGCACGCCCTGAGCTCACTTCGCATCACGTCAACTACCTAATATGGAGGTATGTCCAAATCGCTGCAGATTCTCATTCTGATCCGTTATTGTCACCCCATCCTTGCTTTCCTCCCTCACTGAATACTTTGACTTTCTGCCATGACATTTTCGCTGACACATGCTCTAGGTATCTTCAAGAATCAGGTTGGTTATAATCTTCCTCCCCCTCTCGACATTGATCATTTGATCTTGAAACTTTTATTATCTATCTTGAATTGTCTTCTAACTCAGCTATCAAGGTCATGGCGAAGCGGCTGTGACCCTGCAGCGCGCATGGAATCGCGATCCACAAAGTTTGCCCTTTGCTCCTTACATTAGAACTCATGCGCTGGTGTCGCTAGTCCAGAAAGGATTACAGTATCACGAATTAGAGCAATCTGTCGATAAGGTACGTTTCTCGTCAACCGTGCAGGTTTGTTATTCCTCTCCTGCTTTTCTCTTTAATCTTTCCCCCCAGTTTATCTCCTCGAATTTATTTTTCTTTATTTTTTCTAATTTTATTTTTTTGGAACGAGCGGAGGTCCATTTTTTAACAAGTCTAACAAAAAAATCGCAGGAAGGAAATCAAGTTCCCATCTCAGCGTCAAATCATTTTTTCGGACCAGCATCACTGGAGCCGGAGATCCCCAAAAATCCAGGTGGCCCGGGTGAAGCAGCTGTTGGCGGCACGGACCAGGCGCCTGTCTCGCCTACAAGCAAAGCCCCTCGAGACAGCGCCGTGATCAACGGTCATCTGACCGCCGAGACTGCCGCGCCCACAGATACCCCCCCTGTTAAGAAGTCTCGCAAAAGCGATCGTGGGGAAACCAATGGCGATGAAACGCCTATGGATGTTGATTCCAATGGAGTCACCCATGAGAATAACAATAATGTTAAACCGGTGGTTGATGACGAGTCACCCGCCGTAGCCGACCCCGTGGTGGATGACGACGGAGACGTGAACATGGGCAGCCGACCGGAGTCGCAGGACCAGGAACCGGCCGCGCCAACCTTCACGCTGACCACTGGACACAGCGTTGGCGTCCAGATCACCCCCGCCAAGGCCGCCGACCTTAGCCCCGACACCGCCGTTCTGGATGTGGCGGGTGATGCCCACGTGACCCGCTCGCTGTGGCGCCCCGGCGACCCGACGGTTGTCGTTGCCGCCGGCGACTCGTTCTGTAGTTTATGGAAGATGTCGTCGACTGCCGCTCCGGTGCAGGAGAAGCTCGTCGAGAGCAAGGGCGATAACACTTGCGTGTCGGCGGTAGCCTGGGACCCGATGGGCCAGAAATTGGCCGTCGCCACCTACAACGACATGAGAGGGTCCATCACCATGTATGATGTGGCCGGGAACGCCGTCGATCTCTTACCCGAAGTGCCTCGCATGATTACTGGACTTCATTGGGCCGAAAGCGGCTCTCATTTGATCGTTGTGGCATCCGATAGTAAAGTCTCCGAGCTGGCTCTCTGGGATGATTCACTGCGTCCGGATGAGTTCCCTTCTCCGCAGATAATCGACGGATCGGTGTATGATCTCAGCTGGGTGGGCCGTTCCCAGGCCTACGGGTGTGGGAATGGAGTCGTCTATCAATGTGATGTTGACACCAGCATAAAAATTGCCAAGACATACACATCTGAGGATTCTAGCAGACCCTGGACCTTCATTAGTTGCGCAGCCGCCGGCGCCGCATCCGTGGCGGTGGCCGCTTCATCCTGCGACGCTGCATTCTGGGTTCCAACCCACGATATGCACCTGGATCAGGTACACGATGGCGACATCACGTCGATCGAACTGAAACCTAACGCATCCAATCCATCCCAACAAAATCAGCCGCTAGTCCTTGCGTCCGCCTCTACGGACGACACCGTCAAGATCTGGCATATCGACTTGGAATCAAAGCGCTTCGAGTGTGTTCACCGACTGGTCTTAGGGGCTAGCTCCCCCGCCCTTGCTAGTGGCTTCTCCCCTGATGGGTACGCCCTCGCCGCCGCCAGCAAAGATCAATTATTCATCTGGAACGCCCAGCGTGGTGGTACTCCATTAGCAACTTGGACGATCCCAGGCTCTCAAGAAACCAAGAAGGAAGAAGAGCACAGTCCAGTTACGAATGGGCATAATGGGAGTGCAGACTCTGCTCCAGATCGATCTCTCGCATGGGACACCGACAGCAAACGGCTCGCGTTTGGTTTTGGCAAACAGGTAAATCTCTCTTGTCCGCTTTGCCCAATAATGCTTCTATACTAACCGGTCTTACAGATGGCGATCATCAACCTTCAGCGCTGAGTTTCCTGACATCCGGATATGGAAGGATCCCAGTTCGGCGCTCACAAAGCTTTTATTGCATCCTCCTGTATTATAATCTTGCCATATGCGAAAACCCCACGGCTCCCGCCTATAAAGCTAGCGGCCCAAACAACTTTACGCACCCGACCATCGATGTCTCGGGAGAGTGCGTCGCCCCTCCCCTGATTTGCTGTGGGTTACCAGCAAGTCCTGGCAGCTTGCAAACAAGCGATATTGGGGATCACGACCGAAATTGGCATCTGTTGAATAACAGCCGGGGGGACCGCATAGGCGTTCCAACTTACTTTACTCTTCTTTTGCAGCACTTATTCACATTTCTACCTCGGTAAATGTTTTGGTTAGACGATACACAACGGCGCAGACAATTGGGATTATGATCGAAAAGTGGCGGTTGGCGAATAATATGGCTTACGGTGGACATACTGCTTATTTCTCTCTGCATTTTCTTCCCTTCCCTTTCTCTGTCTTCTTTCCATAATATCTTCGATACTTTTTCCATTTTTGGACTTCCTTTTTTCTTGTTTTCGAACTGTACCATTGTTCCCTTCTCAGCATAATTGCTGGATGTCAGAAATCTCATGTCTGTCCAACGGGATGCCAGATCCCCAGCGATTTGCTGGGGCGTGATCCTGTTCCCGCAAGGGCCAGTGGGCGTTATTACAGTCTTGGCCAGGCACCTAGTCTTAGTCTTAGTCTTCAAATGCGACAGTCTCAAGATCACACCGATGACTGCCATTACGGCACTGGTGATTTTCCCTTATCAGTTTCGGCTGGGACATGTCGTCTTCCTTCCCGTCTCAGTCTGCGTTCTTCTTCTCGGCTACGGAAGCCTTCTTGGGCGTCTTCCCACCCGCGCATCCATGCGCTTATTCCCTCTAAAAGGACTTCTGTGTTACTCTGTGTAGGGTCGTCCGTCCTACGTTTCATCCACCTCCTCTGTCGGGCTATCTGGGTGGATCTCTTGGCGACGGCCTCATCATGCTGCCGTTGCCAGCCATCGATCCAGTTCTCGAATCCGCGAACAGTGCCATCCAGAGCTTCCCGCTCCGCCGATCCTTCTATAATGTCTGCTTTCCTGCAAGGGATGACAGGTTATTGACGTATTAGTCCTGACAAAACGAATGCCCAAGCAAAATCCTCTACCGTCTACTCACAACTCGTCTATTTCCTCCTCCAGGTCCGATATCCTCTGTGCCTGCGCTTGGCATTCCCGGGTGAAGCGATCATATATATGGGAGGATTCTTTCTGGCGCTGGCATAATTCTGCACCGAGCGCCGTCACCTCGCTAAGGATGGCCGAGAGCTGGGCTTGCGAAATTTCATTGGCGGAACGACCAGGGTCCGTTGTAGGACTCGGAGGTGCCGGGGGATTCCCCGGGAGCTGTTTCGTAGCACCCGACTGGGAACTCGGGGGACGGCATTTTGCGACTTCTTGTGTTAATCGAGGGCGAGGGTCGAGGAGTGATTCGATGGAGTCGAGGTGTTGGTGAAGCGTGGTGGAGTCGTCGCTGGACAGCTGTGTGTTCTGCGATACTAGATGGGCTAGTCCGGCGATTCGTTCTGGTAAGCGCATTGCATCGTTGCCCAGGTCAGCCTCACCAACCACATTATCGCTGTCGACGTCGCAGGTTGGGCTGGCGATGGATTCCGGCGGCGAGAGTTGGTCCAGATGTGCTGGGAAGGCAGGATGCTCCATCTTTTTCGCACCGACCCTCTGTATTAATAAGATTGCGATATCTCTGGTTCGTTTTCGTTTATCTTGCAGAATATGTACCGATGTATGTAAAGGGCAGGTTAGGCGCAGGGGATGGAGATGTCTCACGACAGCCAGGTACTTAGGTTCGCGGAATGTAAGGAGTTTAATTGCGACAGGCTCCTGGTCGCAATCTGCAGCTGGTGCACAACACGGGTCCGAGTAACACCGGAGGAAAAGAGAGAGAGAAAGTGAGGGAGAGAGGAGGAACAGGGAAAAGAAAAAGCAAGACAGGGAAAGACGGTCAGGCGGTGATGGATGACATCGGGACTACACCGCATACGGTGCAGAATTGCCAATTCGGCCGCCGAGGATTATTTATTATTATTATTTTTATGATTTATTGTGTTTGCGGCGACTGTCAGCAGCCATCCCTCGTTCTCCGGTATGCTGCAGGTTTAAATTGAATCCCCCTTCCTCTCCCTGCTTAATGCTGCATCTGCTCTTCTGCTTTTAGATCCTCGGTCGTCTTTTTAGATCTTTAAATTGTGTCTGTTCGGCCATCGGGAGTCTCTCGGTACATACATAGTCTAGCAGACGATCTCCGTCCGGCCTCCCACTTCGTTCTTTCTTCCTCCCCGCACAAGCGTTCGTTTATCGGCCCCGAGTCACCATCGTATTGAGAATATGGCGCCGCCTGTACGTTCTACTGTCTTGAATCTTCCCTACTCATCTGGCTTGTTTTCACGGGGAATATGTCTCTACTCTGAATCCCATTCTCCGTGGTAATATCTCCATGCTAATCTCTTTCTATGTGTGACTCAGGTTACCGTCGTACCGTCCTTGGAGACGGCCAAGGATGTGATCAACTCGTACAAGAACTCGAATTATCCTCCGAACTTGCTTCCGATCACTGCGTCGATTCCGGCCGATCTTTTAACCCCGACCCTAGCATATCTAAAAATCGCAGAGAAGTGAGTCAGGCCGGTCCAGAATGCGAAAGTGGTTTGCGAAGAGGAACTGATCAAACCCACGCCGCACAGCTCGAAATTATCATTCCTCTACGAAAGTGCCGCCACCACCGAGACTATTGGGCGGTATAGTTTTGTCGGCGCAGGTACGCACAACCATTTGATCTTCCCGTTTTTCGTCAAATCGATTGGTGTTGACTGTCGCTCGTTCAGATCCCCATAAAGTTCTCAAAACCGGCCTCGGCCATGGACCCGAATGCGACCCCCTCCCGATCCTGGAGAAGGAGCTGTCTGGATTCCGCGTGGCCACCGTCCCCGGCTTGACCCTACCTCCGCTGACGGCCGGTGCGATCGGTTACGTTGGATACGATTGCGTTCGCTACTTCGAGCCCAAGACGGCTCGACCGCTCAAGGATGTGCTCGGCATTCCGGAGTCGCTATTCATGCTCTTCGACACCATCATTGCCTTCGACCACTTTTACCAAGTCGTGAAGATCATCACATATATCCCCATCCCCAGCAATGATGCGGAACTCGAGGCGGAATACAGCCGCGGGGAAGGAGTCATCCAGAGTGCCATCGATAAGCTGCTACGGCCCGAATACCCCTTGCCTGCCCAGGGCCCTATTATCCCGGATCAGGAGTACACGTCCAACATTGGACGGGAAGGCTACGAACGACATGTGACTAAACTCAAGGAGCACATCTCCAAGGGTGACATTTTCCAGACCGTGCCGTCGCAGCGGTTGTCCCGCCCCACCTCTCTCCATCCCTTCAACCTCTTCCGCCACCTGCGCACGGTCAACCCCTCTCCCTACCTCTTCTACATCGACTGCGAAGACTTCCAGCTGGTGGGAGCCAGTCCGGAGCTCTTGGCCAAGGAGGAAAAGGGTCGCATCATCACCCATCCCATTGCGGGAACCGTGAAGCGTGGCAAGACCGTCGAGGAAGACGAGGCCCTGGCCGAGGAGCTGCGAGGCAGTCTGAAGGACCGCGCCGAGCATGTCATGCTGGTGGACCTGGCGCGTAACGACGTGAACCGGGTGTGTGATCCCATCACAACGCAAGTCGACCGATTGATGGTGGTGGAGAAATTCTCCCACGTGCAGCACCTGGTCTCTCAGGTGTCGGGCATTCTCCGTCCCGAGAAGACTCGGTTTGACGCTTTCCGATCGATTTTCCCCGCGGGGACGGTGTCCGGAGCGCCCAAGGTGCGGGCCATGCAGCTGATCGCCGAACTCGAGGGCGAGAAGCGCGGAGTGTACGCGGGTGCGGTGGGCTACTTTGGGTACAACATCTCCAGCACGGACGGGACGGCGGAGATCCCCGGAGCGATGGACACGTGCATTGCACTGCGAACGATGATGGTGAAGGACGGAGTGGCCTATTTGCAAGCGGGAGGTGGCATCGTCTTCGACTCGGACCCCTACGACGAATATGTCGAGACGCTGAACAAGCTGGGAGCCAACATTGCCTGCATCAAGGGGGCGGAAGCGAAATATTTGAGCATGGAACAAGACAAATAAGACAAGACATGAATCTTCGCTTTTTGTTGTCTGTTCTTTCTTCTTTATCCTTTTCTTTATTTATTCCATTTTTATTGCCCATTTTTCTCTATTTACGGAGTAGTTCTTTATGATCAGTGTTGTCTGCGCGAATAGGGAGAAGGCGAAAAGCTTGACGGGATACGACTATAGACCGATTAAAGACGAGGGAAGAGCATAAGAATGCGAAATGTCATTCGAATTCCAATTGTTAGAAAGAGTTGCCAGAGTCAGAGAGCTATTCAGTAGTATATAGTTATGGATGACGAAGACTTGGCGATGACGTCGATTCCCTTCGGCCCCGTCCGCCGTGGGTTTCCTCGCATCTTCGATTCCTCGCATGCTTCGGTGCTTCTGCTGAATTGCCTCCGAAGTGACAGCCTTCGTTCAATTTTCCGTAGATGTGCCATTGCAGCCCGGCGTGAATGATGACTGGAGGACCGGAAATGCCAAGGGTTCGTCGTACGCGGCTGCATCGCCACAGGTGCCACGACTGTCCTTGGATCTGGGGTTCCTTGGATAGCATCGTACTCCGTAGAGTCGAGGCAGATGTGTCGCCTGGAGGGTTTCTTCATGGAATTGATTCTGGGGAATGCATTGCGCGAGTATCATTGCTTTAAAGTAGATGACAGTAGTCTATACACCCTCGAAGGCGAGGAAATTGACCGGCGTAATTGGCAACGACTTCCAAGGAACTTCTTGGGCCGTAGTGCGTCTAGAAGATGTCCCTCTTTCGCTTCTTCTCTTTCCCTCTTCCTCCACTCTTCTTCTTCCTCTTCCTACTCCTCCCACTTCATCTTCACCTGGTCATCAGGTCGGACTTTACCTGCCCTCTGATCTTCTCTTCTCGTCTACCTATCTCTTCCTTTCCCTCCTCTTCTGCACGCATCTCCCGTGCCTTCTCATCAAGGCGACCTCATTTTACTCCGCACTACGAGGGAGCAGCAACTCATCGCCACGCCTATTCTAGGCAGAATCAATTCACTAGTAGGGGCACCCTCCCCCCTTTATTTCCCCGTTTCATCCTCAATAAATCGGTCCTTCTTGGAAGGCAAACACCCTGTGAAAGAACCCTGGGGGTGGATCGATCGTTCAGGCCCCGTTAGTTCGTCTGGCGTCGTCAGCCGTTGGATTCGGTCAAGTCCACTCACTGCTCTCTCTCGTCATCGCCGGCCTTTCTTTGCTTCCATCCGTTTGTCGGTTAATTTACTTTGATTAACTTTGGGTTTTTCTGACGATTTTAATTTTTCTGCTCTTCTTCATTTCCTCTTTCTAACTCCCCTCGCTCTCCCTCCCTCTCCTCTCTAGTTCACCTCGAATTCTCCACACTTTCTCCATCCTCTGCGGTCGCGGCTTACATACGCCACTCCCGTCACGGCCAGCGATAAGGAGATCCCGGACTTGCCTCTCTCCCTCTCTCTCTTCCTCTCCCGTCGCAACCTCTCTTTCTTCCTCATTTTCGACTTTCTTTTGACGGCGTCTCGTGTCCAATCCCAACCCCTGAACGCCAGTGCTTACCGGAACTTAATAAAAGGAGGTTCAACTGGCTCGGATTCGCAACGTTTGACCATTCTCCTTTCGTCGTGACGTCGAGGGTGTCCTCTCAGTGTCGTCAATATGTCCAAAGTTGTGCGCAGCGTCAAAAATGTCACCAAGGGTTATTCGTCAGTACAGGTGAAAGTCCGAAATGGTACGTCCGTTCCCTCTCCTAATCTACTCACGCTGGATTTTGCGGTCGGTCGGTCGACGTCTCTTGCCTGCGCCGAGCCCCTCTATCTCCGTTGAATACTGACTGATCTTGTCCGGACAGCAACTAGCAATGACCCTTGGGGACCGACCGGTACGGAAATGGCAGAGATTGCCTCGATGACGTTCAGCAGGTAGGCCTTCATCATGTCTTCGGGCCTTCTGCACTCCCTACTGACTCAATCGGAGTAGTCCCACTGATTTCTACGAAATTATGGATATGCTGGATAAGCGACTGAACGATAAAGGCAAGAACTGGCGCCACGTGTTGAAGTCGCTAAAGGTCTTGGATTACTGTCTGCACGAGGGATCGGAGCTCGTGGTTACCTGGGCCCGCAAGAACGTCTACATCATCAAGACCCTCCGTGAATTCCAATATGTCGACGAGGATGGCCGAGACGTTGGACAGAACGGTACGAGGTTCCTCCGGTTTCAAGGCTACACTTAGGAAAGGAATTACTGATTGTTTGGAACAGTTCGTGTCGCGGCAAAGGAACTTACTTCCTTGGTTATGGACGAAGACCGATTGCGGAGCGAGCGATCCGACCGGAAGTTGTGGAAGACTCGTGTGAGCGGCCTAGACGAATACCCTGGTTACGGCAACGAACCCACATCGCCCCGTCGAGCAGAGCGGCGCGAACGCCGGCGTCCCGCGAACGACGACGAGGATGCGGAATACCGCTTGGCGATCGAAGCCAGCAAGTACGAGGCCGAAGAAGAGCGGAAACGACGCGCCAAGGAGGCTTATGGGGTGGACGATGACGAAGACCTGGCTAAAGCGATCAAGCTCAGCAAGGAAGAAGAGGAGCTGCGTAAACGAGAGCTGGAAGAAAGCAACGCGCAGTCGCTCTTCGATGACACTCCCGTTCAGGCGGCCCCGGCACAGGCGACCGGTTACAACCAAGGGTACCAGCAGCAGGGTGCCGTGGACTGGTTCGGCAACCCGATCAACCCTCAGCAGCCCCTGTCCACCGGATACTTGAACAACCAATACGCGCAGCCCACCGGTTTCCAAAGCCAGAACACCGGAATGCCCAATGGATACGCCAACGGCTTCCAACAGCAGCAGCAGCAGCCCTCGGTCTTTGACCAAAACCCGTATGGTCAGTCTATGAACAATTATATGCAGCCCCAATCAACCCTTCAGCCGCAACAGACCGCCTTCAGCACCAACAACCCCTATGGCACCGACGTTTTCTCTCAGCAGCAGCAGCAGCAACAGCAACAGCCGCAACAGTTCCAGCAACAGGACAACTTCCTCTCGCCGGGCCACAACAACCCGTGGGCCAACCCGCAGCCGGCCGATGCTCTGAAACCGATGCAGACCGGATCTAACAACCCGTTCGCCGCTCGCACTCAATTCCAGACCCGACCTTCGACGTCGGGACCCCCATCGTTGAATACTCTGGCCGAGGAGCGTGTCACCAACCAGTTCGGCTCCCAAAACAACCAATTCAGCTCGGCCAACCCCATCGCCAACTTCCAGGCTCCTGCGGCCCCGGCCCCGCCGAGGAGCACTCCCCCCACGAATGACCCTCATCACAACCGCCTTAATGCGCTCCTCGCCACCGGAGAGGGCCAAGACACGTTCGGCAACGTCGGTGACCTGCGTATTCCGGCCCAGCATACGGCTCCGGGCACCTTTGTCAACTCTGCCGGACAAGGGTTGAATCGTCTCCAAGCCAACCCTACCGGCAGCAACCCGTTCTTCAGCCAGCAACAACAATTCGTACCACAACAAACTGGATTCGCGCAGCCTACCAACAACCCCTGGGGTGGTCAGCCGGCATATCACCAGCAGCAACCTCAGGCAGGTGGCAGTTTAATTGATCTGTAATTGGTATGAACGTGAGGTTGAAATCATTTTTACCGCGAGATGAGAGGTCGAAATCAATACCAACGCCGTCAAACTCTCTTAACGCTCTCTTTTTAGCACGCTTTTCTTCCCTACTCCGTCCCTCCTTCAGCTAATTTCCTTGCTCATCTTTCATATCCCTCGACCTGGTCATCCATGGGATGGATGCTCCATTGAACAACCAGGCATTATCCGACCTTTATTGAAATCATTGACATCTTTCCACCCTCATCAGACGAGGGGATTCCCCTATCTCCGGTCATGAACCCTTTGATTCCTTCCTGTTACTTCCTACCCTTTTCCCTTCCTAAACTTGATGATCTAATCAGAGGCCACAAAACGTCCACCTCCCTTTTGTGCTTTGTCTGAGTTCCTTTTTCTTATCTTCCGTTTGTGATGGGCTCGTTATACCTGACTGATTACCTACCATACCATGCTGTTTGTTTGTCTTTTCTTTACAATCTCCTTTCTTCGTATCCGTACATAAATTATATTTATATGATATCTATTATCAGACTTAAACGGATCTTGTGTATCGTGTATTTTGTTTCCTGTATCTCTGTCCTAGCTTGTTTCTAGCAATGTTTAGGCAGGAGGTCTAGAGCATTTGTATTTTATCTATCATCGTGTATTATTAGATCTTGATAAATCCGGTGTTGTTGATTATTGGTATAGAGTCTGCACTTGAGTGGGATCTATATGGTGCATATTGTAGGCATAACAAACAGTAAACAGTATATCTAAATAGTAGGTTTGTCTGAATCTGATTATATTTTGATCCATTGAGATTTTGCCAATAACCACCTGCCAGTTGTTACACTTCGGGTATGCTCGCCGCTGATCCTAACACTCTGGCAAGGGATCTCGACCTATGCTAGCTGTTCCATCTAGGTTCGTGATCCCCGTATGCTCTCTGCTTTCGGCATGTCACCTATCCATCCACATGGACTGTAGACCGTACTTATGTACCCCGTGCTTCCATCAGAGTATCGCTAACAAAGGTGCCTTTGACGTAGAAGTGGTATGTATGTCCGGTTACCCGTGCCATCGTGGAATGGGTCAGGTACGCTGGTGCTGAGCTTCTGATTCCATAGACTTTTTTGGGATCTCATCTTTGTCCTCTCTATTCGAGGGGGAGAGAGAGAGGAAACGTTCGGTTCAGTTGAGTTCGTATTATTCCAAAGAACTAGACTCAATTGATAGCGTTCAGCCTGCAAACGATGGCGTGGAGCATTGTATAGAGAAGTAGACAGACACAGGCGTGCACAGTTGATGATCGAGGTGAACAACATAACATCACATCATAGCCCGATAAGTATCGAATCGAATCATCCTCTTCAAGCGAAAAGCATATCATATACTGTATAGACCTAGACCTAGCGCACGTGTGGGTTCAGGGTAGTCAGTCCTCGGCTCGAGATAAAACCTCCCCCTCACATGATCCGCCAGGAACGGCGTCGGGTCTGATCCATTACACCGATGTAACTCGGCAATCGTGACGGCGAGTCTTTGGTCTTCCACGGGGCGTCGGAAGAAGATCCACCGATGGGTATCATCATCATCATCACCACCACTAGTAGTAGTAGTAGGAGCCCGTTTCGAAAGGCAACGCCGGAGAATGTAGACCGGGATCGGGAACATTTGCTCGGCTAGGTGCGCGGTGCTGTAGTCGTATCGGGTGTTGTTGATGTCGAGCACGATGTACGTGTGTCGTGGATAGACGTCTACAGCTAGGAAATGGGTTTTGGGGGCGTGGTTGTGTTCACTTTCCAATGTTTGGGTTAATGGTTTTATTAGGTCGGATGCGGCGTTCAAGATGTTATCCGGGGGTAAGGTATGGGTGGGGACGTCGACGACGATGCGGATTGTGTGTTTTTCTTTGATGGTGTGGAGGATTTGGGGAGTTATTTCGTCCATGGTGGTTGAAGAACTGTGGGAAGTTCACGATGTTGCGTTCTGGGAGCGGGATGGGTGTTGTCAGGGTGAAGTTTCATGGGTTGTTGTAGTTATGCATTTGTTGTATAGACGGTAGGTCACGGGCTGGGTTTCTAGGTGGGAGGATGAGTTACTATAAAGGATTGTTCCGGCGCCTTCCAACAATGCTGTCTAGAATTTGAAGGAGAACGGTAGAATTATGGCATATGTAGAACGGAACTATAACGAATTTTCCTACTATGATCATATTCAAAAGATACTGATTCCTTTATAAAGTGGATTATCACGAAGACTCCTAGCATTCGAGAAGCCCGAAGCCCACAAGTATAAACCAGGATCCTCGACAGCCATCATAGGACCTGTTTGTTGAAAATACTTACTTCAAGAACATACACCAGAATCCATCATTCATGCATTCATCCATATGATACATACAATCCCATTGGCTCATGAACCCAGAGAAATCCAATCCAATCCATCCAGCCCAAAAGCACTCCGGGAAAGCAAAGTTAACAACCGGCCAACATCAAATAAACTGTCAAACATGTACCTGAGCAGGTAGGTAGACATAAAAACAAAAACCAAATGATGCACCCGTCCGACCGGACCTATACCATACCTATGCCATACCAGACCAGACCAGACCAGACCAGACCATCCAATTCGCCGATCCATGAATATAGCTAGAAACAAAAACCTCCCCATGAAAAAACCACAAAGTTATAGGGATGAGGAGAGAAGGAAAACGTGACGATGATCAAAACAAAACAAGAGAACTACCCTCCCCGTTCACCAAACTGTCTAGCCCAGTCTTCATATTCTTTGAGACCCTCGCGGCTGACGCTGGGACGAATGGAAGACAGACTAGCTTGGAAATCCTGAGACCGGATGGGTCGGATTTGATCCATGGGCGTGTGGAGGAGGGCTTCGCCAAGGTTGCGGAGCGGTCCCATGGCGGCGTCTTTGGCGAGGGCAGTGATATCTGAGCCGGAGAAACCTGGTTGGTTGGTTAGCTACTAATACTAGGTGGCACAGACAGGGACTGGATGGTACCTTCTGTAGATTGAACTAAGGCTTCGATATCGGAGTCTGTCAGGTCGTGCACCTGATGGCCCAATAAGGTACGGAGTTGCTGTTCTCGCACGTCGTGCTCCGGCAGAGGAATGTATTGACGGCGGACAAAACGGCGACGCGCTGCCTCGTCTATGTCCCACGGCATGTTGGTGGCAGCGAGTACGAGCACTCGGCTGGCGTCGCCGCTGGACTTTTTATCTTTGCCGGGCTGTTCACGACCGGCCGCCGCGCGCTGCAGATCGGACCACTGGATCAGAAATTCGGTCTTGGATCGGCGCGAGGCCTCGTTCTCGGTGCCCGACGAGCGAGCAGACAACAGTGAATCGATCTCATCGACGAAGATGATTGATGGCGCCAGCGCCTTGGCCAATCCAAATAAGGCGCGCACAAGCTTCTCGCTCTCTCCGTGCCATTTGGAGGTCAACGTTGACGCCGACACGGAGAAGAAGGTCGAATGGGACTCTGTCGCCACTGCGCGGGCGAGCATTGTCTTGCCAGTGCCTGGAGGACCGAAAAGGAGCATCCCTCGCGCCGGTTCTCGTAGTCCGGAAAATAAATCCGGTCGGAGAAACGGGTAGACGACGGCCTCCTTGAGGGCCTTTTTGGCTCCATCTAAGCCGGCAATGTCGTCCCAGTGGACTTCGTCGCCGCGAACTACGATGTCGTTAAGAATCTGTTTAGCGGTCATCATCTCCACACCTTTCGGTAGCTTGTTCAGAATATCCGTAAAAGCGTCATCTTCATCCTCTTCTTCAGCGTCTTCCTCATCCATGTCGGTCGATTTCGGATCCGTAGAATCTGGGTCGCTGGAAGGCGGCGTGATAGCGCGTTTGGCAGGTAGCGGGCGCCGACTGGGGCTGCCTGTGGATATCGCCATGCGATCCACGCTTTGGCTTAGTGCCTCATTCCGTGACGTAGGAGCCCCTCGCGGTCGAGATGTAGACTTGGGCGGTGACTGCTCTACGGGTTCCGTTGCACCGGGGGACCTCCCAGGGCTCAGCGGAGGGAAATTCGACCTCAATGCCACCGGCTTCGGCTTGACCGAAGGCTTTGGCGATGATTGCGACGGGAAGGACGGGCTCCTCGAATCCACCGGGCGTGCGGCGGATTGGGTACGAGCAGTAGAACGCTGCTGGCTCTCGGCCGGGGAACGGTGCGTTGGCCGGGGTGTTGAGGTTGCGGACAGTTTCGCGGGCGACCGCCGGGCTGCTGCCTGATCCGGCGCGCGAGTTTTTCGTACAGCGCGACGCTCTTCTCCGAGTTCGCTCGCGCGACCGATCGACTTCGAAGGGCTTTCCTCCCCAGGCGTTGATCGAGGCGAATCCAAATCCTTCCGAGAAGCAGATTCTCCCGCAGCGCTGCGACGAGAAGATGCCGCGGCCGCCTCGCTGGCGGTCTTGTCCGGCGGAGGGGGCATATACAAGCTCCCCCATGCCAGACCCGCGGCTTGAGACGCTGCAGCCGGCCGCAAGTCCTTCCGTCGGGGACTCAATTTTTTCTTGGCGGGCTTCTTAACCTCGTTCGAGCGCAGCGTCGACGGCATCATCTTCCGTCGCTCGGGACTCGATGTCCGGGAAGAATCAGTCTTCCCTGAGGAAGAATACGACTTGCGCATGGCCGGAGGGTTAGGCCTAGGGCCGGGGAGATCGTTGCGACTCGATTCGGAGCTCGGGGTGGTCGCAGCAGGCAGAGGAGCAGGGCGACCGGGGATGGTGGGCGGTTTGGAGAGATCGGTATATCCGACCGCGGGGACGGTTCCCTCTCCAATCCAACCGGGCGTCGTGGACGGGGGCGACTTCCCCGAAGAATCTTTTCGGCTTTGGCGAAGGGCTTCGAGAAGGTCAACTCGCTCCCGACATTGGAGTTCCAGCTGGCGGATCGATTCCTGGAGGGCCTTTTCGGTCTCGTTCTTGGGGGAATACTTGGAGGGAACTCGATAAGCGTTGTGATAGTAGATCGTCTCGAGAGCGGATCGCCAAGACTTCAAGGCTTCTTGTTCGTTGTTCTGACCAAACGGGAGAAAGTCAATCAGTATGCAATACGAAGTCACTGGTGTAAAAGGAGGGGTATCGCGAACGAGAGGCGACCAACCTGTCCCTCGAAATAAACGGCGGTGGAGCACATCAGATAGCAATCGTCATAGGTCTTCTGCAGCGAAGACGCCGGCTTGGGGCGCATCATCGGATGTGCCCGCACGCCATGCAATTGGCGCGACGGGACAGTAGAGAGACGGGGATTGGGGAAGGCGTAGGCCTTGTGGAAGTAACGGAGTCCAATGGGATAAGAAGTCAAGCGCGGAGGGTAGAGTGAGGAGAGACGGGGAGCCGAGGGAGGCAGAGAGGAAGAGAGAGAGAAGAAAGAGTTGTGAGGGGGAACCGCAACTGTTCTTTTTTCCGTTTTTTTCGCCCTTCTGCCTTTCCCGTGACGTCGATGTCTTGGAGCCCCACGATGGCAAATGTCGATGCTACTGTACTTCTACGACTCCAATTCTCCTCGACTTCGCCTGGAACGTTGGTCCGGTGTATGTCAGTATTATAAAGTACTTCTTGGATATCATCCAGCCTGGCTGGTGCCTTATATCGTCCATCCCATCTATGAATACATGTTTCGCAATCCGACCTGTACCAGAAAAAGAGAACAAGACAAAAAAAGGAAATAAAATGAAAATGAAAATGAAAACACAAGGGGCATCTCTCACTCATATCAACCAGAATGAAAGTAGAAAAATAAAAAAAATCAAAGCCTCCAGAGATCCCCTGCGTTCCAAACGCCGGTACAATATAGCACGGAAACACATCGGGCCCTGCAGCACCGATCCAAGAATAGCTCACCCAGTATATCGGTTCGGTTCGGTCCACTATGCCAGAAACAATCCCAAATAAATGCACTCATCCAACAAAACATTTATACATATGGCCCAACGGGTCGACCAGAGAATGGGAGAAACATCCCCCTCCGAAAATCCTCCCTGTCCTCGCACCGACCTTTCCGACCTGCGAATGTCTCGGAGGTTTCGCGGTCGGTCAAAGACTGGGAGAATGAAAAGAATGAGCCACTATAGCACCCACGACCGTCTCGTTCAGCGTCGATGCGGCCCATACTTGCGTGTTCACATTCCGATGCTGCCCGTATGCATGCGATGTAAAGAGGGGGGATTTCAAGTATTTTTTAGTTGCCATTGTTGATTTTCTTAATTTTCGATCTTCTCCATTGTGTTGGGGGGTTTTTTACTTCTTTTTTCTTCAATTTTATGTTCGTCGGCGGAGAGCTTCAGCTAAGGCCAAAGAAGGGGAGTGCTAGAGATGTAGCGAGTTAGATTCATGCGATCGGGTCAGTTGGTGGAAGCAGCGGTTTAGTCCCCGCGGCCCTTGAAGTAGGCCTTGGCCATTTCGTAGGAAGTCCTATAATAGAGGTTAGATATTTTGATTTTGGTGGGGGGGAAAAAGCAGAATGGAGAAAACCTACCAGCAAATGGCCGTGCTGGGCATCGTAGAAATAATGCGGGGGCGAGCGCCACGTAGGAACCCACTCCAGCCAAACTGCCGCTTGATGATGGCAGCCGCGTTGAACAGACCCTTGGCCGACCGAATCTCCTCGTTCTGCGCCAGGCCTCGAGTTTGGAGAAGGGTCTTCACCACGTCCAGAGGCGTGGTCAGACCGGCGGCGAAAGCTCCCGCCAAACCACCGGCAATACAGTGGGTGAACGGGTCGTAATCCTGAGAGGGGTTCATGACTTTCGAGAGAGACTCGTATGCAACAAATTGGGTGGCGGTGAAAGGAACGGTCATGCACAGGGTGGTAGGATAAGACACATAGAACGCCTGGAGCCCCTCCGTCCGGTAGACGGTCTTAGCGCATTGGATAAGGGTCTTGTGCACAGATCCATGTACTTGCATCCGCTGCTTGATCACTGTGGTCGGTCAGGTTTTGTCCATGGTTTTCAGGCTTGATAGAATCGTCCATGTCGATAATTACGCACCGTCAAAGGGGTTCATCAATGCATCGCTGGCGATGGTCGCGGAGGCACCACTTAGAGCTAACCGAGGTCACGAATCAGCAATCCGTAAGGGGGGTATTAACCACAGGACCCAAAAAAGGAGCTCACTCACCTGCAGCCATCGGATGGTGCCCATCATCGACATTTCCACCCGCAAGATCCTTAACGACCTCGTATGTGCCAAAATACACGGCGTGGGCGGGACCTATCGGTAGAGGAGAAAAAATGCCATTAGCCTCTCCGACCATCACCACAGACCAGCCATTATAGTCACCACTCACCAGCGCCAACAATCACACTTGAAACGCCCTTCCATAATGTCCGCCAGCCTTCGATCCGGTAAATGGTAGAAACCGCATTCGTCAGCCCCGTGTAGAGGCCTCCGCTCGTAGGGTGCAGGATTTGCATGCGAGTCTGTCGCCGAGAAATTTCTAGTTAGCAACTAGCCCGAGGGCCGCGCAACAACCGACACCCAGAAGGACGGTCATTGAAGCGCAAGACACGTAGTCGGGACCAACGTACCTTCAACAGATCTACCGGGTACATCACAGCATGTTCCTTGGCTACCGGTCAGCATCACTCCCCATACCCATCCTGTGTTTCGCTAAGCATACCGCAATACCAGCGAACGCGCCAGCTAACATGTTCCGACCGAGGCCATAATTCGAAGGGAGGGCTTCATAACTATCAAGCAATCCAGGTTAGCATCCGATCGCAACAACATATGTTCGAAATGCCGTCGACACAGGTAAGATGAGAACGGCGCAATCGGTGATCAAGAGCGACCGAGAGAATGTCGCAGGAAGCAAACCCTCTTTGGCGAGAGAGAATGCGTCTAGGTAGAGGAATTGGCCGGGTGGAAAAAAAGTTGATCAGGCATAACAAAAGACAGGGAAGAGCCGCCACCTACTCGAATTCTTGCCCAGGAACTTGCTCGGGGGTCGCCATGAAGCTCGGATAGCTGGAGAAGCAGCCGGGGCTGCAATTAGGCGGATTATAAGAAGGGGGAGTAGAGGAGGAGAGAGGTATGGAGGGAAAGCTCGCAGCGTGCCGGAGAAGAAAACGGAAGTGCGGAGCGGAAAGCTGAAGGATGAGAGGTTAAACCGACTCCGAGGCAGTAGGTAGGCAAGAAAAAATAAAACAGGGTTGAAGTAGACAGCAGTAGATGAGACCCGTCTCAACCACAAAACCTCTTAGAAGAATAATTACAAATTGCCAAGGAGGATAGAGATAGGGAGAGGAGGAGGAGGAGGAGGAGGAAAGAAAAGAGGCGAGCTGGTCGGAGGCAGCGAGGAAAGAGAATGATAAAATAAAATAAAATCAAATAAAAGAACGATACGGAGGAGATGTTACGGTACCGTCACGGAGCGTATCAAATTACGGCTCGGATTTATCGTTTAATCGTGTTCTTTTCACTAGTTCCTCCTCGTCGGCCATCGGCGCTTTCGTTTTTATCTGATTCCTGCGGATCCTCAGGGTCACCGGTAGAATGAAAACTCTTTATCTGAGATATCATACACTTCGTAATGCAGAAGAAAGTAAAAAATAACAGAAGTAAAAGAATTCAATAGAAAAAGGTTCATTCCGTTCCTTAGTTATCGTCCCTGCTGAATCAGCGCTCTGAGGCTAGAACACGTCCGATGACGGAGTGTTCAGGATTGGAGTCAACCACGCCTGTTCACTGTGGTACGGAAAAATTATCATGGGCAACTCATTCTGACAGGTTCTCGAGGACAGACTGGATCCTCCTGTCATCCAGAAGAAGCGCCGAACCCCGGAGGTAACCTGAAAATCTACTCCTTCTAGAAACTAGTCCAGGCATCCCGCGGAGGACCCAAACTAGTTTCTTATCTGATCCTCGCTAACCCTAAAGCGAACTGCCGTGGACCTCCGAGGAACCGCTGCCAGTTCAGGAATGACAATCCGTGACTAACAGGTTCCTGCCTTCAATTTCCATCGAAGTTTAGGAGAACATTCGAAGCCTGCAGTGTCCTCCGTAGTTACAGAGTGCAGGATGCATGTCGATTGCAGATTGCAGAATTGTCTTCCCCCAGACATAAGAACTCTTTCACAACTGAATAATTACCCCTAAATTTGAGTTATATACTCCATACGCCACGGTGCAAAACCAGACTCCGATCTCCGTCAGCCAACACGGAAAAGTTCAGTCTCGCAAAGGACAGAAGACAGAAAATATGGTAATAATAACAACATAAGGAACCGAAGACCCAATAGATCGGAAATACGAGAAAAGAAAAAGCTCAGCTCGTATCATATCTGCTAAATGAATATCGCCCGGGAGACTAATTGTTACATTCAATGAAAAAATTACCATGCATTTAACATCTTTGGCATCCCTCGATCCCTAGCCGGCCAAGAAAAAAAAGAAAAAAAATCGGGGTGGGAGATGCGGAAATCATATGCTCTACTAAGTCGGTCATGCACGTCGTGAGATCCATCGGCCCTTCTGTGCCCCCTGGTCGCCCGAGCACCCTCGGCCCCGACGGTAGTAATAGGTCCGATCAGCGTCTATTTGTATACTTTACCACTCCACGTTAAATGTCCATTCCCCTACACAGACCACGGTTAATATCGGTTCCCATTTCAAGTGTCAGGTCGCACTTACCATTTTTGAGGTTCTCCGCAGTATCGCTCAACAAAATCACTCGCCGTTTGTTGCAATACGCCGTTTTGTCCAGAATATCTACCTTGAGGTTCGCCAGCTCCGGCACCGGCTTCTCAAACATTTCACTCAGGCTTTCCACGGCGAGCTCGAGGTCCTTCTGATTATCCTCAAAGATCTCGGTCAGGTTGTTTCGGGCCAGATAATAGGCAAAGGCATAGGTCCATTTCAGCGTCTGCCGGCATTGCTGAAGCGCCTGAGATGCGGTTTCCAAGAATTGCACCTCGATCCACGAGAGGCCTGACTGCGATTGCAGGCTGGTCATCTTCTTCTCCGTCTTAAGAAAAAGATCCTTATCAAGTTTGGCCGATTGCTCGTGGTTGGCATATCGGTTGTAGTAGTGCAGATACCTCTCCAGCGAGGCTCGCGACTTGGCCTGTTCGGTACGCGCCTCGGACCCGGACTTTTCCTCGTAACGGTTGCAGTTGTACCAGCTGGTACCATGCTCGGACCAGAGACCCATGCACATCCAGCAGAATTCGTGCCTGCATTTCCGGCAGGTCATATGATTACATCCTCCGTTCTTCTCAATCGTCGAGTGGCATCGGGGGCATTCCTTCGTGTTGGCCGAGATCCAGTTGGCCGTCTCCGAGTCATCCTCACACTTCTGCAGCCACATTTTCACTAAGCAGCACGGCGACGGTTGGTGGTCATTTAATGTGCAGCCGAAACAGAAATAGTGCTTGCAGAAACACTGAACCGTAGGGACGATCCGACGCAAATCACGTTGCTTGACGGGGCAGTCAACGGCGTACTCGCAATTCGGGGCTGGGCACCACTTCAGATTGTCCTTGTCGTCCACGTAGGTTCGGATCAACAAGGTTTGATACCTTTTGAGTCCCGCGTCAGCAATCATTGCCACCTAGAGGGGTAGGGTCGTGCTCAAAAACGGAATTCCTTACCTTTCCTTGAGATCGTCCGTGACGAGAAGGCTTAGGGTTTTCGAGTCCACAATCATATGACAAGTATCGCCGGGGCACTCTATCCTGGCCGCCTCCCCTTCCTCACGTATCTTCTGTCCAAGATAATGTCGATAGCAGTCAACACAGAATCGATGCCCACAGCGCATCGCATACGTCTCGAGATCGTCGCCGTCCTCGCAGCAGATATCACACATGAAATTTGGCACAACTTCGGTTTTTGGCGTCGCTTGGAAATACGTCCCTAGGCCAGCCTCCTCTAACGTCTCCTCCGAGCGATCCATATACGACTCGATCAATTTTTCTCGATTCCACCGACCATATCGTAGAAGGATGGCCGCCGACTCCGGCGGCAACCCCAGAATCGTTGACACCTCGTTGATCTGCTGACTTTGTTCCCGCTCAATATCCTCCGGACTCAAGACTTTGAACTCGACCTCGTATGGCTTTCGAGACGTTGCGATGATATCTTTGTCTTTGGAGAATCCCCCGTCGAAATCATCGCCGAAGTCTAGCAACCGAGAAGCGGGAAAGTTAGTTTATCGGCGGAGTGAGGTTGTAAACTCAAAATTACGCACCTTCGCCTAAACTGTCATCATCACTGCCTTGGGTCCCCAGGAAGTCCTCGGCACTCGAGGCGACGCTCATAAAATCATCGTCCGACTCCATGCTGGTCGAAGCCGGAGTAACCAGATTAAGCTCCTTCTTCCGGTCGGAAACCGAAAATCCCCCTGAAGTTCCCGAGTCTGAATCTGTACCGAGTTCCTGATCGACGAGTTTGGTCTTCTTGTGAGGTGCGTGGTCTGAGGTAGGACTGGTGGCGGTTCGCGAACGGACGAGGGGAGCCTTGGTGGCGAGTGAGGTGAGGTCTTTTGCTGGAAGCTCCGCGTCCGCCGCCTTTCTCTTTCTCTTTAAAGGAGGCGTGGTGAAAGAGAAATCTTTATGGCAAGCCGGTATGTGCTGACACGAAAAAAAAGTAGGTCTCCGATGTCGAGACCCTCTTCTTTTTCGCGAACCAACACAAAGCACAGCTTACCAATAAGAAGATTCCCAAGGGATGGGGGGGGAGGGTGGCGGGGACAGTGCAGCACTAGTCCTCAGCCGATCAATGGGTATTAGGGGGTCGGAAAGGGAAAAAGAGGAGCAGGTGAGGTAGGTTGATTAGCTTGTTGGAGGATGGAGGAGGGAAGGAAGAGAAGAGGAGGTGGAGGGAGAGAGAGGGGGCTTGGAGTTGGATGACTGGTTGCGATGAAAGGGTGACTAAAGCGAAGGCTGAATGGCTTTGGGACGTCACGGGGGGAAAGGAGGTGGGGAGTCAATAATCAAGAGATTCCCGAGGACCTTTTTATATTGGGGGGTTTTGGACCAGTCAACATTCACTTTTTCTTTAGCAGATTAATTCACGGCGAGGCCGACTGACAAGGCTGCGATTATTGCTGCCTCCCCTCTACACATCACCTCTCCACCAGCCCTCTAGCCTCTGTTCATTTCCCTCTTTTTAATCTATCATTACACCGAGTATACTTTATGGGTCGTTTCTAAAACAAAATCTTGTGAAGAAACCCAGAACCATGGGCGGGAGCGACCGTTGGATGACAAAGAATGATGATGTCAGATCTTGAAGTGGTCAACAGCTCTATACTCACAATGTATGGTTCTGTATAGTCAAAACAATCTCTACACTGCAGCCTCATCGAATCCTCTCGCTTGGTGAGCCATAAAGGCCAAGTTTTATTTTCACTCCAAGCGTTTCGGCAGGAACGGCAAATTGGATCTATCACACCATTTCGACCCCTAGCCTACCTATCTATTCCCTGCTCCGAGTTTCGGATCCATCGTCGAATCGGTCGTCGTCCTGAGATGAGCTCTCCGCCTGGAGGAACTAATGATCACCCTCCTATGGGTGTGATCCACCTTTTTTTATCTCCATCGGAACCGCTTTGTATCAGCTGCATCTAAATGCGATTCAATGTAGATCCCAAGTGGTATGATATGGTCATCGCCTCGATTGCACTGCCAAGCTCATCCTTCGCGCCGATCGAGAGTGCGGCGTACACAACCTCGACCCCTTGTCTGAAGGGTTTTTTGGAACTCCCACGTCATGAAAGGCGAGAACAGCAAATGGACTATCAATCTTTTTGTATTGGCATAATATATCCTCCCGGCGAAACGCAATGTCTTCTAAAGATGTGTTGATTCTACAAGCCAGCCACTCTTTTTACGATAAGGTATACCTGCTCAGAGCTGGTTTAGAACGACCCCTTCTGCTCGCTTATTCAAGGCCTTCCACTGTGTCATTGTCCATACCCGATACAGCAACGCTTTCTCGCTGATCCGGGACATGCCTCCGTACGAAATAGTTTCCAATGGTTTAAGCGGGTGGGACTTGAAAAGAGAGGAAAGGCTCATACAAGGAAGTGCCTCATCCTGGCCTCCGACGCCCTGGAACTCAAATAACACAGGCTATTCAGACTCATAGTACAGTACTTTACTCACAAGTCTCAGCGTGCACCGCCCTTCGGTGAGCACCGGGCTGCCTCCTCACTCCAGGCTTCGATCTCGCTCAACGTCCGTTGAATATCGGCCTAGATCAAGGGACTGGTTTCGGCACCCATGAGCAACCGCGTTGGCAGGGGCTTCTCAATCTGCCCAGTCACCGCGTCAAACAACAACTGAGCACATACATCCGGGTCACTCCATGTATCCTGGGAAGCCGGATTAGTGATATACTCCCTTAACTGGCTAAATTGGCTGGTGGGAGACTCATATGCTGGATGTCGAAAAGCAAGCTTGAGGCCTGAACCTGCAAAATTCGTGCGCACACCTCCCGGTGCAACGATCAAGAACTTGATGTTCCATTCGGGATTCATCTCCTTCGCAACCGACTCGGTATACCCTTCAAGGGCAAATTTACTGCCGACAATGTCAGTCTATTTGATCTTTCGGTGAATGCACAGATGCAGGCGTACCTCACGCGCTTATAGAAGAGATTCGAATGATCGTTCCTCCCTGACCGCGAGGATTCACTTCGCGAAATACCCTCATTGCCTCCTGCGTGGTATGCACAGGTCCCCAGAAGTTGGTTTCGAGCTGATGTCGAGCGTCTGCCTCTTCGATAGCCTCAGTGTCGCCCATTAGACCGTACCCAGCATTGTTGATAACCACGTCAATACCACAGAAGTAATTCATGGTCTGCGTAAGGGATCGAACAATTTCCTCTGCGGAAGTAACGTCCAGGCTGAGTTTGAGCACCGTCGGCCCATCAGGCAAGTATGAAAGCGCTGCAATGTTGCGAGCCATCGCTATAACACGGTGCCCGGCACTATAAATCCTCTTTGCAGATGCCTTTCCAAGGCCGGAGGAGCAGCTGGTAACTATCTGTGTTAGATTATAGTATTTGCCATGATTATGGGTTGCTTCTTTACTCACTAAACCAACCGGTCCGAGAATCAAGGTACGTGGGAGGAACGGGCATTTCGGCGCTGGAAATTTAGTCGATCCTGCAAGATGGGGGGGGTTTCAAGACAAGAATCATCGGATGAGTCCATGCCTGCTTATATACCATTTCACACTCATGTGCCATTTGCTTATTATCCCCTAATGTCAAGATAAATATATCACCTTGAAGGCATCCCAATCCAAGGGCACAGCCTGTTTAAGCCCAATTCGGCATGTGCACTAAATTAGACGCATCGCATAGCGTGTTGGTGACCCACGAGGCCCACGGCGATCCACTTCGATCGACTGATCTGTATCTGTCCTCTGAGAGCTTCAATTCGATGTTGAACACAATTTATTTCTTACCAGCCATCATCATCCCGGTAGAATACCTCTTCGTGAAACTGACATAATAAGACACCCACTTTTACTGCTATGCCATGGACGAGAACGAGGCCAGAGACTCACCCTTCGTCGTCATCACGGGAAATCCCCAACGAGGGAAGGGCGAGCGAATAAGCCGAGTGCGTTCGCACATCACAAAACGACGCCATCAACAAGATAGCCGTCGACAGACACGAATATGACAGCCCTTGACATGGATGAGTCCTCATTACGAGATTGATTGTCCGCCGGTGCCTTCCATGCTATCTCTAGCGCACATCGGTCATCAGCGAATGCAGCGCTGTGGGTCTATCGAAGATCGGACAACTGCAAACGAACCATATCGTTAACAATAGCCTTACGAGTTCTGGATCAATACTTGTACTACAGCCGCGATGTTCATCCTTCTTTTCGCATCGTGATCCTTGCTGCAGTTTCTTGTGCGCCGTTCATGAGTGCTAAGATCCTTACAGCATCAACATGGGACGACCTCAATAATACAGGAGAGATCAGCGATTTGACTCTAGGCCAGGTCGTTATCACCTGGAGGTTGATAAATGGGTCGTTAGGCAATTGCCAAGAAGCCAGCAGCGATGCCATTATCGCTGCTTTGGTTTCAATCCTGATGTTTTGATGTGTGTAGAAACCTCCTCCACTCGGACATGGAACACTAACGTCGTGCTCCAGCTAGTCAATGAGGATTACAATTCCTTTTCCCAGCATAAACAGGTCGTATATGAGCTGATTCGCATGCGCGGAGGCATGTATGCCTTGGGGTTCGAAGGACATCTAGCGAAAAGCATGCCGCTGTATGTATGCAATTGCGTAAACTTTCCGTACCTTTCTAACATTCTTCAGAATCGAACAATTGCAGAAGGTTTTAAAGATTGACACGTCTATATATCACAATTCCTAGTCCAGTGGTATCTTTCCCATCATTAACCAGCCTCTGGACCTAGGGATCTTCACCTTTGGTCGAAATCACAGCACTTCTCCGGAACCAACCACCCCTTTGCTGGCCATGATTCTAGGCCATTTCTCCCGAATGTTGTTTATTTCAAAGAATGCGCTAGTCATTCATCTCCAGCTGGATTCCGAAGATGTTGTATCGCCCAGCACATGGCAGTCTGTTGCGAGTTGGTTGCGATCAGACCGTCCATTGCGAACAGTGATGATACAAAGGCAGAGGCCATACTCCATGCGGCCCTTCTCTTCAGCTGGTCGAGGTCTGTATCCTACAATCCCAATTCAATGGATTGGTTTGAAAGCCTGGTCGCTTTGCGAACAAGTCTCCGACACCCAGATCATGATCGACCTTGGGCTCACCTGCCAGGAGCCCTCATCTGGTGCCTGGTTGTCGGGGCGAGACTCGCCCTGGCAGGGTCTATCAGGAAATGGTTCATGATGCAGCTGGTTCGAGTCACGTCTTGTATAGCCCTTGTGATGAAGTTCTGCAGAGCCTGATACTAATTGTTGGGGGCTTGAATGCAGCAGAGATGCTGGCTGACTTGACGGCACTTGATGAACCGACATGACTTATCCAGCCCTAGGATCTGGGGACAAGGGATGATACTTTCAAACAATCCAGTGCAATCAACTCAATGATCCCATGAAAACACACGAAGTGTCTAATTCTACAGCCTTGCGATGACTGTAACTAATCAATGTTGCTTCTTGCATGCATCTACTGGCGCCTCCACACTTTGTCGACCTACCACCCAACACTTTCCATCCAGGCCTACAGCAACACCATGCCCCCTATCCACCTCTCGTAAAGATGCAACCCTAGCTCTGGACTTCTTATGCCTCGTCTGCGATCAGCAGCCAATCCCGATTCCCATCCTTATCCACAGAGTAAGGCAACGCTTCTTGGACCTACAGGTCTACGCTGCCGGATCATGACCTTCGCGACCATTCACGTGGCATCAAACGCCAATTGGACGCAAAATGATGCCGTCGATGGCACAATCATTTCCGTCCGTGCCAGTCCAGTGCTCGTCTCCTCGGATCTGCCAGCTATTGGAGACTTTCCGTTTGAAGTTGATCCATAGTATGCAGGGAGGTCTGTCATACAGGCTGCCGAGGCAAGCAATGGGAATCTTGAAGGAGACTCGAGAGTACGCAGGGGTTATATATGCAGCGGCGGCTGCTATAGAAGGAGCATTCTAAGGTGATTCGTACTGTGAGGGCGTTGATGGCAACGAGGTGTTGCTGGGAACGCTGAAATGGAGGCTGTATAACAAAACACATCCGGGAAAGGGTGCTAGGCCGACTTCTTGGCTTCGTCATTCCTAGAACCAGGAGGCAAAAAGGAAAATGATCAATCGAGTGTCGGACTGAAAGAGAATCGGCCAAAAATATAACCAAAAAGCAATGACAAGAGTGGGATTCGAACCCACGCCCCTTTCGAGACTAGGAATATTCGTATGAATATGGGAGGTCAGATACCTGACCCTAGCGCCTTAGACCGCTCGGCCATCTTGCCCTGATTGGTGAAAGAAGCTTTTTATTTTGGCTACACAACCAGACACAGAATATTGAACACTGTCAACTACATCGTAAGTACCACTCATGACGGATGGCGTGAGTCCTGAAATGCTACCAGCACAAAACCTCCGCTGCGTCACTCAAGGAGGTTGAGATCTCGAGGGTAGCAGGGGCTTGTTGTATCCCACCGATATTGCAGCTGGGTTGCAATGATCGTTGGAACCTTCGGCTTCGGTGTTTCTTGTCTCTATATATACTTCGAGCCACAGTATTCACGGAATCTAGTGTTGTGTCCAAATCATCAATCACAACGCCACGCCTCGAAGAATATCAAGACGTAGCAAGCAAGCGATCGGGAGATTCCTGATTCGAGAAACACACCTCCCAGGTAAATAGATGGGTGACGGTAATGTGCAACGGTATGCTGATACTATATTAAAAAGGATTGACTCTTTTTAGTGAAGGGCTATTCTAGTATATATTCCCGCGCCAATATCTTAGTAGTATTCCCTACCTTGGAATATCAACGCCGAATATCATCAGACGAGAGCGTCATCATTTATGTCTTATCGTACTCGGCAGCAAGGCCTAGTATAACATGGCACATGTAAAGATGCCCTTGTGGTTAGAGACTACTCACCACCGAAGCACACAGTTCCTAGCAATGCCCAGGATACGTACCTTATCGCGCATATAGTACGTTATGTTGAACCGAGGAATACCTTCTAGTGTCTCTGAATTTTCTTCTCGGTTGTAATCACACCACAATAACTAGGTAGCACATGATTAATCACATTAACTGCTCCCCCGAGATACATCGTGATCTTCTCGATATCTACAAGAAAGACTGGTGGATCTCCTGGACTCCTCATCGCACGCATAACACAGGGGCAAGGGGCGGATGGCCTGGGCGGAGTATACATGGAAAAGAATGGCCGGCACCCTCCTATGCCCTACTTCCTGGTATATGTTGACAGCGGCACGGAGGAACACTTGGTCAATCTTGTCTGAAGAGAGATGGCTGGGAGCCAGTCAGGGCAGCACGAGCCTTGTGAAGTTATAGATATACCTCCCACCGTGAAAACGTTACCACTTAAACCACCGGCCAACGATGTGGACATGTTCCATGTAGCCTTCAGACCACTGTACCTTAGCAGCGGGGTCGTTCCATGGTTGGTGATTTATAACTATAACCACTTCGGCAGGCTATCCCTGGTACCCTGCGTAATATATGTTCTAAGGGTAGCTGCTTACTTCGTACCTCATGACCTCAAAAGTATTATACTAGAGACGTGTCAAGCTTATGTTTCTTTCCTCTCGTAGGGAGAATGAAGGATTTAGGGCAAACAAAAACAGGACAAAAGAAGTGCCGCATTCTCGGCAGAGACAACAAACCTTATTGTGAAGTTGCCGTTTGACGGCATCCAACGGCGCATCAACATCAACAACCAATTAGGATCTACAAAAACGTAAAAAGTAGAGGCCCATTCCGTGGATCGAACACGGGACCTCGGCCAATTTGAAGCTATTTGCTTGGGCTTACGTAAACCCGAAGGCCGAATCATACCACTAGACCAAATGGGCGTCTGATGATGACACGCATCCAAATAAGTATCGTGGTCCTGAACTTGTTCTACCACTTCCTTTCCATGACAGCAATTCTCCGGTTCATGGGGTTGCCGTCTTTGAAACTTCGGTAATAAATTTAACACCAAGGTAGTTCGTAAGTGTTTCTTGGACCGGTGTTTCTGACATTCTACCAGTATAGGTCTCCATTGTCCAGCACACGACGAATTAGTAACTACCTGTAAGAGAGGTGACGCCCTTTTAGGGTCCGGGACTGTCTGTTTGTTCTTGCCTATAAAAAAGCCAAAGGCGTACGTTATCCCCCCACACACCCAAAAAAGGTAACATTTTCTCAGAACACGATTCTCCTGATATAGAATGATAGTAATCTATATTGTGATACTGTGTAGAGAATGTCGCTTTCCGTGCGTATAATCCCGGTCAAATCCGGGTTTGGGCCGCATCTTTTTCTTATTCTTATTGGCAGATGCATATAACCCGGACAAGGATGCGAGAGAGAGGTAGTTATTAAATATTCCCCCAGAGGTACCTTTCAAAGTGTGAAGGTGGACAGACTGCTTCCCGTATCAGGTGTTGTACCGATCCAGGATGTGCCATGTAGGGTAGTTAGTTACACCTTAGAATACAGCCTCTGCTGAGTCCGCGCGGGGAGAGATGTATAGAGAGTAGGCAAGTCATGTGGGGAGTAAGAAATGGTAGATACGTCTATGGTTCAACTTTTGAATTGTAGAGATGTTAATACACCCAATTATGTTGACATGCTATTAAAATCGGCATGGGTTGTTCATCCCATATATAAGGTGGATCTAGGTAAGCTGAGCTAGATGATATTTTTCTACCCTTAAGCTTCCTCGGCCTCGGCATCATCTGTATAGTACTAGACACACGGGTGCAGCTCAATTGCAGAACTAGTTAGAATGCAAATGAAGTTGAGAAGTAAGAAACAGACAAACAGATGCCACGATTCAGATACTACGTAAATGGGGGCGGGGGTTGCGGAATCATTAAAGTAACAGCAATAGCATCAATTTAGTCGAGCCCCATCGACGAGCAGGCTCAGAAAAAGATCACCAACTTTATCCTCATCAACGCTACCACCATCTTAATACCCTAGTACTGCATCCAGGAACCGCACGACAAAAACCGGCACTGCCTGACAATCAAACATTAAATTTACTAGAACCTGATAAACCTGGAACCGATGAATCCATCCAACCCATCAATCCAAAGCGGCAATACGGAAATCCGGCCTCGGGGCGGAAAGAAAGGTCGTCCTAACTAGACATTTCGCTTCGACGTGCCCTACGGGATCACCCGTTACAGGCTTCAGTAGTGGCTATTATGGGGTCGCGTCTGGGTCCTAGTCAGGAACTATGGAACTCTACTTGACGGCCTGTACGACGGGCCCTCTTTGTCGGATTTTTTTTTATGGGATGCCAAGAGGAGCGGAAAGAATTGGGAAATAATAATCATAGAGCAATAGTTAATAAATAAATAATTAAATAAATAATAAAAACCGAGAAAATCAGAAGGAAGAAGACGGCACCGGCGAGCTCGGAGATTGGCCCGCGTGCCGGACTTCCGACGCTTACTGAGAACGGTAGTATTCTGCTCTCATTCATCGGAAGTGAGATGAGGGCTTTGGGCTTTTTTCATCCGGGTTCCGCTGGAGGAGGATTTACAAGGGTTCTCGGGTGGTCTAACTAGGTAGTCTTTGTGAGGAAATTGTGCGGGTTTTAATTATGTACATAGCATGATTGCACATTTGCATGTACAGTACACAGTAATATTCATATTAGGTTAAGACAAAGGCCTGGCCATAAGGTGGCAGGTATGTACACGTGGGAGCGTGTAAGTCGAACTATGACATCAGACCAAGTCAAAGTCAAAAGAATTGAGGCTCAGAAACTCTGTACTCCATAAGTAATAGGCTTCTATCAAGCTGCCTTGCTTACGATTACTTGTACTAAAGGTCCACTTGGACGGACGAGCAGGCAGGCCATGTTTGTTATTTACCAGATCCGGAATTCAAAACGTGGTGATGGAAGGAAGAAAATAGACAATTTAACAGCCTGGAAGACTAAAACGAAAAGAGACCCCGAGGCTCCGAGCCCGAAGGATAGATCGATCGAATGATTGGCCTTGCAACCCGTGCGTCGGCGTTGGATCCACAGGGAGGAGAGAGTAAACCGGTACTTTATATCCGGCTTCCTTGCCCAAACAACTCTAGAATATACGATTGATTATCAATCATCTGTCAGACGATCTGGGCTACAGGACGCCGACTCAGACATCCAGTAACTTCCCGACAGAAAGTAATTGATCCGCAGGTGGAAACTGTGGAATCATTGTCCCAGCCATAATCGTGTATGGGTTAATATTGGGGAAGATAAATTGATAATTGAGCACGAAATGGGTGATTGAGAAAAGGGTGGGGCGTTCCAAGCCCTAAGGCCGCAGAGCACGGATGTTTAGTGTAGCGGCGCTGTTCGTGTGTTCTTTACCTGGACTTCGATGTTGGGTCGGTTACATGTATGCCGGAGCGAGCCTCACCGGGAGTGCTTGTACAAGGTACATCGGTGCCAAGTGTCCATGTCAGAAACACAAGGCGCATATACGGGTGTATACGATCGCGATGAGGCCATCACCGTCACTGCGTTGGAAGCCTGGACATGCCGAGACTCAGATGAGTCGCATACACCTAAGTGAAGGCCCAGTGAGGATCGAGATTATACGCACAATAGTGCATCAGAATGCGAAAGAGTGAGTCATACGACCCGCGATGACAGACAAAGGGAGAAAGCGAGAGAAAAAAAAAAGGTTGACCAAAATCGGAAATGCCAAAATCGAAGCCAGTGACTCGGGCGTAGTTCCATGGCAGGAAGTGCGTGTCCATAAACCAGGACAGGCTGATCTCCAGGCGTTAATGTCGGCCTGGGAGTTCATACGGAAGCCCGCGGATGCAAGTGATGGATTCCTCGAGCCGTTCTTTGCCAGTCACTCATGCCAAGCCAGGATCGTCGGTTGGGTTGTCAGATGAGAATCAGAATTTGGCAGACCGCGGCATGCCCCCTCTCTTTTTCGCGCTCTCGCCAACAGACCATGTAGGTACTGAAAAAGTGAGCGTAATTAAAATCGATGGGTGAATTGCAAGCCACTCTGTGCATCCATGTCAACGTGCAAGGCCCGCTCGGTGGAGTTTGCTTCCGAGGGCTGATGTGATGGCACTTGGGGACCAGCCCTGTCTTTAATTCCATGCACTAACCCTTGTTGTAGTCACACACGGCTTTTATCTTCAGGGCCGTCAAACACAATGAAGAATTGCTCTCTTTTAACACTATACTCCCTGAAAATGGTTCCCAGAATGGTACCTACCGAACCTAATCAGCGCAAGGAATGTATCTGTACATACAGTACTGGGTAGCAGGGATATCTATCCTCGACCATTTGCTCTACGGAGGTGGTTGGTATGTGTTTGCGACACGGCGAGGATTTGCAGTAGAACTGTCACCCTACATACCGGGGATCAGCCCATAAAGCTTCAACTACTCCGTGTAGACCCAAAACTGGGAGCATCCCGTCTGCAGGCAGGAAGACAAGGGGGATGTGAGGGGCAGGATTCAAATTAGAACGACGATTGATCTTCATGCCAAATGAGGGGTTGGTTACCTTGCGAGTTTCAATTCGCGTTGTTTACCATCTTGGTGATATTCAGATTCGGCCGACCATCCTCGCAATGGCAGATGTCGATAAAAATGTCCCCTCCCATGGACAGTGTTCAACGCTTCAAGCGCATCTGGTTCGGGCGCGTGAGGTATATCCTTGCCGTATAGGTACACTGCGGGAGCCCGTGTTTACTCCGGATCATCCTGCGCATTCTGGCATCCCCATGCTTCTCTCCACGTCTCGCACAACCCTACTCCGTATGCAAGGATGCAAGACCTTCTGTCAATCATCATAAAACCCCCGTCGTCGTGTCTGTCGCTTGCCAGTGTCGTATTACTAAGGGAGAATGCCTGGGTAAGTCGGCGTACTTCTCAGGTCTCACCGCACTCTACCAATGAAGGGAGCGAGAGAAGATCGACAGGACTCAGGTCGTTAGTTCCGGGTAAGAAAACTAAATGGTGACCGCTCAGAGCGATAGAATGCAAGGATTTGGGAGGAGTCTGGACAAATCAGAGTCCCTCGTTATGCAGGAATGTGCACTAGGGAAGGATGCACCTCCATGATCAACTGATGTTTTTTCTCGGACATGGGAACCGGCAGAGACGGAGTGTCAAAGTAGGTGGGTGGAGGGTAACAATCATGATCATATGGTACTATGCCACGGAGTTCTTCTTGCTTGTTCGGTGGGGTCAAGTATCACTTACCTACTAAGTACCTACCTGAGTCTGAAGATTGTATCTCTCCTGTTCAGCGTTGGCGTTTATCCTTTCCTAGCAGGATATTAAAGTTATATGCTGGTTGCAGAGGAGATAATTTCCCTTCCTCCTGACTTGTGTGTTTGGGTGACCAACACACTATCCCAGACGCCGAGAAAGGAGGGTAAAGATCGCAGGGTCGGCCAGCTCTAGGCCCGGACGCTAAAGCTGCGGTACCTTGGAATGAGGTCATCGTCCACGGCACGCTCAGCCCGTCGTGACTTGGTCAGGAAGTCACTTGCCGGAGCCTCCGAACATCCGAGAAGGAGGAAATTAAAATTTGCAATTAGGAAATCGAACATTGGCCAAGCCCGAAAAAAATGACTCTATTTGAGGAGTTTTGTCAGATTCCAGTGCATTCTTTCTATGCACGCGGTAATGATGTAACCATTAAGTTACGGGGTCGGAGTACTGTGTACGAGAGTCGGTTTTTACTTCGGTGCGCATTGGATTTGTTGGATGTGCACACAAGAGAAAGGAATTTCTAGGTGCAGACTATGTGAAGAGTGATATCATGACAAGTCTTTAGTTGGAATTAGATTTGAGGTAGTATTCATCAGGTATTCGAGTGGGAGTAGAGGGCAGAGGCATAAGGTTCCAGACTTAACAGTAGTTTACCAACGGATTACACCACCCATTTCCAAACTAATGACCAAGTCATCATGACGAAGAATTCCAACCCATGGCTTAGAAATCCATGACCGTTGAGATCCTCGAGAATAATACTTCCTAGAAGGTCATATCCTGATTACTACGAATGATTATGGGTGCCTATAACTGCGACGTATCAAAGGGAAAAGAACAAGAACCGGAAAAAGCAAAGACACAAGAAAATAATCGACTTGCCTAGTAGGTCAGAGTCCGAAGGTGGAGACGTTCGGCACACGGAGCTTTGGGGAGCTGTACGGACTTGGCAGTCTTTTCATTTTTATTATTATTATTATTTTTTTTTGTTTCCACGGCCCTCTCGGCGTCATTGCAGCCTATCCCCGCTGGCTCCGAACAAGAGCTCCAGCAAGACAACCAAATCGACGATGATTAAAAAGGTCCAGCGCGACCCGGTCGCCGCTGTGCCTTGTTATTTCCTGTTCCCTCTTTCCTCTCTCTTCCGATATCCGGTTCCCATCAGCTGGCTGGATGCCATAAATCCTCCACTCTCGCCCTCTGCCTCACTCCTTCCCTATACTTCAGCCCTACCGACCCGCCTGGCTGATTTTCTCTACTCCCCTTCCACCCCCCCAAACAGCTGCGCGCATTGTTCGCTTCACATAATCCCTGGTCCACAGGGCAGTTTATTACTTCGGTCGCATCTGGAATCCATACAACTAGCTCCCACTGTATTCAAAAACCGAAACTCGGGAGAAATCCACCGGAACAATAGCTTGAGTTAATTCGGGCTCCGACTTGTACACCAACATTCGCTCGAAATTTACTAGTATTAATCTTTTTTATTGTCGCTTTTTCTTACACGTCGAAAATTAATAGACCACATTTACCCATGTGGCGAACAACTTCTCATGCCGCGATTGCGGCGGCGTTCTTGTTCTCTGTCGCAAGCGCAATCCCTCACGGAGATGACGGCTCGATGGACATGGACATGGACATGGGCATGCATATGAATAGCACGAAGCCCGAACATCCGGCGGAGACAAGTGATGACTCTCCGATGAGCTATTTCGCTTATGGGAAGCACTCCAGTACAATAATCGCTCACATCGCGCTTATGACCATTTCCTGGTGCTTTCTATTGCCCGTTGGTAAGTCTCTCAACCGGGCTTGCTTGTTTCACGCAAATACTAGACCACAGACACTGACAATGCCATCGCAGCTGTCATGCTTAGTATCGCCCGATCACGGTACGCGCTTGTTTCGCAATTCTTCTTTTTGGTGTTGAATGCGCTGGGTCTGCTCGTCGGTATCATTTACAACAGCCAAACTCCGGACTTCTACGAGAACAATGCGCACCACAAGATTGGATGGATCGCGACTTGGGTCATGAGTGCGCAAGTAATCATGTCCTTGATCTTTGCATACGCAGGAAGAGGCGAGTCGGATTCGACTTCGTATGAACGCGCCGCCTTCCTGCCCGTGTCTACCGACGAGATGGCCGAAAGCCCGACCACCTATCCCACTGGCATCCACCACGGGTATCGCTGGTCTAGAGATAGTGGCCAGGGAACCGAGCGAAACTCTTCCTCCTTGCACAGCCGCCCGAGCTCTCCGTCTTGCGCGTCTCCCTCGGATGAGTACGACACCTTCGACAAACCGGAACCGGAACTTGACGTTCACGAGAAGCCTGGCCCGGCGCGGGGATGGCTGCGCAGCACTTTTGTCGACCGCTTCTTGGCTAATCGCGTGCCGGGAATGGTTTCTAGCCGGGTTCTTCGAGTGCTGAATGGCATTTACCTAGTTGTCGACAGACTTATTCTTCAGTTTGGTTTCGTTGCCATTGCCACCGGTGCCGTGACCTACGGGGGTATCATGGTTAGTATTCTCAGATCAGTCGCATCCCCTACATCATTTTCTAACTTCTGAAACTCTAGAGAGGAAGCGAAGTCTTCAATGGCCTTGCTCATTTTATCAAAGGAGGTATCTTCTTCTGGTATGGTTTGTTGACTCTCGGCCGATTCATGGGCAGCTATGCCGACCTCGGTTGGGCCTGGAACGTCAAGCCGTCAAGCGGAATTGTGAGCAAGTGGAAAGCCAGAATCCCCTCTGGGGAGTTTACCGAGTCGTTCGTGATTTGGCTTTATGGTGTCACCAATGTGTTCCTCGAACATCTTGCTGGCTGGGGAGGCGCATGGTCCGCTACTGATCTCGAGCACGTCTCAATCTCCATCCTATTCTTCGGAGGCGGGCTGTGCGGTATGCTTTTCGAATCTAAGCGCGTGAAAGACCTGCTCAACTGTACCGTCTTGCGACCTGCCTCCCAGGCCACTACTCGCACTCCCGATGCTGCCTGGAATCTTCCCGACACCCAAAGCGTGCCCCTCAACCCGATGCCCGCTCTTGTGATCCTTCTCCTGGGAAGCATGATGGGCTCCCACCATCAAACAAGCATGATTTCGACCATGGTGCACAAGCAATGGGGCAATCTCCTGGTTGGTTTTTCGGTCGCCAGAGCCGTGACTTATTTTTTGTTGTACTTGAAGCCGCCAACCTCGTACTTGCCTGCTCGTCCTCCCACCGAAATCATTGCCGCGTTCTGCTTGATCTCGGGTGGCTTGGTGTTCATGCTTAGCGTAAGTACAACCTTGAACAAACGAAAATAAGTCAAGCTAATTTCTCCCCTAGACTCGCAACGTGGTCGAATCTATGGAATACTATGAACTCGATGCCATGTTCACCTTTACCGTCAGTATGGGCTTGACGGCTTTTATCATGGCGTGCGAGATCTTGGTCATCGCCCTCAAGGCGTGGGCTGTGAACCGGGAGTCTCGTCCCCAGCTTCCTGCTTACCAGTTTCCGGCCTAAACAGCCTCATTGCCAACCAAGGTCAATCGTTCCGCCGAATTTCGCGCATGAAGTATCGCAAACCATCACGCAAATACCTCCTTCATCGATATAATGATTCCACGGGAACTCCAACAAAAACCCCAAACCCGAAAAACCGAAAAAAATCTTTGTTCATTACTTCAAGTTTTATACCCCCTAAACCAATTGATTTCTGCGTGGCCTGGTATTATGGAGCTCATGCTGTCCATATTTGGGTAGCAAGCCTAATACCACCTGTATCAGAGCCTTTCCCCCAATGTCCTTGCATCTGACGTGTCCCTGTGTTTATGAATGATATCCCCGAATTACAGACGGTATTAATGAGGAGGAACTTGGTGATTCCGTGATATTGTTACGACTAATTGTCTCTGCTTGAGAGATGACGTTATTTTATATACTTGCTTTGGAACTTGCTTCTCACCGAATATAATTACCACTCCTTGATGAATGAACGAAGCATTATAACCATTATCATGAGCTACCGTTTTCAATCTCTCGACTTTGACTACCTGGGCGACAAGTCCCTACTAGAGTATCGAAAGCTCTGCGCCGGAGTTAAACGGCTTTAGCGGCGACACCGGCAAGCTGTGCCGGCGCATCGGCACTTGAAGTGATTACGTAATCCGCATGGCTTCATGGCTGCGATACCATCATCTCCATGACACCGGTGGACTTAGTGAAAGCCATGGCTTTATGCCCAGAGATTCTAGTAGACTGCAGCTGCACATTAAACAGTACTCTGTAGATACTGTGCTATCGGGTAATATTCGCGATGTTTGATGTAGTACAGCTGCCTGGGCGATGTTCGGGTCATATTAATAATTTTGCTGGGAGAGGGGCAAAGTGGGGAGGAAAGACATGATGAGCATAGACGTTTCTTGAACCTTTAAAGAGGGGCGCCTATCCCGCTATAACCCACCAACTATAACAATATCCCTGTTCTCTTTTCTGTTGCAGAAATTCTACGGTTCTTTGCTTTCTCCAGAAACACTCCACTCTGAACTAGTTCATCATGGCCTCTAACGCTCCCGGAGCTTGCTGCGCCTCTGGCTTCAAGCATGAAGGCACTCCCGTCGGCGAGATCAAGAACGTTGGTGGCGGTGAGTGGGCACACCTTTTTGATCCTTCCGTGTCTTGTTTACTGATAGTTTGATTTTGAATATCGCAGTCGACACCTACGTTGTCTACCCCAAGGACAACAAGACCCCCGAGAAGGCCGTCGTCATCCTGAGCGACATCTTCGGTATCTACGTCAACGCTCAGCTCCTTGCCGATGAGTTCGCCGCCAACGGATACCTGACCGTTATCCCGGACCTGTTCCGCGGCGATGCCATCAAGCTCAGCGACATGGAGTCCGGAAAGGCTGATCTTCCCGCTTGGATTCCTAACCACCAGCCCGCCGTTATTGATCCCATCGTCGAGTCCACCCTCAAGTACGTCCGCCAGGACTTGGGCGCTAAGAAGGTCGCGTCCGTTGGATACTGCTTTGGTGGCAAGGTGAGTCGTCGTAATGGATTCATAGTCGGATATTATGTTGTTAGGAAGTCTCGCTAACCAGTGTCCTCCGGGTTGCAGTATGTTTGCCGCTTCGCGAAGCCCGGCAAGTTCGATGTCGGTTACACTGCCCATCCCTCTTTCGTCACTGAGGAGGAACTTGGCGGCATCACCACTCCTTTGTCCATTGCTGCTTCCGGTAAGTTTGATTCTGTTGGGATGATGGCCTTGGTGGTTTCCTCCGACTTCCGACTAACGCATCATCAATCATAGAAATCGACCAGATCTTCACCACCGAGCTCCGTCACAAGTCCGAGGGCATCCTGATCAAGACTGGTCAGCCCTGGCAGATCAACCTCTACGGCGGTGTCTCCCATGGATTCGCTGTCCGCGCCGACCTGAGCAACAAGAACTTCAAGTTCGCCAAGGAGCAGGCTTTCTGCCAGGCCGTGACGTGGTTCAACCAGTACCTTTAAATTAGTAGTATCATGATGGGTCCATGTAGAGCATTCTTTGGATAGTTAATGAACTGAAATGAATTCGAAAAAAGCCAAGTAATGAAAGTGAAACGGCGTAGCGAAAGTGATAAGCCTTTATCGATCCCACGTGACCGGGGGATCCGCGCGAAGGGCCAAGATCCACCACGAAGAACAGGTAAGCGTCTAGCCTCCGGTTTGTTCTTGATTCCTGCTGTTGCTGCTTTGCATCAAAGCGTCGAAGTCCACCGTTCTTGGTTGAGGTGACTGGCTACGTCTGCCGGTTTCCTCTCCTTCTTGTCATTGCCATTGTCCCACCGATCTGATCGGTCCTTGTTTATATCTGTCTGCTGTCGCGTGGATTCCCAATTTTACGAGTTGTCCGCGGACTTCATCTCCACGAGCCGTCAACCTGACATACCTAGTGCGACTGGATTCCATTCCCTAATTCCGTTGCTCTTCGGCGATTTGACGAGAAATACTTTTTATTTCTCGATCTGCGTTGCATTGCGTTGTGTCGGGCATTGCTTATTGCCTCATTCATTCCTTTTTCTCCCTCGGTAGAAGCGCGCCGATCCGACGACCCTAGCAGATTCGAATTTGCCCGACTTTTTCGGCATTCCTCTTGTCTTTGCCTCGATTTCGGTGAATTACCTGCAGCAAGCAACTGTTGATCTTGCTGTGCATATTGTACACTGCACCCAAGTACGACATTCGTTACCTGGAACATCGTGACGTTTTACGAAGCAACATGGCCACCCCAGCTGCCTTGCCTCCGCTGCCGTTCAACCCTTCGAGGGTCCGATCATACATACTCCGTCTACCTCTGTTTACGCGACTGGTGCTCCTGGCGGTGCTTGTGTTCTGGCTGCTCGAATTGCAGACTATTTGGAGCGTGGTACAATGGGGCTCTTTGACTCCAGATGAGATTGGGTTTGGAACCAGTATGTCCCCTGGTAGCTAGGGGATCCTCCCCCGGACTTCATGTGGTGAACGAGTATGATTGTGCATGATTCTGACTCGGAGAAAATAGTGTATCGGTTGAACACCTATCCGTTCATCCACGTGGGGTTCTTCCATGCCTTCCTGAACTTGTTAGCGCTAACGCCATTGCTGGAGCGGTTCGAAGCCGAGCATGGTACATTGACGGCTGTTGCTTTGTTTATTGGACGTAAGGCAGTCCTGTTCTTGTTGGGTCCTCGAGTGAGAATGCTGACGGGTTTTCGCGAACAGCTCTTTCCACTTTCCCTGCCGGTCTTTACCTACTGGTTGAGAAGGTTATTTTGCACAGAAACACTGCCGTCGTTGGCTCTAGGTGAGCGCATATTGCCAACTATTGCGTCTTAGGTCGTCACTGACATCTTTGAAGTGTTTGGGTGTTCCTGTTGCTCGGCTCTGAAGCCATCAGGACTTTCAAGTCCAACCCCTACTTCAGGTACTTCCTGACTACTCGTTAATCATACATATTTGGTTACTAACAGGGAGTTAGTCTCGGTACTCAGAGAATTCCGACCTGGACTTCGCCCCTGGTTGCATGCGTTGTTGTCGCGATTCTCGTGCCCAACACCAGCTTCCTGGGCCACTTGTGTGCAATTGTTGTCGGGTATCTGCGTAAGTTGATCTATTTGCATACCTATGTATTGTTTATTGCTAATACCAGTTTAGTCGGCCTCGGTTACCTTAAGATCTTTGTTCCGCCAGAGAAGGTTCTACGATGGATCGAAGGGAAATTGAACCTCCTCGGACGACTGCCTCATTATGTGTCAGTGGACCAGAAGACGTATGGTCGCTATGGTGTTCTGCCGATGACCAACACTGGGGGTGAGCGGCCAACCCCTCTGAGCTATCTGGGATCGACTCAGCGTCTGGGATCCTCGGAGTAAAAACGAAAACGCGGCCGTAAAGACTACATTTCTTGTGTATATTTGGTACATCCAAGGCCTTGACTATAATCGCCTGCAAAGAGTTGCGTGAAAAAAGTTGGGCTCATAGATAGTATAAGTATAGTATAGTAATAATTATTCTGGATTATTTAGCATCAATGTTGTGCACTTGGTCTCTCCCGCTCGACGTAAATTTACTTTGGCTGATGCGGAGGCGGAATTGCCTTCCCTCCAGCTTCCATGCACCACGCACGTCGGGGAGACTCTCCCTAAACACCTTGGATTCACCTCATGGCATTAAAATGTAAGTCGCATAGTGCTTTTACGTCGCTTGGTCCATTGTCCATTCCCCTCCCATTCATCCATCCCGTTTACCCCGGATTCCCGCCGCGAAAGGACAGCTCAGGACCCAAACAACCGCTGACGACATCCCAAATGACAGCTGCAATCCGCAAATTGCGGAATAACCCTCGATTCCTCTTCGTGCGCCTTCCGCATCTCCTCTCTTTTCTCTGCATTGTCGCCGGCGTCGCTTGGCTGCTACTCCTGCCCCTCAATGATTACTCCCGCCGAACCTACATCTCCGAGAACGCGCTTCTCCCCGGTCAAGTCCATGCGTATTTCTCGGGCAGTGAACAGCATATCTTTCGCGGGTACAAGAAGGAATTAGAAGGACTGCTTCCTGAGGGGTATCAGGGGGAGGGACAAGATAAGGCGGATGTTGAATTTACACCTGCGTATGTTGGCATGGTTGTCTGGTGGTCGACCTTCTTAGGGACACGGAGTCGCTAACCCGTGGGCTTTTGATTAGGATATCTGAGAAGATACAATCGATTCTACGAGCTGCTGGGCTGAAAGTCGCGATGCAGAATTACAAATACACTTCCTCGGGGATCACGCACCAAGGGCAGAATGCCTACGCGATCATTCATGCGCCGCGGGGCGATGCGACAGAGGCAATTGTTCTCGTGGCGGCGTGGAAAACTGCCGACGGAGAGTTGAATCTCAACGGTGTGACGTTGGCGCTGACGCTGGCACGATACTTTAAACGTGGGTCTGGACGGTTTCCCTGGGGGCGCAGGTTCATGGCTAATCAGTCGGCTTTGTTCAGGATGGTCTTTGTGGTCGAAGGATATTATTTTCGTGATCACGCCTGATAGTAAAACGGGGACGCAGGCTTGGATCGACGCCTATCATGATATGCAACCGCCGTCGGTCCAGCCTCTTCCTCTGAAGAGTGGAGCGTTGCAAGGTGGCCTGGTGGTTGAGTATCCCTTCGATCACCGCTTCGAGTCGCTGCATATTGTCTACGATGGAGTCAACGGCCAATTGCCCAACTTGGATCTGTTTAATACCGCAGTGTCAATCGCTGGGGGTCAGATGGGAATCGGATCCGGCTTGCAGGAGATGTGGAATCACAATGATAGCTACGAGAAACGTCTCGAGACAATCATGCGAGGCATGGTCAAGCAAGGCTTTGGATACGCCACTGGGGCCCATAGCAGTTTCATGCCGTACCATATCGATGCGATTACCTTGCAGACCAAAGGCGAAGGCTGGCAGGATGAGATGGCGCTCGGTCGAACTGTGGAGAGTCTCTGTCGCAGCTTGAATAACCTGCTGGAGCACTTGCATCAGAGTTTCTTCTTTTACCTGCTGATGCACACCAACCGGTTCGTCAGTATTGGGACATATCTTCCCAGTGCGATGTTGGTTGCCGGCAACTTTACTATCATGGCGATTACCTTGTGGTTGCGGACTGGATACTATCGGGATTCTGAGGAGGCATCCTCTAAGACCACTACTTCCCAGGATGAGAAATCTACGACCAAGTCGACCAAGTCGATCAATGCAGACGATCAAGCCCCGGAAAAGAAGCCTGGTTCCAACGGTATTATCGAGCGTCACCTCGCTCTGCCACTTACATTCGTTGTCAGCCTTCACCTGCTCGGCCTGGTTCCCCTGTACATCTTCAACAACCTCTCTTACAAGGTAAGTCACCTCCCCACTTCTCCCTTTCACACTCACAGCTAACAATCCAACCTTAGTACTTCACCACGGCAACCTACATCTGCATCGCCGCCGACCTCATCCTCCCTCTCCTCCTCTCCACGCTTCTCACGCAAAGCGCCCAATCCTCCACCCCCCAACAACACCACCTCATCAAATCCTTCTCCCTCCTCCTCCTCGGCCTCTTCCTCTCCACCCTCGCCACCCTCAACTTCTCCCTCTCCTTCATGGTCGGCCTCCTCTGCACCCCCCTCAGCTTCATCACCCGCATCAGCCCCCGCCTCAACGCACCCCTCCGCTACGCTCTCTCCTCACTCGGTCTCCTCATCCTCAACGCCCTCTCGCCCCCCGTCGTGGTCCTCGCAGCGTGCTGGTACACGGGAGTCTCGGTTGAGACGGTCCTCACGCAGGCGGCTTTCGGGTGGGATGTGTGGGGTATGTGGACGCAGGTGGTCGTTTGGTGTGTTTGGTGGCCCGCGTGGGTGATTGGGTGTGCATTGTTGGGTTCTTCGTTCTTTTGATCTTCAGGCTTTCAAGCTACGATGTTTTTTTTGTTTGTTAGGGGTACTTTGAAACTCTTGCGAGTTGAGGACCGGATGGGATGGTACAGTATATAGAGTCCTTTTTATAAAGATGTATGTTTATACGGAATGTCTATCGCATATTACAATACATCCGGCTCATTGCGCAGAGATACTGTCATATCAGTAACAGGATTGCTGTTTCCATTACTGGTCTTGATTGTTATATACGTAGAGGTACTACCGCTTATACTGTCTCTATCATGTATGTGTTCATAGTAGCATGCTCTAGCTAGCTGCTCGAAACAGAAACAAGGACCTTCGAATCATTCAAGTGCTGGTTTACTTCATACGTGATTCATTTATAAAGAGGAATCTAGTACTTGCAAGGTTCGTACATACATGCCATGGATGGAAACCCTTTTTAAAGCATCAGACTGTAATTAAAAAAAAGGACCCTCTAAATCAAGCAGCCCACACATCCTTTCCAACCCCCTCAATCCAGTGACCGAGCTGGTTCACGCCCGCATCCCAGTCCTTGAGTCTGTTCCGCATGCCGTCGATCTGGGTCATATCCAGGACCTTGGGCTGCACCCAGTGGATCTGCGCGACCTGACCGACCTGGTCGATAGCGCCCTTGAGCAGGCCCAGCGACAGCGCCTTCATGACGAGATGCTCGATCTCCTGGGGCTTGACCTTGGTTTCGGAGGAGATGGACGCGAACGTCAGGTTGCGGTCGTGCGGGGGCCGACGGAAGACCATCTCCGTGAGGGCCGAGAGGGAGATTTTCTGGTACAGGAAGATGCGGTGCTGTTCCAGCAGCTGGTTCTTGGAGATGTTGCCGGCCAGGACGTCGTAGGCTGTCAGGTCGCCGCGGTTGAAGGCGAAGAGGAGATCGCGCAGCCAGTTGTGGGGCGTCTCGGTGAGGGAGTCCAGGATTGGGTGAAGCAGCAGTTCTCCGAAGTTGTAGATCGAGTCGGAGACGAGGGCCGCTACGCTGAGGTTGTAGGCGCGCGAGACACGCTCGGATTCGTCGAGGTCCTCGAGAGTGACGCAGGCGAGGTAGAGCAGGGCGTTCTTGTAGAAAGAGGCGAATTCTTCTTTGGCCTGTTGAGGTGGCTCATGGTTAGGGAGGGCATGACTCGGAGTTGAGGAATGGGAGAGCAACATACGTGGAAGTAATCGGCGTTGACCTTGTAGAAGGATGCGTGCACACTGGTCTCTACCGAGTCGAAGGAATCCAAGACCTTCTGGCACAGCTCCAGGTCCTTCTGCGCTCCGTCCAGATTCTGTAGTCGTTGCTTGACATTGGCGACGTCCGCGAGGGCGTAGATGTAGGCGTCTTGTGATTCGGGCTTGTTCACTTTGTCCGCAAGTGATGTGAGGAAAGAGAGTCGTTCTTGGTCATCTATGATGAGGCAGGTATGTCAGCACACTGAGATGTCAAGATGAAAGAGCGCGTTCCTACGCTTCGACCACAGAGGAATGCCATGACATCTAGTTGCGCCTCGTGCATAGTTTATGTGCCCAAACGGGAGATGCAGATGAACTTACCGGCACACTGCGTCGATGCCATCAACCCGAGCGACACGAACTTGAGCTGGTTGATGCGGTCGGCGAAGCTAAGCACGAACGTCTTGAATATCGGTAGTCGTTGGGGAGCACTCTCTGGTAGGCGGAAGAACTCGATCAGGGCGTCGGTAAGCTGATGCCATAGCTTACGCTCCCAGTAGTCTTCGAAGCTGAGGAAGAAGGGTTGGCATTGTTCGGGAGCTTGCTGCAGCTGGTCGGCAAGGAAGTCGGATATCTTTTGGTTCTCCATGATGGAGATGCGGGCGTAAGAACGGCTGGGTCTATGCGATGAGGAGGTCGAAATTAGGCGATGGAGAGATTGATGTGATAGAATGGGGCGGAGAAAGCGTAGGGAAGAGCTGTTCTGGCGGGGAGGACCAGCAACGGGCGACTCTGGATTGGAGTCGAGAGCTGACCGGAGGCGAAGGCGGTGAGCGGCCACATGACATCGTTCTACAATTGGTATACCAGGACGATCTATACCGTTCTACACTTGTCTCGGAGACATCCTCGGATCCTTTTGATTCTCAGTGGGTCAATTTGGTCAAAGCGATGTCTCTGGACTTTCTTTGCCCCTGTCTTTCAAGAATTTGGGGCCAGGAAGGCTGAGGTATGACTGCCTAAAGAAAGTGTCCGATATCTCTCCGACAAATCAGGCTGGTACCATCCAGAGACATGAATTCTATAAATATGGCCTTTCGTGCTGTTCGATTTCCTAATTTCCTCTTCTTCCATACTCCTGTGTGCCTACTCATACTTGATTGCACCTTCAGATACATCCTGACATTTGCTGCTCGTACAATCTCTGTTCTACACAACCGACACCATCCCATCAACCATGGAGGACTTCACCGAGAAGAATAGACAGGTCTTTGAGTAAGTCATTTGCGCTGCATGACTAAAGAATACAACTGATTGAGTTGGAAAGGAAACTGTCCAAAACATACAAGGCCGACTTCGACGATGCTCTGGCATTAATGTACCGCACGGTTCAGGATCGTCGTCTCTGGGTCAGTGATACTTGGAGGGATACCGATTCCGGGAAGGAGAAGGAGATTAAGGTCCTTGAATATGCATGTGGACCGGGAACCGTCTCTCTTGTGAGTAGAATACCTTGCGTGCTGCCGTAACCCAGGAGCGCGAGGCTAATAAATGTCAAGGCGCTGGCACCCTTCGCCACTCGCATTGTTGGGCTCGATATTTCCGATGGGATGGTCGATGAGTACAACACCAATGCCCGCGAGGCTGGATTTGCGGACAAGATGGTCGGTTACAAGGGTGACCTCTTCACGGAATCTGTGGCAACGGAGCTCTCTGGCCCTGAGTTTCATGAGTTCGACATTGTCGTTGTTAGCATGGCCCTTCATCACTTTGAGAAACCAGACCTGGCCGTCAAGCGATTGGCGGAGAGACTGAAGAAGGGTGGGACTTTGTTGATCATCGACATGATCCCCAGTAAGCACCATGGACCTCATTCTCATGGGCATGACCACTCGCATGAGCATAGTCACTCGCATGGTCATGGCCATGGCCACTCTCACGAGCACGATCACTCTCATGAGAATTCCGAGGAGTTCACAGATGCCAGACACACGATCAAGACCCATGGGTTTACCCAAGCCGATATGCAGAAGCTGTATGATGAAGCTGGAGTTGGGATGAACTTTGACTACCGGCTCGTGGAGGAGCCATTCGTATTCAAGAAGAACGGGGGAGAGTTCTCCATGACGGTTTTCACGGCGCGCGCTCAGCGTGCGTAGGGGATAGTAGCTAGTTTATGAATTTGAAGACTTTATGCTGCCAAACATGGATGAACGAGTAGTGGTCAAATTGTTGGTAGAAGCCCGTAAGATCAAAAGCAGAGTGATGAATAAGCAGCGGGATCTCAGCAGATCTGGCCAATCATAGAAGAGCAATAGTCAGGCCAGAGAGTGCTGTCCGAATCGGGACTAGCGCACAAGTCCCGTGCCCGGGCAGTTTGGTTTGCGTTTCTCCAAGGACGACGACCGCCGTGAAGTCCAGCTTCCAGCACCAAGTCCCGCCTGCTGAGCTTCGCTCTCTCCACTCTCTCACTCCCTTCTACAGAACTCGCTGGTCTCCTCTGTTTGATCAATTGAACAGAGACCATGCAGAAGTGCCGGGCCGCCAATTCCGTCTTGGGGTCGAGGACAGTCGTCCCCCCCACCCCTCGAGTCCAATTGCAGTCGCAGCGCCGCAATCTCCAGGATGTTGCTATTTCTCGGACCGGAAAGCCGATCCTGAAGGTTCAGGGTGGACGGTAAGGCGCAATTGCATGGACCTGTTGTGTATACATGGCTGATTGATTACTCTCACAGGTCGTCTTTGGGAGGTACATTGCCCTTTTTTCTCGACCGGATCGCATCGCTCGCAGAGAATTAACTTGGAAATGCAATTTAGGCCATACCGCGACTGTCTTTGGTGCTACTGGCTTCCTGGGCCGATACATCGTCAACAAGCTCGGTAGGTCCTAAATCAATCGCGATGACAGCCGACATTAGTAATTGACATGGTACAGCTACGCAGGGATGCACGGTCGTTGTTCCCTACCGCGAGGAGATGGCCAAGAGACACTTGAAGCCCACTGGTGATCTCGGACGGGTCAACTTCATCGTATGTTTTCACCCCTGCGAGATCTACGGCGAACGTGAGCAGCTTACACGAACAACCCCAGGAATACGATCTGCGTAACACCCAGTCGATCGAGGAGAGTGTCCGTCACTCCGACGTTGTCTACAACCTTGTCGGTCGCCAATATCCTACCAAGTTCGTGAAGCAAACAAACCGAGGAATCGAGGGCCTACTAACAGGCGTCCAGGAACTTCTCCTACACTGATGTCCACGTTGACGGTGTGGAGCGCATCGTCGAGGCCGCTGCCAAATACGACGTTGACCGTTTCATCCACGTCTCTTCTTACAACGCCAACAAGGATTCTCCCTCCGAGTACTTCGCGACCAAGGTCGGTTGAATCTCATGTCCAGCTCACTCAGGACAGCAAGAAGCTAATGCAGCATAGGGATGGGGAGAGGAAATTGTTCGCTCCATCTACCCCGAGACCACCATCGTCCGACCTGCGCCGATGTTCGGTTTTGAAGACAACCTCCTCCACAAGCTGGCTGGCGTGACCAACCTGTTCACCTCCAACCACATGCAGGAGCGCTTCTGGCCCGTCCACGTAAGTCCAGCGCCGGCATGGACCGAGGATTTAGAGACTGACGCTGTAACAGGCCATCAACGTCGGTGCTGCTCTCGAGCTTATGCTCCACGACGACTCCACCGCCGGTCAGACCTTTGAGCTTTACGGCCCCAAGAACTACTCGACCGCCGAGATCGCCGAGCTGGTTGACCGCGAAATCATCAAGCACCGCCGCCACATCAACGTTCCCAAGCGTCTGTTGAAGCCCTTGGCCTACTACCTGAACAAGTTCATCTGGTGGCCCACCATGTCCGCCGACGAGGTGGAGCGGGAGTTCATGGACCAGATCATTGACCCGACTGCCAAGACGTTCAAGGACCTCGGCATTGAGCCCGATGACCTGGCTAACCTGACCTTCCACTACCTGGTAAGTCTACGCGACAAGGCAATCGGGGGATATGATGCTAACAGCCCTACAGAAAGGATACCGTAGCTCCTCGTACTACGACCTGCCCCCTGCTACGGAGCGGGAGCAACGGGAGGAGAAGAAGTACCTGCACGTTCTGGACAGCCAGTAGTGGATTGTGTTTCTTTAATGTATATAAGTTACTAGACTCGAAGTTTTCTCTTTTGTGTGTTGAAGTGAAGTTTGCTAGATTTGTAGATGTAATGACGTACTTAGACCGCCTACGGAATTAACAAACAGCCTCGGGATTGACTTATCATATCAATTAACTATCAACATTTCACCCCTCCTACTCAATTCCTCAATACACACCTCCCTTTCCTTTCCGCCCCAAATGACTACCTCTACTCCCTTTTCTTCCTCCACCACACCAATCCTCCTGCTCAAAACCAAATCCTCCCCAGCAGACGGTTACGAGGAATTCTTCTCCACCCACAACTACAACCCCGCCTTCATCCCCGTCCTCGAGCATCACTTCCACGAACCCAACCTCCAATCCGTGCGACAGCTTTTCGAGTCCGGCGCGCTCAACCCAGGCTCAGAACGGAAATATGGCGGATTGATATTCACCAGTCAGCGGGCGGTCGAGGGGTTTGCGAATATGCTGAAGTCGCTGGATAGTAAGTCCCCTTCTGTTCCCTTACCTCATGCCGCTGTCGAGATACAGCTAGCTAGCTAGCTATCTGGAATCAACTAACCAATTGACTTCACTACAGACTCAATCACCACGCCCGCATCACACTCTCTCCCCCTCTACACCGTCGGCCCGGCGACCTCCCGTTCCCTCACGACCCTTCGAGACGCGCACCTCCCGCACGCTACCATCTACGGCGCAGAGTGCGGCACCGGCGAAGTCCTAGCGCATTTCATCCTCCAGCATTATCCGACCTTTACCTCCTCCGACTCCACCTCCACCTCCTCTGCTGCCACCGAAACCACAACTCCCAGTAATGGCAACGGCCTCAAACCCCTCCTCTTCCTAGTCGGCGAACAGCGCCGCGACATCATCCCGAAAACGCTCCAGGGCGCACCCCCAGACCGCCGCATCCACGTTGACGAGCTGATCGTGTACGAAACGGGCGTGATGGCGTCCTTTGAGCGGGAATTCAGCACTGCGGTTACGGCCGCGAGGGAGTATCTAGGTGCAGACCGCGAAGATGCTGGGGCTGGGGAGCGGGCTGTCTGGGTGGTTGTGTTTTCGCCGACGGGGTGCGATGCTATGGTGAGGGTTTTGGATCTAGCAGGGAATGGGAACGGGGATAGGGTGAAGGAAAAGAGGGAGAGGATCTTTGTGGCGACGATTGGGCCGACGACGAGGGATCATTTGCGAGAGAAGTTTGGGGTCGAGGCGGATGTTTGTGCGGAGAAGCCGAGTCCGGAGGGCGTGGGGGAGGGGATTCAGAGGTTTATGATGCGGTAAGAGGGTTTGGTGGTGTAATTCTTGGTTGTAAATGCCTAAGGTACATACCTATTGGTAACATAATATGGTAAAATGATGGGATGAGTGGACGGATGGATGGATGTATATCCTGTAATGGATGGTCTTGGCTTCGGTCCTTGTACATATAGTGATCTAGAGGTATAAATAGTATTAGCCAATGTGATGGCAGAGTAGGCACCAAGGTGAAGCCTCGAGGAGTGACTTCTATATTCAGTTCGAAGCATAACCTTATGAAAGGCCTTGGCATGAACGGATGTGGATCAGTCAGCACGCATGAGCAATCAGTGATCGCATCTCGGAGCATCCACTCCGTACAACTACGTCTACATCTACATACATCGCCGTATCCCACAAACAGACGATCATGACCTCTCTTCACGACTCTCGCAATCATGACCAACACTCGCAAACCGACTGTCCTGACCGACCTTCCTCTAGAACTGCTACTCATGATATCAGATCACTTATCCGTAGTCGATATTGCATGTCTAGCTTTATGCAACCACCACTTGATGGCTTCCCTCATAGAGATGAAATCCGCATTCGACAGGTTCTCCAGTAGCCGCGCCGTTGACCTCAACGATGCCGTGCGAATCGAATTCATGTCCCGGCTGGCTCTCGACATGCCGCCATACTATCCCTGCTTTGGTTGTCTCCGGCTTCATCCCTGGCGGAACATCTCGCTGCCCCGTCCCTATTTCAACCTCCCCGGATGTTTTAAAACACTATATGATAGTGGAAGCTACATAAACCGAACACGCGCGATGGAACTCGACAACTACCCTTCCTACACCACGTGTGAGATTCATTTCGTGCACCTTCAGCTTGCTATGCGACGGTTCTACTACGGCCCGCAGTTTGGCATCCCAGCCGAGTCTTTCTCCAGTACCGAAGTAGCCGTTCATCCTCTCGAAACAGGCACTATGTACCCAATGAGCATTCTACCAGCCTCTGCGGGACCACTTCTCAACAAAGACATAGATAACAATGCCATGATAACGCTGACGTCGATCGAAGCCCGTATCTGCCCTGATCCGCCAGGCTTGTGCGTACGAACGCAAGAGCTGGCTGTGATGAGACGCCACAAAGTGCTCCGGGTTCCGCCAAGGCACTCCGTGTATATGCGAATTTGTGGCCATATTTCCACCTCTCGATCGAACTTTTGGGAGATCTTTGATCCTCTTCTTGAACAATACTGCTCCGATTCGACTACGATGCACGTAGGTGACCAAGGGCGCTGTGCGAAATGCAATACCTCTTGGAAGCTGGAGCTCCGAGACGTGGGATCAAGAGACGTCTGTCTTGTCCTGACCAAGTGGATGGACCTGGGACCGGGGCTGAGCCCAGAAGACGCTCGATGGAAAAGTCACATTAGTACCGTGTCTAGAATATTGCTGGCAGACGACGAATTAGTGTCTGACCCCCAAGCGCGGTTCGAAAGGGATTCAGCCCAAGCCAACGAGGCAAATGCACTATCAGATGAGGAGATGTTCAATCGGAATATCTCACTCCTCCAGCGGCACGAATATTTAAACAGCATGATTCGAGTTGGCAACTACTCACGGTGGTTTCTGAACGCGGAACTGGCTCAGGAAAGGGGGCAAACGAAGAGGCGTGGCATCTCTCGCTGTGTCGTTATTTAGGGCAGCGCAGTATTCGGACGCTTGTCAAGATGGTGGACCTCTCCTTCTCCCACGAGGCATCGTACCATGAGAAATCAAATGGGATCAATTGACACGTGCCTGGGTGCTCGACTTCCTCGACAGGAAGGCACCCTCTGAGGAAGGCGCGCCCCTCCCCTCCAGGGCCTCCTACATTTCGGCCGCTTTCCCCTCTTCTTTCTCCTCTTCTTTCTTCTTCTCTCCTTGCCCCCGTTGTTACCTATCTACTTGAGTTTACCCGTGCAAGCAAGATTTACAATGTCAGGCATCGATCATCATTCGGTTGTTGGAGTGAGCCAAGTTGGGCTTGTCACCTATGTCCTAGGTCGTTACTTCAAACAGGTGAGTGAGGAACCTTTGCTTCCCACCCACCGTTCCCACGTTGTGCTCGGCCCCTCTTGCCATCAGACATCTTAGACTCTAGATCGTCGGTCAGGTGGATAGATAGATAGGTAAGTCGGTAGGCAGGTATATGTCTATCCTCCTGGTTCAAGACGAACTACCATAATGGAAGATTACTAGTCAGAATCAGCTTCTTTATCTGTTCAAAGAAGTGAAAGCGAAAGAGAGAGCGAGAAAGTAGAAGATAACTACTATAACCAATGGTAAATAAAAAGCAGCAGACGCTTGAATGATCACTCAACCAATGATTTGTTATCAAGTCAAGGCAAAATGGAAAAGACAATCAAGACGAAGTAAGTAAGTTACCTATCATGTCGAAATGCGGCGAGCATTTAGGCTACCCTCACTAACCCTACCTAACCCTGACATTCTTTCGTCTATGTATGTAACTGAGATCCGATCCATTATGGGAGATTCTTGTCAAGAGAGTAAGAAATAGTAGTAAATAGTAAAAAAAAAAAAGAAAAAAAGAAAAAGTAAACCACATGGCCTTGTTTTCCCATATCCTATCCACATCCACAGTTCGATGCCTTTCATGAAGTTTCCATATCCTCGGGAATGAAAAGTACATGTATGTATGTATCTCACGCTATTAGATTCGGGGCATGGATTTACCGCATGATCTCCTCGTAGATCAGGACTGGAGATAAGATACCAACGTTAGTATATGGGGAAAGACTGGGTGGAAATGTATGGGACCGTGTGACTAGGACGTACTCTTCAATTGCTCCTTGCTGAGCGCATCCTTGTTCTTATCGAAATCAAAGAATCCCTCCGGGATGGGCGGCGCCGTGGGCTCGTCCTCCGGGTCATGGTAGGGCTCCAAGTAGGGATGACGCAAAGCATCCTCCACCGAGATACGCTTGGCAGGGTTGAACGCCAGGAGCTTCTCCAGAAGATCCAGCGCCAACTCGTTGCTCTTGGGAAACAGGGCCCGGAATGGGATCTTCTTCTTGAAGGGGAGAGAGCGGATGTACTCCCGAGCTCTCCGGGACTTGATGCCGTAGTAATCCTCCATGGTCGGTGTCCCGAGGACGTCCAGAATGAGGGTCAATTGGTGGTGATCTAGAAACAAGATGTTAGTTCGAATGGTATTTGGATCTTACCACCCAAAAAGAATCCCGGGTACTTACAATCTTTGCCCGGGAACAGGGGCTTGCCGCTCAGCATCTCGGCCAGGATGCAGCCAACACTCCACACGTCAATGGCTTTGGTATATTCTTTGAAGGTCAACATGATTTCCGGCGCACGGTACCATCGAGTCGCCACGTATTCCGTCATGAAGCCCGAGTTGTCGTCCGTCGAGGCGGCTGAACGAGCCAGACCGAAGTCGCAGACTTTCAGGTCACAGTTGGCATTGAGAAGAAGATTCGAGGGCTTAAGATCACGGTGAAGAACATTTGCTGAGTGCATGGCTTTCAGAGCACGCAGGGTCTGGTAGATGAAGTACTGGCAGTGGTCGTCGGAGAGGTCTTGGGTACGGATAACGCGGTGCATATCTGTTTCCATCAATTCCTGTGAATCGTGAGTATCTGATCGCCTTCCGAAACCTCGTCAAGAAAAAAAAGTCATACCTGAATCAGATAGACTTCATTGAAGCTTTCGTAGTTGCGAGGTCTCTGAATATCCAAAATGGAGATGATGTTCTCGTGGTTGAAATATCGCAGCAGCTTCATTTCACGGAGAGTTCGTAGGCAGAACATCGAATGATCGAACGGGGTGATCTTCTTAATGGCGACTTTTTGCCCCGACGGCTTGTGAATAGCGGAGCTAACAGGTGTCAGTACGGCTCGAAGCCATCCTCCTGTGCTGGTTCTTACCAGACGACACCGTAAGCACCTTCACCGATAACATCTTGGATCTCGTATTGATCGGACACGTTGAAGGAGATCTTGCGCGACGCTCCTTGGGGAGGAAGTTGCTGCACCATTGTTGCTGGTTCTGAAGGACTAGACGGCGTTAGTAAATATTGCGGAAATCGACGCAGGTCGGTTCAGCGGGGTTGCTTCTAGTCCATCATGTATGATGTATGAGAGCAACCAACACTGGGGGGAGCATGCGTGCCCAACGGCTGAACGACACCACCATCCCAACTAGTTGCAATTATATCACCGGCAAATGACAACGCAGCGACAATATGACAGGTCCACGTCCCACTCGGGGAGAGAAGTAGGCGCTTACATTCAAAATATACCGCGAGAGGGTTCTTTAATCGAGACGAGGGCTTAGTTGCAGCCGACTCGCATGCGCTGATTGTGGGGAAGAGGCGACGATGGTTCGGGACGTGTCGAGAGAGTCGAATGCGGGGTATGTAGCCCGTGTCTGTGATCGAAACGAGCTGGGATACGTCCGGTCACTCAGAAGTCCTCCGATACTTGGCAGGAGGATATTCGAAGGAAACGCTGGATTGGCGGCTGCCGAGGTCCCGGAGAGGGCGATGGAAAGGGAATCTCTATTATGCGAAGGATAGAAGGCGTATGCAAGCGACGCAATGAAGGCAGGTGACTCGGGCGGCAGAGAGGATGCTAGGACAGGAAATGCATCAGTTCATGGTTCAGGGACAGTTGACAAAGGACCCATGCAGGGTTTAGCATGGGAAAAAGGAGAGAATGCATACATCAATGAGAAGCCCCGGTCTTGGTCCTGAAATAGATGTTTCACGGGCGCGTTCTATTTTTAAACTGCTCAGCAGACAGAATCGCAGCGTCTGTTTCTTGTCTAGCGGTTTTGACAGTCGACCCGGAAGACTGGAGATGAGGAGGAGGGGGGAGGGAAGAAAAGATGGTGGTAACAAGTCGACCAGGTGGGTAAGGTGGTCGCAGGAGAAGCCAGGAGAGGAGAGGAGAGGAGAGAGGAGAGGGGAGGGGAGGAGAAGAGGAGTTGGTGGAGGGGCTGGATGGAGACGCCCGTAAGAACCGCCGTGGAAGTAAAGCCGATATTAAAGCGTATTAACCTGCGGTGGGGCCGCGGAGGGGGGAGGAATGTGACAGTGTCCTCATTCCTCTGTCTGAGAGCCTGTAGACTGTAGAGAGAGAGACCGAGAGACTGAGAGACAATAAACAAGGGGTCTTTATGAACGATCGATGGAAAGGACAGATCCAGAACCAAAGATGCTGGTTCCTTGGATCCTCGCCTGGTGGATCGACGGGTTTCCGTCCCTGATCGATAGGATAGGATTCTATGGTAGGTGTACTACAGAATACTAGTAATAGTACCTACCAAGTAGACTTCCTGAGAGACTTTGTATACTTGTTCTGTTTGATTCTCAAGACGATCAGTGTATTCAAAGAGCTAGTTGCCACCTGACCTGTACATTGTACTCTAGGGTTGATCAGGCCTCTTTATCTATACAAATATATAGACTCTGAAGATACCTTCATCTATACTCAAAGTCTTATAATCTGTTGATTGTACAAAACATCTATATAGTTACCAAGGTACCTAGAAAGGAACCGGGCGTAACAATACGGTAAAACGCACGGATGAACCCTCAACAATCCACGACCTACTTTTCTATGTCTATCACCTACAGACAATATACGATAATATCATAAAGACACCTGCCAGACACTCCGAGTTCCTCCCGAACTTTCCCAATCCCAACTCTAAACAACGGGCGACAAACCAACTGGGGCTACTGTCTCGACCAGTGTTTCATTCGTCCCCCCTGAGTTGCACCAACTCGTCACGGCGCTAACTCTTGGACTGGGAGGGGCTGCCATTATCATCACTTCTTTAGGAATTTATTCTACCTACCTATGGACACCATACAACTCATGGGATGATAGATACCTAACTCACTAATAGAGGGAGGGAGAGAAAAAAAATAAAAGAGAAAAGAAAATCCCTTCCCCCCCCCCAAGCGTAACGCCTCACGCTAACTGCCCTCCATCACAGCCATCACCCATCCGTCACCTGTCACTCTCGTCACAGCGCGTCGCCGTCGGTGATTCAGACCTTAGCTTACAGCTTACAGTCTTAGTCTTGCACATATGTATGGACCACGCCTCATGCAAGTCTCATGCTCGGGCTTGCTTTGCTCTGCTCGGGCCTGCTCTGTCCTGCTCCGTGCACGGCTTGGCTTGGCAAGACATGCAAATGCAAGGTCTGGTCGTGCGAGACGCCACGCCCTTCGTCCCTCATGCTGATTTGTCCCGTCTCTGCCGACTCGCGAGGCCATGCTAAGCTGTGATCTGAAAGTTGCGGTGGTGCATGGATCGGCCGAATTGATCCCCCCCAGTCCTGGGTCTGCTGCAGGTTGGGTCGCATGGAAATCCTGGGCACGGCGGTTGGGGGTATTGTGGACTAGTACATACTGGTGTGGTGGTGGTGTTAGTAGATCGTAGCTGTGCAGTAAGTACAGACTGTTCTGTAGGTATAGGTGTCGTACGTCATACTAAGGCCAAATCATGAGTGTACGACCAACTGCCTATTCGGAAGATGGAAACTGATTTGATAATGCCCTTCGAAAAAAACCGAGCAAACAAAGAATATGCAATAGTCATACAGCTTGAAGAACAAAGCAAAAGAAAACGACACCCTGAATTTTTTGAAAACATATAGGCAAAAAAAAGTCATTGGAATTTATTGATATCTTTCGCATAATTTACCAAAAAAAGGTTGGTTTGTAAACACTGAACTATCATCATTACTGAACGACCTGTGGGCGAGTTCATCCTCGTCAGTCGAATGACCTTTGTTTCTCCCTTTCCATGGACCCATGTCGAAAACGGCCACAGAAAAAGGACGGGGTGTGGATCAGACAAAGGAGAGAAAGGGAATCAAACCTTTTCGCGCAATGAACCCATCCACTGCACCAGACTGACACTCTGGTCGGCCCGGTCCTCCACGAGCATCGTCTGTGCCCACAGGCGGAGACCCGGTTCCCCGTCCTCCTTCACCACGTAGAGGTGCGGCACCACGATGCTGCCCACTCCCTTCGACCGGTGGTCCCGACTCTTCTCGACCACCGCCCGCACTCGCTGGTTGAAGTCGTTGTCCAGATCCGGCAGGTTCTGCTTGCCCACGCGGAGCTGCGACTTGTCGGGCAGACCGAATACGTCGAGGACGAGCTGTGGCACCGCGTCGCGGCCGACCCAGAGGAACTGCGTCTGTCCGTCGTCGATGAGGTACAGTCCAAACGGAACGATACGCTCCGAGGACAGGTTCACCGGGGGAGGAAGGACAATCTCTCCCGTCTGCTCATCGGGCAAGCCCGCATTGTCCGGCATGTCGTGGAGAGAGTACATCTTCGGGTAGATGTACTGCATCAGGAGAGGAAGGGGAAGTGTCGAGAGCAGGCAGAGAGCGGCAGACCGCATGTCGGTCGGAATCTGTGCGGATTTTCGGAGACCCAGCTATAACGCGAATGAATTAGTCATGTACGGTGGGGAGGGAAATGGGGAATCGAGAGGATCCTACATTTTTGATCATAGCCAGGAAGAGAACGGGCAATCCTCTCAGGTTGGCGGGGAACTGGAGACCGCCGCCGCTGACGCTTCCGCCAGCAAGCTCCTTGCGGTACGTCGACAGAAGCTCAACGAGCTTGGCCTGTAACGCCTCGCGGGCAGGTTCCAGGCCGCTGCCGAGCGTCCGCTCAACGGCCTTGTGGCTGAAGTAGGTGGCAATCGCTTGCTGATCCGCCGACGCATAGATATCGGCCAGGTTCTGGGTGGTCGGCAGGGCCAGGGTCAGCACCCGGATTCTTCTCTCGCCGTTGCATGTGGTGTGGAGAACCGCCGTCTGCATGCACACGACGGGTTTCGTGACGGTCTCGTCGATTGCGACCTCAACAACATAGGCCTGGTCGCGAGGGAATGCCGGGAAGGCACAAAGGTCGGAGCTGCGGTTGAAGAAGTTTCCGTAGAACGTGTTCATGCGCAGGCCGGTCGTCGCGCGGACACGGAGCACGGCCTCCAACCCGATTTCGGAAGACAGGTAGTCGGAGAATTCCCGAGCGAACTTGATCGCGTCCTCTCCTCGGGCGGCATTCCAGCCGGGGTAGAAGTACGTCTGACCTCCAGTGTACCTCGGCAGGTTGCTGAGAGACGCCACGTCCTGGTACTGAGAAGAGAACAGGAACATATCCACCGAAACCTGCGCCTTGGAGCACTCGACGGCAAAGCTCTTGTAGAAGCTGTTGGCCGTCTGCAACAGGCTGCTCTCCTTGCTTGTGCCCAAAACCTTCTTGTCCTCTCTCATAGTCAGAGCACCGTGTCCGATGTTCGGAAGAGACGAGCTCAGCACGGTCATCTTTCCGCCGACGGGAGAGATGAGCTTGTAACCGGCACGCAGAGCGGATCCCATCGCACAGGCGTTGTTCTGGGTGTTCTGGAACATTTCCTGCAGCTTGTCGAGGAAGGTCTCGATGTTTTCGCGGCATTCGCTAAGGGTGACGAGGAGGTCTCCGGGGATCGGGAGGAAGGGCTCGTCGAGATCGCTGACAACGAGCATCCGAGGATCCGAGTTCTCCGATCCGTCACGCGGGATGCTGAAGTAGTGGAGGCTCGAGTCAACCGCGACGAAGCCCAGTCGCGTCCGGCGATCTGCGTTGGGAATTCGGTCGAGGCTCTCCTTGATACAGCGGGCACTCGTGGCCAGGAGACCGTTGGTGACCGACGCATAGCTGACATCGATGAGGAAGAGGTAGACGAGCGGTTGCGGAGGTCGGACCATGTATTCTTGGGGGGCAACGAATTCCACCACCGAGTGGTTGAGATCGGGTCTCAGGGCCCGGTCGGCGGGCTTCTGAAGCGTGGTGTCCCAGTCAAACGCCTGAGGTACGTCGTTGGTCAGGTTGCACATGTTGCAGCGCCAGCGATGTCCATGGTCGAGGAAGGTCACGAAAGGATTGATGTAGGATCGGCAGCGTCGGCAACGCGAGATAACTTGATCGGGAATGACTGGGATGGGATCTTCGGCATCGTGGAGGGCGCCGTACGGCTGGATGACCAGGGCGAACGGCAGCTTCGACTTCTTCAGGAGGGAGTGGGTAGTCGGAACGGCGTTCAGGGTGGACCGGACGTATTTCGAAGGGCAGTTGGCATAGGGAGAGGGATAAACGCTTGTCTGGAATACATAGTCAGTAAATACCCTTGCGCACACCGACGAGAGCAATTCGTGCACATACCCCCGGAGGCAAAACGATGGGAGGTGGAGGGTAGTCGAGTTCCGCAACGTTGAATGGCTGTGTGAGGAGATCCGTCGGGTAGAGTTGGTTGAGGGGAACAGCCCGCGGCATCTGGGGGGCCGCTTGAGGAGGCTGAGGAGGCAAGAGGTGCGGATCCGTCATCCCCATTGCGCCAAACTGTTGGGTCATCTGTGCGACGGGTGCGCTTCCATATCCTGGCGCAGCAGCAGCAGCTTGCATCTGGGCCGGGTCAGCTCCGTACGCAACGGGTTGCTGATATCCCGCAGCCTGGGGCTGGGGAGGGTAGGCTCCATAGCTGCCACCGGCGGGCAGTTGACCTCCTAGAGCCGCGTTGGCACCAGAGCCAAAATCAAAGGCCTCTCCGGCATATGCTCGCTTCTTTCTTCCTCCAGCCTGACCATGAGCAGGGGCTCCGGGGACCGTCCCCGCGGGTTGTTGAACAGGGGACTCGTAGCCGACCGGTTGACCGTAGCCTTCCTGGGGAGGATAACCCCCTTGCGGTGCTGCCATGAAGGGTCCTATGTAATTGGTATTTTCGGGGATCGATGGATGGTGGGGGGGGGGGGGGGGGGGGGGGGGTTGTTCAAGAGATCGATCGAGGTCTGACTAGGGGATTATGCAGACGTCGCGGGAAGTTCGAATTAAAGGCTCACTATGTTGGCGGTCAGCTTGGGGGAGGGAGGTGGACAGGAGGGGAACTGGAGCCGGGGACTCTGCATACTAACAACGTAAATTGAACCGAACCAGATCTATAATTTGAGAGATCAAGAAAAAGGGCAAAGACACCACCAGATAGATGGTACCAAGACCGGGGAGAGGGGGCAAGAGGGAGAGGACTCAGAGGAGATGGAATCTTTGGATTCTTGGATGGTGTACGGTGGCCTTTGCGGCCGGGCTCGGGCCAATCAGAGGGGCCGGTAGCGTAGCCGACTCGCCAGAATGCGATTTGGGAAGAAATTAAAGAAAGAAATTCTTGGGAAATTGCATAAAAAGAATAGAAATATGTATTCAGGACGAGTCTAACTAGTAAATGGGCAAACATGGTGGTTGTACAATCTGCGCATGATTTACCACGGGGTGATGATCTCATCCGTGCACTTCTATACTTCCCTTCATACCTACCCTTGTAGTTAGGAGTGCAGTCACTCCACATCTGGTGTTCATAAGTTGCAATATATCCTGTTTATGAACTGCAAATGGTCTTATACAATACGCAAATCCAGGACGTCTAAATTTCAGCGTATACAATTGGAAGTTAGGCACATACCTAGCCTGGTTCACAGTAGAGCTTGTTCAAGGTAGCCACCTTCCATCATATAGTGACAACATTTGAGGGTCCAACAAATGGGTGAACATTTTCGAGTAGCGAACTCTTAGAAAGTCTAGTTATAATCCAACATCAGAGAGCCCATGTATCCGCGTGCAGCCTTTGCGGGAACTCCCACGGTTGAGAAGGTGGAATGCCTGGGGAAGGCCAACGTTGCCCTGCCAACCGCCTGACCGCTGCCAGTCGCACCAAAACGCTCTCCCTATCGTTCTTTCACGAGCCTCTCTTCGCCCGTTCAGTCCATATCCACGCCCCTCAACCTCAATTTCCCACTTTCTGAGGTTTTCTTTTCTGCGGTCTTCTCTTGGGATTTTTCCCTTGTGGTTCCTTGTCGCATTCATCTTACCGCGAGAACCCGTGTTTTTTTCGCATGCTGCCAGCAATTGATAGCTGGAGTTGCTGTTGACATCTAACCCTAATCCATCAAAATAAATAGATCCATATGCACCAAGCATAAATCTTCATCGGAACAGACCGAACCGGCACGGGGACACCACGAACCTGCGCACCCTCCCATCCTACGGAATCAACCACGGAAGCTGCACGATAGCGGAGATCGGCAAAATGAGTGTTCGGGTAGTTGCACGTATCCGACCCCTCCTCAAGTCGGAGCGAGAGCTAGATGTCATCCTCCGAAGCGGCGCGAGCCAGACCGTCCCCGGCAAGACCGAGAAGAAGAGCTCTGAGAATGCGAAGTTGGCCGCACTAAGGGATAGGGATACGTTGGTGCGGATCCCGAACCCGAAGAATGAGAACGAGGAATACTCCTTCCAGTTCAACGCCGTATATGACTCCGACGCCTCGCAGCAGGAGCTCTTCGACGCAGAGGGTGCGTGTCGACCTGCCAGCCTACTTGACTTGTCTTGGAATTGGTGATGGAATACTGATTTTTGTGTTTTCTTGCAGTCGCGCCTACGACCAAGCATCTATTCAATGGATTTGACGTCACGCTATTTGCATATGGAGTTACGGGAACGGGCAAAACACATACTATGCGAGGTGGTAAAAGCCTGGCGGACAGAGGCGTCATCCCCCGTTTTCTGAGCAGCATATACCGACGCAGCCGCAAGATCGAAAAGGACAGTGAGGGCGAGACAACGGCTACGGTTTCTTTGAGCTATTACGAAATCTACAATGACAAGGTCTTCGATCTTCTCGAGCCCCCGGAGAAGAGAACAGTTGCAGGTCTGCCGCTGCGGGACAACGGTGGGAAGACTGTAGTTGTAGGTCTGACGGAGAAGCCATGCTCCAACCTCAAGGAGTTCGAGGTTCTATATGACCAAGCAAATACCAACCGATCGACATCGGCAACCAAGGTTGGTAGTTCGCAGCATGCGCCTTCCTTTAACGCGAAGCATTTGCTAACCTCAACCACAGCTTAACGCCCACTCGTCACGATCTCATGCCATTCTTTGCGTCAAGGTCGCGATCAAAACGGGCGACACCACCCGCGTCAGCACCGCCTCGGCCATCGACTTGGCTGGCTCGGAGGACAACCGCCGCACGGACAATGACAAGGAGCGCATGGTTGAATCGGCCAGCATCAACAAGAGCCTGTTCGTTCTAGCGCAGTGTGTGGAGGCGATCAGCAAAAAGCATCAGCGAATTCCCTATCGAGAATCGAAGATGACCAGAATCCTTTCGTTGGGCCAGAACAATGGATTGACCGTGATGATCCTCAACCTAGCACCCGTCAAGTCCTACCACTTGGACACGCTAAGCTCGCTCAACTTCGCCAACCGCACGAAAAAGATCGAGGTTCGCGAGGTGGAGAATGAGCCCTTGTTCAAGGGTCCCCCGAGACCGGCGATGCGGCCTTCTTTTGCAAGCCAACGACAGCCTCTGCGGCCACTGACGGCCTCGGTGAATGTGAACCTCGCCGCTAACAAGGACAAGGACAAGGACGCGTCCAAGCCCGGTGACGGTAAGCCTATTAAGGCATTCCAGGTTTTCTCCGACGGGCCTCGCCCCAGGCTTTCCACGCAGTTCAAGAAGCCCGAGATCCCCCAACGACCGTCTATGTCCTTCGACATGCACCCGCCTCGGTCTCTGAAACCTAGTCGTATTGCGCAGCCACCACCGCAAAAACACTACGAGGATATCTCTGCGGCCAAGATCGAAGAGATGGTGGAAAAGAAGGTCGAGGAGATTCTAGCTGTCAGAGCAGTCAGCGAACAGTCCCGACAAATTCAAGTTCGTGAACTAAACGAGCAAGTGCAAAAACGTCTGGAACTTCTCGAGCAGCGCATTGAAGGCAGCGAGGATGCAAGGGCCGAGGGACTGTCATATCTGCTTATGGGCAAACAGCACCAAGGGCGCGGAGAAGACGCTTATGCGCTGAAGATGTACCAGCTCGCACTTCCTTTCTTCCCCAACAACGAGAAGCTTGCATCTAAGATCACTACTCTGAAGGAGCGCATCATCCAGGGCAAATCTCGACCCGACGCTGATCTCACAAGCGTAACTGCCCCGCCGTCGGCTCAGAGAGGGCTTGGGAGTATGCTATCACTCAAGAAGCAGCCTGCTAAGATAGGCGCCAAGCGCCAAGCCCATGACTTGGATGAGGACTACGAATATCCTGGTGATAGCACGCTGCAGCCGAGCGATGATGATGAGATCCGCGAGGCATCTCATATCAGACGCAAGAAGCGCACCAAGACCCAGTCCCCTATTGAAGAGGAGCCAGAGGGTGACTGCGACGAATCCACACTCTCTCCTCGGACCATCCATATTCTGTCGATCATCAACACCCGCGACGTCAGCCAAATCAAGCTCCTGAAAGGCGTCGGGGCCAAGAAGGCCGAGGCCATCGTCGACTGTTTGTGTGAGATGGATCAGAACCTAGACTCTCAGGGAGAAGAGTCCCGCGTCCAGATCAACAGTCTCACAGAACTGAGCAAGTTGAAGGGCGTCGGAGTGAAGACCGTGGAAAGCATGAAAACTGGAATTTTGGTATAGACGGGAAGTTTTCGATTTAGCGTCTGCATTACCGGAGCCGAGCTGCAAGCCTAGCATTGTTAACCTGTTTGGTCTAGCATTTCTTTTTGTTTGGCATTTCCCTTCATGGGTTTCATCGTCTGTCCAGATTTGTTGTTCCTTGTGCATTGTTTGTTTGTTGTGTTGTTGTGGATTGCATTTCCGTCGTCAATTTCCACCAGCGAAGGTGTTTCTGGAGTTTTTCTCATTTGGAAATGTCGAATGTCTGTTGTTGTTTGTTCTTCCTTGTGTTGATATATTCCCATTAGCATATTCTCTCAACTTTGAGATCGTTACTCAGTTGCAACCCTTTTTGGCTTATAGTTCGGTTGGATTCCACTTTGTAGGTAGGTAGGTAGGTAGGTAGTCAATGGCATGAATACTCCAGGGTATGGATCGACAATAAAGCAAGGATGTCTCGACGAAGGTCGCCGCTCCTCAGCCTTACATTCTACCGCGTTTTCTGCAAGGGACATTCAAAGGCAGCATAAAAGAAATTTCCATGTCAAACAGAGTCGGCTGTGCTCAAAACACACAAACTTGTCTATAATACAGTACATCGAGCCTGCAATTCAATGATTTCGAAGAGGGAACGAGCAATTCGCTCTTTCACCTAACACATGGGCGGGATAGAAAAATGGACGACGACGACAACGACGACAGCAAAAACAACCGTAATCAAATCAATACAACATTTGGTATTTAGTTCTTCTGCTCCGACTCTGGCTTAGTGAAAATCACCTGTCCGTCCTTAGTAAGTTGCGCAATCTTCTGTCCCGTGCCCTTGATTTCCATTTCCAGTTCTTCTACCGTCCTGGTAGGCGCGTCAGGCGCGGCATTGACTGCCTTTTCGGCCGTCTTGCGAAACTCTACGTCTTCGGACGACGGCGACGACGTCTTCGTCCCCTTTTCTTCGGCGGGTTGCGCGGGACCCAGGGTTAGGCCTCGCGGCGCGTCGGCGATCTCGTTGACTTCCTTGGAAGAGAGGATTTCGTTGATACGGGGACCGCGGGTTTGGAGCAGGATAGTTGTGGGACCGTCGAATTGGAGGAAGAGCTGGATTTCGATGGGGTTAGCATGGGCTGGGAATGAGAATCAAATCAGTGTGGTGTGAATAGGTTACGCACTCTATCTCCCCAGATGGTCATTCGCGACCACGTCCGGAGCTTGTGCAGATAGCTCATTGTGGTTTTCCACGCTTTCGAATCCGAGACGTCTCGGACGAACTTGGAGTCTTGGATGAGTCGTGGCAGGCTCTTGAGGCCGGGGACTTGGAATTTCAGGGTCGTGGATTTGAAGCGGTAGGGACGAGGGGGGTTGGAGGACATGGTGTACGCCACGACGTTACTGGGTTTGTCGTTAGTATTCTCATATGGTGGTGTAGGTCTATCGAGGCCTCTCGAATAGCACAGATGGGAACATACCTCGGGTGCACAATGTATTGCTCTCCTTCTTTCAGCTCAATGGAATACACCTGACCCGTGCCGACAAGGGCCAGCAGACCTCTGCCGGTAACCTCGGAGCTACCCCAGTGAGCCACGCTCTATGCACGTTAGTCTGGGTCCTTCCTCTTTGTCTAGATCCGACAGGAAAAACAGAGCAAACCTACCAGGCTCGTGTTGATAGTCGGCTTGACGGAGAGAGAACGACCCGTCCAAGCAAGCAGCGCCCGTCTCTGAGCCACCATCCAATCCTCCGCACCGTTAAGGTGGACAACGGCAAAAGACGTAACCGGAGATCGCACGGAGATCAAGGCCGTCACCGGGCTAGCGGAGGACACCTACTAGAATATCAGCACACCCATCCATCCCCAGTCATTGATATTATAACGGGTATAAAAACCGACCTTCTGATACAAGAACGGGATCCCGACAGCTGCGCGTCGGAAGGGTTCCAGTATGCTCAACGATGAAACTACCTGATTCAAACCACCCACGACAGTCAATAGATGTTTTAAGGACCATAGCCATGACCATGACCATAGCCATAGCCATAGCGCTCGGAAGGGGTTGTTGTTCCGCATACATTATCGGCCTTCCCGCTTAATCCAACCAAGGTTCCTCGTCGGGTGTACAGGTTCTGCGAGGGGGATAGCGAGACAGATAGGAGGGAGTGCGGTGCGCCGATGACATCGAACCGAGCATCTAGATTCCAAATGCCGTCTTGTTAGCGGTTGTAATCTTTTCGGCGCCAAAGGGAGAAACAAGATCGAGAATCGGGAAACCCGCGTCTCAATGGCTACTCCCACTGAATAGAACGAAATCAGAAGGAGGACATTAACACACCTCTCGACTCTGCCGAGCTAGGCGGCCCAGCCACGGGCAGATTATCACCATTGCCCGACGCAGGCTGTTCCGCGGGGGCAGCGCGAATTTGAAGGCCTCTGGACTGCCATGCGCGGTGCAGCAACGGCGCCCCTTGTCGCGCCCGGAGAGAAAGGGCACGGGTCGAAGGGAGGACCCCGACGCCTCTCCTCAAGGGTTGACTCATTGTCGTGCCTGAGGATCAAGTGCAGAGGGAGAAAAAGTGTAGAGGAAGAAGGGCGAACTGGATGCGCCGACTTGCTCTCCGCGGCGATTCTTCGCGGCCGGATTCACGCGGCCCGATCGGGAATGGCGTCTTGGCGCGGTTTGTATACAAGTCGGTGGCTGTCAATGGCCTCGCTGGGAGTTGCAATGGAGTTGGATTTGGGGATATGTTCTAGGTAAGAAGGTGCCTGAAGGGTCAACTATCTACAGTCTGGGTTATATCCAAGTCTGGCCGAAGAGGAGTTGGTTCCTGTCCGGTTCTACACTGCGTGCACCTCTGATGTCATAGATATCTCACTGTTTGGAGCCTGAAAGCACTTGTTGGGATCCAATGGCTCTGGAGATGTCCTTACACTGCAAACTGAGTATCAATTATGTGTTCTGTCCTTAAGAGTGGGCCTGTGCCCTGGTCTCAGTGCGTGTCTCGAACTACTCATTCTTGCATGCAACCTTGGTGGACGACTCAGATTACATAAATATGTTGAATAGACAGACGGCCTGAGATTGAATTGTAGATGAAGCGAGGGTAATAAAATTTCAAGAGAATGTAGAGGACGAAAATCAAGAAACCATAGTAGCAACTGCATCAAATATCCCAACATGGAAAGGAAAATAAGAAATCGGCGATTGCGACAGAAGCGACGGCGGTCCCCTCATCATCCACGAGCATCTCCGACCCTTTTTCCTCCGAACCCGGCGGTCCCCAAAACCACGACTTTCCCCAATTCTCACCGACAAGAGACCACCGCACACCCTGAACGATGCTCCCTTGATCCTCGTGGAGTTCTCCTCCCGTGTATACGATTTGTCCTGTTTCCTCTAGCGTTTTATACCCGGCCATCATGCTGCCCAGGGCAGCTCGGTCGCCTTGCGTGCGCATCCCCGCACGCTTCATACGGCGCGGTCCCGTTGCACCGCGCTCTTCGCCATGGCTGCCTGTAGCCTACAGCGCCCAGCTGAGGGCGTTTTCGACCACCCACAAAGGCCCGTTACTGAAACAGGCCGTCGACGAACCGCCTATCGAACGCAAATCGCCGAGTCCTGCCTCCACACCGTCGACACCACCCTCGAAGGACGCGGCTGTCGCGCAATCCCCGAAGGATGTCCCGAAGGCCTCCGATACGGACAAGAAGAAGAAGAAGGACTTGCTCAGTGAGAGTACGGTCGCGACTAAAGAGCAGAGGAAAGCCGATTGGGCGATAATGAAGGAAATGGCAAAGTACCTTTGGCCAAAGGTAGGATTCTGGCTCGTGGGAATTGACGTGGGTTGAAAAATGACCCGGTGCTAATTGGGGAACTATACAGGATGATTGGGGTACTAAACTACGTGTCGGAAGTGCATTGTCACTATTGGTAGGAGCCAAGGTCAGTATTCATTGATGGAATTGGTCGTTGGTGTATTAAGAGGGAAGCGCTGACAGAGAGGTGACTAGATTCTGAATGTCGAAGTGCCCTTCTATTTCAAGAGTATTGTCGACTCGATGAACGTGGATTTTGCGGCTCTGGGGGGAACTGCATACACGGTGGCGGGGTCCATGATCATAGCCTGTAAGCAATGGCTGCGTGGTTGCAAATTGCAGGTGGCACAGTGTCTAACGATAATCGTCCAGACGGAGTAACCAGGATCGGTGCTACTCTATTCCAAGAACTTCGAAATGCTGTCTTTGCAAGCGTTGCCCAGAAAGCGATCCGTCGAGTCGCACGGAATGTTTTCGAGCATCTCCTTCGACTGGACTTGAACTTCCACCTCACCCGTCAGACCGGTGGACTGACGAGAGCGATCGACCGGGGAACGAAGGGTATTAGCTTCCTCCTGACATCCATGGTATTTCACGTGGTGCCAACGGCTCTGGAGATCTCCCTTGTGTGTGGCATATTGGTATGACGAGATGATGTCCCCTGTCTCTGCCATGGATGTTGCTGACTGAGCTGGATAGACCTACCAATATGGACTCCAGTTCGCGGCTATTACGACTGCCACTATGGTCGCCTACTCAGCTTTCACGATCACTACGACTGCCTGGAGAACGAAGTTCCGAAAGCAGGCCAATGCGGCGGACAACCGCGGGGCCACGGTGGCCGTGGACTCACTGATCAATTACGAGGCCGTCAAGTATTTCAACAATGAGAAGTTTGAGGTCGCACGCTACGACAAGGCGCTCAAGGCCTACGAAGATGCTTCCATCAAGGTGACCACATCGTTGGCGTTCCTCAACTCTGGTCAGAACATGATCTTCTCTAGTGCCCTCGCAGCGATGATGTACCTTGCATGCAATGGTGTCGCCAGCGGTTCTCTGACTGTCGGTGACCTGGTTATGGTCAACCAACTCGTCTTTCAACTGTCGGTTCCGTTGAACTTCCTGGGCTCCGTCTATCGCGAATTGCGCCAGTCTTTGTTGGACATGGAGACGCTGTTCAACCTACAAAAGGTCAACGTGAACATCATTGAGAAGCCGAACGCGAAGGCGCTCGAGCTCCGACAAGGTGGCCAAATTACGTTCGAGAACGTTACCTTTGGCTACCACCCCGAACGGCCCATCCTGAGGAACGCGAGCTTTACGATCCCCGCTGGCCAGAAATTTGCCATCGTAGGGCCCAGCGGTTGCGGCAAGTCGACGATTTTGAGACTTTTGTTCCGATACTACGATGTCCAGCAAGGCCGAATCCTCGTTGACGGACAGGATATTCGCGATGTGACGTTAGACAGTCTCCGAAAGGCAATCGGTGTTGTGCCCCAAGACACGCCTCTGTTTAACGACACCATCCTGCATAACATCCGCTATGGCAGAATCGACGCGACCGACGAAGAGGTACACAAGGCTGCACAGCGAGCACGGATTCACGAATTGATTGAGCGCCTTCCCGATGGATACAAGACAGCCGTCGGAGAGCGCGGTATGATGATTTCTGGCGGCGAGAAGCAACGGCTGGCCATTTCTCGCCTGATCCTAAAAGACCCCAAGCTCCTCTTCTTCGACGAAGCGGTGTGTTAATCTCAGCCTAGTGTGACAGAAAATAAACTGACGAGCAATGTAGACATCGGCACTGGATACCTACACGGAACAGGCGCTCCTGCAGAACATTAACAGCATTCTGAAAGAAAAGGGGCGTACTAGCGTCTTCGTTGCTCATCGATTGCGGACTATCTGTGACTGCGACCAAATTCTGGTTCTAAAGGAGGGTAGCGTGGCGGAGATGGGATCGCACCGTGAACTCCTCGACCAGAGCGGCATCTACGCAGAGCTATGGAATGGTAAGTGGTCATCATCTTGGCCTGATTCTCCTCTCCGAGGAATCAATGCTAACAGTAGGATGGTTTTAGCCCAGGAAACTTCCCTGGCAGAAGACCAGGAAAGTGAACGGAATGCCGAGCTTGAAGAAGAGATATCGGAGGTACGACAGAAGTAGACTTTGGTTGACTTCAGGTCCACTCACATATACACGCATTCTTTGGAAAAATCGGATGCAAACTCTCCCTTGGTTTGGAGCCGAAAAGATCAACTTTGAAAGGGGGCGCCATGCTGGATGGCGCAATAAGTAAATAGAGCTACCGATCTCCTTTTGACGCACGGAGTATATTATATGTCTTGATTTCTTTTTTGCAGACGGTTGATATTTGATAGACAGTCAGTAGACTGGTGACTATTGTTTCTGGAAAAATTCGAATGGACTGTTTTGAGCACGAACGCGTTGAAATCCTGCAAGCCCTGAATGGGCTGTTATTCGCGATTTGCATCATGGTTGACGCCGGTGCTCAGGTACTCCATAAGGTTGGACCAGACAGGCTAGAGCGGATGATAATACATAATAGTCCAGAGAGTGGAGGCAGCTATTGCTTTAGTGACAATTTATTTCCATTTAGCCCGAACGGCCGGTGAATTCAATCAGCACGCTAGTTGCCATGTGGTTTGAGTGCGTCAACCAGGCCGTGAGTGGTATTTCGATCAGCAAGTTTGGGCATTGGGGAGCCATCAAGTCCCGTTATGATGCCCATGCGTCTACCCAGGATTTAAAATCCCCGAGCGGAGTGGAGCCCATCGTGCGGCCCAGCAGTGACAAATGCCGCCCAAGGAGGACGGAGTGGACGGAGAAGTGTACGCAAGTTCGTCGAGAGGGAAGATGGAACAGGAAAGACTAGAGGCCACGGCGTGACCTGACGGTGCCTGAAGGCCTGAGGGCCTGAGGGGTCGACTGTCAAGGAACCCCTGGCTAAACCCCACATGGCTTAGCGCCACCACCCCAGGCATCCCACCGTCGCATCGCTTCCTTCTAGACTCTCCATTTCTCTCGTCTTCTCCTCCGCTCTTGTCTTTCCCACTTCTTCCCTTCCTTTCCCTGTTCTTTTTCGTCGCGTCTTTTTTGGTGTGGGCTTGTTTATGTCTCTGCTCTGGTGTTGTTTATCCAATTTCAAAAATAACTAAAACCCCCAAGGTCCGAGCCTGACTTATCTATCCCCTCATACTCCGTACACCACCCAACTGCACGCACGGTGGCTTTCGGCGATTCGTCACATCGGCACCTACCCACATTCCTTTCTGCTCCCAGCCATTGCAGCGAACGCTCTTTCAACACAATCCATAAGCCAATCATTTCAGCGACGGACTCCGGGTCATTTCTTCCTTTATCGCTCTTTTCGGTCAACCAGTTCCCGCCTGTCGCTACTAGTCTCCCATAACCTGCGCCCTCGTCCTTCGTTTCCCCAGGTTTAGTCTTGGTGTTCTCCTTTATCTTTCTTTTCTTTCTTTTCTTTTCTCCTGTCTTTCAAAATCGAAAATTTGAGCATTACTATCTAAGCGACCTTCACGAGTCAATCGGTCTAGATTGCTTTGTTTCACAAGGTAGGTTTAAGTTGCCCTCTCACCACTTCGGGAGTGAACCCACGAGTGAGACATGGGTTATCACACAAAACCTTCTCGTGCCCCCAAATGCTAATTTGGTTTACAGGCATCTTTGACGATCGTGTTTCCAATTATTCCTGTCAATTGCTGGTCGCTTCTCGCATTATCGAACCAACATCTTGGCTGAAACCCGCTTACACCCTCTCCACCAACGCACGTAGAACGAACTAGCGTTCGGACCATCAAGAACGACTCGACTCGACACCCCTAGCATCTTCACACTCAGCACACATCATGGGTATCTTCGACAAGCTACAAGCCAGTACGTATCCGACCGTCGTATATGACTGCTAGTCGTTAGCAGCGAACCTCGCTACTCGCCTGCTAACACTTTCCCTCCACAGAAATCGAGCTTTACCGACTAGAGCAGCGGTATGCTCGTCGCAAGCACCGCAGCACATTTTCGGGGGTCCAATACGTCGATGGCGAATATGTCTATACCAACGGGTCGAACTCTTCCTCAGGGACCGTCTCCAAACACTCGACGGGTAGCTACTGGAAGCCTCCCACCTGGGGTTCCTCCGGGGACTCGCGATGGCGGTAACGGACTCGCCCGACTCCCGACATGCTTTCGTTCTTGCGTTTGAATATATATCCTCGACGTTATGTCCCACGTAGAGGATGTCACGATACTTTCCGACCATCACATGTTTTGTTTCTGAATCATGGATCAGTGTTGACTTTCTGAACGGGAAAAGTTCATGATATCGTTTATCTTTTTCTTCTGGTTTCTTGGAGAGCAAGGTCCGGATGCAACACGCGATGAGACAAGTTGGAGACGCCCTTGCTCCTTGCAGCGTTGTGATTGACGGTCCTTGATAGTCCCGAACATGTGTTTCGGGTAAGGCGCCTCACGTTAATGGACGCATGACGCACACGGTGCTCCGATTAACCTTTTTGACACCTTGAAATCGACATGCAAGGTCGATGTCTCGGATCGTTCAATTAAGGTGTCTCACGGACGCAATCATCCCTTTATACGATCTACGTTCGACTTTTTGGTTTATCTCCCGGCATTTCAGCTCTAAAGCATTTTCATTCTCGTCTTTGGCTTCCAAGCGACAAAGAGCTTTACTGGATCTGGTTGATTTCTCTTCTTTACTCTTGTTTACTTGCGGGCATCAGCGAACTGTTTGGCTTCTTTTTCTCTTCCCACCACCTCAATGGCTACTTTCCCTGTACATAGCTTCCAACTACATTTCTTACAATCACAAAGACAGAATATCTGGAACTTTACGTGCAGGATCAAATCTCAAGGTGAGCAATTCGCGTAGATATCTTGGCAACACACATCTTGACCTGTCTAGATCATATAGTATACTTCTTCAATGGGCAGTCGGTGTACAGCGTTTACGTATAATCCAGACTCTAACCCCTTCATCTTTCTCTTCATCCTGCACTATATGAGAGGTCTTTAACCCAAACTCCCGATCACCCGTCTCTTTCTCATCACCCACCCCTCTTTCTCTTCCTATTCCACCTAACAAACCAACAACGAGAGGGAGGAATAGCACCACAATCCAAACTCAAACAACCTATCTCTTAAACTTCTTCCCCCCAATCCCCAACCTCCCCAAATTCGGCAAACTAGATTTATGTCGATGCGAGCCCCCCAAAAGTGATCCTCTCTGCGCAGACTCCGCTCCCCCGGCACCAGTACCAGACGCACCCGAGCCGCCTGGATTCCCCTTTCCCTCAACGCCCCCAAGTCCTCCACGCGGCGTATCAGGGAGGGTCTTATCCCTGGATTGCCGCTGGGCGGGGTCATTGAGGGCGGCTGCTAGGGACGGATTCTGGAACCCGGAGGAGGAGGGACCGTCCAGGTCGTAGGGTCGTTGGGAGGAGGCGCGTTGTTGTGAGCGGCGGGCTTTTTCTTGTACGGATTTGAACTTGTCGAGGAGTTCGACCCAGCGGATGGAGGAGTCTTCGCGCTTGAGGCGGCCTGTTGGGCGTTCGTAGGAGGGGGTGGTGGAGGATGAGGTGGCTGATGAGGAGGATGTGCTTGTTCTGTTTTTGGTTGGGGTGAGTTGTTAGTTTCGGGGTTGGTTAGGGGTGTGGTTTGTTAGGGAGGAGAAGAAGGGAAAAGGGATGACTAACAGTCGAGGACCGGTGTGAAGAAGACCGATGTTGCTGACACTGTTGAGGCGGTTTTTCAACGCGGCAAAGGCGGAGCTTTGCGGGAGGAGCATGAGGACTCCGTAGAGGCATTTGTATAGGTGGGGGTATCTCTCTGGCTCGAGGAGTTGGAGGCGAAGGTCTAAGGGAAACGAGTTTCTGTGTTTAGCATTGGGTTCAAAGGCACTAGGTTTAAGAGGGGAGAACTCACAGGTAAAAACGGGAGATTCGAGCAATTGCACTAGCTTGTCGATTTGGATTAACATGTTGACGGTCATTTCGAGTTCAGCACTGAAGATTGCATTAGCTAGAGGTACTCCTGATTTCAAACCAATTTCACATACAAAACTTGAAGAAGATTATAGGCCTGTTCATATGCCTGGGCTAGAAGGCACAGAGAAAATGTAGAAACGGCATTGTGACACCAGGATCTGAACAGAGCCACAAAGAACATTTGACCCTCCTAATATCATGTCAGCTTGAGGATAAAAAGGGACCCATACGGAGAAAGTACCCTTGAATCCAAATTCCGGAGTCGTTTGCGAAGATCTGAAAGCTCTGGCGCGGTGATCAGGTTGTTGTTCAAATTTTGGACCATGATGCTGGCAAACTCAATGTCCTATGAGCAGAATTAGCTATGGATTCAGTATACCAGATGCCTGCAGACCGACCTCTTCTTTCTCGAGACAGTCTGCCAGGGTTCGATAGATACGCTCGGGGCTCAGGTTCATGCAAAGTTGCCGAATGATAAGATTGCCTCGGACTTCGAGCAAGCCCCGATCCGTAGAGAATAACTGCAGCAGGTTGACCATGAACGATTTGAAATAGCTATCATCACTATTCCGTGATATTTGTGAGAGGAGCTGAAGATCTTTCGTGACAACTGCCTCGGCCGGATCCGACAGTGTCTTGAGCAAGGCGGGAAAAGTTCCATCGTTAAATGCCACCACTTTCTTCGGAGCCTTACGGTGTAGCATAATCAGCCACGAGAGTGCAGCGACTCTGGTGGCCTCGTTCTCATTGAGGAACTGAAGGGTGAGTGAATTGACGGCCGCGGCGTAATCAAGATCTGCTGGCGGGACTAGCGCCGGGGTGGACTCAATACTACTTCGTGGCGTTTGCTCGGTCGAAGATTCTGGTTGTATAGACTGTTTCCTCGAGTCGGCTGTTGATGCGTCGGTAAGCTTACTGCTAGGCGTGGAGGCTCTCCTCTCGACAAATTCCTTACTCGTGGGCAACGCTTTCGAGCTGGATTGCTGAATTTCGTCTGACGTGTCTTCTGACAAAGTGACGATGTATTCGAGTAGAGATGTGTTCACTCTGTTTGCGGCCTGCCGCACCTGATCCGAACCGCTGGACATTGCTGGGAGTACCTGGGTCAGAAGACGCGGCACGAAGGGCAGAATATCTTCGGGGCTGATCTCGAAAAAGTTATCAATCCAGCGGAGTGCGGTCAATTGCATCTCCTCGTCTAGTGATGTGGTCAGCTTAAGGTCAATTTGTTCAATATGATAGGTCATATCTCCCACCGAAAGAGGTGTTGACGAAACCCACGAGGATCTCCAATATCCTCGCATGATCAATCTGGACATCTTGCCCGGGAATCCAGTCGCCATCAACCTGCAATCCCCCATCATCAATGATAGATTCCGAATCGGAATCTTCCACGGCATTCTCATTGCTTTCCGTTTCAACGGCAACGGTCTGCGTCGTCGTAGTGGTTGTGCTGGCGCTGTCACTCGTGCCTGACTGTCTATTGTCGCTTCCCTGGTCTTTTCGGCTCTCTTCAATCCCCTTTTTGAGTCGTGCGATCCTCTTGATCTCCGAAAGAAACCTGTCGAGCAGGGCTTGGGTGGCAACATTCACATCTCTGTTAGTGTCACCCAGGAATTTGATCAACCCGCCTAGAAACTCTGGCAGATAAGAAACGAGTTCCAAATCCGGAATCGTATCCAACAGTGTCAGCCAAGATACTAGAAACATGCGAGTGAACGCGCTGATCACAAAGATGCGCTCTTTTAGGAGAGGGATGAATTTCGGGAGCGAGAAGGCGGTTGGCAGATCTACTTCCTCCACGCTTTCAGAGTCAAAGTTTTGCTTCTCAGAAAGCTGTAAAATCGATACATAGGAGGCAGCAGACTCCGACACAATATCCTTGACCAGTCTATCAAGAAGCTCTGCGCCATTTTTGACGGAGAGTTCGGAATCGGACGCTAACTGAAAATTTATGCCTTAGCAAACAGAACATGGGAAATAGGTTGTTGGCGGAGAGTGTATAGCCTCGAAACTCACTTTACAGAGCGCATCGAATATCTCATTAAAGAACAACAGAACCTCGCCTTTCGCAACCTTGGCGATGTTGTACATGCTCTCACAAGCGTAATATCGGACGCGGGCATCCTGATCGGAAAAACATGCCAGGACCGGGGGTACGATTTCCTTCAAATACGGCGCAACTCCCTCCTGGTGTCCTTTTCTCAGTCCCGGGCCCGATGGGCGCTCATTATTATCGGTTGTTGAACTCACAGATCCGAGTGCAATAGAGGCGGCGGCCAACCCGATCAGACCACCGTTTCTCGCATGCGGTTGGTGTACGGCGTAAGCGTAGTCATGGCAAAGCTGGTCGACGATCTTCTGGATCTCCTCGTGTTCGCCCCGGAATACGGCATCGCGGACGACTTTTTCGAGCCTATAAACATGTCGCAATTTTTGTTAGCAAAGGGCTGGCTGGCTGGCCGGCTGGTGCGGAGGCCGATCTCTCTCTCCGCAATCGTCGGGGGGTTGTCCCTTACTCCAAAGCCCCCTGCTTCCTCCGATCATAAAGCTTGTCATTCAACAGGCGTTGAATTGAGTGATCCATCGCTCAGGTTCAACATAAGCTGGAATGAGTCACGCGCACTGAGCCTCCGCTAGATAATAATGCTCATGGTGGGAAGGGCGATTGATTGTCCAGATGGGGGGAGGGTAAGCGGTGGGTCGAGCTCGTAGCTTCGTTGTAGCTATTCGCGAGCCATCGGCTACGATAATTCGCACGCGATGGGAAACTGGTTAAGGTCTTCTGTCAGCTGCTCGAGCCGCCTCAGCAAGTCGATGTGGGGAGTACTCACAGCAGGATGCGTTGGCAGCGTGGATGGTGCCTTAGCGGACGCGGTGTGACGTAGTGTCAGCAACCACGACTTCTTACCGCCCGGTCCTTTCTTATGTCTTCTGACAGTTTTTTGCCTGAGTTCTGCAAACAAGGTTACAAACAACTACAAAGATGGGCACGAACGAGTTCAGGTTATTACAATGCTTGGTTTAATCCTAGGTTCCTAGATCTATTCTAATTCTAATAGATCTTTTACAAGAAAACAATCATTCGCCATCAATCTCATATCAATGCCAGAAGATGCGCCAAACGGTCAATTCACAATCATAAAGATATCCCAAAAAATATTAGTATAAAGATGAAATCAAATGGATATGTTCCAGTAGACGTAGTAGGCCCAATAAGCAAGCTCAATGACTGATATACTGGAATACCGCAGACACATCATGCTCCCCAGACTCCTGTCGCATCAGTAAATCTTGAATCTTGCTGAATTGTCCCTTCTCGCCGTCATTCACAAAATGATTCCAAGAACTAGTGTCGCCGTAGAGCATGGCTGGTGCCTTTATAAACTGCGATCCGTCCGGCTTGCATCGCTTGCATTTAAATGTGTCGTGCGTGTCGCTGCGAGTCTCCGGCTTGAACTGGAAGAGTTCACGAAGCGATTCGATGGAAAAGTGTCGCTCGACATCTTCGGCCGAATCCACAACACAGGAGGAGAGGGACTGTTTATGCGATTGACGCTGGAAAATCTTCTCTTCAATCGATCCGGTCGCAATGAACCGGTAAACAAAGCAATCTTTCTTTTGGCCATCTCGCCAAACTCGTGCCAACGCCTGCTGATCAGCAGCTGGGTTCCAGTCTGGGTCGAACAACACCAGACGGTTTGCGCCGATCAGGTTCAAACCGCACCCTCCAGCTTTACTACTGAGCAAGAAGACAAACTCCTCTCCGTCTGGGTTGTTGAATTTGTCGACCAATTTCTGCCGCTTGTTCACGTTCATAGTACCGTCCAGTCTCAAAGAACCATATCCTCTCGATCTGCACAGCTTCTCGAAGAGATCAAGAGTTTGCGTGTAGTTGCTAATAAGGACGATCTTATCATTAGTATCCTGACGTATCCGTGCAAGCATCCTATCCAAAACCATCATCTTTCCTGAATACCAAGACTTGATATCCCGATCTCGCCCACGCCCTTCCGGAGGAACGTAGTCGTCAGGGAAGGCAAACTCGCAGCCTGGAAGATCGTTGGAAAGATTGAGCAGGTCCGGATGATTGCAAAGTTTTTTCAAAAGTCCAATTGCTTTCAAAGGTTGGCTTCCTTTACCCCTGAGCAAGCTTCTAATCTCGGGGCTCTGGATGAAGTGGTTGTATAGGTCACGTTGGAACTGTGATAGGCTGCAGAAAACGACATGCTCGTACTTGACGGGCAAGTATTTTGACAAGATGTCATTTGTCCGGCGAATAATGAACTTGTTGACGATGCCAGAAAGCTCTGCCAGTCGCTCGTCGCCCTTTTTGCGGTCTTCTTCCGTCCCTGCCGCGTCTCTTCCTTTGAGGATGGGTAGTTCGAACTTCTTCCGGAACTCATTTTGTGACCCTAGTAAATCGGGATTGGCGAAATTCAGTAGCGCAAAGTATTCCGAAAGGTCATTCTGGATTGGAGTTCCGGACAGAATCACACGGCGCTGCACGTTCAAGCTATTGAGAGCAGTCCACGTCAGACTGTCCTTGTTTTTGAGTCGATGCCCTTCATCGCACAGGAGCAGTCCGATTGGACTATCTCTCAGCGCGTCGACGTACAACCGGAGTGTTTCGTACGACACTATGAGAACCGGTCTTACGACCGAACGGCCTGAAGCAATGGCCCATTGCTTGATCTGTGTGGTAAGCTCTGCCTTTGACGCCTTACCGTCAATGGCGAAGGGAGTGGTAGCATCTTTGCCCAACCATTTCCCTGAGAAACTTGTCAGCGGACGTCTAGAAGGAACAGCGACATGTCTTACCTAATTCGTTGGCCCAGTTCCCTACCAGACTAGACGGGCAGGCAATGATACATTTCTGAATGAGGGTCTTTCCTGCTTCTGGAGATTGCTTGAGTAAAGTCCACATCAATGAAATGCATTGAAGCTGCTGCTGTCAGTTCTACTCTAGCCATGTAGATCGAGATAATCGTACCGTCTTTCCCAGTCCCATTCCATCGGCCATGATACAGCCATGTGCATTCGGATCGACCATTCCAGTTGTGCAACGATAAAGAAACTACAAGTAAGTTGGATTAGCCGGCTGAACTCTTGATGTGCATGAGAATTTCGTGAACAACCTTAACGCCTTCAATTTGATGAGGCCGTAGGACTTTAGCCAGCCTTGGATCAATGACGACCGGGACTTTCGGGCGCTCTTCAACATTCTTCTTCAGTCCAAGAATATCTGCCAAACTCTTATGTACCAATGGTTCATCCAACTGCTGTTTTGAATTTTCGGGTTGCGTTTCTTCCGCTTTCTTCGGTTCAACATTTTGGTCGATGTCATCAACGGTCGGATCGTACAGCACTATCGCAAACTCGCCACTGGGATCATGCAGAGGCTTCACAACAAACGTTGCGCCTTGTCTCATCCCCAACGTGGGTGCCGGTCTAGAGCTATCATAGTTGCCCGCCGACTTGTTGATCAAGGGTATTTTGAAATTTTGCCTGAACACCGTCTCTTTATCTTTCGCCTTGAAGACGGGAAACCTGTTCACGTCTCTGGTGGCAAGGGCCAATCGGTCTTCGTTGGTGTACGGCTTCTCATCCTGGGCACTTCCATCCGCTCCGGCATAGTTCACTTTGCGTCGCTTTCTCGAGGGCTTCTCTGACGTTCGCGTTGGCGTCGCGGTACCGGGACATTTGAATGGTTTCGCGAGACGGTCGAGGGATACGGGCGTGTTGCTTTGCGGATACTTCGAGGAGGGCGTGGTATCGCCACCGGCTGGGCGCGGTCGATACCTGTAGATGTTTAGCATTGGTTTTGCAAATGGTCCCGAGGTTAATTATTAGTACATGAACGCAGCTTCCAGAAGTAAACACGCGGTGAGACCCTCTTCGGCAGAGTAAACTGTGGTCTGTTGTTGTCAGTAGGGCAGTTAGTTATCAGCGGCGACTTGATGACAACACGCGTTGATCCTCCATGCGGCGCGTTGCCTAAGGCTGCCTAGAACACCAAAGTGTCGCGGAGGCACGTGACCCATGTGGAATTGCCTCGGCACCGGCCCCTCTTGGAGCGGGGACACTTGGGTGGCCAGGAACAATGGACTGGTATCTTCAGTCTCTCATCGTTGAAATTCGGGCCCATGTCGTCGGATTTCTGGGCCGGGTACCTTAGCGGTGCCGTAGGGATCATCATCGGCAACCCGCTCGATCTCGTCAAAGTACGACTCCAGGCTGGCCAGGCAGGAAGCGCTGCAACTTCCCCGCACCTGCATGTGAGCCGCCTTGAGAATGCACGCAACCTGGTGCGAGGTATGTCCATCACACTTCACGATACTACCTTACATTTCTACCATTGATTGGCGGATACTTGTCTAACGATATCCCCAGGCGCTGCTGCTCCCATTCTCGGATATGGAGCCCTCAATGCCATTCTCTTTGTCGCATACAATCGGTCGTTGATGTGCCTGGACAACTCGATACTCGATCCCACAAATCCCCAAACCACCTCGCTCTATAAGATATGGATTGCCGGTGCTGCAGGAGGAGTCGCCAGCTGGACTGTGTCGTCTCCAACGGAGTTCATTAAGTGTCGAGCGCAGCTTGACACCCGACCAGGAGTTTCCTCCTGGACCGTTGCGAAAGACATTCTCCGAACCCGCGGGTGGAGGGGCCTGTACTACGGAGGAGCCATCACTTGTGCCCGGGACTCCATTGGCTATGGATTTTAGTAGGTGACCGAGTCTTCCCCGTCTTGAATGTGACCATTCCTCGTTTGACCCACGACTAATCAATACATCACAGTTTTTGGTCTTACGAATATTGCAAACGATTGATGACGTCCGAGGATGACGATGCACGAGCCGCCGCACTGAAGGTCCTTCTTTGTGGCGGGATAGCGGGAGTCGCCACGTGGGCATCGGTCTTTCCCTTAGATGTAATCAAGACTAGGCTCCAAGCACAGACGATTGCAGGGCAGCCCGAAAACCGCCAGTTGTTACCGCCGCGGCATGAGCGAAGGGTGTTAAACACATTTCAACTATTCAGAGAGGCCTATCGCGCTGAAGGACTCAAGGTCTTTTACCGTGGCTTAGGCGTCTGCAGTATAAGAGCGTTTATGGTAAATGCTGTTCAGGTATGTTTTTGACCTCTTTGTTTTCTTATCCTGTTCGGTTTGCTGATTCAATGGACTAGTGGGCTACATACGAATGGCTCATGAAGTATCTTAACGCCGACTGGACGCAGGTGCCTACTAACGTTGTTGCTAAAGAAGTTTAGAGCTGTTATATAGAGAAAGTATAGTAGTCACCTTTTTGTTGCGATACGGGGCACAGCCGATCTACTCTCCGTGGGCCGGGTGCCCGAATCTCTTCGGATATATATTTGTTGTTCGGTTCCCAACCACGACCCTTCATTCGGGGTTCTCCCCATACACTCTGTATATAGCCAAGCTGGTTTTGAATTAGGCCAATAGATCTGGTTCCCATTTAGATATCCGTGCTACTAGACATATATTTGAAAGTCGGCATGGGCCAAGTATAAGAAGCCTAGAGATTGACAGACACGTCGACCACAAACATTTCGACTCGGGATCCCGAGTGTTGGAAAACCACTAAGACCGTAAAATCTAAATAGAAGAGGCTGGACTTTACACCGTACAAGACAGCAAAAACTTGATTGGAGTGCCAACCTACAGTTCCATACAGACACCGGCCGAAAGGAAGACCAATGAGAAAGCCAGTAAAACAAACACTACAACCCTACGGTGTACTCCTACCCCGTACTCACGGCTCACCGAGTTGAATACTTTCATTTTGATTACTCGGCTATGGAGCAGATGCCAAAAAAAATCGTGTAATATTATTGCAGCTTGTAAATAAATTTCGTTCTAATGGCAGTAGGGGCCGACTGGGTGGGTCTTTACTATCCAGCATTCCGAGAAGCGGCGCTTTCGAACGGGGGGTGACCGCCAGACGAAAGCAGCGCAATTCGGGGATTCCAGATTCGGCCGTTCGCTTTTCCGGCGGTTTTCGGCACCTTGTGCAGTTCACGTGCCTGCCCTTTTTGTTTTTTTGCGCCGATCGCTGACTGTCCGACTGGCCAATCAGATCGCGTTCAAGACAACGTCGAGGTTGTAGATATCGCGCCGCAAAATTTTTTTATTTGGTGAAGAGGCCCGGCCCAGTGTTGTCGGCTTCCCATAGAGCTCTCCCATAGATTGGTAGGAGAACTTGCTGCTTCGCATTGAAAATCCATCACCTGGCAACTGCGGAGATCGGTAGGCGAAGATCTATTCCTCCATGTCGACGACGGTCTCCTGCGACCGTTGGCCGTTATCGTGGCGCAAACCCACGGCGGCGTCGGAGAGCTTTTGGGTATGAGGTTCTTCGCGCAGGATTTTCACTCTATCAATCGTAGACAAGTCAGCGCAAATTCGCGAAACAGCGTTCGGCGCATAAAAACAGATAACCGACCTTCTCTTGTGGTTCTTGCCCTTCCGGTGGGCGATCATGTTGTGCTCGCTTTCAAACCATTTCGAACATTCGACGCAGTAATGCTTTCCGAGACCCGGGAGGTCTTCGAGATCTTTCGTTTCTTTGTACTGCTCCAGATGGCGCGGAGATTCGATGTCGCTCCGGACTTGGTCATAACCCCTGTAGATTACCCTGCGTTAGTCGAGCAAGATATGGTGACAGACAATATCGCAACATCGTAGTAGAATAAGAAGAAAGGTGATAGAAGAGAGTAATACCTAGTTAGACGCTTCGTCTTGAGTCTTCTCACGGGCGCCATAATTATGATTTAATTTTTTTTTATATGATTTAATTTTTTTTAATATTGAATATTCGACAGCTGTATGCCAAAAACAGGTTGAGTCCCCGGTCGAAGAGAGTCGCGAAGGATTATCACCGATAAACGGAAACGAGAGCGGGTCGAATTCAGTCTTCTGTGTGCGACGAGAGAGAAAAGTAGGAAACGGGCGGGCTGTGATTGGCGCCGGTCCACGGGGGTTACCGTCGGCAGGCCTCGGCTCTGACTCGGCTCTCTCCGTAATTTATGACGTTTCCTCTGTTCGGCACGTTGCTCCGGACTACCCAGCGTGAACCGGTTAATAATCACGGTTCCATCTAGATTATATTATGATTGTGAGGATATAATTGAATGTCACTTTTTTTTATTATATATATATAAATCAGAGATAGGGGAGTTCTCCAAATATAACACTCAACGAGTGTTGACTACTCCCCAAGAGGTTGGTGAACCGAAGGCAAGGAAAGGTAGGACTGAACGACGCATCCATGATGTCGTAGCAGGATGTAATCATTTGCATCTGATTCGTCACCCGTGCTGCTACCCGTCTCACATGCGCCGGTCCACCGGACTACCTGGTATCTGTATTACATTGTACTGTGTACACATTGTAAGGTCAGGCAGACCATTCACAGTGAAGTCGTTTCGAATCATCCGTCCGTGGGGAGGCGCCGAGAACCTAGGTTCGTGAAAGAAAAAGGAAACAATTAAAAAGAATAAAAATAAGAATAAAAATAAAAATATCTAGGCCTGTCAAAGGACTAAAGAAGGGGGAATGTGCGGGTTGCCCAGCCACTTCCTTGTCTCCGGTACCTAGAGTACTAGTCAGAGCGTCCCGAATGCGTACGGGCGGCGGTATTGTCACGAGCGGTTACGGTCCTCGTCGCCGGTTCAGTCAACTTAGGGATTTCTTTTTCCCACTCTAAAAAAACACCAAGCTTCCTTTTATCTACTCCATTCTCCCTTGATTTCTCCTTCTTCTTCTTCTTCTTCCTCTTCCTCTTCTTCCCCCCTCTCCACTTCATCCTTTGCTGCTTCGATCTCCTGAAGTTAGCTTTCTCCTGCTGCTTTGGACTAGCTCTCATTGGAAGTGTCGCGGCCTTCGCATAGAGAGCTTCCATCATGATCTCCACAAGGCTTGCGCGCATGGGTGCGCTGGTAAGTCCTCCCGACTCGCCTCTTCTGCCCTCGGTGCTCGTGTCGGTCTCGTCGCTCGACGTGACGGCAACCGAGCCGGCTCGCCTGGGCTCGTTTCGGTCGAAATCAAATGCTAACGTGTCTTCGCTTTAGGCCCCTAAGTCCCGTCTTGTAAGCTCCCTCTCGCTCGAGTTTCCCTGCTTGCTGCAAAGCTGCGTAGGGAAGAAAGAAAAATCGCCACGAGTTTGCGCTCTGCAGAAATCGGACACTAACATGCCGTGCAGTTCCTCGGGTCTCGGGGTCTGGCCACCGTCAACGAGTCTGCCCTCGACAAGAAGGTCGAGATGACCAACTCTGAGAAGGTGAGTGGTTGCGAGTTCCCCTTCCGCTCTCCCGGCTCCGTCGGCTAGAGCGGGTATTTCCCTATACGGAAGGCAGCATTGGCTAACCACAATCTTTGCAGGGTAACTTCATTAACTACAAGTATGCTGGCGCCCTTCCTATCATTACACCCCTTTCTTGGAAGCTTCTGCTCGATGAAATCTCAACGGGGAAAAATGAAAGAAATTGTATCAGGGAATGAGCGATCGTCTAACATGTCTTTCACTCCTATAGGAAGATGTCCGAGAACCTGGACATTGTTCGTCGCCGATTGAGCCGTCCCCTTACCTACGCCGAGAAGGTCCTCTACTCTCACCTGGACGACCCTCACGGCCAGGACATTGAGCGTGGTACTTCCTACCTGAAGCTCCGCCCCGACCGTGTTGCTTGCCAGGATGCCACCGCTCAGATGGCCATCCTTCAGTTCATGTCCGCTGGCATGCCCTCGGTCGCCACCCCTACCACCGTCCACTGTGACCACTTGATTGAGGCCCAGGTTGGTGGTGAGAAGGATTTGGCTCGCGCCAACGACATCAACAAGGAGGTTTACGACTTCTTGGCCTCCTCGACCGCCAAGTACAACATCGGTTTCTGGAAGCCCGGTTCCGGTATCATCCACCAGATCGTCCTGGAGAACTATGCCTTCCCCGGTGGTCTGATGATCGGTACCGACTCTCACACTCCTAACGCTGGTGGTCTCGCCATGGCTGCCATCGGTGTTGGTGGTGCTGATGCCGTCGACGTTATGGCCGGTCTCCCCTGGGAGTTGAAGGCCCCTAAGGTCATCGGTGTTAAGCTTACCGGTGAGCTGTCCGGATGGACCACTCCTAAGGATATCATCCTTAAGGTTGCCGGCCTCCTGACCGTCAAGGGTGGTACTGGCGCCATCATTGAGTACCACGGCCCTGGTGTCAACTCTCTTTCTTGCACTGGTATGGGTACCATCTGTAACATGGGTGCTGAGATTGGTGCCACCACCTCGATGTTCCCCTTCAACGACCGCATGCACGACTACCTGCGCGCCACCAAGCGTACTGCCATTGGTGACTTCGCTCGCTCGTACGCCAAGGAGCTCCGTGAGGACGAGGGCGCCGAGTACGACCAGCTGATTGAGATCAACCTGTCTGAGCTTGAGCCTCACATCAACGGTCCCTTCACCCCCGATCTTGCCACTCCCATCTCCCAGTTCAAGGAGGCTGTTGAGGCCAACAAGTGGCCCGAGGAGCTGAAGGTCGGTCTCATTGGATCTTGCACCAACTCTTCCTACGAGGACATGTCTCGTGCCGCTTCCATCGCCCGCGACGCCCTTGACCACGGTGTCAAGTCCAAGTCTCTGTTCACCGTTACCCCCGGTTCCGAGCAGATCCGTGCCACCATCGAGCGTGACGGCCAGCTGCAGACCCTCGAGGAGTTCGGTGGTGTCATCCTTGCCAATGCCTGCGGTCCTTGCATTGGTCAGTGGGACCGTAAGGATGTGAAGAAGGGCGAGCCCAACTCCATCATCTCTTCCTACAACCGTAACTTCACTGGCCGTAACGACGCCAACCCTGCTACCCACGCTTTCGTCACCTCCCCCGACCTTGTCCTCGCCATGTGCGTTGCTGGTACCCTCAAGTTCAACCCTCTCACCGACAAGCTGAAGGACAAGGATGGCAAGGAGTTCATGCTCAAGCCTCCCTCCGGTGAGGGTCTTCCCGCCCGGGGCTACGACCCCGGTCAGGACACCTACCAGGCCCCTCCCGCCGACCGCCAGTCCATCAGCGTTGCCGTCTCCCCCGAGAGTGACCGTCTGCAGCTCCTCAGCGGTTTCGCCGCTTGGGACGGAAAGGACGCCAACGGCATCCCCATCCTGATCAAGTGCCAGGGCAAGACTACCACCGACCACATCTCCATGGCTGGCCCGTGGTTGAAGTACCGTGGACATCTTGACAACATCTCCAACAACATGCTGATTGGTGCCGTCAACGCCGAGAACGGCGAGGCCAACAAGATCCGCAACGCTTTCACTGGCGAGTTCGATGCCGTCCCCGCCACTGCTCGTGACTACAAGGCCCGCGGCGTTAAGTGGGTTGTCATCGGTGACTGGAACTATGGCGAGGGTAGCTCCCGTGAGCACGCCGCTCTCGAGCCCCGTCACCTGGGTGGTCTTGCCATCATCACCCGCAGCTTTGCCCGTATCCACGAGACCAACCTGAAGAAGCAGGGTATGCTTCCTCTCACCTTCTCCGACCCCGCCGACTACGACAAGATCCAGCCCACCGACACCGTTGACTTGCTCTGCACCGAGCTCGAGGTCGGCAAGCCCATGACTCTCCGTGTCCACCCCAAGGACGGTGCCGCCTTCGATGTCAAGCTGAGCCACACCTTCAACGAGTCCCAGATCGAGTGGTTCAAGGACGGTTCCGCTCTTAACACCATGGCTCGCAAGGCTGGCAACTAAATTGATAGTTGACTGTGCACTTGACGGCGCCTGGTTGACGAAGATTCGTTTGTAAAATATGTTCCGATTGTTTCTATCAACCAAGAGGAAACACATCGCCCCCAATTCCCCCGTTGGTAGTGCATGGCTATGCCTGTACTACCTCGGGGCTGGAGGCTTCACCCGGTGCAATGCCGCACCGCAGATATTAGCGGCTGCTAATAGTATTTCTTATGATGGGAAATGCGGAGTCGAGTTCGAAAAATTTCTAACGATTTGCTTATTTCTTTCTCTGCCTTTGCTTTGTACTCTTTGAGTTTGGGTGGACTACATGGATATAGTCTTTGCTTTATTTTTCATTTTTGTTATATCATATCACCTACTGTATGTTAGGACTGCATGCATACCATTTTTCCTTGTGTTCAAAACTTCGTCTCTTCTGGATTCTGTTCCGTGGTCTTTCAACTGCATAGAACTAGAGCCAATCTGGAGTGCCATAATACCGTATCTGACTCCTTCACCTTGTAGAGCAAACCGTATAAACCGTAAGCCAAAGCACGAACCTTCTGCCGTGGCTGACATAATATCGCGTGCTCAGCCGAGGCCTTCGACTTGTTGCGTGCCCCGCCGGGGAGATAACCTAGGTTGCCGTTGCGAGCGGGACTATATCGCGGTTCCTTGGATGTAGACAGCTTCCGTTTCCTGTAAACTTACCGACCCCCTTTTATCTACCACCCACAATTACATGTACTATTGTCGCTATTGCTAATCATCTCTCCGCTCATCACTCACCACTCATTAATTCAGGTATGGTCATGGCTGCGCAACTCGTTCCCTTACCGGAGGTGGAGAGACTCAGTTCCTCGGTGGTGAGGATCTTAGGTGGAAACCCGGGCAAGGTTGGTTAATGCTGATGTTGTCCATCGCCTTGTCTGATTCACACGCTGATCCTCAACTACTAGTTCACATTGCAAGGTAACATCTTCTACTCGCTCCCGGAGTGAGGGTCTGTTAATCCGAGAATCGCTTATCCAGGAACAAACACATACTTGGTCGGCCGAGGACATCAACGGATTCTCATCGATACGGGTGAAGGCAAACCCTCCTGGGCGTCGCAACTCCAAGCTTTACTGTCACAAGAGAATGCCACCGTGCAGGAAGCGCTCATTACGCATTGGCACGGAGATCATGTCCATGGGATCCCAGACTTGCGGAAAATTTGTCCCAATGCGACAATCTACAAGCGCGATCCGGAAGACGGCGAGATTGATATCGAGGATGGTCAGATTTTCAGAGTGGATGGAGCTACGCTGAGGGCGATGCACACGCCTGGGCACACCGCTGATCACATGGCTTTCGTTCTCGAGGAAGAGGATGCTATCTTCACCGGAGACAGTGCGTGGTTGTCCTGCGCCACTTCCGACCAACGATTGTTCAAAGGCTAACTCTGGTTCTTTCTTGCTAGATGTTCTGGGCCACGGGACTGCCGTTTTCGAAGATCTGAGCGTGTACTTGTCTAGTCTGCAGAGAATGCAGAATCGCGTTGGCGGCCGCGGGTATCCTGGTCATGGAGCGGTGATTGAGAACGCCACGGCCAAGGTCACGGAATACATCAGACATCGACAGCAACGCGAGAATGAAGTGATTCGAGTCCTACGATACGGCAAACTTGACGTGTCCGACCACGAACGATCGCCCGAACGGAAGCCATCCATGACGCCCCTCGAACTCGTCAAAGTGATCTATCGAGATGTTCCGGAAAGCCTCCATCTGCCTGCGTCACACGGGGTCCTGCAGGTGCTGATGAAACTAGAGGTCGAAGGGAGGACAGTTCATGACACGGAGACGGGAAAATGGAGACTAGCAGGGAAGTCTACGCTATGAATGCGCCCCCCGAAAGTTCTACGAGATGCACAGTCGAACAGGTGGGACATCAGACAGCATTGCAGCAAGAGAACCTGCCGCTATCGACCATGACGCCATTGAATGACATCCGGGACAGCTGTGTTTTCTGGGAGTGGAAGTCCGTGGCTATGAAAGCGCCAAACCTATCAGACGGCGTACGGAGTCGGTAGGAGTAGTTGCCTTATTTGTATTCTTTGTTGGAATTCGACTCGTATTTAAAGTTCCCAGCGTTGGCATCATCGTTGATCTCCACGAAGCATCGTGACTGGCTGGGTGGCCATCCGCATCTGACCTCATCGCCGAGACTTTCTGCCGCGCAGTACCACCTTTCGCTTCCTCTTCTTCCTTTTCTTCTGTCTCTCGCTTCCCCGCTTAACGCTCAAACTTCCCCTTTCTCTTCTCCCCATCATCTCTCAACACGACTTGACAGTGAACCCGCAGGACAAGAGAAATATCAGATCTCCATCTAGTCGATGAACTTGCTAGTGAAGAGCCTGAGCAACCCGCCGCCTTCCGCATTAACAAACCGTGTCGTTCTGTCGAAGCTTGGGTCGGTTGGTCCGCGCGCTTGGCCAACTGCTGGGCTCTGAGGTCACCCCTTCCAACTCTTTCAGTCTCCCCCCCGCCGGGCCTTCAAACTGCTGCTTGTCGCCCCGCCTCGGCGAGCTGTTCGTGATCCACGCAGCACTGCTTCCCTCCCCCATTTAATTCTTCTTTTTCACCGGCTCTACCGGGTACATTGGACCCTTATTGTCAATAGATTTTTTCTTTCTTACCTATCTTTTGTCCTTCCGCAGTGTGGTCCTATCGTTTCCTTCTGTAATAAAAATATCCAACCAAAATATTCGCATCCTCTGAAGGCTTGATCATTTTTATCTCCATTCTTTTCCTGAGCGATTCCAATACCTGCCCTCGCCCGTCCGTATTCGGTCTTTGTTTCCTTCGTGGGCTTCAATCGCATATACAGCGTCTTGCCAAGTATCTCCCGTCGACATGCCTTCTCTTGACAACGCCGTCAAGAACGATGCAAGGCTGCTTCTTGTCTCTAACCGGCTACCGATCACCATCAAACGCTCCGAGGATGGCAGATATGACTTTTCAATGTCCTCTGGTGGTCTCGTCAGTGGTTTGAGTGGTCTGTCAAAATCTACTACCTTCCAATGGTATGGCTGGCCCGGCTTGGAGGTTCCCGAAGAGGAGGTGCCGGTTGTCAAGCAGCGGTTGAAGGATGAGTACGGGGCCGTCCCCGTATTCATCGATGATGATCTTGCAGATCGCCACTACAACGGCTTCTCCAGTCAGTTCACCCTACTATGTCCCTAGTTTACGCAGTCGAAGTACATTTATATCAAAGAAATATCTCGGATGATGTCATTTGCTGATAAGACTCCCCGTCTTGGTTAGATTCGATCCTGTGGCCTCTTTTCCACTACCACCCCGGCGAAATTACCTTCGATGAATCCGCCTGGGAAGCGTACAAAGAAGCAAACCGCCTTTTCGCCAGAGCCGTCGCGAAAGAAGTTCAGGATGGCGACTTGATCTGGGTCCACGATTATCATCTGATGCTTCTCCCCGAAATGCTCCGGGAGGAAATCGGGGACACCAAGGAGAATGTCAAGATTGGCTTCTTCCTGCACACGCCATTCCCTAGCAGCGAGATTTACAGAATTCTCCCGGTGCGGAACGAGCTATTACTAGGCGTCCTACACTGCGATCTCATCGGTTTCCATACCTATGATTACACCAGACACTTCTTGAGCGCTTGCTCGCGCTTACTGTACGATGAGTCCCGTTCCTACGTGCTGTGCATGGATGCTAATTTGGAATCTCCAGAGGTCTTGCAACCACTCCGAACGGGATAGAGTTCCAAGGCAAAATTATTGCGTGTGGCGCATTCCCGATTGGCATCGACCCGGAAAAGTTCCAAGAAGGGTTAAAAAAGGAAAAGGTGCAGAAGCGGATTGCAATGTTGGAACAGAAGTTCCAGGGCGTAAAGCTCATGGTTGGCGTCGACCGTCTTGATTATATAAAGGGTGTCCCTCAGAAGTTGCATGCGCTTGAGGTGTTTCTGAGTGATCATCCGGAATGGGTGGGTAAGGTTGTCTTGGTTCAGGTTGCAGTACCTAGCAGACAAGACGTGGAAGAATACCAGAACTTGAGGGCCGTGGTGAACGAGCTTGTCGGTAGGATTAATGGCAAGTTTGGTAAGTCTCCCTCGGTAGCCGTGTGATGATCGATGGCTAACGCGCTGCAGGCACCGTCGAGTTTATGCCCATTCACTTCTTGCACAAATCTGTCAATTTCGACGAATTGCTTGCTCTCTACGCCGTCTCCGATGCCTGCATCGTCTCATCTACCCGAGACGGCATGAACCTTGTCGCATATGAATATATTGCTGCACAGCAGAACCGTCACGGCGTTTTGGTGTTGTCAGAATTTGCCGGCGCAGCTCAAAGTTTGAATGGCAGTATAATAATTAATCCCTGGAACACGGAGGAGCTTGCCGGCGCTTATCAGGAAGCTGTTACCATGAGCGATGAGCAGCGAGCCTTGAATTTTTCCAAACTGGATAGATATGTCAACAAGTACACAAGGTATGTGCCCACTCCCGCTACATATTCACAACGACAACGACTCTAATATTATACAGTGCCTTCTGGGGTCAGTCATTTGTGACTGAACTTACGAGGATATCCACCCACTCCGCCGAGAAATTCCATTCTAGAAAGGGTCTCTTAGGCAACGGCAACGGCGAGCAGGCTAATGGCACTTCAACTCAGGAGAACGGGCACTTGGCAGTACCGTCGGCTTGATGATCCTGCCTGTTACTCTCTTCACTGGGGTGATGTGTAAATGTATGAATGAATGATGCCTCAGATTATGGTTTCCCTTTTTCTTCTTGTTCCATTTTCCATGGCTTTGATGAATCACCGGGTATGGCGCAAGGAGTCTACTTTCAATGAATTGGCTACGTTTTTCGGTTACATATGCAATACTTCGAGTGTGATTCTAGTACTCTAGACCATGGAATGGGAATTAAGGTTCGGTGTTGGTATTGTACAAAAGCATCTTGTTTCCTTAGCCAGGTCAATTTTTAGGTGCATCTCAAATCTGCAAATGCAATTTTAAAAATTATGTCAAGTATGAAATAGTAATAGACTATTCATCATGGAAGTTGTCGAACGCATGAATAGCTATTCATAGTTGCTACATGCAATCTGGGGTGGTTGGCTTGGATATGGGCGATGCAAACAATGCAAACACCCCGAGAGAAATTCTCGGACCTGCGGCGGACTTCAAGGACCTCCATCGCATTGAACGCTTCTTAGCTTCGACCATTGAGCCTGGTCGACCATCTTTTTTCCCATAGCTCCCTGCCGAAATTATTGTACAAGTGGATTGCAAGATTAGGCTCGGCCTCACATCTTCTCCAGCCACCGCTCTTACGCCCCGTTGTGGTTCTCCCCGGCCATATTGCTTCCAGCGTCCGTGATACCTACGAGCATCTCTACAACCACAGAAAATGTCTCCGAGTAATATCCTACGGGCCATGCAGCCCCTGCGATCCTCCGTCCTCAGAACAGCGACAGGCTCGTCCCCTGCCGCGCGCTCAACACCGAGCTTCATTTCCGGGCTGGCACCATTCCGACGATCCAACTCTACTACCACCACCACCACTCCCCCTGCCGAGTCACAGTCCTCGCCGTCGACACCGCTATCTACCCCCCCCTCTCTCCGAAACTACGCCTACTCGACCAAGACCGGCACCGTCGAATCGGTCGGCCGCATGGACCGCACCGTCCGCGTCAGCCACCGACACACCAGCTGGGACTCGCACCTCCAAAAGACCTTCCCCAAGGTCACGACCTTCCTGGTGTCGGATCCGAACAACTCGCTCCGCGAGGGCGACGTGATTGAGTTCTCCTCTGGCGCGCCGAAGAGCCGGAACGTGCGGCACGTCGTGGAGCGTATTATTGCCCCCTTTGGAACGAACATCGATGAGCGGCCGCCGGTGAAGACACGCGAGGAGAGAGAAGCCGAGCGAGTTGCCAAGAGAACGGCGAAGTGGCAGCGTCGGGAAACTAGGCGGTTGGAGCGTGGAGGTCAGGGCGTGAAGGAGCATGTGGGACGGGTTAGGCGGTTGGTTAACGAGAGAACTGGTGGCGGCAGCGCCGTGGAAGAGACAGTGGTTTGAGCTTGTTGATTGTTTCTCTTGAAAGATTTGTGTCCCGTTTGTTCTGTCTAGTTGGCTGTTGCTTTCACGATTGTACAAGATAAAGGATGGAGGTGAGGTGCAGGGATCTCTCCGGGAAGCTTGTGTTTGTCTTTTCTTGTCCAAGCTTTGGGTAGATGGCTTGGTTTCAAGTGTATATTATACTTTTCATCATGCATAATAAACCATGCAGCTGTTTCATTCTACTGTCTACTATCCATCATGCCGGCCTGCGTTGCCCGACGTCCCCTACGCCAGGATGAGACGGTCAGGCGGCTGACAGAGCCAGTCAAAATATTAGTAAGTCACAGTACTTTGTTATCAGCGTGTTGACATACAAGTCTGGATAGTTCGTATCTTCTCTCATATGTACATAAAAAACATAGCACACGACAGCTGCAGGATCCGACTATGCACTCGAAAAACTTCACCTATAAAACTTTGGAAGGATAGAGCAGTGTAGTCGCTAATTTGAATTTTATTTACTACTTATACTCTATATAAATTTTAAGGAGGAAATAGAACAGAACTGTCTGTTGGATATACTGCTATTATATAGATATATAGCCCTATGGTACATAGTTCTGACCGACGACAAAAGCACTTTGATAGGGCCCGGGCGGTGAGAGCGGGTGAGGGGGATACTGCCGGATAATGGGTGCCAAGCCCGCTCTTTGGGTCGCGAAGTCACCCCAGCGACTTGTTCCGTTGTTTACCATCCATCTTCCTTTTCTCTTCCACTATTTCATTGATCCTGACCATCATTTTCCCTCCTGTTGTTCCCTTTGAGTCTCCGACCTATATATTGGACGCAGATCACCTATAGACCTTCCTCACACTCTCACTTTCAACCACTATTCTCATCTTGGACGTCGGTCGCGCACACACCATCCCCTGTCCGACCATACACAAGATCTGCAACCGTCTGCAAGCCTAAGGTGTGTTTATGACTGTGCGCATCTGGCAGTCCCGCCGCTGTCATGTTAGAGCGCGCTATTCCCCTCCCCCCGCGAACAGTCCCGATGTGTTGTTTATATTCCGCGATTTCGCAGCTCATCAGGACTCTTGAGCGCAAATCCACACGTTGATGCGCCTCCCTTTTTCTTTCCCAAGTGCATATCGCTAACTCTTCCTTCTTTTCCATGTTAGTAAGGCTAAACTGTTATAATGGCTGAAGGAGAGGAGGATTTTTCGTCTCTGCCATTGCCGGACCGATTTACGCACAAGGTGAGTCTATCTCTATGGAAATTTAAATTTGATCTCTCGAATGTTGAAATTTGCGCGTTTGATACTAATAACTATGTCAATCCAGGCCTGGAAAGTAAGAAAGGAGGGCTACGAAGATGCCAGAAAACAATTCGAAGTTACAGCCGATGAATCGGATCCCGTTTTCACACCGTTCACACAAGACCCGAGTTTATGGAAAGGCGCCGTTGCGGATTCAAACGTTGCTGCCCAACAAGAAGGTCTCGGGTCTTATTGTTCGTTTTTGAAGTTCGGTGGAACTCAAGCTTGTACTAGGTATGTGGTTTTAATTTTTGCGTAGACTTTTTCTATTTTTTCCCCTGTTGTTTTGCTAATGGTTTGTCATATGTAGAACTCGCGGCTACACAGTTTTCCCTATCGTTGAAAAGGGTCTTCCGTCAGCAAGACCCGCAGCAAAGACCAATGCGCTCGAGGCCCTTTTACTATGCGTGGAGATGGATAAGGCGGATCCTGTGATCGAAGAAATGATACCCGGATTGTCACACAAAGTTCCCAAAGTTATCGCCGCGACGCTGGTGGGACTGCGAAACATTTACCATAATTTTGGCTGCAAAATTGTCGACCCTAAGCCGGTACTAAAGGCGTTGCCGAAAGTTTTTGGCCACGCGGATAAGAATGTCCGTGCCGAGGCGCAGAATCTCACGGTGGAATTGTATCGGTGGCTGAGAGAAGCTATCAAGCCTCTCTTCTGGGCAGATCTGAAACCCGTGCAGCAAACGGATCTGGACAAACTGTTCGAGAACGTCAAGCAAGAGCCGTCACCGAAACAAGAGCGGCTGACGAAAGCACAGCAAGATGCGATGGCAGTCGCCAGTTCTGCCCCCGAGGGCGGCGAAGTCGGTGAAGAGGCGGAAGAGTTCGAAGAAGACGGTGGCGAAGTCGATGCATTTGATCTAGCAGAGCCCGTCGATGTGTTGTCAAAGGTCCCCGGTGACTTCTTGGACCAGGTGGCGTCGTCGAAGTGGAAGGAAAGGAAGGATGCCGTGGACGCGCTCCATGGGGTTCTGAACGTGCCCAAAATCAAGGACGGCCCCTTCAATGACATAGTTCAGGCATTGGCTAAGTGCATGAAAGACGCCAACATCGCAGTCGTGACCGCGGCAGCCAACTGTATTGATTTACTCGCAAAAGGTCTTCGCAGCAGCTTCGGCAAACACCGCTCGGTGGTGATGCCGCCTATGATGGAGCGTTTGAAGGAAAAGAAACAGAGTGTGGCAGATGCGCTTGGTGGAGCTTTGGATTCTGTCTTTCTATCCACCAACCTGTCGGACTGCCTCGAGGAAATTCTTGAGTTTCTGAAGCACAAAAACCCGCAGGTGAAGCAGGAGACACTCAAATTCCTGATTCGCTGCCTTCGTACCACCAGAGACGTTCCCGCCAAAGCAGAAGTGAAGTCGATTGCAGAGGCAGGCACTAAGCTTCTAACAGATTCCAGTGAGGTGAACCGTGCGGGAGGAGCAGAGGTACTCGGTACTTTGATGAAGATTATGGGCGAGCGAGCTATGAACCCTTACCTTGATGGACTTGATGATATCCGCAAGACAAAGATCAAGGAATTCTTTGATACCGCTGAAGTCAAGGCCAAAGAGCGACCTAAGCCCGTCGCTGCGCCGCCAAAGGCTGCCCCCGCAGCTGGAAAGAAGGTAGTTGGCGGCAGGAAGCCAGCGTTGGGAATGAAGAAACCTGCTGCGGCTGCTGCACCGCCCCCTGCCGAAGATCCTCCAATTATTCCTCCCTCTCCCGCCAAACCGGCCACCAGATCTATCCCGTCAAAATTAGGCGCCGCAAGGCCTGGCGGTCTCCCGACGCCTGGGTCGGGCCTCAAAAAGAGGCTCGGCGGCCCCGGGGGGATTGCATCGCCGCAGGCACGACGAGTTGTTTCGCCACCGACAGAGGAACAACCACCCGCACCTGCTGCCCCAAAGTTTGGAATCACCAGAGGACTTGCCGGACGCCCAATCGCTAAACCCGCGGCTGCCAGTGAGCCTGCTCCGGCGCCGGCAGCTCCTCAGGTAAGCGGCATGACCGCTGCTGAGCGCGCTGAACTGGAAGAGTTGCGTCTTGAGAAAGAGCGGTTTACCCGGACGGTTGAAGACTTGAAGTCCGAACGAACTACACTCAATTCGCAAGTGACCGAGTTGCAAAACCAGAACGCTCAGCTGATTGAAGACCACACGAGAGACGTTCTCGGAATCAAGGCCAAAGAAACTCAGTTGGTGCGGGCACGGAGTGACGCAGAGACTGCTGAGCAAACCGTACAGAAACAGCAGCGAGAAATCGAGCGCCTCAAGCGCGAGCTGGCAAGAGCTCTTCGCGCAAGTACCATCAGCCCTCCCAACACGATGTCCGACAGCATGAGCCTGCCTGTTCCAGATACCGACTCAGTATACCAAGATTCAGGCAACGGACACGGGCCCATTTCCCGAGCTGGTTTGCAGCATATGGGATCACGGTTTGACAGCTCCCGGCCACGAAGCTACGCATCGGCTAGTCCTAGCGAAGAGAAGGAGAACAATGGCCTCGATTCGCCGGGACTCGGCAGCAGGGATGGAGGTCTCGGCCGACGAAAACTGAGCCCTACATTTGGAACGAGCTATTCGGGGTTGGGCAGTCCGACTCGATCGTCCATCTTGAACTCGGGCAATGCTTCTGGTGAAGATCAACCTGCCCGAAGGACGGAACCTGCGGAGAACTGGAAGAGAGCAGCGGAGGTCACCACGCAACTCAAGGCACGGATTGAACAAATGAAGGTCAGTCCTCCTTCCTGATATACCGTTCTTTTTCATCGCTAACATGGAATGTCATTCAGGCCAAACAAGGTCTCACGCGACCTCCTGCTCAACGTTAATGACTCGATGAAATCAACCTTTTTCTTGTAATTTCTTTTTTCATTTGCCTCTTTAGTTCATCGGTTCTGCCTTCAACTGGGTTCAAGGTTCTTGCCTCTCTCTTCCTCTTCCTGTGTTTTTAGACTTCCGCACACCCATCTACCAGGGGTTTTTTTTTTCACTGGTTCCGTTTGTTTTTCAGTTTTAGGCGGGCTGGGACTGGGACTGGGACTGGGACTGGGCTGGCTAGCTTCTTTCTTCATTCTCCATCTTCATCTATATTTCTCCTTATTCACGTTGTCGGTTATCATCTTTTCTCTAGTCCGGTTTTTGGTCTGGTTTGGTCCGGTTGTTTGTTTGTTCTAGGACAGTGAATTTTTTCTGCTTCTTTCATCGGGGTGTTTAGTCTTTTTTCATTTTGTTCTTTTTCATTTTTGTGGCTTATGTCGCCCGTCTGTCTTTCAAAAGACAAATATCCATCTGTTGTTAGATTGTTAGGTTGTTTTTCTTATAAAAGGGGAATTGGAACTTCTTATTGTTGTTTGGTTTCGGGGTTTGTATTTGAATTGGAATGGGGTCATGCATTCTGTCCTAACTAATTTGTGGGTTATTGGGGTTTGTAGTCTTACGGAATGGAGTCAAGTTAGCAAGATGGCGAAGATCTTAGCTATGACTATCCGGTTTCATTTGCCGAGACAGTTGTTATGGGTTGGTGTTGCCACCTGCCATGTAGACATAGGATTTGAGAATGGGGGTCTATGTTGACAAGATCTCTACAGAGCAGACACATGAATGCTTGAATGCAATTCAGCTACGAAAGGGGGCAGTTGCTGAGGGGGATGATGTCTGAAATAGCATTCATGGGTATCTGCGAGGTTGGTACATAACGAAAATAAAAAGAAGATGACAAGGACCATTCAAGAATGGATTGGGATTTTAGGATAAGCTAAAGCCGTCAACAAGTCAACCGAGGAAAGCCTCCCTCGTTCCAAAACGTTTGTTGTCATTCTTGGAATGCTATGATGGTCCATTGCCGAAGAAGATATGAAGACTGGTCATTAAGATCGTTGTGGGTATGGAAAACGATTTTTTTGCCCTTTCCGGTGTTGTCTCTAGGCTATTTCTAGCTTAGACACGGATGGCACCCTCAATGGCCTTGCGCTTCTTCTCCTGGCGGGCGACAGCCTTGGCACCCATGATACCACCACCCCAGTGGCGGCGGGAGTCCTCGTACTTGTCGGTGTAGCCCTCCTTGATGGCGGAGAGGAGCTTGGAGAACTCAGCCTTGTCCTCGGAGCGGGTCTCGGTGAGAGCGAGAACAGCGGAGGTCTGGAAGGAATTGAATTAGTACTCTTGTTGATGTTGACTCGTGACGAACAGTTCTTACCTTCTTGTGGACAACGGTACCGAGACGGGCCTTGCCCTTGACGATGGCGTAGGGGACACCCATCTTGCGGCAGAGAGCGGGAAGGAAGACAACCAGCTCAATGGGATCAACGTCGTGGGCGATGAGGACGAGAGAAGCCTTCTTGTTCTCAACGAGACCGACAACGTGGTTCAGACCGTACTTGACGTGGTAGGGCTTCTTGGAGACATCCTCCTTCTTCTTGCCCTCGGAGACGGCGGTGGCCTCGGCGTGGAGACGCTCCTTCTTCTCGACCTTGGTCTCAGGGCGGTACTTGTTGAGGAGCTTGAAGGTCTGGGCAGCGGTGTTGCGGTCCAGGGTGTTCTGGAACTGAGCGATCGAAGGAGGGACCTTGAGACGGAGGTTCAAGATCTTCTTCTGGCGCTGCAGACGGACATACTCGGGCCACTTAACGAAGCGGGACAGGTTGCGCTTGGGCTGGATGTCCTGGCCAATACCGAAGTTGCGGGGGCGCTTCTCGATGAGAGGGTTCTGAAGGAACCGTTAGCATCACTTTTGCCAGTGCAGAGGGTATCTTCTTTTCTAGACATACCTTGGGGCCCTTCTTGCTAGCACCAGCCTTGCCCTGAGGGTAAGGGAGGGGAGCAGTCTTCTTTCCGGACTTGGGAGGCTATCATTGAGAAAAGAAGATCAGCAAATCGTGTCCACCACATGTGCTGCATCTTCATTGAACTCTAGAGAGACCGTTGAAGAAAATTTTCGAGTGTTTCCGCGTCGAGAATTCTCTCCAACAGCTCCAGCCAAATCATCACTGGCGCTCGCCTTCCGCCGAAGCAAAGAAGTTGAGCGACCAATGGAAAACAAAACAAAATTTGCTTCGAGACATTTTACGAAAATGAAGTAGGCGATATTTTCACGTCCTTACGCCATTGTCGCAAAGAGGTTGTCGAAGGCTTTTCGTCTCTTCTCTATTTCAAGAAAGAGATGTTGAAACAACTGGATGTTATGTGCTTACCATTGTTGTCGACTTGGATCCGCGGTGGTGCTGGTTGACGGGATTGACGGAGTGGAAGAAGAAGGAAGTGAAAATGAATTCGTTTTCTCGCCGAAGAAGTTCGTGCGGCCCGGATAATCTCTCGGCGCCGGTCCGGGCGGTGAGCTACCACGTGAGCTAGGGCTAGCCCCGAGGGCTTGGCCGGTCGCGTGCCCTACCCCATTCAGCTCTGGACCCGCCTGGCTAGCGCCAAGGTATCCTATCCCAACTACGAAGTACTCCACCAGTCTTCTGCGGTGATGATACATTAATATCAACGAAATGATGACAATTAGATGTACTCAGCCTATGTTGCACCCAGTGGCGCTGTCGTGAGCCACCATGTGCCGTCAATACGAGGTTGTCAATACTAATCCAAATAGGTACTAAGAAATGGTTCAATTTGGGGATGCTAAGATCCTTACGACAAGACAACGTTGAAGGCAAAATAAGAACATGAAGCAGAGGAAATGAAAAGTGAAGAAGAACCACACGACATCAGACATGCCAATCATCATCTAGCCTTGTCGAACAACTCAAGGTTTCCCCCCCAGTAAGCCTCATCCGAATCCACCCAGCGGATCTCATCCGGACCCACCGTTGACTGGTCAGTCTCAGTCTTATTTTCCTCTGGCATAGGAAAGGGCTCTTGTTGCGCTCCCTCAGCTTCCTGCCCTTTCTCACCCACGTACACCGGTTGACGACCCTCTCCCTCCCCCAAGCCAGACTTGAATGGGATGTGGGGAATCTTACCTTTCCTGTAAAACTTCAGGATATCAGAGGCAGACTTCATTGCCTGAGCCTTTGCTTGGGTGCCCAACTTGAGTTCGTTCTTCACACCCCACGCCGCCGGATTGTCAAGGTAGTCCATGACGGCGTCGAACCCCATGGAGAGGAAGGGCCCGACATAGGGTATTAGGCCTAAGCCAACACCGATCAGGTTCCGCAGAGACTCCCTGAGCCAGTCGAAGTCAGCCTTGGTCGGTCTCTCCTTCATGTCCGTACCCTCTTGTAAGTTGATGACATCGGCGTGCTTGATGTGGTCGCTGAGCTCGACTTCCCTGGCCTTAGTCATCTGCCAGGCCTTGATAGAGTCGACATCACCGGAGTTGAAAAGCGTGATAAACTGATACGTGTCCAGATATTTCTCGTCGCGCATTTCGCTCGGGACATGGAGAGCTAGCGCCAGCTGTTGGATGTCGAACCGTGCGGTCCACCTTGGTTGATAACCGAGCCCTAATTCTCTATCCTTTGGGATGTTGAGCTCCCCAATGGTGAACTCGGGGGCTAGACCGGGTAGATTGGGCTCCTCGGGAACGTCTGGCTCTTTCACGGTCTTTTCCTGGGGCGGAAATTCCAGTTTCTCGCCATGCTGCCAGGCGTACTGCGCGGCCTGGACACGTCTTTGAACCTCCAAATATCTCTCGTGGAGGTCCACCCTCGTGTACGTCTTGAGCGTTAATGAGTTGTGGAAGAACTTCAGCTGTACGTATCGCGTCCAGTCTTTATACTTCTGCTGCGGCATCGCATAGAAGGCGGAGGGCAAGTAGATCCCTCGGATTGGGTAGGTGAGATCCACCCACAAGAAGCGCTCCTCTGGAGTTGGCATTCGAATGGGGATGAACGCGACCTGGTTGTAACCGAGCCACTGCGAAAGGTTCCGCCCGTCCCCATTGCCGTGAAGGATATCGGCGCGGCTCATCTTGGTGCTCCTTGGTCCAACACCGCACCAGAGATCACGCCAGCGCGCATAGGTCCGACCCGCATATTGAATAGTCTGCCTTTCAGCACGGGGATTTCCCGTTCCAGGAAGTACGGGGCTCTTCCCCGATGATGTGAAAACTTCGTCGATGCTTTTGTTGACGACAACCTCGAGGAGCAGATAGTTTTTGAAATCTTCTGGGTTCGACCCACCATGCCATGTAGTTGTATGGAGGAGGTCACGATGAAACTTGCCTGGTCCTTCGGGGCCTGTGGATGTCATGGCTGCTGGTTCGCTCTACCTAAGGCTTGTGAACGGACGACGGACGCGTAGGAGAAGTATAGCTTGGTAAGACACGAAAGAAAGATGGGAAGCAATGGGCAGCCCTCGGAAATTTATCCATCTCCATCCGGCGGGGTAGAGCCATGCCAGGATCGCAACAGTATCGATGGGCATACGAGGCTGTGTAACAGCGATGGTTATCAAGTTCTCAGCTCGATACATTCAAGCCACATGCAAGTAAAGTCATGCTGAAATCGACTCAGTAACTCAAAAGAGTATACACTCTCGGATCTATCTGGATCCGAAGCTGTAGAGAACGCCGAGCTAGAGATCTTTGGGAATGCAAATCGTACTTGGTCCCGCCGCTTCAAGAGGGCTTCACATGGTTGCTCCAGGCAGACCCAGGAACTGGGCACACAATCACTTTTGAGCTAAGGCTACGTATCATTATCAGACAGATTAAATCCAAATCACAAAACCGGAAGATCATAACCCGGGAACTATTAGATCTAAATTATGCTAGCTGTACTGGCTACATGCAAATTCTTAATACAGCGTGTCGATACCATTTGAGAGGGAACCCCAGGTGTTGAGGTTCTCCCGCAGACAGGAGCTGGAGAAGGCCCCGATGCTGCAGGCTCTGACAGAGAGCTCGTTTCCACAGGAAATCCTCCGTTAAGTTGCCTGAATGCACACCGCGGCCATAGCCCTGTGGTTCGCTGCCGTTGGATACCTCGGCAGTTGTTGATTGGCCATTGTAGCGGAATACCACGGCCCAACAGTGTCCGAGCATATGCCAGAAGCTTCGAGTTATGCGTCCCAGTGCCATTACCCACCGGGAAACGAGGCTTGTTTCGGCGCTACTGGCTTTGGTGTCTGAAGGGCCTGATAATAGTGTCTCAGTGTTTGAAGCCAAGTCCACGATCGTGTTATACTCGTTGTGCCAGCATTTCTTGATGACTTCGTCGATCAACGGGTCACTGTTCAGCTGGGGAAACTCCATGTTCTGTAGTAATTCCACGACCTTGGGACCATGTTCCTTAGGATCTTCAGTGAGACATTGATCCCCGTAGACTTCCATACCGTAATCAATCAAGTAGTATAAGGAACCGAGGGCAAATTGCTCTGTTCGAGGACCTAAAAGGCCGGAACTTCCACATCGTCCTTCATCTGGCTCATTATTACTAAGAACCCTTCCATATGGGGCCATACAAGCTTCAAAACCTGTCCCGATTTCTGCAGTACAGTCGAAATCAGACAACTTCAATTGATTGCGATCGAGTAGGATATTTTCAGGTCGTAGATCGCCATGAGCGAGGTTGAGAGATTCAAGAAAAGCAACAGCTTGAGCAAGCTCGTTCATCCATTTCTTCCGCAGGGCTAGCGGTTCCAGTCTTTCTACTTTAGTGACTATCATAGTTTGTTGATCTCGGACATGATTACTTTGCATCCGAGACCACAGGGACTCGTCTTGTAACACGGTTAGTTAACACATCTTGTAAGATAGGAATGGGGTTCGCACCTCGCATATATTCAAGGAATATTCCATTATCAGCATATGGAAAACATTGCACTATAGAAGGGCAAGGTGGATGTTGCAAGAAGGTCTTGTAGATGTTGAGCTCTCTCTGGAATTGTTCTCTTTCGAACTCTCCGGCTTTAGGGACCTTAACCACGATGCGAGGGTGAACTTCATACACAAAGGAAATGGCTCCCTTCCAAACCCAGTGAACCTCTGGAAATTGATCTTGAATTGTCATGATTTTGTCGATTGCGCACACCCAGAAAGTTGTGGTGTATATGTGAGCGCTGAACAAAGAAGTGAAAGGGGTAACTCAGGAGTGGAAGAGGGGAGACTCAGGCATCTGTCTGGCAGGTATCGTGTTGTATTATTGTCTACCGCCTCGGTGAGGAACCATCTCATTTGTGATTGAGCCGGGATCCATGAACAATTGGCACAGACACCGGCCTATTATAATATTGTAGAAGATTAGAATGCCAGGTGACCTTCGCGGCGATTAGACATGAGAAAATCTTGAATAGCTGAATTGCTTCAGACTTGCTCTTTTAGGGATGAAAAATCTTACCGCGATGCCAAGATATTCCAGGCTTATGACTATGATGAAAATGAAAAAGACAGGATCGCTTAGACCTTTGGATTGGCCACTAAATTGATGGCTTAGATAGATGAAATGAAGATGGAGGGGCAGACGAGGTGGATCGTCATCTCGCTGCATGTCTTGGATGACTAGATGTCTCGTAGGTATTAGTGCTAGGAATAATTTAACTGTGACCTTCCCACCATCACCAACAGCTACTCCGGATACTCCGTGGAAAGGAAACAACGTGCTTCAGATTGGGCTATCAAATTTCATTATTATCGCATCTCACATCACATCATACATTACCAACCGGCGCAAATCATGCAAAGATGGATAGCTACATTATGCTGAGGCTGTCACGCTGCGGGCCTTGAGATATTCGTAGTCGGGCATCGCGTCTCGAACCCTCTTCTCCAGCATATCGGCAGTCTTTTGACCGAATTCCTCCTTCCACTTGGCAGCCTCCACGGCGATATCCACCACGTCAGGTGTCTTGGACTTTATGATCCCGGATGATCCCGTCAAAGTGGAGACCATGATACCTGCGGCCTCGGGACTCCACAGGGTCCTCTGTTCCGTGTTCGGGTCCACGCTTGCGACCAAGTTCTGAGCCCCGATATCCTTGGCTGCTGGCTTGGTATCCCACTCGAATTTGATCGCGTCGGCATCGAGGCCGGTCAGTTCGCAGAACCGCACTATCGCCTCGGGCTTGTGGATCACCTCGTGAGCGTCCAGGATGACGGGTCTGGCGTCGGGGTCGTCCTGCTCCAGACACCAGTCGTAGAGCAGCCGCGAGAACCGCAGCGTCATGTTGGCCGCCATCACGCCGGCGATGTTCTCCTCCGTGATCACGCCCAGCTTGACCATCTTGCCCATCGCGCGGTAGAAGGACGGGAACATCAGCGCCGGGTGCCGGACGATGAATGCCATGTGGAAGGTCCGCAGGTACTCGTCGGGCAGGATGGTATAGTTGGTGGGCGAGAACGTCGGCGTCGCGGTATAGGTGGTCGGCACTTGGAGGCGGAACGGAGAGGCAGCGCCTGCTGCGTCATCGTTGCTCAGGGGAGCATCCTCGGTGGCAGTGCTAGTGTTCTCATCCAGATGCAGGATGCTCTTCAGGGCCAGCGGGTCGATGAACCAGGGGGAGTGTTCCTTTGCGAAGAATATCTTGCCCTCTTGGCTGGCTTGGGAAGTGCCCTCCTCGAGCTGGTCGAAGCATTTCTTCAGGGCAGACTGGATCTCGGAGCGATCTTCCGGGGTCCATTGGTCGAACGGCTTGTAGATCCGGTTGTCGTTGGCAGTGGCGACAAACGAGTCAAAGAAGTAGTAGCCACCCTTGTCGTTGGCATAGACGTTGGGCTGGTCGGGGAGGGCCAGGATCTTCAGCAGCAGATTGGAGGCCGTGCGGGGGTTGCTAACCAGAAGGATGCGACGCGGAGGAAGACGAGCAGGTGCCATTTTTAGTATAAAGGATATTAAGTATAGATGAATACGAATGATTGGCCCCAACAGACGAGGTTAAAAAGGCTTAACAGAAAGCAAATCAAATCAGAGGAGAAAGCGATGGTGAAAGGACGGGGTCCGATGGTGTGATCGCGGCGGTTTAAATAGTTCCAGCCTACCAGCCCTACTACTTATTGACCTTCTATTTACCCTTGACTTTTTACTTTTCCCTGTCATGTCATCCCCCCAACGCCTCCAATTCTCGGACATCCGCATGGGGATTCGGACATCTCCATCGCCGTCAATCTCCGAGATGATACGGTGTTTCTGTCTCGCACAGAATCCAAGACCCAATCATTCTCTCCTCTCGCCCGGTTCCACCCAACTCAACATGGGGGGCTATCTCGCGTCGAGTCGTTCGAGTGGAAAGAATCCGGTGGGCGCCAGCGAACGTGTGAAACAAACGGCTCGCCCTCGGAACTTTCGCGCTCATGTCAACGCCGATTCCGAAGCAGACAGGGTCATCATTGGTGGTTGAAAACCTGAATGACAGTCGGGTGCAGTAGAGCATCTCCACTATCTGCAGATCACAGGAGGGGGTTACGGTTATGTTGGGCCGTGGACGAGTTGCGAAGGGATCCATGAGAATCGGCCCATCACGGACCTTGCATCGTCCTTCTTGGCTGCGTTGACCTGGCCAGTGGGACATTTTCTCGGACGCAGAAAATCCAGAGATTGACAACGGATCAGGGGGGACTACTTGATTGCAGTGGCGGGCTGCTCCTTGTCTCTCGTTTGCCAAGCCAAGCCATTAGACAGTTTCTATATCGACCAGGCCAGGATGGGATCCACTTTGTCTGTCAGAAGCAGCGCCAGAGGTCCACTATCGGTTTTAGTCTCTGCAACGCTCTCGTTAAGGACAGACGGATTCATGTTTTGTATCTTACAGGACCTGCTTTTTAGTTTTTACCCCCGTTCCCCATCCCTTCCCACCGTCGAAATCCGTCCGAGGGACTTGTAAGATTCACCATTTTCGCGCGAGAGGTAATAGAGTTCGTTTTGATTCTCGTTTATCTTGACTTTTCCGATACGCCATGACATGGGTCGCCGGGGCGGTGCAGACATGAAAAGGATCGGGCTTGCATTTCGTCCCGTGAGATGTTCAATAGCATTAATTTGCCGGAGAGTTTACTCTGATGTTACGTGACTGGTTGGCTGTGCTTATCGGATTGGAGACGGTCGGGGCATTCAACTAACATCAGAAGATAGACATAATTTGGTAGCCCGAGATTTTCGGAAGCTTTCTTCGCGAACTGAATTATAAAGGAGAATGCTTAACTATTTTCTCGAGGGCTGACCATGCTGCATAGCTCACAGTTATCGTGTACATAATATAGGACTGAGGAGAGCGAACCACTCTGTATCGAAACCCCGTACCCACAAGGAAACCGGTTTAACATATGGAAAGTTCCTTCAGCTCACATGGGAGTCGACCGAGAGCAAGCACTGCCAGTCTTGTGTGGCATGGGTTATATCAGGGAGCAGGGTGTTTAGCTTTCGTCCCGGGGAGTGCCGCACCCTTTCGATAGCTTTTGATGAGACAAAGCAGACGTGTCAAACATTGCATCGTGACTGTCGCTATTCGAGTGTGTAGAATATAGGCGGATGTTATGGCTTTCCCGTATACTAGGGAGAGAGGGACAAGCAAAAGAGTTCAATGTAAACCCGACTGAAGTGTGTAAACGGGCTGAGATGTAGTCTGGAATCCAGATTTCTGTTGATATCTCGAGCTTGCTGATGAGACTTGCCATTGTGCTCCAATTTTTTAAAAGGAATCCGTTTAACCATGGACACTGTCAATCCTAAACAGTGTCAGTGGTCTCTGACGAGCTGAATATAACAGTTACCTATTGTTGGTTGCAAGAGGAATAGTCTCACCTTTAACCTTTCAGCGCTAAGCCTAGGGTCAGGTGCCTCCACGCCGTCACAAAGACGGCACGGACTAGCACAGACCAACCGATGTAGCATCTTCAAGGCAATCGTGCGGTTTTTCAGAGGAATACAACGATAATTTGCCACAACTGGCAAGCTCGGTAGACCACATGACGGCTCATCGAATGCATTGAGAAATTCAGCCGAAATGTTAGCAGTATAGACATAGAGGACCTCGGTCTGTGCGCCAGAAATGGCGAGGACGTTGACCTTGAAAAACTGGCCCGGACTTCCAGAAACCGGCGCTATAGCCGGACAAGATGCTGCAGTGTTGTCATCCTGTTGTATTGTCTGACACGCTGTTGCTCTGGTTCTGTGGTGTCTATCTGCATCCTGTTGCCGCTGCTGCTCCTGGGCTAGGGCAATCAGCATCGCCATGATATATGGGTCCTCTGCTGGATTATGGGGTATAATCAATCGCAATTGTTTACGGCGAGTGTTTATGACAGGGATATTATTGGAACCACAAGGATGACGATGTACGTATTTCTCGCGGAGCGACCTTATCCTGTCAAAGCTGATATAGGCGAGGCATGGAGAGGCGGAATTACACGAGAAAACGCCCTCTGTTCGAATCCTTGCGGCGGGCTGACGACTGAAATAGAAAGGTAAACGCTCAGAGCTATGAGAGTGTCAGTAATATCAAGGTAGCATGTGGGGGTCAGCATTACGGTAGGGCGCAGATATTATGGGCACAAAGGATTTCCTCAATGGCATATTTCTTGACGATCAGGGTCCTGCACCCTGAGAGCTGCATCGTCGCGCGAATGAGCTCTGGAGATATCTGAGCTGTAGGAAAATTGCATCTACTTCGCCGTGTTTCGAGAATGCTAGGGTCCTGCGATCCGGCTTGCGGTGGTCGATCATTCCTCGTCCGCGGGTTTTTCTGCGCCCTGAACTTGCAATCTAGGTGTCGCAACTGACTGGAGGTCCAGGCAATGGGTTTGACATAGAGGCGTTTACGGCAATTGGAACGGAGGATAGACAAGATCGACGTGGGCTTGGTTGCGCTTTTAGCCGTTGAACGCTGGCTTGCGTTGGCTTGAGTATCTGAACGGCACTGAAGGTCATCTGTTGCCTTCCGTTTAGATCCAAGTAGACCCGACATGTTTTGCTGGAATCATTGAAAAGCGAATTGCTAGCATGGTGGTACGTTGGTAGTGCTTCAAGAGGAAGACAAACTGACGGAAGGGGGTTTGTTGATGGTGGTGCACCGCTTCCCGTGACATAGCGGTATCTGCCTACCTATTCACCGCTGCAGCCTAGCAGTATCATCAACCCCCTCATTGCTCATTCCATCTTTCTTCTAAGGCATATCCACCATGACATCCAGTATGACCGGCTGTGACCATGAAGCTCAAAATCGAGAGGGATTTAAGCAGATATCCCAGATGCACGAAGAGTTACATCTTGTTGCACAGACTAGAGAATGAGAACAAACTGGAACAAGCTCTGTCAGTAGAAGAACAGTGCAACATCGACTCGACTTTCGATTGCTCACTACTCCCGGTCTTACCTAGGTGGAATCGTTACCAATCATGAATCCTGCCCGGTTTCCGGCCGAGACGGACCATTCCTGGGTAAATATCCTTACGTCGGCCTGTTCAGCTGAAGAACCTTACCTTGTTCGCTGTGGCTACTTCAATCCAACAGATGTCTTGCAGAAGGTTGGCATAAAACACAACCTCCTGGCAGGTGACTGGCCTGTTCTTACCTAGTTGAGTAATGGTGGCAAGCCATGCCCAGGGGCGGACGGGGAATCCCTGCTATATTGCTCAAGTTTCTTCGTTGAACGTCTCACTGTCATGGATGAGAAGGTTACATACCAGGTACCCCGTCAGCTCATCAGCAACCGTTAACCCGATGACGACTTGCTTGCGTTACCCAGCAGACACAGGCGCGTATCTTATTTAAGGTTTATACCTCTCCAGGTACCTTGCCTGGTATGGTAGGTGTCGGTGTATATTAGATCGCCTGGCAGGCATCTCTATGGTGTCGATGCCAGTGAAGTCGACGTATATTGGTCGATCTGACAGACTGCAGATTGCATGACAGCTACGCAGATAGTCGATCAAGAAATGGTCGCGAGCACGGATTGCTCGGGGGGTATATAACTGAGACTTTTCAGCAATTTGTCTACTGCACTTCCTCGCTAAGCGTCTCTTTCCCATTTTCGGATACATTTTTTCTACTTCTCAACCATGTCCACCACTCTGAAATCGCGCAACCTTGATCTAGATTGGACACTCGATGCCGCTTCCTCTCTCGCTGCAGTCGAGTCTAACGTTCTAGCTAAACCGCTGGATCTAGATGACCTACAACTTGTGGAATTTGATATGCCTGACCTACAAGATTTTGCCCGACACCTGTCTCCTCCCATGTCCCAGGGATCACTACAATCTCCGACCAATGTCACCCCTCGTCCAACAGGTTTTCCACACAACGCCAATGCCTTCAGTCAGTACCGCGAGGCCCATTCGATCGCTCCACAAAGGTCGACACAACAGGGTATGTCGTGGGGTTTGGCAGGATACAGCCCAGCCATTTCTACCAATGCTTGCACGAACCCTAAGAGCATTCACCATCTGCCGGGAAGAGACATACTCGGCCATTCTGTCAATTGCACCGAGTTGCTACCAGACAATGCCTCCGTTACCGTTGTAGAGGGCGTGGGTGAAATGAAGAAGGTCCAAACTAAAAGGTATGCCGGCATATTTAGGTATTTCTTCCATTGGGTGATGTGCTGATACTTCAAAGTGAATCATCCCAAGCCAAGGTCTTCAAGTGCAGGTGGGAAGGCTGCCTAGAGAAAAGGAACCACTTCAGACGCGAGGTTGAATTGATGCGACATATCAAGACTATCCATGTGTCGCCTCAAGCCTATCAGTGTGACGAGTGTAACATGTTTTTCAATAGGAGAGACAACCTAGAGGCACATGCTCGTCGTGTCCATCAAGATCGTGGGTGAACTCTTTCCCGCCTATGGTGTCTTCTCTCGTGGCTTTTTTGTTTCATTTTTTTCACTCTCCTTCTACCCCATTCTCTCCTCCTTTCTTACTCTTCTTCTCTATCACCAATTAATTCTTCATCGGCATTTTTGTGCTTTTTAATCTTTTTTATCGACCCCTTCCTCCCTGGGTAGAGCCTACTATCACTATATCATCATGGTTTCCCCTTTATCCTTCTATGCTTCATTGATTCCCTTACATCCTGATTACTGTACACACATGAAACCCATAACTTTTCTACCTTTATACACCTTTGACCGAACATGCTTGCTGAGAATGTTTATTCTATTTCTGCTCAGTGATTCGTGTCATTCGTTGCTTTCTCTTCTTGCTTTACGAATTTTGGCTTGGCTCTTCTGAGTACTGCACCCGCACAGCACCTCATAGACCATTTAGAACGTTACTGGAATCTATCTATTTTATTATAATGAAGTGGTTCACATTCTTCCTCTTCTTCCCCATTCCAACAGCGATACTTATACCAACCACCCCATCATATCCTACCTCCCGAAACCCACCAGCAAGTAAATGTAACAGTTAAAACTCCCCCCTCCCACCACTCCAACCCCAAAAAATCCATCCCCATCAAATCCCATACCCCCGCCACCTCCTCGGCCCCAGTCCCTCCCAGCCCTAAACCCGGCGACGTACTCGTCCACAACCACAGCGTATTCGACATCAGCGCGTCGCCCGCCGCAACCACGACATCAGGCACAGCAGAATACGAGAGCAAACAAAGACTTTCTATCGTTCCAATCCCAACAGTCGAGCTGGCAACACGATGCATAATCGACCATCTGGCATGATTCCCATACACCTGTGCCGAGGCATGGTCGGGTGAAAAGCGCGAGGTCAGCTCCACGACGCTAAAGACCAGCTCTTCAGGCAGATCGCCCGCGTCGTCGAGATCCTGGCGTTCAAAACACCACAGTGGTTGTCTATGACAGAACTTGAAGTAAGACGTACTCCTTTGCGGAACGCCGAGGGCGAGATTTGCAAGTTTTGGAGGTCAAATTCGGAGCAAGGTCCTAGTGATGAAGAGCTTTTGATAACATTGCGTTGATCTCCAGGTGAGAGCGGGACATCTGCTCTGTCCTGGGGTTTCTCTTGAGAGGCTCCTCTGTGCGCTGGTGGTAGAGAATCATGCTGAGTAGATGCCTCCGGAAGCGAGTTTGACACTCGCTCATTTAGAACTAAATCTAGTTTTTCTTTCCCAGAAACGCTAGTCGATCTTGCTATAGATGAATCAGTATCATCAATTTGCAAATGAAAGCAGCGAGAATATACAGTTCGAGTCTCCTGCAATACTCGGGTGGTATATGAGCATCTCTGCTTGAGACGGATGCAGCTAGAGCATGCTGGCCTTTCACCAGGACAGCGAGCCTTCTTTCTCCTAGATTGTATCATTAGAATGCAGCGTACTAGGCCAAGAGAGATGAAAACACAAACCTGCAATTTATACAGGCTTGATTGGAGTGTAATCTTTCCCGAATCTCACCCAACATGATGTGGACGGTTGCTTGACAGGACGCAACGAGAGGGACAGAACAGACATCTACCGAGAGTGTGGGAGGGGTTATACTACGAAGAGCTGATTAACGGACATTAGCTGTCTTTACGTTCCTTACTTCTTTATTTCATATAGTCATAGCTCGGGGGTTTCCTCTTACATGTGGGTGCATGTATTAGGGCTGAAATTCCATGTCCGGGAATAGAAAATGAGTCCAGCACATATGACAACTGGCAAAGCAGCCCAGATCATAACAATAACCGAGCTGTGATTTGCTTATTGGGAGGCAAAACTGTACATCTCTTGCCTATACTACTGGTCGTAAAACATTCAATATCATATATCGCAATAGCTTCGTCTGAAGTGTAAGAACGAAGTAAGCTCTTGTCCTTCAATGCCCCCACTTCCTGCATCCTAGAGACGAGTTGCTTTGGGGGACTTGACAAAACCATCTACAATGCCATTGATACGAAGCCAGAGGGAGGTATGATCCAGATCCTAAATAAGAATAACGTTAGCTCATGATATTAACCCTCCAGAGATCAACTCACCCTCGTGCGCGACCCCGAATTCGCGCCCCAGACCCCACCCGAGACGGTGGCGTCGACGAACGTGCCCAGACCGGCGTCGATGATGGTTTTGCCGAACTCCATCGTGGATTCGATCTTGATGGTGCTGCATTCAATAAGGAGACGCTCTGGGTCTTTCGACGCTGTGATCACCCCGTGCTCGGCGTCGAGGTAGACCTGTCGGACATGTTTGCCGGCTGGGAGACTCGACAGGACGGTGTGACATTTCGAGGTCAGTTCTTTGGCAGACGGTGCGATTTCGATCTTGCCGTGGCTGCTGTACTCGGCGACTAGTTTCTTGCAGGTCTCGGTATTGATGTCGTGGATGTGGAGTGTCTTGGTGGATGGTAGCTTTTGGCGGAGGTTGGCTGGCCATGCCGTAGCCGATGATTCCGAGGCCTGGGGATGTTAGTGATTAAGACAGTGATGGGGGGGTATCTAAAGGACATACCTATAGCATCATAGATTGACGTCTGTAGCGGTAGACGGGAGACGGTGTGCCGTATTCCATGCCCGGGAGATGAACCGGACGACGAAACGGGTTCAATTAAGTACGTGCTTTGATAACGCATAACGTTAAACAGCCAGCTAGTCTCGTTTATAAATGCTCTCCGGTCAGCCGAGGGACTCACGAGCAGAATTATGAGCGGGGAATGAAGGCCTGCAGAAGTGGGAATCCCTAGGAAGTACCGGTATACTTGATGTATTAGGACAAAGATTCCTCTAACTCTCAGACAATCATCATCAGATGTCAAATCACTAAGTACACCATAAGCCAAGCATAATAGCCAAGCATCTCATCCCATACGCTGCAAGCACCAGAAATGCTCAAAACAGAAATTCCCAAATGCAACCCATGACCCACAAACGAACCGGAAACGCCATCCAGATACACAAAGTATTAATATCAACATATGCATCGCCAACCAGTCAGCGCAATATCCCCAACTGGTTTGAATCACCTCCAAGCCCCCAACCCCGGCAACCCCCCTCGCCCAACCCCCGAACTAGCCGCCTGAATAGCCCTCTTCTTCCCGACGCCGCCTTCCTGCTCACGCACCCCAGCCACGATCTTCTCCAAATTCGTCTCGACCACCACCCCGCCGACAATCATCTCACTGAGCACGGCATGCATAGTCTCATACCCAAAGATGAGGTCCAGCTCGCAGACATTCTCGAACATGCGGTCCAGCGCCTCCACGAAGACCTGGATCAGGTCGATCAGCGCGAGGGGCGATTCCGTCGACGTGGAGATCATGATGAACGAGAGGGTCGCGTAGGTGCGGTAGGTGATTTGCGTGGGGGCGTCGGAGGGGCCGTTCTCGACTCCGGAGCGTGCGCCTTGCGAGAGGAGAGGTGGGAGGGGGAGGAAGTTGCAGGCGCTGGCGGGGCGTTGGGCAACGAGTTTGTAGATTTGTTCGATGAGGGATTGTTTGGTTTGGGTGTCCTGGTTGGGAGTTAGTCTGCGTATGAAAGGAGGGTGGTTTGTTTGGAGGTTAGGATGTAGGGTATGAAGCTTGGAGCTGGGTAGGAACGTACGATTTGAGTGTAGAATTTGGTCAGACGGGGCTGACCCGCGTTATTGAAGACGAGGACGGCGTTGATCATCGTGGCAATGGACGGATTGTAAACAAGTCGCCCTGAGTGCTGGGTAAGTTGAAGTTCAACGGAGGTGGTTTCTTATCGGCGGGGCGGAGGTTCGGCTGACATTCCGTTATTCCAAGGCTCTTCGGGAAGATTGCCTATCTGGGACGGAAACTTGGAGAAGCTCCGATTTCTCCATCTTGTCTTTAATTCTAGACTTCTATCTATCTTTCTTCCTCAGTTTCCTTTCTTTCTGCAGCTCGGTTCAACGAGCAATCAATCCCTCGCCATGCGAACCCTCACACCCACCTCCCTCTACACGATATGTCTCCGCCAAACACCCCTCTCCGTCCCTCTTCGCCGAACCTTCTCCACCACGCCACAACAACCACCTCGCTCACCACCCTCCAACCCCAACAAAAAAAGCCTCTCAGACCTCACCCCCACCGACATATCCTACTACTGGGACACAACAATACCCACCCCCTCGCAACTAACCTACGCCGACAAGATCTTCACGCCCACCCGCCACGGCCCCATCAAACTATGGTCCGCGAGCAAATTCCGAACCACGCCGCTGTCGTCTGTGGAGCCGGAAGTGGCCTTCCTGGGGCGTTCCAATGCAGGGAAAAGCTCATTGCTGAATGCGGTCATGGGGAGGGAGATTTGTTGGACGTCGTCGAAGCCCGGGCGCACGAGGGAGATGAATGCGTTTGGGATTGGGGGGACGAAGGGCGGGGAGTCGAAGGTTGTGTTGTTGGATATGCCTGGGTATGGGAGGGCGAGTAGGGCGGAGTGGGGGGTCGAGATTATGAAGTATTTGCAGGGGAGGAAACAGTGAGTTGCCTTTTTCTCTTCTTTTTTTTTTTTTTTTTTCTTTTTTTTTTGATTGTTGCTTGTTTCTGTTTTGAGATAGGTGAACGGCTCACTGACTAACGGGTTGAAAGACTTCGACGAGCATTCCTCCTAATCGACAGTGATCACGGCATCAAAAAAACAGACCAAGACATCCTAATGTTATTCCGACGCTACGCAATCCCGCATCAAATCGTCCTCTCCAAAGTCGACAAAGTGCTCGCAAAGAAAAAAAGCCAGGTGAAGAGCGGCGTATCGACCGCCAGCATTGCCTCATTGCAAAAAATGCTACAGGGGCTGAGACCCGTCGTGCAGCCCGTTGTGCAAGTGGAGGGTCCTGGCGCGTTGGGGGAGATCTTGACCTGCAGCGCGGAGACGACAATGGGGCCGGGCCAGGCGTTGGGGGTCAGCGCTTTGCGGTGGGCCATTCTGTCGGCTGCTGGGTTGGATGGGAAGGTTGAAGCGAGGGCTGAGGCTGCTTCGCCTGTGTCTGGACTGTCTGCCGTTGCGTCATGATGGGGATTGCGTTGTGGGAGCTTATACGCTCTTGGTTTGGTTATTCAGTTGGCAAGCCGTTCATGCACGGCGTTTGCTGGTGGAGAATGCAATGTGAACATGTCCGTGTCCGAGTTCACTTCGAAATGAACACCTACCACCGCATCCTCTCCATTGATACGTCTTGCGAGGCCATGACGTCTCAGAACAGACAAAACAGCAATGTTCCTCAGACCACGAAACGACGGGAACAGCAATGAGTTGCCTCATTCCTATGGCTGGAGTTGGTAGTTCGCTCTACGTTCTGCATCCAGACCTTTGAACAAGGTCTTGTTCATCAATTCACTCTGAGCAAAGTCAGAAATTCGGAGGCAAATGGGAGCAAGTCAGATTTTCTCGTCACAAAGCCTAGTTGCATAAAGACAGACTACGGTGATAGTAGATCATGTATCTTAATTAGAATATAAGCTTGACGGAATAGGCTAGTTATATAAGATAGAGTTAGACGTATTCAAGCAGAATACTCGAATCCGGGACATTGATTTTGATGGAATGCAATGGAAACATTATGGAACATGCAGGATAATATGTTAGCATGGTAGAATAAGATCATATAGCAGAATCAATTAGACTCTTGCGTTCGATGAAGACAATGCCAGATGAAATGCGAAGTGGACATTATGGAAACATGAAGGTAGGTTGGTCGGGAAATAAGGTCATGATGAATGATGCAAATGGACATGTTGAGACGGATGATGGGAACCCTTTTGGATGCAAAGACGCCTTGTCTGTCGTAATAACTGCATGTCAAAATCCGCCAACCTCGCTATGCAAATCCTCGTAATTAGAGGGACAATTCTGTGAGGGGGTATCGTGAATGTTTTCATAGCTCAAATCAATAAAAATCAGAAAAATCGAAATATAAAGAAAAACACCAGGGCGCGCATGGGAAGAACCAGGCACAGTTGACGGTTTTCTGGAAATTATCAGGCGCAAAGGTTGGGCTGTTATCAACCTGTGAGACAAAGGTGGGTTGGTTCACTGGCAAATAGTGTACGGAATATCAGGCATCGGATAAGTCGTAATCCTCGTCGGCATCGCTGACTTCGTGGCCCCAGCGGTTGACGACTATGCGTCTCCCTAATTGATCTTCGGGTACTCCATCTCGAGAAGCACCAAAGTCAAGAACCTAATAAAAAGTCAGTGAGTAATAAGATAGGAAGTAAAGGTCATCTGATCTCACCTCGATATAAGTCATACTATCACGCTGGACTGCAGCGACACATTTTCTGTCATTGAATTTGACCTGCCAGACTCCGCTGAGATCGGTGAGAAGATCCCGAACGCATTCGCCGGTTCGAACATCCCACATCTTCAACGTTCGGTCAGATCCTGAAACAACTTTCTGGCCGTCATGCTGGAAACACGTGATGGCGCCAGTATGGGCACTCAGCATGTTTTTGCATTGACCGGTCTCCGGATCCCAAATTCTAAGGGTGGAGTCGGCAGCCGCGGAGACTAGACGATCGGATTTCAAGTCCAAGAGCCCGACCAAGGAAGTATGACCCTCAAGGTTATACAAGACAGATCCAGTCTCCAAAGACCATACTTTTACCATGTTGTCCATGGATCCGCTGATACACCGGTTCCTCTTGTGGTCCAGAACGACGCTGTAAACCTTGAGGGTATGACCTTGGAGCCTGTGCACCGTTTCTCCGGTAGAAATCTTCCATACTCGTACGGTACAGTCATAGCTTCCACTGACGAGGGTGTCACCATGGGCTGCGATCGCACGAACCGAATGTTGGTGACCGGTCAAAACGCGGACAAAATACGGGCAATCGGTATCATCGACATGAGGCCCACTCTGGTAATACCCCGGATCGCCGGGTTTGGGGAGCTTCCATACCCGCAGGTTTGAATCTCGGGAACCGGTGATGATCAACGGCTCCTTGGGCATCATTTCAGGGGCGCCGTTCGCCTTCTTGCCCACCTCCACTGGCAAAACGATTTGAAGGCATCGGACCGTAGAAGTATGACCATGGAAGATCTGAGTGCACCTGGCCCGTTCAATATCCCAGACTCGAACCGACCTGTCGGTCGAGCCAGAAACAAGAGTGTTGCCATGGTACTCAAGAGCCCAGACGCCACCCTCGTGACCCTCGAGAGTTGCCCTTAGTACACCGGTCTTTGTATCGTACACATTGATGTTGGTATCGTCGCTACCGGTCAGCACTTTTTCGGTGTCAAACTGAAGGCACGTGACTACATGGCGATCGTGGGCACGGAACGCAATATGTCTTGGTTTGACGCTAGGAGTCATCCAGGCTTTGTGAATCGAGTGATGGCGCTGGTAGAGAGATTTGTAGAGATGAAGACCTTGGAGGGACGGCAGACCGATATCAGGATATGGAACGGCAGCGGCGGCGGCGTTTGCTGCGGCGTAGGGGCCTTCGGCAGCAGAGATTTCCCTTCGCCAGTCAGCTGACTCCGAGTGGTCGGTGCCACTGGAGGAGATCTTTCGTTTGGCGAGTTTTCGCGAGGAGACACGTGTGCAGGCCTTTCTCTTTGGCCGACGATGGGATGACGACGCCCTATCACTGGGCCCGGCAAGAAGGGGCAAACTGGACGGCGAACCAGACTCGGGGTCGGGTTTGACATAAGTGGAGACGCTGAGGTCCTTTTCGCAGTCCTCAGTCCCGTTGGGGAATTGCCATCCCCAGCCCTCCCGGATAGCACGCTCGAGCTCTCCTTCAGGGAGAACATACCCATCTCGGTCGAAGAGCTCCTTCCAGCTCTTCTCATCGGAATTAATGACATGTCTCCACTTCTTGGACACCTGTGCCGCGCGACACATGGTGACGGCGTCGAAATATTTAACGACATTGAGCACCAACTCAAGAGGCAGGAGTGCCAAGAAGTCACATTTCAAAGCTGGGTTGACAACGTCGGCCACAAAATGCAGAGTTGGCTTAGGGCAGCGTCTCAAGAGTTGGTACATGAGGTATGTCTTCATGCCCTCTGGAACCGAATCGAAGAAGTCCAGCACATTGGGAATATCCATCAACGACGATGGTCGTGGGAGGTTGGAACTCGTGGCTAAGTCGGTATCCTTTAAAGACTCGTTTGTTTTGGCGTCTTCCAGGCGCAGGGACCCCATGTAGCGGGCCTCGCTATCAAAACTTGAATCCGTATCCATTTCGGGCTCTTCTTCGGCCGAATCAAAGGAAGAGTCGGGGTTCAACGCGTTCATAGCGGCGACCGGGGAGAGACTAGGGCTAGGCAAGCACATGTCCTGGGCTGCGACATTTCCAATGTTAGGGACTTGAGAAAGGGACCCCGCAGGCAAGTGCTGGGAAACTTCTTCCGATGCATCATCATAAGTCGTGTCCTGGCTGGTATCCGCCGTGCCCTGCTCCTCTTCTGCCGTCGTGTCTGGCAGCTTACCGACACTTTCCTCTGAGCGTCCCAGGCGTTTATTTCGCTCGGAGACAACAGTCCTAGTGCGCAGCTCTCTCTTTGGGTTGGATGCTTGTGAATTTTCCCGGGACTCAACTTCGGACGAAAGAGGAGATCGGAGTAGTGTTTCACGGCGAGGGATGTTGGCACTGTGGATCCTTCTCCGAGAAGCTACGACCTCACCAGCACCGTATGCATTGGGCTCCGTTTCCGGTGTCGCCAGACCGGCTGCTATGGGATAGTTTGGGGTAGAGCCATGTGAACGAACGGAACGCACCGATGGATCCGACGGAACTCTGTTGGCAGGGGGGCGCAAGGAGCCTTGGTGGGTTTCTGGGATGGATAACGGACGGCGCTTGGAGATCGAGGGACGAGATGGCTGATTCGATACTTTCGAAGGAGCGAAACGGCGTGGTAACTGCGTGTCGTCGGAGCTAAATGAAGTTACTGATCGAACCAGACCGTTGGAGGCTTTTAACGCGTCGTTCTTTTCATTCAGCTGCACGGGAGTTAGTTTTCAACAGATTCCTTGAGAGGATAGCGACCGGAAGGACAGGACATACCTCGGTGAGGGTTGCTGTGGTATCCTCGGGTTCATTGAAGACGACTGACTTCCCTCCCAGATCGAATTTGACGTTCCTCAGCGACGATGGAGTGGGCGACGATGCAAGGGGATAAAGCTTGGGATCGAGATCTCGCGTAGCGCGGGGCGGGTTGATACACAACGGGGGAAAGGTGGTCGTCGTGGTCGTCGTGGTGGTCACGACAGTAGTTCTCGTGGCAGGAGCGAAAGAAAACTGGCCGATGGAATTAATGGCAGCTCCCTGGTCCGCGCCACCAGCCGTGTCTTGATCGCTCATGATGTAATTTGGACGTGACAATATCGAGAAGTCGGTCAGCTAGAGGAGAACGCGACGATAAGATACGTAGGAGACGCGTGTTCGTGAAGCGGCAGGCGAGTCAACTTGGGGCGTTGTGGCTATTTACGTGGAATATCAGAGGTAGCGGCGACTCATTCCCAACGGACAACAATAGAGGTGCGGCGAGTGTTAATGCGAGAGGGGTTCAACGGCCGGGTGAATTTGGACAAGAAAAAAAAAAAATAAATAAGAGGTAAAAAGCATAAGAGCCGGAGAAAAGGGCAGGTCGGTATGAACGAGGGCGTCAGCACTGTACAAATTTACAGAAACCATCCGACAACCCAAAGGGGGGGGCAGGGGAGTAGTTAGAACATGGCTGCGATAACGATAGGGCGGTAGGCGATGGAACGAAAGAAGAGGCAGAGAAAACGGAAGGAAAAGTAAAATAGAAGAAATTCAGAAGCCAAACTAAAAGCCCTCGCAAGGGAAGAGAACGAAGAAAGGAGGAGCGTGGCGTGTTCTGCTGACAAAAAGGAGGAAGTTGGGGTTGGAGAGCAATCGAGGGAGGGAGAGACAAGAGGAGAGGAAGAGGGAGGGAGGAAGAGAGAGAGAGAGAGGTGGTTGGTTTGGGAGAGCAAAAGTGAGCGGAGTCGCCGTCGGGTGGACTGCACGGCCTGGCTTTAGCCCGTTTAGGCGGCTTCCCGAGGCTTTCTCCAGGTTCACTTTGGGAATCAGTCCAGATTCTATCGAGGGCCAGACAGGGTACGTGAAGTGCAGGGTCGAGGATGCAAATTTAGAATAGTGAAAGGTTTCTCGTTTCTCGATGAACAGAAAATCAACAAGATGGTAATTGACATATTTTAAAATCAAAGATAAATAAAATAAATAAAAATAAAAATAAAAGTAATTAATAAGAATAAAAATTTCTTCTGGTCGAGAGAGGCAAGGCGCCCTCTTGAAATTGCCGTGCGACCTGCAGTTTCGTGCTCGGAGGCGCCTCCCTATAGGCAGGCCCTCATAACCCTGTCTGCTTTTCTTCTTCGGTTCTCGCCAACTACAGGTCCGTCGGTTGCTTCAAACAGTAACTACCTACAAATCATAACAAAGAAAAACAAGCGAGAATTCCAACGATCATCAGACACCTCGACTAATAGATAATTGTGACGACACATGTGACTATCTCACCTCATCCTCCTATCGTTAAGAATGTCCCATCCCGTAATCTGTTGATATTTTCGGACCCTAATCTATTCATGCCAGTCAGATTTCCTTTACTGAATGCTACACTGCGCACATAACTTATTCTGTACCTGTCATTTTTCTCCTGCATTTCGTCGCCGCCACCTGCCCGTTTCACGTGATAGGGTGGGCCCCCGGCTCTGGTGTGGCAGAAATTCATCTTTTTTCCCCCTCGTCTGGGTTTTGGATCTATCCAAACGCCTGCCTCCCGGAAGGACGCCAATCCTGCATCGTGATTCCCTGCCACATTGTCCCGAATATCATCACCGTCTTACGGCGTATGGCGTACGTCCGGACTCGACGTCTCAAGTCCATCAACTTCTCCCCATGCCAAACAGGATTGCGGGGAACCACTGGATCAGGACCGCCGACTAGTGTGTGATTCAGAATACCATGGATCGGGGAGTCTATCGGGGAGTCTACGTTTCTGATCACCCCAAACTCCTGTTCTTGCACCAACCTTATCCTTGACATCGTCACATCCTCTGGTGTCTCCTCATTCCCATGCCGGAAGAGACTTGCCAGTAGAGTTTCCCTCCCGGCGGCGCTGCCTCCACGTGACTCGGGGGGATTGGCGGGCGCGTGCCAAGACCGAGTGACATCAGATTTTCTGTCGCGCACCGCCGGGATCCACTCCGACCATCAAACACTCACTCAGACACTCAGACAGTCCATCGAGTTGGTGAACATTCGACTCCTCGCAATGCGGCCTTTGCCAGGACCCGGCTAGCTTCTGGTTCTCGGAACCTTGCATATCCATTTCTACGGAGCATTGCAGACACTGCGTCCGGGATTCCGCGGGTGAGATCCTTCCTTCTTCAGCGGAGACTTCTGCTGTGGCCTGTGACAAATTTGTAGTCTCGGCCCGTGTGGAACGATCGGAATAGCGTAGAAACTAGACAGTAGACACTCGTCCGGACAAGAAAATCAGCCATTCGCTTTGGCTCCGTAGTCCGTAGAATCGGTCGATCACTGATCAGAGACAGTCAAATTAGCCAATTTTAGTATCCCGTACCCGCCCCACATTGCTAAAAGTACTTGTGCGACTTTGCGGGCGCCGTCGTTCGCTCTTGTACCTCGTTTCCCCGTTGGGGTCCTCTTCGAAAATATTCGGATCGCTCGTTTGTCTTGACGTCCTTTGCGAGTTGCCGACCATTGGGACACAACACGGTGCTGGATGCCTGGAAGCGAAGAAGAGGGGTGGGTTTACTTAATATCGCCGGGTTTGGAGGGGTTTCGCTGCAAATTCGAGATCAGCTGACCTAAGATATACATCGTAAATGTTCAACAACTCGGATCTTACCAGTAGATGAAGCAACCACATAGGGTTATTTCAGTGGTCAAGTACCAGTATTACAGGAGGCATTAACACATGTTCCAGGCCGCAATTCTGAGGTCCAGGAAACTCGAAGGCCAGTCACGTTCTCCTCGTTGAGAACGGGAAACAGCGAGCCTCTTCCCGTGACCGGCCTCTGGACAGTTCATCCTACGTCTGCATCTCAATTTGACCTCAACACCAGTCCCCTCCCACCATCGGTCCAATCTCTGGAGTAAGCTTTCTCGGGGTAGATGGCCGATCGATTCGGATTTCCCGATCTACTATCTCGGCACAACGCACTCGATAGCATTCGATCCGTCAATCCCTCGGTATGGATCGGATCAAAGCCTGTGGGCCGCCATCGACGGTTCAGCTGCAACGGGTGCAGGCTCCCAGTCAGCTTACATCGGTCAACAAGATGGCCTCAGTCCAGACCAAGCCTCAAGTCGAGCATGGCAACCCAGTGAGATCCGAGGTTCGGCAGCGACAATACCTGACCCAACGGCAGAGCCTACAGATGGTACAGATAATGTTACACGTGTCGGTCAGTATCCCCTACCTCGCGTTTTCCTATTCAAGTGTCTGAGTTCTCTTGGTTCCAATAGTTTGGGACATTGTTCTATCTTCGGTATGTTGCACATCAATTCACAGCTCCTCTCGCGGTCACTCAGTACTCATATCCCTACCCAGAGAGCTTTTGCCGCTTCCGTGCTTCGATGATCGCGACCTGAAAGAAGCCCAACGAGAGCACAATGTCTCATATGGAGAGTTTGTCGGTGAGAAGGCTCATCCACAGAGTTCACCAGAGACTCCATTCGGTAAAGGAAAAAGAGGGCAACCGCTCAAGATCATAGTCCGGGGTGCTGATCCGAAAGCGGACAATATCCTCGATGTCCTGGTATGATAGGTTCAGACAGCTCATTTAAGCCGTACTGACAACTACAGGAAACCGGAGTTTTCGACGCTCTCAGCAAGAACGTACTAGAAGCTCTTCAACTGACCATCTTTGCCGACAAAGATTCTCCCGACAATGTCTTGGAGACTTATACATTCTCATTCCGCTATACTGGGGGGTCTGGTGATGTGAACCGTCGTCTCGCAAGCATGTCTATAGACAGCATGGGCTGTGTCGCCGACATGAAATATGCACAAACCGCCAGGATAGGGCTGGAGACGATCATCCGGCGTTTGATAACGCTGAGCACATTCCTTCCGACCCTGCCAAGTACCGCGCTCATCCTGGATAGACTGAACGAATAAATGCTGACATGGATGCAGATAAACGGAACCTGGGTATCCACTTGTTCTATACCCAGGATTGCCCCCCGGAATATGAACCGCCTGGCTTTACCACGGCACGAGATGAAACCATCAACTACCCGCGGGACGATAACTGGAGGAAGGAATCACAGTCATGCGGAACAATGGATAGCGGTTGGCATGTGTGAGTCTCAGTAGACAGAATCAACTGAAGTACTGCTAATAACCGAACAGTGTTGGCCTTAACGTGACCTCTCTCAAATGGATCGGCCCAAGTCTAGGAGATCTAGAAGCTGTCCCAAAGATACCCCCGCAGCTCGAATACGGAGAAGTAGTTAAGAGAAGTGATGATATTGGTTTCTCTGATGGCAAAGGCTCTCCGCAAAGTGTTAGTGGAGAAGGTGGTCTCAGAATCACCCACAACGAGACATCTCACTCAGACTGGGACCAATCATCCATCAGAAGTGGGGACGCAAATAGCAGTTTGGAGATCTCTACACCCTCGCAAGATGTTGCTGATAGGCAGAGACTACAAATGATGATGCAGGTGAGCAAATCTGCGACTTGGAGTTAATGCTCTGGATGGAGATTCGCAAGAAATAGAAAGGACGACTGACATATGAAACAGTCACAGGAGATGGCGCCTTATCCAGACAGTGACATCCCTCCAACACAGCCCATCAATGAGGACAATATAGCTGAAAAACAGGCTGAATTTACCCCTGAGATTGTACCGATCGTATCTCTATCTCCGGAAAAGATCATCAAGATTCGAGAATTTCAATCTGCTGGTAAACCCAGTCTATCGACCGACGAGTTTCTCAGCGAGCAGGATGAAGGCGTTGTCAGGTGCCAATGCGGCTGGGAAGGGGAAGAAGCAGGCATGGTAAGCCGGTCTGGACCTTTGGCTCATAGCATAGGCTCATATCAACATAGATACAATGCGCTTTCTGTTTCAAGCACCAGCACGCGCGATGTTATGGATTTGAGAACACCGGGGACCACAGAATCCCTGATGTGCATACCTGTTATCAATGTTTATTGGAGCAGGATGAACCCGCCGTTCTTCGTGATATGGGCAGTCTTGTTCTGCTTAGAAGGGCAGTCAGGATTATACTAAACGAAGGATTCCCAAATAGGACCTCGGAGTTTATGCAAAAGCTTCGTAAGAAACAAGAGTCTCTCGATGTTAACACCATGCTAACAACAGTAGGTTGCAATGGGCAGACAGTCATTCAAATAACAGATCTCTTGAGGAAGAAGGGGATCCTGCAGGCAACGCCAGGATACAAGGCTAAAGGGTTCTTGCAAAAAGGTCTACCCAAGTTCAGTGTTTCTGCCTCAGATGAGGTGCGTCAAATGATCGACAGGGAAATCCTCGATCCGATGCTGAAAATCAAACAATACGTAAGGTTCCTAGTGTGCTAATGTATATCAACGCTGACAGTATAGCAGTATGTGTATCCAGGGTCAAACGAGTCTACGATACTCGAACCGGACACTGAAAAGACCGACGCTGCCGTTGACGATCTATCTCTTCAGATCCAAGAAGCCGGAGTGAAGAAACAGAAAGAAAACTCTCAGACGCCGAGCCGCTCTATGAGGAGCTCGGATGCTGATAGTCCGAGTGTACCAGGGGCAAGACAAACTCGTAAAAGGACACAGATGCTAGAAAGCATGGAAAAGATGCGCCAAGCAGAAGAATCCGAAAAAGCCAAGAAGTCTACACAGCGAGAGTTCACAAGCAAGCTCCGGGGTGCAGACACCGGAAAACGAGGACCTGTGCAGAAAGCTAATATCAATGCCCCGAAGGTTACGACTACCCCGAAGACCACACCTCGAAAGAGATCTCCTCCCCAGTCGTTCAACGAAGGAGAGCTGCGCCGTAGCAGCAGAAAGAGGCGCAAGGCGAGTAATTATGCCAAGCCGATTGATGTCGGAGCCGAAACAAGTGATTATCAGAGCACATAAAGCGCATTTGAGGCAGGAAGAATGATTGGTAGCGGTGGTCAAAGGTGGTTTATGAATTGATCAAGAGCTGGAGGTTTGGGGGGTAAGTTCTACAAGGGTTGGGTTCGTTCACATGAGGATTGCATCTGAGGAGCTACATTCAGTCTTTCGTTTTTCGGGTCAGTGCTTCCGGGAGGTTACGAAAAGTTCACTTGTATTCTTATTATTATGACTGCATTGCATTTGTTACCCCAGACGTCTTTAAAAGAATGACGAACGAGGAGATTAGAGTCTATACTCTTTCTACTTTGTCTAGTTAAGAACGAGTTATGAATCTCGCGTCTTGTGCTCCCCATACTACATAAGCAGTGACAGAGAACAACCGTTACTTTTACACAGACCTAGAATCACATCCCATGGGGTCTCAACCTCATTCGACGTTTGAGCTCCTGACCAAAACGCTAAGCCAGCGAAGTGCTCCACGACTGACCAATATCCGCCAGCCCTGCACTTGATGAACTGTCATTTTGATGTCTCTCTGTGGTTGCAAGCCTTAGTGCGGGATTACCTCGAAATAGAATGGACAATGCTGATGGTAGGCAGAGACAGCGGAGGATTACATTGCCGTGGCCAGGGGTAATTGGACGCCACAGTAGTCTTCGAAGATGAGGCTTTGGGTGTTGATGGCTCTCCGCGGTATACAAGGCCGAGTGCCATCCCACCTGTTCAATGAGGGATGCGGTTAAACACTTGTATGTGTTTTATTCTCCTCGACGATCTCCGGCCACAGACCAAACCACAGTTCGGACAAAAAACCAGCTACACCAACATGCGCGCCTCCGCCACGCTCTACGACTATTTCGAGAGCAAAGACTACAAGAACCCAACCGACGCCCACGACGCACCTTTTCAATTCGCCTACAGCACACCCGATCACTACTTCGACTGGCTCGCCAAACATCCCGCCGACCAAGCAGCCTTCAACTCCGTCGTGACCATAAGCCGTCAAGTCCGCAGCGAAGAATGGTTCAGCTACTACCCTGTCGCGTATGAAGACGAGCGAATGCTCAGCAAGAGTGATTAGAATAACCAATTTCACTGCTCAACAGCAACAATACTGCCCGAATAACCGTGCATTTATACTTCCTGCTTGATGGAGTGAAGATAAGCAGCAACCTCACTGCCGAAAATCCGGTCTTTCACAAGTTGGTCGGCCGATTCGACAATCCACGTCTGGCAGTTCCTTTGGATGAGCTTGCTAGGCGTCGAAGTAACCTGAAGATCTCATAGTCAATGCGTGCTCCAGCAGGGGTAGATTCTGGTAGGACGCCGGCAATGCAATATGCAATCCAACAGTCACAAAAGTATTTTCTTCACTGCTCAATTGATACAGTTGGTTGGAACGAAGTACATACCGTATCATCAACAGTCCTCAAACTCTTCTCCGGGACCTCAATCTTGTGCGCACTAGCTTCAAAGTCGCAACTCGGGGTCTGATCAACTTTGTCTTTGTCTCCGTCCGATTTAAGCATATCCTTCTCGACGAAGAACTCTCCGCTGACCCACTGCAGCGGAATCCTCTTCGTTGGGACATTACCAGTTTCTCGGAGATCATGAGCCCGCTCGATCTCAAACTGAAAACCGTTCATCACGTCGCCGGCGGCGTGCATGCGGACACCAAGGTCTGGGTTCTGGTGAGAGCGGACCCAGTACGCCCAGTGGTCTTTGAATGGGGCGCCGTTGTAGATCAGTAGCTCGACTAGAAATGCACCTGGGGAGCCGGACGGCGGAACTGCTGGAGGACTGGTGGCTTGAGGGAAGGTCGCTGGCTGTGCGGGCTGAGGAGGGGGTGGAGGTGGAGGTGCAGTGTCTGGTTTGAAGTCCATGGTAGGTGAATGTAGAAGGATGTTTATGCTTATGGCAAGAATTAATTAAAAAAAGAGGTTAAGCAATGCAGGAAGTAAAGTCAACAACTGACAACGTATAGATATATTAATTGTCGAAACTGCTCCTGAGGCCGGCGCTTAGATATGCACGTTGGCTGCCTTGCATGTCCGGCGGCAACATTCGGGACTAGGCAGAGGCCAACAACCGACCGCTCCAGCAGCTTGTATGTAAGTATACTATGGGGCCTTCCTATCTTTCAAGAATTCCTGTTAATAGAAATTGTTAGCTCTCGGTTTACTGCGACCCCGCAACTCTCGAAGACTGCTCGTGTTATCTCAAAGATGACGTCCCAGGGGGTTAAAGTCGAGACGGACCTCTACGATTCACGCCAACCCACGATGAGGACCATTCATGGTTCTGGCTTCTTCAGAGATCATCCAACATCTAAATTTCCTACACCGGCCGAAGTGAGAGCTATCAACGAGAGGTCAGGCAACATCCGTGGCACAAGCTTCAACCGACCCCCGCCTGTCAAGTTTCCATCGTTGGGCCTGATCGTCAAATATGGAGCCGACACAACCGTTACCGAAGCAAAGACTCAGATTATGGTATATGAGCAGTTAAAAGGCAAAGTACCAACACCTGAGGTGTTTGGGTGGACTGAAGACGGCCGCCAAGTATTCATCTACATGTCTTTAATAGAGGGCGAGCCTCTAGACCAAAGATGGTGAACTCTGAACGAGGAGGACAGAGAGGCTGTCTGTAAAGAGCTCAATGGTATGGTCAAGGCCTGGAGATCATTGGAACCGCCTTACCAAGTCCTTTACGTGGGTAAGTGATTTGAACTCCTTGCGGTAACTAGGCAGAAGTATGCTAAAGTGTTTTTTTCAGGCAGCCTAGATAATCAACCGCTGAATGAAATCTTTCTCTCCGGTCACCAGGTCTTGGCTGGCCCATTCTACGGTGCAGACGCCGTCCAGGAATTCCAGAATGGCTGCGATATCGAGATCGATGGAGAGGTGCCTGTGGTCTTTACGCATGACGACCTTGTGCCCCAAAATATTCTTTTATCCCCAGGACCGAGTCCAGTAGTGGCTGCTATCATTGATTGGGGCCAGTCAGGATGGTATCCTGCTTACTGGGAGTATTGCAAGGCGCGTCGTGTCGGGCTGAATCCAGAATATTTTAATGATGACTTGGCTGATGAATGGAGAACAAAATACCTGCCAACTATTTTGAACCCGGTCGATGATGAGACAGTGTATCACCCTTGGTTATGGTTTGTTCTGTTCAAGGGTATCTAGTTGTGCGAATGAATAGCTGTCCGAGGATCCTGCTAGGTAGGCCTTGACTAAGTTTGACTGGATTTAACCCCAAAGGGAATATGGTAGAACCATGCTTTGAAAAAGAGGAAACCAAACGCAAAGAGAAGGCCTTTGGGCTGTCCAGAAGATCAAGTACGTGTGTATCTTGAAGGTTTCTGTACTCCAAACGCAAACTTTCGATGCTAGATCATCGGCTTGTGGTCGAGGTAGGAGTTATGGTCTATGGTTCTGAATATGAGCTCGTACTGCGGAAGAATATCATTCTGGGACTTGGACATTGCAAAAAGCGTGTATACAACCGTGCCCTAAAAATTGCTCTTTTCTTCTAAACATTCTTACAGAGCTGTTGGTCTGGCTGTCAGCTTTCTTTTTTTCTTTCTTTCTCTCATTTCATCTTCTCTTACTTCCTCTAGCTAAAAGTTTCTTCCCGTTCTTGCCCAGAGACAAGTGGTAAAGTCAGCCCTAGAGTCAATCGAAATATGTGACAATGGATCATAGTTAAATGAAGTAAAGGATCTAAAATGCAAATCTCCGCCCACAGTGTCCGAGACAAAGAACGCTTCAACAAATCCCTGGGCCCTGTCCGAAGATACTCTTTGCTCGCTCGCTATAATCGTGGGAATCTCCCCTTTAGAGGTTGAAGAATTCCGGATAAATGGCTCTTCAAAAGAGATGATCTCTACAATGGCGGCTTTGTGAGTATTACTATAAATAAGTTGCTTATAGCTCAGAATATAGAGAAAACCAACCAACTTCCCAACCTCCTTGATCATATATCACCTTCCTTGAAATCCAACTCCTCGTCGAGATAGTCTTATCTTGTGCTACGTTGCTTCCTTCAAGATGGACTCGAATTCACATGTGTCCGACGACCAACTCTCTCCGCAGAGTGAGAGAAGGGGATCTGTTATCAGTATCACCCTTCCAATTCTAGGCAACCGTTCCCCATCCGCTAATGCGTCGGAAATGCGATATGCTTCGCTCTCCGAAAATTCCAAGCGGATGCTCGGGATCCTGTCCATCCTCAACCCGGATGGCGTCCCCTATGAACTATTCCGACACGGGGCGAGCACCGCAGTGCGGCGCGGTCTTCTGGATCTGAAATACCTGCAGAATCCAGTGCGGTTTTACGCATCGCTGCAGGACCTGATGCAAAAGTCTATTGTCGGGTTGGAGTTCAGTTCTCTGACGATCTACATCACCAAGGACCTGCAGAGGAGGAGCTACAGCCAGCTTTGCAAAGATGATACCCTTCGCCGAGCTGTCTTCGAACAGGCCGTGCATTTGCTGACTTGCTCACAGCCAGAGCCTGAGAAAGCTAACGAGCACACGTCGTCGAAGCAGAACTGGGAATGGTCGAAGAGGTACGAGTCCAGCATCAAGGCCCTTGTGCAGCACTTTCTAGGCTGTCCGAGTGCCTGCGAAGGGTACGAGAACCAGCTCGCATCTCTAGTCTATCAATGCGCTGTGTACCAAGTCGAACGCTCTTTCCACAGCGCAGCATCCGAAACCCTCAAGCTGGCAAACGACATCTTGGATCTCTCTCGATCGCCGAATATCGTCTTCATGTCGGACTGCAGGCGCCTCGAGGCCCGGATTTTCAATGAGACGAACCACCCCGCCGAGGCGATCAAGGCCAGCCAGGAGTCGCTTGCGTACGCGGAGATGGCCAAGGAACAGGACCTCCTCCCCGCCGTAGACGAGCGTTTTCCTCGCATTCTCACCGGGTACGCGAATTCGCTCAGTCAGCTTAAAGACTTTGACGTGGCGACTAAGGTACAGCAGGAGGCTTTGGATCATGTGCAGAAGTTCCCGGGATACAGTGAGATCCGGAAGCTCGTCCACGCGAACTGGGGGTCTCTTCTCTACTGCCAGGACAAATACGATGACGCTGCGAGGGTGCTGTGTCAGAGCCTGGACAGTGATCCGGATCAGCCGATGGCACTGCATCATCTGGGCAACACCTATTTGGCACTTGGGAAGACGAACGAGGCCCTCGCGGCTCATGGGAAGGCCCTCGACCTCAATACTGAACGGTTCGGGCCCCAGCATGCGGTCAGTGCTGTGAGTATGTTCAAGGTTGGTCAGGTTCTGGTCGAATCCATGAAGGAACCTATGCGAGCGATCAGCTACTTGCGCCAATCGCTCGATTGTTTCTTGATGCAGGATTCTCCGTATTTCAACAGGATCGGTGCGGCGAGAGCGGCACACATGCTGTCACGAGCTTTCCAGGAGATGGAGGTGTATATGGAGGCCAGCGAGTATCTACAGTTTGCAAGAGACTTGCGGTCTGAAGTTATTGGGGAGGTGGGTTCGACAGCGGACACTGATGAATACTACAAGTCTTTGATGTTCTACTGGGATCAGTGATTGTCATAGTCGGCTCGAAGGGTTATATATTGATTTGCTTTGCTTTGCAGTTAAGCCTGATCTTTATCTTATCTTTTCTACCTGTTCTCACTATTGTTATTGTTGTCTTTATTGACTGTAGTATACCATCCGTCGTAATATCAAGTCCCATTGCCATAACACAAGTGCTATCGAGAAGGACAGTCTCGTAACTGCCTGCTAACGAAAGCGTAGAAAGAGTAGTCGCAGGAGAACAACACGCCTTGACTTCACCTAGGTTTGTGAAGTTCTAGCTGCGCGGTGATCGTGCTCTCTGTGCGAAAAATAGCCTTCATGGAATATTAAGTCTGTCGCTGCGAATCAGACCGCAGATTGGAGTCGTTTGGACCATTTCCTTTGCCTTTATACCCGCGTTCATATGCTTTCGTAAGCCGATAGGTCCGGATCTGCTTTTCTGTGTTCTGCCTCTTTGTCCCATTCTCTAGTTAGCCAAAAGTCTTGAAGAGTGTTAAGGATAAAGTAATGGGAGATGGGATGTTTATGATGCCGGTTTATCTATGAATTGGATTTGCCGTTGGAACAAGGCGTTAAATGGTTTTTGAATTAGTTGAGTTACATATAGTTGTGTTAGAAAATCATCAAGGGAAACCCTGCATTATATTCCCGTTCCTGAAAAGGAATACATAACCTAGGGCTGTTGACCGACTCCAAAGTTTCAGTTGGAGTTCAAGGTCTTGATGAGCTCAGAAGTATCTGAAGGTCGATGTTCTACTCTACATCGAAGAGATTCCAGAGCTTCACCGGTTGACAATATCTATTCACGGAGACTGATCGGGCCTACAGGCTTCAGGAAACAAAATTCCGTAGAGAAAAGAATCAAACTTTTGTCAAAAAATTCCCATTTTCTTCATTATTTTATGGTTCCTTCGACATATCCCTTAACCGACCGGAGTAGCGCGGCCCATCTAGAAAAGAAAAAGGCTTTTTGTCATGAAAAAAAAGGGAAACCCCATCATATTGTCCTAAGAGAAAGAAACCATTTACTCGTCGTCAACAACGGCGGTGTGCAGACCCTTGGGCTCCTTGACGTTGACAGCGTAGACCATGGAGTAGAGCTTCTCCTTGGCGTTCTCCTCGTCGTTACGCTTGCGGGAGATGCGAACACGCAGACGGAAGGGAACGCCCTTGATGCCGGCTTCCCAGACCTTCTTGTTAAGCTGGGGGTCAACACGGACGTCCTTGGTGCCCTGGTGTTGAAGAAAACGGAAACCATTAGTCATGATGATCCGTCAGGAAAGAAGTGAGGGGACAAAATGACTTACCATAGCCCGCTCAGCGAAGGCGCGGATCTCCTTGATAGCGCGGGGAGCACGCTTCTTGAAGCTAACACCGTGCATCTACAGAGTTGAAAAAAAAGGAGAAATCAGTCTTCCGCCCGAATGCCATCTTGTGAATCTGTGAAGATGCTAATGCGGCCATAGAGGTGGACTTCATAAAACTAATTCTTCCTTTTTTTGGGTTTGGAAAACGTCCCCAAGAGAATTTGGGTATTTTACATTCCTGCTCTTGCGCACAACTCCCTTTCTGTGGTTGAGGATTTCACTCCCATCACACACGCAGGGATGATTGTTGCCCAGGTTTTTGAGGTTCTAATCCTCTTGGGATGTTCTCCGTCCATGCCTCAAATGTTCGAAAAAGCTTGGTTCCACACCGCAGGATGGAATACATGGAGGATTCCGCATTCCGTTCCTTTGGTGATTGACCGCAATGATTATAAGGGGTCGGTTTCAACGTACTCTCTTGTGCATGTTGATGGTGTACTCGCGCGACACAACGTCGGCGATGGCCGAACGCTGCTTCTTGCCGGTGGTCTGGACGTTGGACATTTCTGACGGGAAATTGAATGTCAGTTGAGTTCGAAAACGGCGATGCAGATGATCAAGAGACTTCAATTAGAACTCACTGGATGGGGTGGACAGGGGTTGTTGGCTGTCGTTGGCGGAAGTGGTCGTAGTCGAAAGTTTTGTCGCTGAGCTTTTTCGGCGGACGAAATTCCAGTGTGGCTTCGCTTATCCTCACCGCCCCCGCTGATTGGTCCGCTATTGGTCACGTGGTGCAGCACTTCCCGCTCCCGCTGAAGCCTCAGGCACTCAGGCATCAAGGTATCCAACATTTAAACTGCTTGCGGATATGAAGAATACTTGTCTCATCATTCATGACAGGCTTGAACTAACTAAATTATGACTAAATGACAAATAAACAATCACTGACTATTTCTTCACGTCCCCCTTCGCCGCAAGCTGGGAGCGCCAGACACGCTCACGTCCGGGTACAGGTCAAATCGTCGCTGAGTGTAGACCGGAATGCCCTTTCTCGTGCTTTGGATCGTCTCGTTATCCAGATCGGCATAGATAATATCCTCCTTGTCCTCCGCCTCTGCGAGAACCTCCGCGCTGGGGTTCGCGATCAGACTGTGGCCGTACGCGTGGTACGTAGCATTCATGTCCCGCGCCGGGCTGCACAGGGCTACATACAGCTGGTTGTCCACGGCACGGGCGCGCGCCAACAGCGACCAGTGCATGGGCCCGGTGGTCAGGTTAAAGGCACCAGGGTAGACGAGCATGAAGGCGTCCTTGCGCGCCGCAATCATGGCTGACTCGGGAAAGCGGATATCGTAGCAGATGGCCAGGCCAATCTTGCCATACTCCGGGAGCTCGACCGTAGTCAACTGGCTGCCGGGCGACAGTACCTCGCTCTCCTTGAACGTGATCTTCCCAGGAATATCAATGTCGAAGAGATGAGTCTTGCGGTGGGTTCCGATCAGAGCTCCGGTCGGCGAGAATACTAAAGCAGTGTTGTAAAACTTGTTGGTCGTCGGCTCCAACTCGGGGATACTTCCGCCTACGAGGTAGGCTTTGGCCTCGGCGGCGATGGACGAGAGCGCATGGTACGAGGGGGACTGCTCCTTCGAGGGCGGCGAGGGGATAAGGGTCTCGGCGTATTTGGGGAAGTACTGAGTTCCGTAGGGGGAGTTGAAACATTCGGGGAGAACAATGAGTTTGGCTCCAGCCTGCGCTGCCTCAAGCACTTTGCTGCGCGCATGGGCGAGATTGACGGCTTTGTCGGCACCTGGAGCGAAGTCATCTCAGATTAGCATCCATCGGTTGCCCAGAAGTTGGCGGAACACGCACCGGAGGCAAGCTGCACCAGGGCAAGCTTCAACGGCTTCTTCAATAGGGAGGTCATAATGGTTTTAGATCAACTTTACAAGATGGAGAAGATGAGTTGGAATGACCCTGAGAGAGAGAGACGTTGAAGGAGGGTAAGGTAGGACGATCGTGCGGGGAGGGGAAATGAGTCGGAGCAGCCGATTCCGTTAGTTGTGTCGATAAGCGATAAGAGCCCTTGCATGGATGATGTCAACCCTCGTCCCCTTTCAACCCTCGGCATGTTCCTTGTACATTCTCAAGTTTCTCTAGATGAAAACACTTCCGAAAACAGTGTAATTAGATTGTGTTCACGTCAGACCTCCTGATCTACCGTCGGGAACCTCGGAAAGACTGGGGTCTTCCTGTGCCTTCTGAAGAACCACCGTCATCCGAGTATATATAGCTCTTTCAGCCTTCCGGCCTTTGTACCACGCTCAACGAGGCAAGTATGAGTGGGACATCGAGCAACTAGCAGCACCTGAGAGTACCCAAATGCTTTCCCGATGGGGTATCAAAGGGGAGAACCAGAAGGACTTAGAGACCACTACGTCTAGTAGCAACACCCTAGGTATGCAACTGAGCCCGTACAGCACTGACCTTGGCATTTCCGCTCAGGATGTATCGAAGCAATCTTACCAAAGCATGCATAGCCTCAATCCAATCTTCCTTCAAGCATAAGTTGTAGCCTCGCGAAAATTTGAGTTCAAAGACCTCATTTTCCGAAGGTCCCCTTGACTGTACCCTGGAGATTAGATCGGTCGTGAAGACTCCACGGGCAATATAGATATAAGACCCATAGAAGCCAATAACATATACCTCCTGGTCCTGAAAATCGATGCTGATGTTCTTGGCAAGGTGTCCCAACATTATACTAAGGATCTCTGCCAGTAGATCACCCCATGTTTGGCCGTCAAACCACTAGGGAAAAGTTAGGCTCTTTGCCACAGAAAAGAAAGCGGTCATTTTATATACATACACCGATATATGAAATTACTGGTAGGGGGTCTTGTTCTGAGCCAGTCATTGTTGCACCCTCCGGTCTAGAGGCATATTGTTCACCACCTATCACGTACTTGGTTCTTTTGACCAAGACAGGGAAGCTTAAGGTTCATCAGTCCTGAAATACCAAGGGACAGTGAGGGGTACTTCAACATACTGAAGCTCGGGGACTTGCTCCGCGAGGTCAAGATTCCAATATATGGTCTGCATCAATACCTTGAGCATCGTACCCTGTGATCTCATGAACTGTGTAAAGTGCTCCCTCTTCGGCATTTTCCAATTCTTCATGGGCAACGTGATTGTTTCGCTTGCCTTCAAGCTACTGGCAAGCTCGATGTCACCAGACTCACCAAAATCCAACTCGGCGCGGTGGGAATGGAGGTGATAAATGAAATCTCTGAATTCACCCTGTTCTCGTGGCCAGCGCATGGTGCAATTTTCTTTTGCAATATCAGTGTGCTGGAAAACCCAAGGGGTAAGTCTTTCTACATCCTTGTCTTCGATCATGTCAGTACTAATGCTCAAACAGACAGACAGCATTCGTTTAAGTAGTCAATTTACTTACTTTCGCGCTCAATGTCTACAGTTCCAGGTATTAATTTATCAAGGTCCACAATTTCGGAGCAAATGGTCACCGACATGTTGAAGGGCTTATCGATGATATTGAGAATGGAGCTTTAGCCCAACCGTGAACAAACAGGAGATGAGGCTGGCCTTCAGAAAAGTTCGCGGTAGGTGACCGCAGATGGATATTTCGGAGGAAGCATTGTTATCAGATATTTATTAGAGTGCCTGTCCTAACCAAGAATGTCCGGAATGGAAAGGAATTTCAGCCGGTTGCCTGTTAGGTTGAAGCCTTGGCAAACATCCCCGGCTACTTGCATGCGTCACACTGCTTGTACAGTAGAATAACTTCGGTTGTCTTCCAGTAGCGCCGCGATTATGCTATTTTCCTACCAGCTGGAACTGATTCAATGCAATTATTCTAGAAAGCCCGTTGAATCCGAGCCCAGAAGATCTGGAAAATCACTATAAGCTGATCTAAGATGTCATCCGATCCAAAGTAGATTTCCATATCATGGTAATCCAATAGAACTGGAAGCAGGGCTAACTCGGAACGTATATCCGTACATCCTTGCTTAGATTGAAACTCCCAGGGGCTAAATATAGCGAATCTCAATCCTGGGCTCGGGGGCGGTGGCAGTACGCGTCGGAAATAGATTCGCAAAGCACAATAGATCTAGCCAGCGGCGTCGACGTTTGTGATGTATCACAGAGACCCATTGTCTTTAGACAAGTGCGAAGTTTCCCCATGGGTGAGTCAACTTCAAGCGAACAGCCTGGATGCGGGCCTGGATGCGGACCTAAATTCTACACCAAACATACTATGACCGGAGTACTCCGTAGTATGTACTCCGTCTGCTGCATCCGCAAGGGTACGATATCCTTTAGAAGAATAAGTAATAACGCTGAATATCATCCTTGTTTGACTGTGGAGAGACAAGAGGGAGGACTACACCGAATCGAGTAGGAAACCACGTTCTCACTCCACCGTAACGGATGAACTAACCAGTACTAAACAGGGTTGATGGCCGTCTTGCCCCCCTTTTCTCTCCAGCTGCAAGCGAAGAGACTATTGGAATCCGGAATGGATCGTTCTCCAGTTCGTTCTTTGCCCGTCTTTCCCGGGAGCCCCTGAATATATACGGATCGATCAGCGTTTCTCCAAGGATGCCCCATCGGCAGGCTGTCAGGTCTTGCCAGACGGGAACCAAGACCGGAGTACGGAGACGATCGATGGATACTGGATAATCCGATAGTCCCAGGTGGCCGGGTCGAAGGCAGTCTGGGCCTGGGAAGAAGGGTTGAAGGGACGGAGCGCAGTGGAGCAGCGAAGGAGCGAAATCCTCCACGTGGAAATCCTTCCGCGCGTACGTAACATCTGAGTCAGCGATTGACCGTCCCCTGAGTGGTCAGGTGACCTCGACGGCGTCTCATCGTCGCTCAGCGTCGGCGCGCACGGAGTTGCTTCTGGCTTCTTCATCGCCTTCCACAACTCAGGGGGAAATGAGCCCTGCGCCAGTCGATGGATCATATATTACTTCCTTTTTTCTGGCTACATGGCGGCTTTCCTTCCCTTTCTCCTTTTCTTTCTTCTTCCCCTGACTGCCATGAACCCACTGTGCCCGGATTGAACGGTCCCGACCGTTGAAGCCAATTCCCCACGTCCCGTTTCCGTTCTTCGATTTGCCCCCCAGCCTTAAGTGGTTCCTCTCTACGCGCCAGACACAAGCCTGGGAGAAAAAAAAAAGTTTTACACCAAAATTGGCCACCCGGTTAAAAAAAATAATACTCGTCCCCCCTTTATATACTGCCAGGAACGCGTTCTTTCCACAAACAAATCGTCCTACAATCTCCTCTTTCCTACCTTTCATTTCCTCCCAGCAATCAATTCACAAGCCCTCTGTGCTTATCCTCTAGCGGATCACAAAGGAAGACAGATCGCTCGATCGCTCTTGGTGTGAAATCCGAAATCGCCCCACCATGTTCGAAGACTTCTCCTTCTCTTCCCCCTCGTCCACCCGGCAGTCGCGCCCGGCCCTGGAAGGGGATGACCGACTTATGGTCGATTGTGATAGCGCCCTCATCTCTCCGCTTTCCTCGCGATGTCCATCTCCTCGGTCCTCCGCCTCCCAGCGGTTTCCCCGGAGTCTCGCCCGCTCCCGATCCTCCCACTTCCGCGCGCAACAGGCCCCCACCTCCGTTCCCTTCGACTACAACCACCACAAACGCCTGTCCATCGCAACCCTGACTCGGAAACTCCACGAGCATACCATCCAGAACCCGTCCTGCGATGATATGCAACTCGAGAGTCCCACCTCCCTGCCTGGCCCTCAATCCCCGTCCGACTTCGTCTCCGGCGGCGCCAAGTTCCCGGGCTACGTCTTGACCCCCCCGGACACCGACCACGACGACGAGGGTTTCTTCGATTCTTCGTCCCTCACATCTCCGTCGTTGTCCCCTCAACCTCAATCCCCTTTCCTCAGTCCCACCTCCGCCCCGTTAGATGATGTCGCTATCAGTCAGGGTCAGGACGCCGTACCCGACCTACCCCCTTTCCCCGACAGCTGGAACGTTCGCGCTCAGCGACAGCACATCTCCCGTCTGCAGTGCAACCCCTCCGACCTCGAGGCCATCCGCCACGTTCTCCTCTCCGAAGACGAAGCCTTGAACATGAACCTGAAGTACCCGCCCAGCGCAGACTCCTGCCACCCCAGCTCGCTCCCACCGCAGCAATCTCCGCGCCGGAGGGCGCTGACTCTCCAGCGCAGCCGCTTCCGACCGCAAACCTCTTCCTCATCCTCTTCCACCCTCGCGGAGCCCACGTCGATCGAGTCTCGAGGCAGGCGGAAGAGCAGCTCCGGCGTGGTGCAGTCGCATCGCATCGAGAAGAACTATCACTCCGCTTCGGGTCGAGACATGCACAAGAAAAGCGAGCAGGGCTTGAGACGAAAGAGTCTGGTCAGTGCAGCGTTGGCTTCGATGGTTGAGAAGAGTTGCTGTACTTCGGACTGAACTTTATTTCATTCTGTCATGCCATTTAGCTGGCTTTCTCATCTCTATGTTAAACTCTTTTGTTCGATTTGATCTGATTTTTTTTCTATTTAACTTTGTACATATTCTCTTCTTGTATCGGCTTGCTTTTCCCCCCCCCCCTGGCCTTTCCTATTCGGTTTCTTCTCATGGTTTTGTTGTTCTTCATTTCAAAGGTAGATACCCAAATTGTGTACAATGTTTATTTCTTTTTCTCGGTTTCATCTCATCCCATCTATTCACATACATACACTCCATCATAGAATACTAGGTATTCGCTTCCTACCTATCTTCTTAAAAACCCGATTGAATATATATTCCTTCAAACCCCTCAATGGCACATGACATTGCATCTAAAACATACCCCACTGTCCCAGACAAAACCACTCACCAAAAACAATAAATACCTCGATAACTTATACTCATGTAAAGCTAACAAATGGAACAAAAGAAACAGAATGTCCACAGCGTAAGAAAGGAAAGAATCTAGAAAGAAGAATAGGCGAAGGAAGGGAAGTGAATCGCTTAACTCGACCATGCAGTTCTTTCTAACCTCAGGAAACATACATACACGGTCAAGGAGGAAACACAAGAAGCAGAGCTGAATACAGGGGAGTAAATCAAAAGGCTAATTGAAACTCATCCCGGATCAACGGACCTGGCTTTGATTATCTATCTATCACCAATCAAGGAATCAATGAATCAATCGCTATCGCTATCGCTGACGCTAACTATTGCAGGAAAGCAAGCAAGTAAGGAACTAATCAATCAATCAATCAATCTCCAATCACGAATCACGAGTCAATCATGTAAAGGGAAGTGAGAGAGAAATACAACAAATGAAATAAAATAGAATGTATAAGAAAGAAGGTGATAAGAGCACGGGTGGTGGATGAAGATCGTGAGTATCTAGACGGAGGGAGTGGAAGACAAAGAGATAGAGGTACGAAATCAATATCTATCTCTCTACTTCTCCCCATCTTTACCCCAAAACCGCTTCCTGCGCAACGCCATCGCAAGGCCACATAATCGTTTCAACGGGCCTGTTTTCCCCGCGTCCTGACTCCCTTTTCTCGGGGTAGACGAACGCGGTTGGACGTGGGTGTGGATGTGGTCGCGGAGGAGGGGAGTGGGCGTGGTGGATTGGGGAATATGGTGGTGGTGGTGTTTCGACCAGAAAGAGTGGCGGAAGGTATCGGGCTCGTGTTCATAGACCGGGGAGCCGGGTTCGCCCAGCTCCGAGGAGTCGAAGGATCGAGGGGTCCAGAGGCGGGAGCCGCGGTGGAGGTGAGAGCGGCAATGAGAGTACGAGTACGAGCGGGAGTGGGTGTGAGAGGGGGATGGGGAGTAAGGGGTACGGTGGAGTCCGTCCGGCGACGAGATCGACTCGACGTCGTTTTCTTCCAAGCGCTCGGATATAGACGGCATGGTGTGGTGCGGCGAGTCGCCGACAAGATCGTGATGGGCGCGGTGGACATGCGCATTGGTGGTGGCTGTGATGTCGTCCTCCCTGTAGGTGTCTTCTCCCACGGGGTAGGGGTAGATATGGTCGTCGTCGGCGGCTAGAAATGACGTATCGAATATAGGAATGGCGTCGTCGGATATGTACGAGTCCCGCTGGTGACCGTGGCCGGACGATCCCGGGGAGGAGTACGTGTCCACATCTTCAATGTAGGAGACGATGCGCGCAAAGCGTAGCGATTCATGGGGGTTCAAAATCTCGAACGAGGTCCCGTTGTGGCTGATGACGGTCGAGTCGTCTCGCGCGACGTTAAGCAGCGCAGAGTCGGAGTAGGTCTTGCTGTGGCCGCGGATCGAGGGCGTCGGGTTTGGCTCGGGGTAGCTTTCAAGTCTGTCGCGAAAGGTATCCTATCAAAATCCTATTAGCCTTTTTCTTCATGCTGTCGGATATATGGATCAGTACCAAGATTTTATACGAATTCAACCTGTGTCCGGGACGCTCGTAAGGAACCAAGTCCATCGGAGTAGACGATACTAGGTAAGAAGTCTCCAATTAGCATACTCTCAATGTGATAAAGACCTAGAGAAATCTTACAGAGAAACCCGCGCAAGCTCTCCGCGCCCAAGTCACTAACCGCACTGGGCGACGACGAAGGCGACAGCGGCGGCGGGCTCGACGCCGAAGACGCCGAGAAGGGCGAGACGGAATGCGGAGGATCAGACGGTTGGTTTAGATTCAAGGCTGCGTTTTTCCGACGCAGCCTCTTGAAGTCATGTCCGTCGACGGAGGTCGACGAGCCTCCGTGTGCCATGTACCTGCGATAGTTGTGCAGCGACAAGGCGCCAGGTTCCGAGTAGAGGTTATTCATGACGTGGTTGAGGGATGAGGGCTGCAGAGCGGGATCGGGGTGGTCTGAAGAGGGGAATTGCGACTGCGACTGGGTTTGCGTTTGCGAGAGCAGGGGGAGAGAGATGGGAGATGGGGAACAGGCGGAGATGGCATCCACGGGTTGAAGATGGAAGGGCTCATGGCTGACGTAGTCTTTGAGGTCCATAATGAGGGCGGTGATGTAGCGTTGTGTGAGATCGACGGACAATGCATGGATCACTCGGACAATCAACGAGCGAAACAATGGAGAATGGATGAAAGAAGGACTATATCGAGATCAAAGGCGACCCCGACGCCGGATTGCAAACAAAGCGGGAACCCGATGGTGATGGAGACTCCGTGACCTCTAAATAGCGCGGTATCTTTGACCACCAATCTACAAAGGCATATCTTATCTCTAAGACACGCAGTCAGTCGGATGAAAATAAAATGAGAATAATGGGAGAGCGACGATTCTATACCGGAAGATGATAAAACCAGCCAAAACCCGTCGCGACCAGAAAAGCAAGAAGGACACAAATAAAAATAAAAGTCAAAGACCAAGCCGAACGAAAAAGAAAAAGAAAAAAAGGACCGACCAGATGGATATGTCACATTACGCTGGATGGCCGGTGACGTGCATCTCTGGCAACCAATCAGTTGCACGGCCACCGTTCATCCTGAGGGCCGTCGCCGGGTGGATCCTCAGAGGAGGCAGTTCATAGTCTCGGACGTTTGAGCAGGACGAGAGACGAGTATCAGATGGACGACCGAGAGAGTTGTTGGGCACCGAAGGCAGTCGATCGTCCCTGAGTCGGCTGTGCGTCGGCTGATTGGCTTTCTAACAGGGGAACAGTCTGACCAATCAGATATTCTGTCTGACCGTTTTCTAAATTTGAATTTCTCAGTCATTGTTGGCTTGTTTCATCGACACTCTCGGGTGATGATCCGCAGTGGCAATATCCATCGCCTGTGTATACTATACCTCCCATGCTCAGCCTTGGGGATTGGTCCGAGCTGACTAGTCAGATCCCTTACCTTTGTTTCATCGTCCGTCCACCCAGTCCAGTCAGGTTCTCAGACCTACCCTTCTTTCTGGTGCCATGGTGTTCTGGTGTAACTCAGTCTGTTGTTGTTCGGAGACAAGTAGAGAAGAAAGGGCGACGTATCGGGAGGACAGATGGGCCTGGTCAGCTGACTTCCCTGTGTCCACGTCCAGTTCCTGCCTGAGGTGTTCTCTCTCTGGACTGAGTAAGACGAGGCTGAAGAATCCGTATCCTCAGAGCCATCCCACATCATCATGCCTCCTTTCTTTTACTTTTCCCCCGCTTTGGATTGTAACATTGTCATTGTCATTGGAATTGTCATTCTGTCTATCTGCAAGTTCACCGCCCAAGAATCTCTTCCAAAACTCGCTCCTTTTCGTCAGCAGCAAATAACATCAACTTATCCCAATCCCCATCCCTCCTGTCTTCTCTCTCCACGTCCAAAACAACAAAATGCTCACAGGATAAAAACAGAAGGTAAATAGCAAAGAAACAAAAAAAAAAGATAACTTGACGTCGTTCATATCGTCATCATGGGCCAGATAAGTGCCAGGGCAGTCCTGCGTATGTATATATACCAGGTCGCTACCTGCCTGCCTGCCTGCCTTGTCGTTCCGGAGAATTAGTATGTACCGGGCTACGTCCTGTAACCCATGAATGTAAGAAGAAGGAACAATGAAAGATGCCAAAAGAGAAAATCAAGTGGATAATAAAAGGAAAGAATGCAACCCCAAATGGTATAATAATGGTTGTACGCCTGCACCGCTAAGAATGAATAACTCAATGGCGTTTGTATTTCTGGCGAGGCGAATCGACACGTTAGCAATGCAATGGAACCAGGATAGGGTACAGGGACAACTCACGTCTTCCATCTTTCGCCGATTGCTAGGATCCAAGGTATTTCCCGCCCCCAGCAGGGTCTGTCCCACGGCCTTGGACACCCCAATCGCAGGTCGAAGTATAACGGTAGGTGCTCGTTTCCAGACGGCCTTTGCGGCGGCCTTTGCACTGCCACTCTCGACCACTTCCCCAGGAACGGCCACGATGGCGTCGCGAGTCAGAATCAGATCGCGCTCCAGCCCCTTGAAGGCGCCCCGGAGGCCCTGGACCACGCCCACCGGTTGGTCGGCATACAGCGAGATCTTCTTCGCCTCTTCTTCGTCCATCATGTCCTCCTCGGAGGCCGCCAGCGGAGTTCTGGGGGTGGTCAGAAGATCCTCGGCGCCTTGCAGGACGGTTTGCGTGCCGATGGCGAGCTTGGCCCCCAGCTTCACCAATTCGTTGGAGGTGGTCTTCGCAAAGGATACGGCGCCCTTCTGAATGCTGCGCACAATTCGACCGTCCTTTCGGTACTCGCGCATCGGCACGAAGACCAGGTCTTTCATGCCTCCGCCGACATTGGCTAGAGACCGGATGGGGGCCAGCCCCGCGATCACGCCTGGCAGCTGGTTCCGCTTGATATCGGGCATCCAGATATCGTTGAGCGTCTGTCCGAGCTTATCAAATCCGGACACTCCGTAGATGATAACATGTCGCATGACCATGTCAGCCCCGTCCAGAACAAAAAAGTTCATGAACTCGGTTGTGCGACCTGACCGAAGACCTGCATAATCAACTCGCTTCGGTTTGAAATCGAGCCTGACAGGGACCGCATTGATCTCGGCCCGCTGCAAAAAGGGTATGTCTTCAGGGGCGCTAGGGGCTGGGGCAGAGTCGTCACGGAATTCGAAGAACCGGCACAAAAAGTCCAACGCATCTTGGTCAACGTGTAGCCGAAGCGGAAGGATAGTGGCCTAAATGAGAGTAAAATTTAAACGTCAGAAATTGTACATATACGGGGCTTTCGTACTTGCTTACCTTGAGAACAATCTCAGCCGCGGCTAGCTCGGGGACCGGCCGCACGGTCAAGATTTCCAGGTGTATCATACTGGTCCCGCTCTCCTTCTCGCCCACCTCGTGCATGTAAGTGGCAAATTTCTTCCAGGTCGATGTCGGTACATGATCAAATATCTCCAAGTCCTTGATTCGAACATCCAATGAACTTTGCGTCTCTCCTGAGTCGGGCGGGAAAACGACAAGATCTGCGCAGATGCCCTTGAGTTCAAAGGTCATCTTGTGATACTTGCTCCGCGAAAGCCGCAGCTTTCTTCGCGATGTCGGCTGCCCTTGCCGCGCTGTGGCTCCGGTGACCGTAGTAGTGGTTGCGTAGCTTCCAGTCTCGCTAATAAGATCATCGATGTTGCGGTTGATATCGCCGCGGAGCTCTCGAGGATCCTTGTTGGCCGGGATACCAATGTAGATAGAGTTGAACAGGCAGTCACCAATGACGGACTCTTCTTCCTCTTCAAAACCAGGGGATGCACGGGACCCTGTCCGGGTCCGCCGCTCTGTTGCCTTCTTCTCCACGTCCTTCACAGCCTTCGAGATAGTGTCCCTCGTCCGCTGCCAGTCATAACCGTCGAAAAGATTCCATATCACGTGCGCGTCACGGACCCTGATTCTCAGAGGGCTTCTCTGGAGTTTACTATCGTCCGATAGCCCGTAGGTATTTTCAGCCGAGTCCCACCTGTGGGCTGTGCCTCCCACCGCAGACTGCTGGGCAAAGTGGTCCTCCCGAAACTCCAGGTCTGAGACACTCGACGATACGTAGTACTGCGAGTGGAAACTGTCGAGTAATTCATTCGACGACCCCATGCCTCCGTGCGAAGAGCCAGGCTCCGGGGCTGGATTCACAGGATAAAAGTCGCTCACATACTCAAGCTCATCCTCTATTGGGTCCGCTCCACTGTGACTTTCTTCGGTCGGACGAGGACGATCATCTGGTTCGGAAGTCTCTTCAGCCTCTGCAATTGGGTCCATCGTAAACGCATCTCCAGAGAACGATGCTAGCATGTCCTGAATCGGGAGAACCTCGGTCCGGTATTTGACAGCTACGCTAGGAGGAGTTGGAGGCTGTAAACCGTTGACGATGCTGATGAGAGTTTGCGTTGAGTCTGCGCACGTTTCCAGAATAAGCAGGTCGTCCCTGAGCTCCACGTCAAGCGACTTAGTGCCGTCGTCGCTGAGTTGCACGATTTTCAAAGTTGCCGTCGCGGAGGATATAGAGCACACGGACACATAGCCTAGATCGATGAGGGTTTGAACTTGATCACTCTGCAGGCCAGATGCCCTCCGACTATGAGTATCAGCAAGTCCCACATTCTTCGTGTCGTCTATGATCATAATCGACGCCTTGCGTAGATCTAACGTGGCTTCCGAGGAGGTATCATCATGAATAGTGCCTGAGAAATTAGCGTTCGTGAGCACCACCAGACCTTTGGCGGCAGTTCCCCTGGGATTTAGACCGACAACGCAGTCCCGTAAAGCAACCGCCAGCTTGGTCGGTTTTGAGGGAGCTTTAGGGGTCTCCTCATTCAATTTTTCTTTATCATAGTGATGGGGAGGCTGCAACTCTGCGAGATTGGCCAGCGAGTTCGCCATGTTGGCAGCGACATCGCCTGTGGTCATTTCTTCGCTAAGTCCGAGGAACGCGACGATCGACGATAGCGTGTATTCCACACGCAGATTATGGAGTTTGATCTTGAACGTAGGTTCCATCTCATCGGCAATGAACCGCGCCATCAAAACTGGGTGCTCGGTCTGAGACACTGAGCTTTGGCCCATATTCGGAGGCAACCCTTCTCCTAGAAGCTCCTCGTGGCCATTTCTGAGGACTGTCATTGATCCAACCTTGGCAGCTATAAGCGAAGGGATGCTGATATAGGCCGCTTCGGCATTTTCCAAGCGCGCGGTCATTTCCCCAACTTTGCCACCCACATTTACTTGAACCTCGAGGTCTCGAATCAGAGTGAGGGTCAATAGTCCAGGTCGGTCGTCCTCGGGAAGGTATTTGGCAACAGTAGATAGTCTACCTAGCTCTTCTCCAAGTTGAACGAAGGCCTCCAGGTCATTCGTGCGCGTTATCACTGCCTTTATGCCGCCGACTGTAGTGCGGAGCACGGAACCTTGTCTCCTCTGTCGGAAAAGAGTGTCCAGCATAATGTCATCATCCTCGTCGTATTTGTCCTTGGAAGGTGTGATCAACGAAAGGAGACGATCTAGATCAGTCTCCTTGGGCGCAAATAGGTACTCGACCCGAATATTGTTGAGGTTGACTTTGGCAGGCGCATCCTTCGTGTCCTCAAGTGGCAGCGGTCCACTTAACTTGGCTTTGTCAATTTGCACGGCAATACCCTCAGATCTACTGACAATTTTCACGGCCGTAGATCTTAGCTTCAGGTAATGTGTCTCTCCAGCAACATCAACGGCGACACCGCCCACACGGGCATTAACCTTCCACGGCACCGAGTCGTTCGGAGACACCTCTGTGGGCGGTGGGGATGAGGCTTCAAACCGCACACCGCGGGCTCGCTTTGGCGTGTCTTTCTTCGAAACCTTTGTAGCCGACATCGATGAGATTGAGCTTCCAAGATCCAGAATGGTGCTCAGCCCACCGACCCAGTCTATAACCTCTTCCAAGCGCTGGACATTGACATTGAGCAGGAGGGGGAGGGTTGTGATATTGATATGCGCTGAATCGGACGATTTGCTCAAAGCAATGCTTAGATCACCATGCATAGGTGAGTAGACATCGCGTGTGGATTCGCGCATTTTCAGATCTTCACTGAACGAGAGCAGATCCTCAGATGCAAATCCGAGTGTGAACTTGGTGACATCCAAGCGCAGTTTTGTCTTGTCTCTTTCTGTGGAGTAATGCGCTTTCAGCCCAGCTGCGGTGGTTTGAAGCACGATATCTTCGCGGAGTAGGCTGAAGAATGTGGGAGAATGCAATTGTGACCCTTCACAAGGGTATGCGTGTCCTGGTACATGTCCGACGAATTTAATGGACAGCTTCTGCAGTGCAAGTCTGAGAGCTTGTCGGCCCTGTGCTTCATCCTTTGTCTGCTTCTTTGCAGGAGCTGCGCTGTCGTCCTGGCCGAATGCGTGGAGGACCCGTTGGCCAAATTTCACGACCAACCATCCAATAGCGATATCGAATTGTAGCTCTGCTGAGAATATCTCAACTGCGACTTCGTCCCGTTCACCGCTAGAACCAAACTCTCGTTCATCTTTTTCTGCTCGTTGCGGGTATCTTGACTCGGCGATTTCGGAGTGAAGAGACGAACCGATAGAGTCGCCGCGGAACCGTAACGAAGTATGAGCCCTGGAAGCAAGAAGATCATTCTCGGTTCCATGACCTCGCGCGCGAGCAGTCGACTCCTTCAAATTCTCACCTGTCCCGCCCTCCAGGTCTGACAATTCGTCATCCTCGGTGGTTGATGGAATCCATATCAGTATCTTGTCAACGCTAAAGAATTTCTTTGCCATCTCTGTAGGTTTCTCCAGCCCTTGAGAGGATCTCATGGAATCCTGCTCGGTCGTCTCAGAAGGCGCCCTTGAGCTGTCGTCAAGTGAGTGCTCTTGTGGCATTGATGGTACGACATGAGCAGTAAGCTTGGGGGTCGCAGCCGCTGCTTCATCCTGATCATCGTTATCGTAACTGGCTTGCTCATAATCCCCTGGAGTGTGGAATGGCTGTCGAGCGCTGGTTTCCTTCATGATTGTGGATTCAGGAGAATCCCAAGCCCCAGGAATATTCGGCACGAAGCTTCTGGCGGTCGAACCTTGGCTGATAGCGCTCATGTACATACTTTGTGCCTCTTCGTTCGAGAACAGTTTCGACTCAGAAAGATCGGCATCGTGAAAAGAGCCGGAGGCCGAATCAGTACTACCTGCTTCTGAAGGAGGGCCAGAGATGCGGCGCGCTTCTTCCTCGTCATTTTGCGGAGCGTCCCCGAAAGCAATTTCGGGCAGCGCTTTCTGAGGGGCGCCCACACCTTCTAGATGATAATGATCACTGCCGCTGGGGGATATATCACCATGATGTTCCGGTCGCTGCCTGAAGGGTACCAGCGCTTGTCTACCAGAGCTATGTAGGGATGCAGACCCACTAGGGCTAAGCTCAGGACTCTGGCGACGAGGTGTTTCTCCACGACTAGAATCATTGCTATTGTTGGGGGGCAGGTGCAGATTACCTGAGCTCTCGAGATCATCATCCTGAAATTGAGAGTTGATGACTGAGTCCAGATAGGCGGGATTGTCGAGCAGTCTATCATCGTCGGAAAGGTTTTGGGAATCCTCTAGGTAACCATAACTTCGATTCTCTTCCGTATCGGCATCTGAAAATCGGCCATCGTACGTGTAAACAGAACCTTCCAATTCAGGAGCATCACCACGGTCATCGTTCCGAGAAACTGCAAACTCCTGTGGTGGTCGGTCAAGGATGGTCGAACGCGAGAGGTCAAGGGTGGAATTTGAAGACGATGGCACCGCAGGGGACGGCGAAGGAGCTCGACTAGGCGACCGGCTTGACTTTGGTTGTACGGGGGTAGACGGTGACAGGGGAGGTTCGGTAAAGCGAGCATAATTCGAGAAAACTATGGGTTCGGAGATTAAGGCGAGGTTGAGGTCAGAGAGGGAGACCAATCGTTTCCCCGTGCAAGACAAAGCTTCATCGGATCCAGAAGACGCGGACACCGCATTCACTTTAATTTGACGAATACTCAAGAGCCCGGTGATCGAGTCTGGCTTCTCCTCTGGTTGTCTCTTCAGAGGACCCTCCTGTTTCGTTTCCAGCTCCACTCGCACCGAGATGTCATCAATCTGAACCTGGAGACGCTCGACGACGCCCTTTATGAAAGCCGCAACAAAACTAGGTAGCGAAACACCCTCACTACCCAGACCAAGCTCGTCTTCATCGTCGCTGCTAAAGGAGGACGAGGGACGCTGTAATACTTGAGACCGAGATGAGATGGCGGCTTGTAGTTCCTCCTTCTCTTCTTTCGGTTCGGCCTCGAGGAATGACTGTGCAAGGTCGGTCGGGTTTGGAAGAATCGGGTCGAGCGAGAGGTCGTGATCGCCGACTGAAGGCGACTTTCCCTGCTCCGTCGACTCGCCGTGACAGGTCTCCTTCGACGGAAGTCTAAGATGCACGTCGATCCCGCTGGCTTGGCAGATGATCCCACTGCTGTAGAAGTCGGCAGGAACTGTGATTTGAAGGTACCGAACGCGGGCGCTAAGAAGTTCACTCGAGGGGGGCAGATGGAGGAATGAGGCTAGTTTCTGTAACGAGCGAGAGAAGTCGATAATGTTAGCCAGGTTCAACCGCCAAGCCAGCCGGCCGCGAGCCCACCCCGAGCGAAAATCATCACTTTCTTACGTACCTCAAGCCTCAAGCCTATATCCCGTAGCTCGACGGTGCTCCGTTGACCCCAGCGAATGCCGAGGCTGTCGAGATCTAGGGCTTCGGTGTCGACGAACTCCAGACGAGACAAGGCATATCGGAGCAACCGCTTCTGGAAGAATGAGGGTAGGAAGTAAGCCATGTTTGGGCATGAAGAGCCGACCGGGGCTCATTTGAAGATTGCAAGCGTCATCGGGGAGGGATCATAATAAGGAAAACAACTTGTTGAGATGGGGATGTGCTGTACTGCAGGCCCTGGAATTAGAGCGGTCGTTGTCCCCCAGGCGCGGAGGGATGGTTGATGTGCCGGATAACGGGTAGGATGACGTTCGGGAATCGAAGCGCTAAGTTGGTGGTAGACTAGTAGGACTAGTTAGGAGCCTAGCATCCGTAGGTCACTACTCCGTAGATAGCGAGGATCAACCGCAAATAGTCAGGCGGAGACTGGGGGAACGGAACCCAAATCACACCATGCCAACTCACACTTACGTCGAGGCTATCGTTTGCTGAATTTCTCCTATGCAGAAACAACCAGAGAGGTGTACACGGTAGAGGTGTTAACCAAGAAATTCCTCCTCGGTCTATGATGTTCCTAGTCCACACGTTCTAGGTCGGCAACGTCAACCACGGTTGGGGCTATGGCTAAACACGTATGGTGTCAGCGCAGATTGATCGTCTGGATTGACGCAGTCATCACTCAGTCCATTTGACATGGAGTATAAATGCTCGAGTCGGCTTGAGATTTGGCGACTTCCTATATTCAGTGCTTTTCACCCAAAGATGCTGCTTTGTTCCGGTGAAGAACAAGGGACTTGGCGGTCTCGTGATACCTTCGTCCCCGTCGCTTAGTAAGAGTGCATGACGTGCTGTGCCTCGCTGCGTTCAGGAGGAGACATGCTCAAGCAGGCTTCCTCTCTCCGGGTCCTTGTGATGCTCAGATTCCAGACCCAAAATCATGGGACTAACTGGCTGAAGGGGCACTATGCAAGTGGATGAGTAATTATGCACTGCATCGCGAATAGGCATAAGAAAATTCCCACCCTGGATCGACCTCCAGCAGCACAACACTGGCTTCATTGCATTCTGCATTATACACCTGGTTTATTATTATGGCTATCCTCGTGGAAATATACTATCATCAGTACTCAGTACTTAATATTCAATCATCAATATCAACTTCCGCATATTCAAGCGCCACCCACTCGCAGAACTTCTCGAAGTCCGCATACCACTCCTGCAACCGGGATGCTTTTACCCCTTCGCCCAGAACCCCCTCGCGAATTCCCGTCAGCCACCCTGCTGTCGGCTGATCTTCATAGCTGCTCCACCGGACGGAATTCTCGATCAGGATGGCAATGTCTGTGATCCCCAGACGTTCAGGGCCCTGGAGCGCCCGCCAAATCTCCGGTGTCAATCCATTCCAGCCGTGTCCGAGGACGGCCTGGGGGTCGCTGCCGAGCGAAACGGGAATTCCACGGGACAAGAGAAAGCGAAGGGAATTGGACCCGATCGGATCTGCCAGATGATGGCGTCCGTTGGAGATAGGGCAGCGCTCAACCAAGAGCTTCTTCTCCTTGATCAACTCGATGAGCATAGGATGTTCATAGAGTGATACCCCGTCCCCTATTCTCCGGCTTCCCAGCAGGATGGCGTCAAAAAGGTTGTGGCTGGGATTCTCCCCATGTGTATCGCATTCTGATGCGTGGAAAAAGAAGGGTATGTCTACTCCTTCCTCAAGACACAACTTTCGGAACCAAAACATCATTGGGACGAAATCCACAAGCTGTCCCTTCGGGCCTTCTTGTCCTCCCAAATCAAACCCGCAGATCACGTCCGGGAAATCCTGCTTGGCTATGATGCAATTCATCATGCTCTCTGCCAAGTCTTTGTTGGATGAGACGTCCGTAGCTGTCCATATCACGCGAGCACCATGGAATGATTGCCCTTCCTCCGTAGATTTGAATCTCGTAAGCTCTTCCTGAAACACTCTACACCATTCGGAAAACCCCTCTTCGGGTTCGCTGTGCCCTGTCCTGTAAAAATGATGGGAAAATTCAGTCCGTAGTTCCGCATACCGAACCTTGTCGGCGGCCAATTTGGCAAACAGGCGTCGTAGGCCCGCGCGCAAAACAGGCTCGTAGGCAAGGAGCGAGGAAATAACGGACGTCGAGCGACGATAGGCATCCCAGACTGCAGCAGGTCCAGACTCGTCATGGGAGTAAACGGAGCGCTCGCGTAGCGGCACGCAGCGACTCATCAACCAGTCACGGAATCCTCCTTCACCGTCCGGGAATGAAGAGGCCGCCGATTGTAGGCCGACGGGCGCAGGGGGATGCGAATTCCCCGACGAAGTCCATAGGGCTGCTCCATTTCCTGACCCGCCCGCCGAGTTGGGGATATGACGGAGAGTGAAAGGAATTTCGTCGCGGCGTGATTGGGTTGAGAGCGTCTCGGGCGCGACTATGTGGATGCCCTCCGTCGCGAGAGCCTGGTTGACGAGAAATTCGGCATCAAACATGAGATTCAAATGCGCATGTAGGAAGGAGCCCTTCGGCAATCTTTGCAGAATCTTCCAGAGCTCGGTTGTCTCCATCCGATCCATGGCGTTGTGCAACCTACCGCCGCGATGTAGAGCTTCTTCCGACGACGCATGGCTAGTATGAGGGTCCGACAGTGCGGACCCTGTGGGCATCAATTCCCGGTCGCGGATCTTGGACAGGATCTTGCATGCTGTCTTAGCTATGGGCGATAAGGACTTTCGAAGGGTAAAGTCTGGACCGAAGGAGTTAGTTCAGGGAGAGGACGTGGTGCGGGTGCTTGAACCCAATCCGAAGGGCAAATCCGAGCAGGGGGAGGTTCCCACCATGACGCTGCTTCTGCTCTTCTTCGATGAGAGAGCTCCGACCCTTGAGGTACTGCTGGATGAAGGGATCGTTGACCTGGGGGATTCCCTCTTCGAGTTCCCATTCGACGTCGGGGTTTTCCATATTGACCATAGTAACCCGTTCAAGGCATTAAACCGAGCTAGTAGTAGGCAAGGTTAGGAGATGATGGGGGGAAAGCGTGGGCTAGAGCTTGACCCCGCCCTGAGCGGCAAGGAACGGCAGGGGGGGAGAACCTCTGATGGGCGATAGCCCCATCCGGCGCAATCTTAACCTTATCCCGTCTGGAAGTGAACGGGTTCGGAAGGTAAACTAATTATTATTGAACGACCCCGGATTGGCAGGTGCATGTGAGTAGACATCTTTTCGAGCCTAGACTACCTCTGGAGTACAGTGTTGTTTCTTGCCCCCTTCCAATACGGACTGTCATCAAGACCACAACGCCTGGATGAACTCGCCTTGAGCCCTACGAGACTCCGAGATATATCTCTGGTCCCTGTCTAGGTACATACATACCTACTCGATAGGATATTCCCGTTGACTTATCGGCCAACACAATCCCTCGTTGGCCGAATGGTCTATCGCGAAGCCTTTTCGAACTAATATAGTGTGGACCTCCGGAGTTTAGCGACGACAAGTCTTGAGGATTGATAGCAAATTCCCAACCGACAGCTGTTTATTAAATGAATACCAAGCCAACTACGTCCTCGCTAGCGGGAAAACCGCCCCCTCTCGAGTAATATGTCCGAGGATACTCCATCCCTCCCTCTGAAAGAGGACAAAGGCTTATCACGTAGTATCATGCAACCCACGCCCGATGTGGCTTGAGTTAGATATCTTGCCCGCAGTTGTCTGTGCGATAGGCCTCAGGGCATGCCCGGGGAAGAAGGTCCTGCCAGGGATATCAGGATCGGAGTTCTCCGTGGCACGCAGCCAGTCACAGCGACGGTTTATCATGAAGCAGCCCTTCGATCCTGGCATCATTCGAGGTGTCCTGCTTACGGCTTGGCGGCTGAATCGCGAGAGACCACTGGTTGTAGACGACTAGTCGTGCTTTTGTAGGGCACACTACTAGTCCGATACTACCACCATGGTCCGGCTAGGGTCGGCACTATCTTCCCACTCGAGGAGTCGACTTGGCGGTCGGCGTTGGCTGGTTGGGGCTCATGTGTTTTCTGTTCTAACGGACCAAATATTACCATATTTTTTCCTCTTGTGTGGTGTTCCAACATTCGCCTCCGAGTGGGTGTTTCGTCGGTGCGGGTTCTGCATTGAGAAACCTCGGATGCCGTTGGGGTTAGCAGAGTGGATAAAGGGTGGGCAGTTTCCAGCGAGACTAGCAGAATTAGACTATTGTTCTATCAGCAGCACATGGCATCTCCGATAAGGATTTGCCTCCCCCAGGACACGGGATGTTGGCGACCAGGAAGACCGGATGTGAGTTCAATTGCTCCAAGCCAGGCTGGTTAGCTCAATGTAACCTCCAGCTGTTTTCTTTTCCTCTTTGGAACAATTCAACAAATGAATTGCGAGGGAGTGCCAGCGAACGGCACACGACCGAGTTCCTTGAGCGGAGACCAGTCGCCAATCCGAGGGCTTGCCGGGCGTGTTAGTGCTGCAACAGTCTTATCGCTATTCTCCGATGGGGAAGGCAGAGTTTGCCTTCGAGACCCACCTTCTTCTTTTTTTCTTTTCTTTTTTTTCTTTCTCTTCTTTTTGCCTCCTGCCCTGCGGAGTGCATACTCCGTACAGATCCCAGCCACTAGAATTTCTGGACCGTCCTGCACCACACGGCTCACGATGACCTCCTGGAGGGTGTCATATAGACGGAATAAATCCAAATCAGCGTCAACGTGTCCACGGACGTAGTAATAAAAGAAAAGCATAAAAAAAAAAGAAGCAGACCGCCGGAGTGGCCACTGGATTGGGAACGGGCGAAAAGAAAAAAACACTGGCATCCCCGCACACAATTGTCAACTGATAATCATGACCTTATCTCAGGTGGTCAGGGCTATGGCCTAGGCAGTGATTTTATTTTATTTTATTTTATTTTAATTTTTTTCTTCTTCCTTCTTCCTTCCATGCATCTTCCGTCTGACTACTTATCTATCTATCTCACCTCTTTCCTGTCTCGTTCAAGCTTTTAAAGCTGTGGCTTCCTGTCGTCAATTGCCATTGACCGTGTTCGTCGAATTTTTTTCACCCCCGGCTGGCTTTGACTGGAGCTCTTGCTTCACCCGGTTTTCTTTCTTGGTATATATTTGTCTTTCCATCTTACCTTTTATATCACATCACAGGGGGCATCGGACTGAAGAAGGGATCCATTGGGATCAGGTCCTTTGAAATATGGCGGACCAGAAACCTCTCGACGCGCCTGACCGGCAGGTCACAAGCATAGAAACGACGCCCGCTGCAGATCCTGCCGGAATCCCCGCAACCCAACGACATCCCGGCCCTAACGATGCGGCGGGCGATGATATCATCTACACGAAGGACGCGCAGACCGAGAAGACCGTGATCCCCGAATCCAGCTCGCTAGATAGCACGGGACAGAAGAAGGGTGACAAGGACGAGGAAGCGGGTGAAAGCTACCCGAAACGGGCTTTCTACCGGCTCTACTCCAAGTATATCAAGCATGTGGTCTATGCTGTCATCTGGCTCTTGTTCACCGGGTAAGCCGCTCGTTTGCCCGTGGGGTTTGGTTTATCTTGGGTTCCGTGATAGGCTCATCTTTTCTCGAATCTCTAGATGGTGGATTGCAGGTCTCGTCCTCCATCGGCATGACAAGAATTGGTTGATCCCTTTCTTGCTGTATCTTGCCATCACTCTGCGCATCATCTTCCTCTATGTGCCCATTTCCATCGTCACGAGGCCAGTGTACTGGGTATGGAATCAAACCGCATCGCGATTCGTCGATCTCATTCCGGAAAAGCTTCGCCTTCCCGGTGGCGCTCTTCTGACTATTTCGGTCATTATCATCGGCGCGTTTGCGTCGGAGGAGACCGCGGACAACAGCAGAGAAAACCGGGCCGTCAGTCTCTTCGGTCTCGTGGTGTTTCTGTTCGTGCTCTGGGCGACCTCGAGGAACCGCAAGAAGATCGTTTGGCACACCGTCATCATGGGCATGTTGGTGCAGTTCATCATCGCGCTCTTCGTGCTGCGGACCAAGGCCGGATATGACATCTTCAACTTCATCTCCACGCTGGCTCGTGAGCTCTTGGAGTTTGCAGGACAGGGTGTTGACTTTCTGGTCGAGGACGGATTCGCGAAGAGTCATACTTGGTTCCTGGTGAGCGTTGTCCCGGCCATCATATTCTTCGTCTCGCTCGTCCAGCTTCTTTACTACATCGGCCTGCTCCAGTGGGCCGTCGGCAAATTTGCCGTTTTCTTCTTCTGGTGCATGCGGGTGTCGGGTGCCGAGGCCGTCGTCGCCGCTGCGTCCCCCTTCATCGGACAAGGAGAATCCGCCATGCTGATTAAACCGTTCATTCCGTATTTGACCATGGCCGAAATCCACCAGGTCATGTGCTCTGGATACGCCACCATCGCAGGATCGGTGTTGGTGTCCTACATTAGCATGGGTGTCAACTCCCAGGCGCTGGTTTCGTCCTGTGTCATGAGTATCCCGGCTTCGCTCGCCGTCTCCAAGCTGCGTTGGCCCGAGGAGGAAGAGACCCTCACGGCGGGCCGTGTGGTCGTCCCGGAAGACGAGGATCACAAGGCCGCCAACGCGCTTCACGCCTTCTCCAACGGAGCCTGGCTCGGTCTCAAGATCGCCACCATGATCGCATCTGTCCTGCTGTGTATCATCTCCTTCGTGGGCCTGATCAACGGCCTCCTGACCTGGTGGGGTCGGTACTTGAACATTAACGACCCCGACTTGACCCTCGAACTTATCCTCGGATACATCTGTTACCCGATTGCCTTCCTGCTCGGTGTCTCCCGCGACGGAGATCTCCTGAAGGTCGGCAAGCTCCTCGGCATGAAACTCGTCATGGTAAGACCACAGCACCTTTCAAAGACAGAAATGACCCGTCCCCTCTAACCCCTCTCCAGAACGAGTTCATCGCGTACAACGCCCTTCAAAACGAAGCCGAGTACCAGGACCTCTCTCCGCGATCCAGGCTGATCGCCACCTACGCGCTCTGCGGATTCGCCAACATCGGCTCCCTCGGTAATCAGATCGGCGTGCTCGCCCAGCTCGCGCCCAGCCGATCCGGCGACGTCTCTCGCGTCGCATTTAGCGCCATGGTCACGGGCGCGATCAGTACCTTTACCAGCGCTACGATCGCCGGTCTCCTGATCACGAACGAGGCGGCTTTCACGACGCCGAACACATAAATAACCTCCCTGAAAATGGGGGTTTTGGTAGATTTGATTTGATTTGATTTCGTTCGATTCGATATGATATGATTTTTGCTCGTTGAAAAGCGAAAAGCAAATAGCAACTGGGAAGGGAAAGAAACAACCGAAAAGGAAAGACTATATAGTAATTATCGAATATGCGTACATACTTGATTTTCTCACTAGGTCGACAGCTTTCCCTTACTAAGTATAAGCAGCCTCAGGCGATCACCAAGCACGGGATGAGTGGAAGACTGAGTGCCCTAACTCCATGATATTTGTTTTTCTCAGTGTATACTCCGTAGGTGACTAGTGCCGGTCAGGGCTTGAATCCGTCGAAAATAGCGCAGGTTGGAAGGCAAGTCTGCTCAGGGATACACCAAAATCCGGCCATATAACATAGATAGGACGTGTTAGTAGATGATAGGAAGTATGTACCTCACCGCGTAAGCCAGCCACACAGAGAAGATTTCATGTTCATTCAATACAGCAGCAAGGAGAGAATGTCGCTTAGTTTTTTTTTAAAGCCCTCAACCGGCCCATAGTACCGGCAGCTATTGATAGCAGGGGAAAGTTCCAAATGGCCAGGACACAAGACACAAATCACTCACAGCCCTGCCTTGGGAGTCGTCACCGTAGCGCCCGCATCCACCGTTATAACCGTCCCATTGATATAGCTTGCCCCGGGACTACACAAGAACACAATCGAGTCCGACACCTCTTCGGGCAACGCGCCTCTCTTCAACGGACTCAGAGCTTGAACCATCGCGCCTAGTTGCGGTACGCGCTTCAAGCTGCGTTCCATCATTGGCGTCTGAGTCCATGCCGGACAAACCGTATTCACGCGGATGTGATGAGGGATATTATCCATTGCTGTTTTGGATCAGAAACACCCCCCCCATTCGCTTATGGCTGGAAAAAAAAATTGGTGATAAAAGAGGTAAAGAGGCCAGGCCTCTAGGGGGTAGGGTAGGGTAGGTAGATAGAAGAAGAAGAAGAAGAAGAAGAAGAAGAAGACTCACCAGCTGTTTTGGCCATTCCAAGCACCGCCCACTTCGATGCGCAGTATGATAACATGCCCGGCGCTGCCATGATTGAGTTGATCGAGCCGACTACCACGATCGATCCGCGGCCTAGACTCCTTGAGCCTTCTGAGCGACGGTTTTGGTGCTCGCGTGGCTCTTGCTTCGCCATGGCTGCGGAGACGGCGCGTAGGATGAGCATCGTGCCTCGTGCGTTTATCGATAGTGTTTGCTCGAAGATATCTGGTTTTACATGTTCGGTCGTTGCGCCGGAGATGTTTCCCATCTGGGTGATATGTGCGGTTTTAGTCGTCAGGTTTAAGCATTTATAGAGAGAGCCTGGTTGGTTGAAGGTTTGCCTGGAAGAAGAAAAAAGATCAGAGGGACAAAAGAACTTACGCCAGCAGAGTGAACGCAGTAATCAATGCGACCAAATTCCTTTACTGTCGACTCCACCAAGGTCTCGACGCTTGATTCGTCCGCCACATCGGTTTGTACAGAGATGGCGCGGAGATTGGCGTGGGTCGCGAACTTGCGGCTCTCTTCGACGACGGCATCGGCGGGTTCCAAATCGGCCAGGACGAGGCCTTCGACGCCGGCTTGCGCTAGAGCTAAAGCTGTGTCGCGGCCGATGCCTGACGCAGCCTGGACATGGACATGTCAGAAGGCGGGGGGAAACCACTAGGGAATAAAGCAAGGGGGTAGGCAGGGTGTGAGTTATTCGACATACACCCGTGACAAGAGCAATGCCACCCGGCAGTAGGGAGGTGGGAGCAGCCATACTATACTATTTAGAAAATGGTGACAAGAGTAGTCAAGTTCAACAGCCCTAAGAAGCAGACTTTGTTCTACTTATTCCCTGCATTTGACTCGGAGTCTGACACTGAGGTAAGTTGGTGGTGGTCAGACGGTGCCCTCTCATCTCACCAACACCCCTTGAAAGGCTGAAATTCGGGTTTGCCCAGGGTCCCTTGCAGGTAACGGAACTTGGCCAGTCATTGCGCTGCTTGGCTACATGATTCAACTTCTAGCAAACAGCCGGGGGGACGTTTTATCTGCCACGTCAGCAGGCCGATAGCCTTATCCGCGCTTCAATAATATTCTGAGGGGAGTAATCCGAAGAGTATCCGGAGATCCCTGTATAAGTAGAGCCTGACGCCAAGCGACGCGGGCGAGGAGGACAGACAAAGAAAGGCCAGTTCTAACTAATCCGAATGGGGAGAAAAGAGACCAGCATTAGTGCGAGAACCAAAGACTAATTGGGTGCCCATGAATCATGAATCTAATTTTCCCCCTCAAACATTCCAGCGGCTGGGTAGCCGATCACAACCATCCCAGTCACGGCCAAGGAACGAGGCTGAGGCTTTTCACAACGGATGTAACCCAGTCAGTCCATGGAATTGCAGCGCTAAGAAAGCCTCGCTCAGGCCTGTGAAACCAACGCGTCCAGTCTCAGACCATCACCTGCTGTTTCTGCCACATCAGCCCCGACGCGATGACCTGCCCCCCTGCGAATCCGGCCAGAATTTTCATCTGCAGGTTATAGCCTGCCGAGTACACTTGGCGGACGAGATCCTGGGTGTCGGGCGAGAGCGACGTGAGCATCTCCGTAGATTGCAGAATTGCATCCACTTGACTGGTGGGAAGCCGATGTCCAAGTCGTGACCGTAGTAAGGCCTGCGAAGCGGCTGTCACGATGGCGAGGCAGATCGTGCCGCCCATAACGCGGAATTGAGCCACGGCGCCCATGGCGACGGCTGAGACAAGTTAGCGGCATTATTATGGACTTGGCGAAATCAAAATTTGGGTTTACCTTTGTCTTGCGGTTCGATGGTAAAAGGGGTCATGAGAACTAATAGGGCGATGTTGATACCACAGCCATAACCCGCAAGAATCTGAAAGCCATACTGCTTGGCGGCGATAGTCACAGAATCGGACAAAGTCGATAGAAGTGCGTAGGCGATCACCTGGATGAAAGAAGCTGCGATGACAAAATATAGAACGGGAATCTTGAAGATCTTGGACAGCATAGGGGCCATGATAGATCCGATAGGGGCCGCAATCGTGAAGGGGATGAAGCGGATTCCTGCTTGTAAGGGGGAAAGGCCATTTACGATCTGAAAGCGCTGGGGAAGCTGGAAGATCGTGACGAACCATGTCCCTCCGAGGCAGATGGCATTCCTGGTCTCTATTAGCAGCCGGTTGCAAAGTGTGACTTTAGGGTAAACATACAGCAACATTCCCATCCACACGCGATTCTGCGCGAATCGCCAGGGAAAAATAGGCTCGACGAGGCCTTTTGAAAGTGTAATGCGCCGCTCCCATAGTAGGAAGATAATCCAAGCAAAGCCGGAAATGACCAGCATCACGATCGTAAAGGCAGATCGCCAGGCGAATCCCCGGTTGGCCTCCTCTAGCGGTGCGGCCAGACACACGGTGGCGATCAAGAGCAGGCTTGAGCCGATGAAATCGAGCCGCCGAAGACCGTTTAGGAGAGAATCCTTCAGAGAAACGTTGTTCGTCCGAGGTTTATGGTGGTTGGGGAACCGGTTAGGGATCATAAAGATGATCACCAGTCCGGCCAAGGCAGCGGGTGGTAGACTGAACTAGTCAGATTAAAAGGAGAGAATCAGATCTCGAAGGGACCTACTTTAACCAGAAGATCCATCGCCAGTTGGTTTCCGAGATGGCGCCCCCGAGAATCGGGCCCAGAAGCAAAGAGATGGCATAGACAACGGAAAGCGAACTGGTATACAGCGCATACTTCGCGGGCGGAACAAGCTCGAGCACAATCGTTGTACAAAGCGAATAATTTCCGGCGCCTCCAATGCCTTGAAAAGCGCGAAAGATAATCAGCTGGTTGATGGTTTGCGCGCCGCCGCAGGCACCGGAGAAAACGATGAAGAAGCCCACAGCAACAAGGAGACTCGATTTGCGACCGAACAGATCGCTAATCTTGGCTGTAATAACGAGCACACCGACGTATCCCAGCATGTAGCCTGCGATGATCCAGTAGAGTTTATCCAGACCTCCGATTTCCTCTGTTATGCTCATAAGCGCTGTGGTGACGATGGGGATTTCTAGATTTGTCAGGAACAGGCACATGGCCAGCCTATGCCCGTCAGTGAATGCACGTAGAATCCGAAAAGGAGGCAAACAAACGCAGCGGTGACCAGATGCAATCGCAGTCCCGACAAGTAGCCATTGTCTTCGGCGGCATCGGGTGATGGCTCTCGGTCATCGACGGTGTCCTCACGAGGAGCAATCGATTTCTCCATCTTGCACCAGAAACCAAGGCCTATCGCAAAGACGTTTGCTCGAGAAAGAACCCGAGCCGATAAGGTACCTAATATATAGGGCTAGTCCCGGGAAGAACGGAAAAAGCGATGGGCATGTCTGCCGCAGCACTTCTTGGCCGCCGCAGCCACCGTCAAGGATTAAGCATCGCCGCCAATTCTTCCTTCTTGAGGAAGCAGCCAACATGCACGAGAGAGTGGCATGGATCTCATGCAGGCTGACCAGAAGAGGAGGCCATTTCCGGCCCCCATTCCGGAGGAGAGTTTGCTTATGAGGGGGGTGAGAATCCCAGCTGAACGTGCACGGTCTTATGGAAGATCTCACCTATATCCCTTTCACTCTTTCCCCACATATCTAGGGGTTCGAGTCGGGAACTACTAGTTTTGCATGCTTCAAGATGGCCTCCAATATACCACTCGAAAAGCTGCTAGAAATGCCCGCGGCGACTCCTCCACCAGGAGTGACGCCGAACCTGGTGGATCCGCCTAATGACGAAGCGGCCGCGAAAGGCATTATTCTGAGCTTTTGGATATTCTGTTCGTTGATGCTGTTTATTCGTGTCTATACCAAGCTTGTGTTGATCCGCAAATTCGATTTGTCCGACTGTGAGCTACCCCCGGAGGCCAATTTGTACAGACACTGCTAACACCACCAGACTCGATTCTAATGGCGTGGGTATGAATGAATAAATCATTGTCATGACTTGAGTTAAATTATTGTACAGGCCATTCTCATGGGGGACTTCGCTCCTTACTGGCTTTTCGCTGATCTGGCCCCTGGAGTCGACCAGTGGAATCTGCGACTTAAGGACTTCTCCACGGTGATCGAGGTACGCAGGTCTCCTTCCTCGATGAGCCGTGGATGCTAAAAAAAACATAGTATTTTCACGCCGGCGGCGTTCTATACGGCTGCTGCATATTCTTTATCAAACTGGCCATCTTGCTGCAGTTCATCGAGATCTTTGTGCCCATTCGCAGGACGGGCACGTTCTACTGGATCTGTCTGATCTTGATCATCGTGAACTTTGTCTTCTATTTCATCAGTTTCTTCCTTGAGGTCTTCTCCTGTAACCCAGTGAAGAAGTATCACAAGCCATGGGTTGAGGGTACCTGCATGAGATACCACGTGTTGAACGTCGTCGCCAGCTCCGTCAACGCTGTTTCGGACATTATCATATTGGTCTTACCGCAGGTCCGTATCTGGAATTTGCAAATGCCTCTGAGTCGCCGGATTGCTGTCTCCGCTGTGTTTTTGGTCGGAGTGATGTATGACAATCTCCGCTATATATCCCGTCTCTAGGACAGACAATACTAATCAATCGTCCTTAGGGCCTGCACCGCCTCCGTGGTCCGTCTCGCCTACACCGTCGTTCTCATGAAGACCAAGAACATCTCTTACTACGCTTACCTATCGGGTATCTGGACAATCCCCGAGCTCTCCATGGGAATCGTCGTGGCGTGCTTGCCTGTCTTGCCTAAATTTATCAAGAGCCTTGACCCGAGTCACCGTCTGTCGCGCATCGGCTCTTCACTGCAGGGCATGTTCTCCGGGGGCAGTCGCTCGCTCTCGCGCTCTCGCTCCCATAACTACTCATCGGATCGCACGGAGCGAAATAATGCGCCATACACTTCTATACAGCGAGGGAAGGACGGCTGGTCTGATTCTCTTCCCCTAGTCTCTACGTCCAGTAGGGGCAGCGTGAAACAGCCGGATGTTGCAGGCCAGGCGGTATGAATCTGGTCTTTGGGATTGAGTGTTTGAGATGCACTACACGCGATTATAATCCTCTCTGGGAAATCTTGCTAGAGCGTTGGGTATATTATGGTGCGGGTTGGTTGGGGCATAGGATTTGGCGTAACGCGATCATGTATTCAATAGTTATTTTTGACCAGTCCGTTCATTTTATTCACACAGACTCATCTGCTGTAGCTCTAGCCAACGTCCGTTTGATGACCTGCACCGCTTGCCTCACATCCTCAGGATCGCGCGGCCCAGGGATCTCATGACCACCGTCATGCACGAAGACCTCACGATTAGCGCTGCTACACAACGAGCTGAGTTGGGGCCCGAAGGCATATCGATGATCATTCCGCCCCCAGATATGCGCCGTGGGGAGATCCAAGACCTCGCCATCGGTTGCGGCGTCCACGACCCGTCGATCCCCTTCTAGCAACATTTTGGGATCCTCCGGTGGCCCGCCACAGAAGAAGATAGCGCAGCGGAATGGGGCTGCCTGGGGATTCTTCTGCAATTCATGCAAGAGTAGCGTTGCACCGCAGCTGGCCCCATGGGAAAAAGCAAATAACCCATCAAAGGGCCCCTCGGCTGCCACAAACTCCTGCAGATGCGCGAGGAGTCGCACACGGCTCTCCTGGCTATCGTCAACATACATTAGAAACTCGTCGCTTGGCATAGCGACCGTCTCGAGGCCTGGAAAACAACGTTAGTTGCCGTGTGTCCGAGATCGACCGTGAGGGCTGTGAGAAAAGGAGGTCAGCCTACCAGGGGCCATATCGGTTGGCACCGATCCATCCAACCACTCGTAGGTGTGATCAGGGCCAAGCCGATGGCGTATGGCCGCTATGCGATCTCAGCCTCGCAATTCAGAACATATGGATCGACCTATCACTCACCGGTTTGAGCCTCGAAGACCTGGACGTTGTTAGTCGCGCAAAAGGTGAAAGGGCCTTGAGCGGAAACATACCCTTCCATTCTCACCCATCCCATGTAAGCAGAGAAACCGCATGTTGGTCTGTCCAGTTGATTTGGTCCTGTTACCGTTGGAAGAAAGAGATACTAAACCAAGCCTTATACACGATTGCCAGCTTTTACCAGCCCCGCGCGGGCTGAATGTGCAGGATGACTGCAGAAGTTAGGTGCCCTTGGCGCATCTACTAAATCACACCCCGAGAACGAGCATTATACCGCGGAGGTAGGCTCCTACTTTTGAATTAGCAAGCGTCCGGCCGTAAGCGCTTGGCACCTGGTCGAACCACTTTGCGGCGCCTAGGATCAAATATGTGCTGACTGGGGGCCGAATCGCATTCAATCTAGAGGCGCTCGGGAATAGCCAATGCCCCAGGCTTAGCAGGGGCCTTCATTGGTCGGGAAGTGAATGGCGTTGTCTTGTAATCATGGATGTCTTCCTCGCCGCTGCAACAATGTCCAATCCAGGCGCATACAGTTGCCGACTATGCCGCGTGTCAGACAGAGGAGGCTCATGATAAGAGGTCGAACACAAAGCTCATGGTATAAATCTGACCTTGACAGACCTTGTTTGTATACCAATGAAAGTAATTCCCGCTTCCCTTGTCCCTGTACGTTACGCCCTCCGCAATGACTGCCGATAGTTTCGAGCCTCTGGCCATTATTGGCCTTTCCTGCAAGTTCCCGGGAGATGCAGACACCCCAGAGTCTTTCTGGCGCATGCTTCAAGAGCGAAGATGCGCTATGACGCCGTGGCCTGAGGATCGAGTAATGCTGGAGGCCTTCTCACACCGAGATTCCAAGGTGCGTGCCACCGACACGATCTGATCAGAGGCACACCCGCTAACTCAGGATAGGAGTTCATTGCTGGCGCACATTTCATGCAAGAAGATCCAGCTCTCTTCGATGCCTCGTTCTTTGGAATCGGCGGTGCTGAAGCCGCTGTCATGGATCCTCAGCATCGCATGGTGCTGGAGACGGCGTACCGCGCCTTGGAAAATGGTACCTCTTCCAAATAGCAGTCCCGTGATGAACATGTATATTGATTTGATTGAAGCTGGTATCCCGATGGAAAAGGCCAACGGCACGAAAACGGCTGTATATACAGGTTCCATGACGAATGACTACTCGCATATGGCACATCGCGACCCCGAAAATATGCCCAAACACACCTCAATTGGTACCACGTCCAGTATGGTCGCGAATCGCGTCAGCTGGTTCTTCAATCTGCACGGTCCCTGTGTGAATCTCGACTCCGCCTGCTCTAGCAGTTTGATGGCTTTCGATATGGCTTGTACATCACTTCGTATCAAAGACAGTGATATGGTAAGTTTGCCTTGGGTTTTCTGCTCTTCTTTGTCTTTTCTCCAAACTGAACGCATAAGGCTCTCATTGCAGGTGTAAGTGCCATTTTAGGCGCCGAAGCCATCATGTCATTAATGAATATGAGCTTTCTTTCCCCCGACGGTCGCAGCTATAGCTTCGACTCTCGGGCTAACGGGTACGGACGAGGTGAAGGCTGCGGTGTCGTGCTGGTCAAACGTCTGGCTGATGCAGTGCGCGATGGCAACGTTATTCGAGCAGTCATCCGGTCCACTGGATCAAATCAGGATGGCTATACACCAGGCATCACACAGCCCAGTTCTACCTTGCAATCTCGGTTGATTCGGGACACATATGCCAAGGCAGGGCTCGAGTTTGAGCCAACGCGATTCTTCGAGGCGCATGGCACTGGGACGGCCGTAGGCGACCCCATCGAAGCTGAGGCTATCGGTCGTGTGTTCCGCAAGGCGCGTTCGCCGGACGATCCGCTATACATGTAAGCACGCCCTTTTCTCTATTGCGGCGCGTTTGCTGATCCAGACAGAGGCGCGGCCAAATCGAATATTGGTCACCTCGAGGGCGGCAGCGGCATTGCAGCGGTAATTAAAACGGTACTCGTGCTCGAGAAAGGGATTATTCCACCCAATTCAGTCAATTTCGAGTCCCTAAACCCGGAAATCGATGCCGAGTTTCTCAATATAAAGGTATTACAATCTTTCGGGATGCTCGATCAAGCCGTAAACCACCAGCTGACAATGTTAGATCCCAACAAGGCCTATGGCCTGGCCAACTCCTGGATTGCGACGGGCCTCTGTCTCCTCCTTTGGATATGGTGGCTCCAATGCGCATGTTGTGTTGGATGACGCATACCATTACCTGAAGCAACATCGCCTCGACGCCCCTAATTGTACTGCGCCTCAGGCTCACATCGCGAACGGAGTACCCAACGGGGTATCAACCTCAGTAAATGGTGTCAATGCGCGTGTTGAGACCATTGCAGAAGCCGTTACCAATGGCCACACGGCACAGATTCCCTCACGACTTCTAGTCTGGTCTGCCGAAGATGAAGGTGTCCTTGGTCGCATGACTGACGCTTACAGTCAATATGCACACTCACTCAAGATTCAGCAAGACCAAGAGTCAGCGTTCTTAGGTGAATTGGCTCAAACGTTGTCGGAAAAGCGCAGCCAGCTTTCATGGCGCGCATATAGTGTGGTGGACTCGTTGTCTGCTATAAAGGCCCTTCCAACTTCTCTATCCAAGCAAGTGCACACTACAAGGTCTCTGGCTCTAGGGTATATATTCACAGGACAAGGGGCCCAGTACTACGGCATGGGACGGCAGCTCGTCACCTACCCGGTGTTTGAAAGCAGTCTTCGTCTCTGCGATGATGCGCTTCGCTCATTTGGCTGTCCCTGGTCAGTGTTTGGTAGGTAATTCCAAAGAATGCAGCATTGTGGTATCGACTAATTGTGGATAGATCTCCTCGCCCAGGCGAGCCCTGAAAGTTTCGAGATAGATAACCCGACATACGCACAGTGCTTAACTACAGTACTGCAAATATCGCTGGTCGACCTCCTGTCGTCGTTTGGAATCGTGCCCTCGACTGTTGTCGGCCACTCTTCTGGCGAGATTGCTGCCGCGTAAGTGTGTTTGTCCGCAGGACATTGACTTCGCTAACAATAATAGATATGCCGTCGGTGGACTCTCGCGCGAGTCAGCGTGTCAGGTATCTTACTTCCGGGGTTTGCATGCCGGTACACTGCGCAATGGCAATGCGTCGATGCTCGCAGTAGATTTATCGCGGACCGACGCCCAAACATACCTCCAGAAATTGGACTCCAGTAAGCCCGGCAATATCACTGTTGCCTGTATCAACAGCCCTAGCAACGTGACTATTTCTGGTGACAATCACTTGGTGGATGCGCTCCAGGCCGATCTTGAACATAGTGGAATTCGGTCTCACCCTTTACGTACGGGCGTTGCATACCACAGCTCTCAAATGCAGGCCATATCCTCCCTCTATAGGGATTCTCTACAGGGTCTGATGGCTGGATCGCCGAGCAAGACCCTCATGATCTCTTCTGTGACGGGTTCACCTATCGGTGACCGCAAGATACTGTCCACGGCAGATTACTGGGTCCGTAACATGGTTGAGCCCGTGGAATTCTGCGGCGCCATAACAGAGAGTCTCTCACATACGGGATCGAAGAATCGCAAGATTGGCGCGCCAGTCAAGCATGCTATAACAGACTTGTTAGAGATTGGCCCTCATGGGGCCCTGCAACGGCCATTCCGGGAGACTCTGCGCAGTATGAATTTAAACCGAGATGTCCGATATATGGCCACGCTCGATCGACGCCAGCCATCGCTGCAGGCGCTTCAGTCTGCAGTGGGTCATCTCTATGCCCAGGGATACTCCATCACATTTGACGAGGTAAACCAATACCGCGGGGGCCTTCCCCAACATACAAAACAGCTTGTGAATCTTCCCTCTTACCCTTTCAACCATTCTCGTCGGTACTGGTTTGAGACGCGTGAGACTCAGAAAGTCAGACTCCGCTCTCATGGACGTCACGAGTTACTGGGTGCCCCATCGCCAGAATCACATCCCGGAGAGGCACATTGGCGTACCTTTTTCGACCCCGTCCAAACGCCATGGATCCTTGATCATGTAGTGAATGGCAAGCCAATTTACCCGGCGACGGGGATGGTGGTCATGGCCATCGAGGGTGCAGAACAGTTGGTCGATGCCTCTTTTCCACGGTCCGGATATTTCGTTCACGACGCCACATTCACGCATCCAATCGTGATCAACCCCTCTGGCCGCGTCCAGGCTGATCTTTATATGCGGGCGATTCGGTCGGCGGAGAAGACTTCCCAGTCCTTCGAGTTCCGTATCTACACCGATGTCAACAGTCAGTGGCAGGAGACTTGCCGGGGTTACATCTCGGTTCAGCTCGCAAGCGATGAAGATGTCCTCCTACGGCAAGAGAAAGCACAATCGCTGTATCATCAGGAGCGTTGGGAGGAGATATCCCGCAAATGCTCCAGTCCGGTCTCAACTCAAGGGATGTATGAAGCCCTCGAGACGAACGGGTTGCACTACGGCCCGGCCTTCCAGGTCATGGATGCCATAACCTGGGACGGAGACAAGTGTGCGACAGCCGAAATCCACACTTTTCCCTGGACAGCGAAGCAGTCGCAGCATGGTCGACAAAAGCATGTCGTGCATCCTGCCACTCTCGATGGCCTCGGCCAGCTGGGTGTCGTGCCTCTGACCGACGGAGGCTCAAAGTTGCTCACGACTGGACTAGTTACCACGCGTGTCCAGCAGGCGTGGGTCGCTGCGTCAGGAGCATCTAGTCCCGCTACACCATTTCTTCGGGCATTTGTGCGCTCACATACTACCGGAATGCGAGGCACTGAAACTGAGGTCACGGCCCTGGACGAGTCCGGACAGGTCAAGATCTGTATCTCCTCTATGGAAACCACTTCAATGACCACAAACAACGCAAAGGAGCTACAGGCCCAGGCGCGTTCGCTGTGCGGCACGATTGAATGGACTCCGGTGTTGAATTCCATGACCCCGGACCAGCTGAAAGCCTGGTGTAGCCTGCCACTAGCCGACAATAAACCGGAGCTTTTTGATCTCTTGGAGATAGTTCAGCTGTCATCCGCTCGCCGTGCTATCGAGCAGCTCGAAGGGCGATCGACATCTCACCTGCCTGGTCATCTGCAGAAATACATCGATTGGCTGCAGTGGCAAACGCGTAGATATGACGAAGGTACAGCATCAATCGCCGTCGATCATTCTCTCCTTCACTCGTTTGATCCAGCTGTTGCCGACAACTTATACGAGAGGTTAAAGCACTTGAGCGCGGAAGCTGTCCTCAGCGTGGTGGTTGCTCAGAATATGAGTGGTATACTAGCTGGCACTGTGGACCCTCTAGATCTGCTTTATCAGGACGACCGCGCTGCACATCATTATCAGGCGATTGCTGATCGTATGCTTCAGCCGGGCCATCTGCGTCACTATTTGAAGGCTCTGTCTCTCGAGAACCCCAGGATGAAAGTCCTAGAAGTCGGGGCCGGGACGGGGTCATTCACCAGCCATGTACTGGATGCATTGGCTGGAGATGCTGGGATTCTTCGGTTCGCACACTACGACTATACGGATATTTCGGAGGGGTTTTTCGAAAAGGCACGCGAGCGATTCGCGTCTAATGGCAGTAAGATGAGTTTCAAGATGCTGAACGTCGAAAAAGCGTCAGAGGCCCAGGGTTTCGAGAAAGGCAGTTATGATTTGATCGTTGGTGCTTGGGTAAGTACATTGTTTTTTTTCTGGTGTTATCATATGATACTTACTCGCACAGGTTCTTCATGCTACGGCAGACCTGAACGCCGCGACGAAAAATGTCCGCGAGCTGCTGAAGCCGGGAGGAAAGTTGGTGATGATCGAAATCACTCAGCCCGAGATCCTGCGTACTGGATTTGTTACTGGAACTTTGCCTGGGTGGTGGATGGGTATGTTTGTATCATGACCCAACTGAATTTTCTTTCTGACCGTCAACAGGGCAAGAGGATTACCGTGAGCATGGCGCGTGTGTGACAGCGCAGAAGTGGCAGGAGATCCTTCAGGAAAACGGATTCGACGGTGTTGATCTTGCATTTCCGGACTGTGAAGATGAGAAATATGCGGAACACAGCCTGCTGATAGCCACGGCATCCAGGACGCCCCCCCAGTCCAAGCCACGGCCTGTTATATGTGTCATTGACCCGGCCTCAACGATACAGGCCAAGCTGGTACATGACCTGCAGCAACAGACTGCTGATGAGACCGAGTGGACGGTAGTGTCTATGGAGGAGGTGAATAACATCTCACTAACTGAAAACCCTGTGGTTCTCTTCCTTCTAGAGGTGGAGAGTCCCGTTCTAGCTGCTCTCTCAGAGGCGCTCTATGATCGACTACACCATTTCTTCTGCCGCGCTCAAGACGTGATATGGGTCATGGCCTCGAATCCAACCTCTCCAAAAGCACCGCGTGTGCGTGCCATTCAAGGGCTAGCGCGCGTGCTTTGCACCGAGAACGAGAGGCGTTCTTTCGCAACGCTAGAGCTAGAGGATCACCTAGACTGTCCGGCCGAATGGGTAAATCACATTTATCGAATTCTTTCGCAACGACGTGGACAACAAAGCAAAGACCCTGAGCTTGATTATCGCGAACAGAACGGTGTGCTGCATGTCGGGCGTCTTATTGAGGATATAGCGCGCAATGATACTTTGCTGGAGCAAACACAGGCTCCGGTGAAGTGGCAGCCCTTCCGGCAACAAGTACCCTTATCGCTTTACCTCTCCAACCCGGGATCACTCGATGCCAGCTCCATGGTCTTTGTCGAGGACCTAGAGTACTCTCGAGAGCTCGCTCCCACGGAGATGGAGATTGAGGTTAAAGCTGTAGGTGTGAATTTTCGAGATGTACTAACAGCTTTGGGAAGACTGCGTAGCGGAGACAACCTAGGCTGTGAGTTCGCCGGCATTGTGGCTCGTGTTGGCAAAGACTGCGTCGGCTTTCAGCCTGGAGATCCAGTTTGTGCAGTGGTTCTCCGATGCGTACGCACGTATGCTCGGTGTGACTACCGTCAATGCTGTCGCATCCCTATGGGCGTATCGATGGCTATGGCGGCTTCAGTACCTACTATTGGAGTCACGGCGTACCACTCTCTAATTATCTTGGCACGTCTGCAGCCTGGTGAGTCGGTCCTTATCCATTCCGCTGCAGGAGGCACAGGACAGCTAGCCATCCAAGTAGCTCAGAGTGTGGGAGCAACGATATTTGTGACTGTCGGATCGCAGGAGAAATCACGTTTCTTGCAGGATCGATACGGAATCCCCGAGGACCATATTATGTATAGTCGTGACACGGCGTTTGCACGACATGTACGCCGCATGACGGATGGCCAGGGCGTGGACGTTGTTCTTAACTCGTTATCGGGTGATGCCCTCGTCGCATCATGGGAGTGCATCGCGCCATATGGGCGATTCGTTGAACTAGGCAATGCCGACGTTGCCAATAATTCAAAGCTTCCCATGAGAAACTTCGCAAAAAACGTGTCTTTCTTCCTTGTTGCGGTGGATCTCATTTCGCGCGAGCGTCCAGCACTCATCGGTCAGTCCCTGCAGCCGATTATGGATATGATGGGAGCCGGCACTCTGCATCCGCCATGGCCCTTGCAGGAATTTTCTCTTTCGTCTATGGAGGAGGCTCTCCGTCTGATGCAGAACGGAAAGCACACAGGCAAGCTCGTGATCAATTTTGGTCCGAACGATGTCGTCCCGGTATGTGTTCCAAGTCGATTAACTCTGACATATGCTGACAATTCCGAGATCTCCCTACGACATACACCGTCCTATGTCTTCCCTGCAAATGCAACATACGTGATTGCAGGCGGGTTGGGTGGATTAGGGCGTAGTGCTGCGCGCTGGATGGCAAGCATGGGAGCCAAGAACCTTATTTTGCTTTCTCGATCAGGACCTAAATCAAATGAAGCTCGTCAACTGATCGACCACCTAACTTCGCTGGGAGTCTGTGTTCGCGCACCTAAATGCGATGTGGCGGACATCGATGCGATGAAAGCTGCACTGAGTGACAGTGCAGACCTCCCTCCAATCCGAGGCTGTCTGCAAGCCACGATGGTCCTACAGGTGAGTCTCCATGTTCTTGTAGTTGCGATTAGAGAAAATACTGATCACTTTTAGGACGCCATCTTTGAGAACCTCACTTACGTCCAGTGGACCACAGCCATCCGCTCCAAGGTCCAAAGTACGGAGAATTTGCATGCCCTCCTCCCATCCAACCTGGAGTTCTTCGTCATGCTTTCGTCTCTCGCAGGCATAGTCGGCTCTGTCTCGCAAGCCGCCTACGCAGCCGGAAACACCTTCCAAGATGCCTTCGCGACTTATCGACGCAACCTCGGCCAGGCAGCCACTTCGCTTGACCTGGGCCGCATGGGCGAGGTAGGTATCATTGCCGAGAACACAACCTATTCACGACACAGACAGAGCGTGCCTGTAATGGAGGATATCTCAGAGCGAGAATTTCATGCGATTCTGGAACAGGTCTGTAGGTCCACTCTAGACGCAGCTCCCGATTCGACATCCAGCCAGATCTTGGTGGGTCTGGCGACTCCGGCCCAGATGCGCGCTGGAGGCATTGATCCCCCCGCTTGGATACTTGAGCGCGCATTATTCAGTGTTCTGCCGCAGGAGGCTACAGCGGTAGAGGTTGAGTTGGATCCGAGCGCTACTACTTCGACGGCTGCGTCACATTGGCAAGCGGCTCTAGTCAAGGCTGGTCCTGAGTCCGCTGTGTCTGTTGTAGTCGATGGGTTGACGCAAAAGCTAGCGCATGCGTTGGACCAAACGGCCGCGGAAATCGATCCGCAGAGATCCCTGGCAGTACAAGGTGTGGATTCATTGCTAGCGGTTGAAATACGGCAGTGGATTTCCAGGGCGTGGAAGGCAGAAGTGTCAGCACTGGATATTACCAGTACGCCTAGTTTGGAGGAGTTGGCGGTGATGGTTGTGGGTCGGAGTGAGATGCTCAAGGGGCAGTCATGATAATAGACCAGAACTGGGCATTATAATTTCTCGTGTGAGGTTAGTCCTAGTTGTTACAAACACGAGCAGACATGAGAACTTGATAGTCATAAAGCAAGACATCTCAGGAAAGATAGGAAAAAGAAAGAAAGACGGGTATTTAATTCTCCCCAGGGACACGTTGGTTTCCTGTACTGTCGATGACGTGATCCCCGGTGAGTAAGAGAAAGAGCGAAAGAGAGAGAGAGGAAAATAACAAGAAAAGCAAACAGCCCCAACACACAAAAAAAACTCCAAAAAACCTATATAACACCCCCAACCACTAATGCATCGGGCCGTACGTATCGCTTATCCCGAGACTGGATGAATGGATGGATGGGTGGATGGATGAATATAACAGCCCAGACTAGACAGACAGACAGACCCCGACTATGCAATGCAATGCACCCAAGTGAGTTTAGTCTCACTTGGAGTGCTTCCTAACGCCCGAAAAAACAATAACGTATGGTCCTTTATTCAATATCTTCGATGTCGCGGTGTCGGGCGAGGACGTGACGCTTGAATTCTTCCTGGTCGGTGTCCCATAGCTCGGCGGCTTGGGCGTTCAAGGGACTCGCGCTGTTCGAAAAGTGTTAGTATACCGTTTACTCTAGATGATAGAAGGAGTCTTTTGGGATGTCTTACTTGTTTGGCTCTCCGAGCAAGCTCTGCAGACTGAGAAGCACACTCTGTACGTTGTAAACAGCGCTCCACTTGTCCTTGAGGATGTCCAGGCAGATGCGGCCGGAGAAGTCGAAGTTGGGGTGGTAGATGGGTGTCTTGAAGAGCACGGTAGGCGGGGCATAGGGATAGTTGCTCGGGAAAGCAAACGACAGCTTAAGTTTCAGCCCGTCGTAGGGCGTGTCGGCCGGTCCGGTGATTGTCGCTGTCCACGAAAGAAGGTTGCCATCTGCGTCCGGGAAGGCGGAGATACCCGGCGAAGGCGAGAGCATCAGCTGCATGAGCTCTGCTTGGAGGCTGTAGAACACCAAGTGGGTTAGTCAACTGGAGGATGACTAGGAAGCCGTAGCTAAAGCACTGAGGATGGCACGAACCGTTTGGTGACGCTTTGGCTGTCGTTGCGCTGCCCCGCCGAGTTCAACTTGGACGCCTCAAGCGCGTCGGGAGCGGAGTTCTGAGTGTCTTCCATCGTGTAATCCATTCTGATCGGTCAAAAGCGAAGAAAGGGCGAGAGAGCGAGTCGGCGAGCAAAGATGATCTCGCTTTATTAGAAATGGAGAGGGAGGTCCGGGAAGGCTGGAGTTCCGATCAAAGTACGGAGTAGCAAGGGAGGGTTGCTGTCTGGAATGACGGAACCGAATGCAGCTTAACTGTTGGTTGGAATGGACGGATCGACCCACTGAGAACCCCAGAAGATCGGAATCGGTAAAGATGGAACAGGCAATGAGCAGTGGGATGGAAGGAAGAGTGTAAGATGATTAGATTCAAGAGAGGGGGAGAGAGAAAGCTGAAGATGAAGCCGAAGTGTTGGGATGCAAACAGGAGAGGAGGGGAGAAGGCCGTCCTTTTTTTTTGTTTACTCCACCGAAGAAGGAAAACGCGCCCCGGGCAACGCTGGCTTAACGGACCCCCGCCTGATCTCACATCTGACTCGTTCATCCGATCGGGTCGAGGTTTGTGTTCTATCGTCAAATGTATTCTATTCCTCAGGTCGGTTGTGTTCAAAATTATACGTTCTCTTTGTCTTCTTCCTCAGCAGGTGAACTGTCCACCAGTTTCCACGATGAAAGGAGCACCTGAACACTGAACTCCGAATGCTGAGGCTAAGAATAGTGAAGACCTATTCTAAGTTCATTATGAGGGCAAGTGCTGACGGAGAAAATATCATTGGCAAAGGGCGACTGCTGCGGGTCTAGATTGTTATGACCGACATGAAGCAATAATGCTGGTCTATTACAGGTTTCGAATGGTTGGAAACAATCTCTACTTCACTCTTTTGATACCCTCGAAGTTGCTTACTCTGCCCATATTCACTGCTCACTGTCATGTTCTGTCCTGGTGTTGGAGTTGCGCCGGTCGCCGATCAACAGATTACCCAGAAAGGATAAAGTGGCTCTCGCGTGCCGGCGCAGCGCGTTTCCCCGGCTTCCTCCCAGTCAGCAACCCTTGCTTTCTGCCTTCGATCACCACGAGATCATGAATCGAAAGCTCCTGTTTCTCTGACCGAACTTCAGATCTGATCTCAGATCCGGCAATTTTCTCGCGTTGGCCGCCTCGTGGGTTCGTTTTTCACGATGCACCATTCTCAACTAGCCCCGCTACCAAATGACCTGCCCTTTCGAATTGTCTCCAAGACCATTGGGCAGGGTGCCTATGCGTGGTAGGCTAATTCCTTAACACCTACGCTTGCTACAACCTGATATGAGGTTCCCTAACTCATCTGTTTCACTGCAGTATCAAAAAGGCATGCCCCTCGCATACGGATAATCCCGTTTTCGCCGTCAAATTCATCCACAAAGAGTACGCCGCTCGACATGGAAAGATTAGCCCCCGACAATTGCAGATGGAAGCGACGGTACACAAGCACATTGGCGATCATTACAATATAATCTCGTTCTTCCAGACGGGGGAGGACGAAGTTTGGCGATGGATCGCGATGGAGCTGGCCGAGGGTGGCGATCTTTTTGACAAAATCGAGGCCGACGAAGGTGTGGGAGAAGACATTGCCCATGTCTATTTCTCACAACTTATCAGTGCCGTGGGCTATATGCATTCGAAGGGCGTGGGACATCGAGATATCAAACCGGAAAATATGCTCCTCACTGCCGATGGGAACCTGAAGATTGCGGACTTTGGCCTCGCCACCTTATTCGAGTACAAGGGAGTGACCAAACTGTCTACCACGTTTTGCGGTAGCCCTCCATATATTGCTCCAGAGGTGATCTCTTGCAGCAGCAAAGCCCAAATTAAAGGCTCGGGCTACCAACCAGATCTGGTGGATATCTGGTCGTGCGGCATCGTTCTCTTCGTTCTTCTGGCCGGAAACACGCCATGGGACAGTCCCACAGAAAATAGCTACGAGTTTCACGAATACGTTACAACAAATGCACGCACCAGCGACGAACTGTGGCAGAAACTACCAGTGGCCACTCTATCGCTACTTCGAGGAATGCTGAACATTGACCCCGGGAACCGGTTTTCGTTGGAGGATGTACGACGACATCCCTGGTACACCCGACAAAACAAGTTCCTCGCCCCGGATGGAAGGCTGCGAGACCCGATAAATTTGGCTACGACGATGTTTGAATCGCTTCATATCGACTTCTCCCAGGATCCGCTTGCCTTGCGATCGCATGGCGGTAGTTTTGGTCCCGATAGAATGGATATGGGTGATGATTTTGATGGGGATCACAGAATCTCCTCTACGCAGCCTGAGATGCCGAGGGGAGGTATGCTGGTTGACTGGGATACTCCTCACTTGGGAGATACGTTCTCCTCGACGCAACCGATGGGGAAGCCTTTCTCTGCCGACGATACCTTGATTGCCGATACCTTGGAGGACGAACCGTCCATGTCCCAGTTCTCGCCGCATCCTTCCGTGCCATTAAGCCGCACCCAAAAGGCACAGCGATTCCGTGACATCGTCCCGTCCCGCCCGATGACAAGGTTCTTCTCGACGTGGGAACTTAAATTGCTGGTCCCTCTGATCTGCGAGGCGCTGCACCGTTTAGGCGTACCCGTTCCCTCCGTCCCCGCAGTTTCGGCCGGGGACACCTCCGCCATGATACGCATTGTGACTCGAGACGGCCGAATGTGCACCTTACAAGGCAAGGTGATCATCGAATGCGTTTCCGAGGGTCTCTTTGAAATTGAGTTTATGAAGGTGAAGGGCGATCCCCTCGAATGGCGACGGTTTTTCAAAAAGGCGGCCATCCTGTGCAAGGATGCTGTTTTCAAACCTGACGACTACGAAACATGATCTTGCCGAGTTGCAGATTGGATTTTGGATTTTCTTTCATTTCTCTCTGTTCCACTTTCTCTTCCTTTTATCCTTTTTTTAATGTCCTTGTATGATTAATGCGAATAATGATGGATCGGGTTAGGCACTAGGCAAACTGGCGGGAAATAGAAACCCCATTTAGGCATAATCTTGTCAATCTGATGCTTATCGGCTGGATTAAGGCTATAGTGGACGCCGATATAACCGTATCATAAGACGGCTCAATTGTTTGCTATCCATGATGGCGTTCGCAACGTAATGGCCACCGCAAGGCTCGCTGACCTGACTTGGACAACGGCCAAAGCACCGGACGGGACAAGGGCCAACGCAGACCGAAGGAGTCGAACGAAAACGGTCGACAAAACAACGATCTTCCTCCACACGCCGACACGTGACGTAAGTCTAGACTTCGCAGATCGCGGGGACGAAAGAAAAATGGATTTAAGAACTTTTTTGCACGGGCGAGAGAGGAATCTCGTCTGATCCTTCTCCTGCCCTCCGGCCCTCTCCCAATGGTGTTTTTGCAACGGTTTCGCCCATGGAGAAGTTACCGGTCGAGATTCTCGCCAAAATAATTGACTGTAAATTTACCCCGAGAATTTGGCCCAATGTTTACCCCGCATTGTCGGCGCTTTCCTCCCCAAGATGAGACCACGGAGAACTACTACCGGTAGTAGTTTCAACTGTTAGTATAACTACAGCTAACGGGCGTTTTAGTTCTCACCCCGCAGGAGCAGGTTCAACTTCAGTCCGTCTCGAAGCGGCTGTTCAACGTCGCTCGTGACAATAACCTGTGGAGGCTTCACTGCTACGAGAAGTCATGGGCGGCTGTCGATGCCTCTCGTCCGGCTCACCGGCCCTCGCAAAGCCTGGCCACTAATCCCACCGCGTCGCTCAGCGTGCTGGGACAGACGTCTCTGCGGTCCCTGATCCAGCCACATACGACTCGTTTCGATGGCCACGCACCACAGGCCCCGTCCTTCGCCGAACGATCGAGAGCGGCGGCCAGATGGGACCCGTCCTACGAGGGAGAGGATGTCGACTGGTACTCCGAGTATATTGCTCGGAATGGGCCGCTGTCGTTCAACTGGATTCAACATCCGTACACGCGGGAAGCTGGAGGCAAGCGGAAAGAGTACCGCGAGGCGAAAGGAATGGGGTTGCTTCGGGATTGGAGTTCCGCGCGGCAAAACAAGGTGATCGCGCCGCTGGATGATGGAAGTGTCTGCATTTGGGATCTCAATCATTCACATTCGATCGGGTCGCAGAGTACTAAAGGCAATATTCTGGGTGTCAGCGAGCCGGGCATCCTCATGGCCGATATTTCCCGGAAGAAGCAGAATTCCGCGGCAAAGCTGGCGCTGGAGTTTATCAATCTGGGCGAGTGTGTGAGTGTGGATTCTATGCGGCGCAGAGCGTATTTGGCTGTCGGGAATGTTCTCAATGAAGTGGATTTGGAGACGCTCCGGGTTGTCTCGCAGCAACGGTATCCTTGGTCCGTGTTTGCTCTGTCCCAGGAGACGGATTACTCGGTGCCGTTGACGTTGGCTACAACGCTGAGTATGCACATATATGATGGCAGAATGTCGGCAGTCGAGGAAGAAGAGGCCATTCATTCCCGGTGCGAAAAGTCAAAGCCGTCTCTCGTTCCCGAATCCCAGCTCTTCGCGCCTCCAGACTCGCCGCTGCTTCAGCTCCAGCCAAACGGCCAACCCCCTCGTCGCATACGAAGTCCGGATCCGTCGGAGCCCGTCGACAATTACGCGCCGCTATTTCAGCCAGGCCCGCTTTCGCTTTTGCATCCTCCAGCTCCGCATCTGAATTCTATATTCCTTGCAGGTCGTTTCCCGAGCATACTACAATATGACAGGCGTTTCTTCCCTCGACTGCAGAGCACCATTCATTCTGGCGGTCGCTTGTGCGGGCTGGCTGCGGTTCCTGCGCCGCGATTCCCCGTTGTTTCCGATTCGTCATGGCCAAGCTCACATCAGGTCGTAGCCTGCGGAGAGTATAAGGGTCGCGGTTCCCTGGAACTATACAACTTGACCCCGTCCACCCGGAATGTGGGAGATGACCCATCAGACTGGTCATCTAATATGGCACTGGTGCACCAGAATCGACAGAGCGCGGCCAGCTCGAAGGTGCTGTCCGTTGAATCTCACGGCACGCGGATTGTCTATTCTGACGGAGACGGCAATGTCAAATGGACCGAGCGGGACGGCCGGTCCGAAATCCGTCGTTTTAACATCAACACGTACAAGCCGCGTGGGAAGCCCACACTGCCTTCTACCTCCATTGACCAGGGACCTGATTCTATCATGACAGAGCAGGACGACGGCGAGACCGGCGGCCTGTGGGGCAATTCTCGCTCTCGCAGCGACGGGGAAGTGGCTCGCAAGATACTTCCCACTGGAGGAAACCTGACAGGGGACGAGCTTCTCATTTGGACGGGAGAGCGCATCGGCCGGGCCAAGTTTTCCGACGTTCCTATTACCGAGGAAGAGGAAGAGGAAGACGACGAAGACCTGAGTATAGACGGAGAAATGGACGACGCGACACGCGAGGAGGTGCGCAAGAATAGACGCGAGCATCGACGTCGAGATGAAGAATACTCCCGTATGATGCGCCGCGCGCTGGAACGACAGGCCGATGAAGTACGGCGGACTGGCGGAATGGGATTGTAATCTTGGTTCCATTTCCCCTTACCGTCCTTTTTATGCCGTTCTGTTGGGGTTCGTCATTTCTGCCGTTGGTCTCGGTAGTCCGCTTGGGTTGATGGTTTCGGGTTCTTTCATTTCATTTAAACAGGATAAGCGAGAGTATTCTGATCCTTTGGCATTTTTGTATATAGCCTTTTATACCGGCGTCATCTTCATATTATCTTTGTTTTTGTCATGGTTCTCCCGCTGCCTGTACTTATCTAGACGGCGGGTGCACGGAGGACCATAAGATCCCTGTTAGTCTGCATTTACCCTTAACGATAAAGTAGAAGAAGTCAAACCTGACCCATACTGGCCATTTTCTAGACACTTTAGAAAGATGTAAGTCATGTCCGAGAGAAATGTACGTAAATCGGACCTGTTTCGGCACCCGATTCGGCCCGTGAGAGCCGCGGTCTGTCATGACTGGCTTCTGACAAACCATTAGTGATCCAGGCCTTTGTCCTTTCCTTTCCTTTGCCTTCTTTCCAAACCTGTCTCCTGTGATACCCTTGAATATTGTCCTATCATAAACTCCAAGAAATCAGGTTCAGTTGGCAAGTACATAGCGACTTCAGAGAACCCGTGATATTGCGTGCGCATTTGCTTCCCAGCGACTTTCGCCACCTCCGGTCTCCCCGCGCCGCCTCTACTTTTGACTCATTCTCGTCAAACCGAATCGGTCCAACTTGTGGATTTAGAATTGCAATTGAAGGAAGTTTTCATATATTGTGAACTTCTCGTTCCGTCAAGAACATAACAGAACGACTGAAGTCGTTTGTTCAGAGTGTCTGTGCCCCGCGCCTGGTGAGGGGCTATTTTTACCGCAGTTTATCTATCCAACATGCCTTCCCCGACCGAGCCCGTCCACCAGTTTGATTCCATTGAGGATACAATTGCTGCTTTCAGTGAGTGCTCGCACCTTCATTGTTCTTGTTCTGGGCCATAGAGTCAATCTTGCAGTTTAGGGGGTTAACCAAAACAACCAACTGTCTACAGAGAATGGAGAGTTCATAATTGTTCTCGACTCGCAAGACCGTGAGAATGAGGGCGATCTCATCATCGCTGCCGAGTCGATCACAGATGCCCAGATGGCATTTCTGGTCCGCTATACAAGGTTGGAATTGCCCCGCACCGTGGGACTTTCTGGCGCAATTGCAGACAATCCAGGCCTGGACGTGGTCGCTAACCTGGGGAATTGTCATGTAGTGGCTTGATCTGCGCACCCATCACCCCCGAAATCGCCAGCCGACTGGCCCTGCCGCAAATGGTGCTCGAAAACGCTGACCCCAAGGGCACCGCCTACACGATCTCCATCGACTCGAGCGACCCCTCCGTCACAACCGGTATCTCCGCCCAGGACCGCGCGCTCGCATGCCGAACCCTTGCCTCGCCGTCTGCTCGTATCGACGACTTCCGAAGACCCGGCCACATCATCCCCCTGCAGGCGAAGGCCGGTGGGGTGCGCGAACGCAGAGGACACACCGAGGCCGCGGTCGAGTTCTGTCGTCTGGCGGGGAAGTCCCCGGCTGGTGTGATCGCCGAGTTGGTGGAGGATGGCGAGCTGGTCGAGGGGGTCCCTGAGATCGGTGGAAATAACGGCATGATGAGACGCGATGGGTGTTTGAAGTTCGGTAAGAAATGGGGCATCAAGGTATGCACGATCGAGGATCTGGTTGAGTATGTTGAGAAGACGGACGGTGTGACGAATGGGAAACATTGAGTGAACATCTTATGAATATCCTTTTTTCTGTTTCTGCTAAATCTTTGCATATATATTCTCTCCTGGTTGTATCGAGCTTCTCATATTCCTGTGGATCTTTGGACATTTCATACTTTTCTTCGGATTAACCTTTGCTTTTCTTGTCTTGTGACTATTTTCTTATTTCGTCTTGCGGACCCCTCTTCTCCATCCTTGCTCTTATTATTATCTTATGGCGCGCTTTCTTTATTGTTATTATCTTATGCCGGACAGGATCAGAGCCCAATGGCTTTGAGCCCTCCGGGTTGGATGCTTCAGAAACTTATAATAGATATAGAAAAGAAGTCTCATATGAAAGAATAATTGAATTGTCTTGGGTATCTATTTTTCAGTATATGGTACATATGCGACAACAAAAAGGCAGGAACAAAACATGATGGGCATGATCGCAAAAGTCTAAAGATAAAAGTCGATTTGCCAGAGCATTAACCCCGGTGTATAGGTCTCCCCCGTGAACGCCATTATGCAATATGATAGAACGGGCAGAGTATAAAACGTCCAAAAAAAGAGCCAGTTGACAGTGTCGAGCATAAGCTGGCCCCGCAGAATAGATTCATCGCTTGAGATGGGAATAATCCCTCAGAATGCCCATCATATGAGTGTTAGTTGTCTTACCACTGCGGCGTGGCTTCTTGACCTTCTTGTTCTCAATCTTGGGCCGCGCCTTGACGACCTTGTTTTTGTTGGTGGGAACGATCCCGGCCTTCTCCAGCTCCTCCTTGACGGTCTGCGCATCGGGAATCCGAATCTTCTCCCAGATCGCCTTGAACTCGTCGTCGAAATGCTGGATCAGCGACGGATCATTGGCCCAGACCATCTTGGCATGGTCGTCCTTCTTGTTCCGCGTCACCAGCAGCTTCCCTTCCTTCTCCAGCTTATTGATCGTGTCCTCCACGGCGGGCCACCCCTCGCGCAGTTCCCGAACACTCATCCCCGCCCCGGTCGTCTGAGCCTGCAGTTTCTGCAGCAACTGCTCCGCCGAGCGGATGTTGTGCGGCGGCCGGAACGCAAACGTGCCTTCCCCATTCGCGCCGCTCGGGTCGAATTGCACCTTCTCGTGTCTCTGCAGGATGCTGCGCAGAGCCTGCACGTAGCCCTGGTCGTGGGCGCGGTGTTGCAGCGACAGGTACGAGACGATGTCGGCGAACTTAAGTGGCACGCCCTTGGATTTCATGTGCTCGATCGCGAAGATCACCTGCGTCATGATATCCTTGCCCGTGCCGGTGTTGGCGGGCTGCGAGTATACGATGTCCGCATCGTGTCGCTTTCGTCGGGGATCGCCGCCGCCGGGCGTGGGAGTGGAGACTGACGAAGGCACTTGTGAACTGCTGGCCGAGGGGTTGTTGTTGTGGACGAATCGTCTCTGCTGCGGCATGCTCTTGGCATAATCGACAACGCCGGCGCTGAAGTTCTTGAGCTGGTTCTGAAGGTGCGACATGATTGCGGTATTGTTGCCTCACGCGCGGGGGCGAGGATGCGACTTGAAGGGAAGGCGTGAGAGGGGTGAAAGAAGTCGATCGGTGAGGTGAGATGTGTGAGGCTCAACTCTCTCTCACCAGGCCCTAGCTAGAGGCTCGAAGCTTGAATCTCGAATATAGGTAGATCAGTGTGAGAGTTGAAATTTCTGTATAAAGTTGAAAGATGGAGTATGCCGGGAGATGCTGATCGCCAGCAGAGGAGAAGGAGGGCCTGAAAGAGACCAGACCGTTCTTTATGGTCTCTGAGTGTCAGAAGATGAAACTCCCGAGAAGTGAGCTGGAAGTTGCCATCCTGAGGCTGCCATCGGATCATCACGTGCCCGGAGCCGCCCGCTACTAAACCGCGTCGGGAGCAGCAAAGCAGCATCATCCATTTCCGGGTCTCTTTCACCCTTGAACGCTTCTCTCGATCATCAATCAACGGGGGCTTTGTTACCACACCCCCCTTTGTGTCGCCTGTCTTTTAAGATTGTTTCTTTCAACCCCGCCATGACCTAGACCTGTCTCATCGAACGTCGAGTGCAGTTGTCCAAGAACAGTGAGGCAAGGCAGCTTCTTGCTGTAGCCGGTGTACAGTCAACATGGCTGCCGCTACGATCGAATTGCCTTACCTCGCGTCGCATTACTCCATTGCGGAGTCTGCGCTAACTACCCTTACCCAAGCCCCTACGGTCGAACTGGTGAACCAGCTCTTGGAAGCTATCACGAAGAAGGCTCGCGACCATGACGAGCTCAAGTCGGATAAGCTTCGTTTGGAGGTGGAGCTCGAAGGTGCCGTCCGTAGCAGCGATTCGAAGATCAAAGTTCTGAAGAACTCCGTTGAAAAGGGCCACGCCGAGGTGGAAGAGACGAGGAAGAAATTACACGAGGCTGGTAGGTATCCTTTGCTTTCAACCTAGCGCGTCTACTGACATCATCAGAAAATACCTGTTCCAACCTGGAATCCGAAATCGCTTCTCTGAAATCGTCGTCCACATCCAATGAATCCGAAGTCACCTCCCTTAAGTCGCGTATTGCTTCCCTCGAGGCTTCTAACAGAGATACCCTTTCGCTTTTGGAATCCAAATCCGCCGCTTACGACAAGCTGGCCGAGGACCTTTCGACGCAACACAAGAAGGCTATCGAGCTGCGACGTGAGTTGTCCACTGCCGAGCAGAATCTACAAGCCGCCAATTCCGCCTCCGCCAGTGCCCGATTCCGCGAACAGAGTCTGGAGCAGGATCTGGACCTGACGAAGAAGAACAACGAGTGGTTTGAGACGGAACTGAAGACCAAATCTGCCGAGTACCTCAAGTTCCGCAAAGAAAAGAGTGCGCGGATCTCGGAGCTTCAGCGCGAAAACGAGGAGGCTATCTCCACCATTGATTCTTTGAGACGCAGTGAGAACGCCCTCAAGAGCCGTCTTGATGATGTCGAACAACGCTACGAGGAGTCCCTTTCTACTATTCATCAACTTAAGGAGGACGCCATTCAGGCAGCTGAATCGTTCAGAATCGAACTTGACAGTGCCAACCGCCTGGCTGAGCTACAAGGCAATGCCGCCGAAACTGCCAAGCAACGTGTGCAGGAGTGTCAGCTGGCTCTGGAGAAGGCACGGGATGATGCCGCGGAGGAGATCTCGCGACTGCGCGTGGAGGCTGAGACGGAACACAGTGATAAGGAAGCCGCTGAAAGCCGTGTCGCGGAGCTCGAGCTCTCCGTTAGTCAACTTGAATCGGAAGGCGCTGGTAGTCGGAACCCCATGAGCCCGGGACTGAATGGAGGACCTAGCACCCCTATGCGTGCCTCTACTCCGATCGGCGCTTTCTCGCCTAGGACCTCCCGCGGCAAGGGCAGTCTTACGCTCACACAGATGTACACGGAGTACGACAAGATGAGAACGCTCCTTGCTGCTGAGCAGAAGACAGGCCAAGAACTCCGAACCACTGTTGACGAAATGATGCAGGACCTCGAGGCATGCAAGCCTGAAATCGATGAGCTGCGAGCCGAGAACACGAGGCTGCAGGATGCAGTTGTTGAGATGTCGAATATCTTGGAATCGTCTGGAAAGGAGAGAGACGATGCCACGAAGGAGGCCAGGAAGTGGCAAGGCCAAGTGGAAGGATTGTCACGCGAAGGAGACATTCTGCGCCAGCAGCTTCGAGACCTGAGTGCTCAGATCAAGGTTCTGGTGCTGGAGGTGGCAATCATGAAGGAGGGTGAAGGTAGCTACGACAGGGAGGAACTTGAGAAGATTGCTCAAAAGGAAGTCGATGAGTCTGCTGCGGAGCTCACTCCAACAGGGCGCTTCATCAGTCACAACCTGATGACGTTCAAGGACCTTCATGAGCTGCAGGAGCAGAACGTCACCCTTCGACGTATGCTCAGGGAGTTGGGTGACAAGATGGAGGGGGTTGAGGCACGCGAGAAGGACGCTGTGCGCCAGCAAGAACAAGAAGAACTGAAGGAACTCAGAATCCGTGTGCAGACGTATCGCGACGAGATTGCCAACCTTGTTGCGCAGACGAAGAGCTACGTGAAGGAACGTGATACTTTCCGAAGCATGCTTACTCGCCGGCGTCAAACCATCGGTGAATCGTCTGCCTTCTCACAATCACTGCCCCTCGGCGCTGCTCCACCAACTGAAGAGCAAACCAAGGACCCTACCGACTACGCCGACTTGCTACGCAAGGTGCAAGCTCACTTCGACAGCTTCCGTGAGGAGTCTGCTACGGACCATTCCGCCCTGAAGCAGCAAGTACACGATCTCTCCCGTAAGAACAGTGAGTTGTTGAGTGAGATCAGTCGCTCGAGCAGCCAACTTGGCGCCGCCACTCAGCGCGCAGAACTGCTCCAGAGCAACTTTACTATGCTCAAGAACGACAATGCCGAGCTCCAGAAACGTTATGCCACGCTTTTGGAGAACGCAAACAGGCAGGATCTGAGGACTCAGCAAGCTGCGGAGGATCTGGTTGAGACCAAGGGTCTTGTCGAGAGCCTTCAGCGGGAGAATGCGAACCTGAAGGCCGAGAAGAGTCTCTGGAAAAACATCGAAAAGAGACTTATAGAGGACACTGAGACGCTACGGAATGAGCGAGGCCGCCTTGATTCGCTTAACGCAAACCTGCAGACCCTTCTAAACGAGCGCGAACACAACGAGTCTGAAAGAACCCGCCGCCTGGAACATAATGTTGAATCTCTCGAAACCGAATTGCAGTCGACGAAACGCAAGCTAAACGACGAAGTCGAAGAATCGCGGAAAGCTACCCTGCGGAGAGAGTACGAACAGGAGCAAAGTCAGAAGCGAATCGACGACCTGGTTACCAGCCTGGGCTCTGTTCGGGAGGAGCTTGTTGCAACGAAAACAACTAGAGATCATCTGCAGTCCAGAGTGGATGAGCTTACCGTGGAGCTTCGGAGTGCCGAAGAACGCATTCAAGTCGTTCAGTCCAAGCCCAGCGCTCCTGCACCGGTTGCTGAACAGCCTGAAACCACCGAAGAGAATGGACAGTCCAGCGACTTGACCCGTGAACAGGAGTTAGGCCTCCAGGTTGCCGAGTTGAAGCGTGACTTGGACTTGGCTAAGGGCGAGCTCGAGCATGCCAAGGAGCAAGTGGAAGACTACAAGGCTATCAGCCAAGCGACCGAGGAACGCCTGCAGTCTGTTACCGATACCAACGAGCAATACCGCGAGGACACCGATCGTCTTATCGAGGAGAAGGACAAGAAGATCCAGGACCTTGAGAAGCGCATTGAGGAGATCTCTTCCGAGCTCTCTACTACAAACACGGAGCTGTCGAAGATCCGTGATGAGCAAGGAGAGGCGTCTCGCCGCCTGGAAGAACAGAAGACTGCCCTCGAAACCGAAATCACCCGACTGAAGGACGAGAATGAACGCCAGGTTACCTCCTCTCAGTTCCACCAAGATGACCTGAAGGCCCAGGCAGAAATCGCCCAGCAGGCCCAGCAGAACTACGAAACAGAGCTGGTCAAGCATGCTGACGCGGCCAAGAATCTGCAACTGGTTCGTTCCGAGGCCAACCAGCTGAAACTCGAACTTGTTGAGGTGCGGACGAAGGCCGACACTTATCAGAAAGATCTCACCCAGAAGGAAGAGAGTTGGAATGAACTGAAGGAGAAGTACGAGGGTGAGCTGTCGGAGCTGCACAAGCGTCGTGAGGAGGTTCTTCACCAGAACAACCTGCTTCATACTCAACTGGAGAATATCACGAACCAAATTACGGCCTTGAAGCGGGACCGTGCCAGCATTCCCGAGGCTGAACAAGGAGAAACAACGGCACCGGATTTGGAGAACCTCCAAGAGGTTATCAAATACCTGCGGCAAGAGAAGGAGATCGTCGACGTTCAATATCACCTATCCACGCAAGAGAGCAAACGTCTCCGCCAGCAATTCGAGTACACCCAATCCCAGCTAGATGAGGCCCGACTCAAGCTTGAACAGCAGCGTCGCGCCGCTGCCGACAGCGAGCACAGTGCATTGAGTCACAACAAGCTGATGGAGACTCTCAATGAACTGAACCTTTTCCGAGAGAGCAGTGTCACGCTTAGAAGCCAAGTCAAGCAGACCGAGGCTGCTCTCGCAGAGAAGTCAGCACGCGTCGAGAGTCTTGAGAAGCAGATCGAGCCATTGCAAACCAAGATCAGTGAACTGGAGAATGTTGTGGAAACCAAGGACGGAGAAATGAAGCTCCTGCAAGGAGACAGGGACCATTGGCAACAGCGCACCCAGAACATTCTGCAGAAGTATGACCGGGTTGACCCAGCTGAGATGGAAGGTCTGAAGGAGCAGCTCACGTCGTTGGAGAAGGCAAGGGATGAAGCTACGGCCGCTCGCGATGCTCTGCAGACTGAAGTGGACGGATTCGCGGAGAAGATGAAAGCCCATGGGGATGAAAGGGTCCACGACCTGCGCGCGAAGCTTACCGAACAGTTCAAGGCTCGCTCTAAGGAGCTCAGCGGGCGTATCAATGCGAAGCAAGCGGAGTTGAACGCGGTTGTCCAGGAGAAGGAGGTGCTGCAGGAAGAGCTGAAGACCACTAAGGAGGAGCTTGCCACGCTCAAGACTAAGCTGGCTGAGAAGCCGGCCTCTCCTGCGCCCGTTACAGAGGAAACACCCGCTGCCCCTGCCGCCGGCGTCGACTCTACCCCGGCATCTCAGTTCCCTGTGACGACCACCCAGGTGGCAGTGCCCGCTGACGACGAGAAGGTTAAGGCTTTGGAGGAGAAGATCCAGCGTCTGGAAGCTGCTCTTGCTGAAAAGGATGCCGTCATCGCCGCCAAGGACGCAGAGCGCGACGCGAAAATCAAGGAACGAGCCGACAAGCTCAAGGAAACTTTCAACAGCAAGATGGCTGAAGTTAGAGCTGCCCACCGACAAGAACTTGAGAACCTCAAGTCCACCCAATCAACGGCACAACTCTCCGCACCTCAAGAACCCAACACGCCCGGCCCCCAGTCTCAGCAGCCTCCTGCCACTCCTTCGAAATCTGAGGGAGAACTCCCTGAGCTTACCGATGCCCAGGCAAGAGCCCTGGTTGCTTCGAACAAGACCATCCAGACTATCGTCCGAAGCAACATCCGAGCCATGCTCGCTAAAGAACAGGAGAAGCACAGCCAAGAAGCGCAAGAAGCCAGCCAGGAGTCTTTGTCCGCCCTGGAGCAGAGATTCAACGAAGAAAGGCAAGCTCTCAAGAAAGCGCACGAGGAAGGCATGGAGGAGAAGATCAAATCCGCAGTCGAGCTGTCCGACAAGAAAACGTTGGTCAAGATCAGCATGCTTGATACTCGCTGCAGGACTGCCTTGGCCAAGATTGAAGTTGTTCAGAAGGCTGCTACCGACACCCCACAAAAGCCTGTGGTTGAAGTATGGGAAGTGGCCAAGACAGCCAAGGCACCGCCTGCTGCTCCTCCTAAACCCCAGCCAGCTGCTTCACCAGCCCAGCAGCCACCCTCGCAACCAGCCACACAGCCCCCAACCCCAGGACCGGCAACGGCGCAACCTACACCTGCAGCGGCACCTCCACAGCCTACACCTGCAGCTCAAACCCCTCAGCAAACCCAGTCACAGACCCAACCGCAACCTCCTTCGATACCAGCACCGGCACCGGCACCGGCAACCCAACCTGAGCCGGTTCCAGCAGCCGCTACTGCTCAGACCACCCAGGCCGAGCCCGAGGCCCAGGCAGATGGAGAGCAGGAGCAGGAAGAGGGACAGGTCGAGGAGGCCGACAACTCTGCGGCTACAGCGCCTCCGGTGGCAAATGGGCAGCAGCAACAGCAACAGCAGCAACCTTCATCGCTGCCTAGCAAACCTCCTGCTGGATCAGGCGCGGTCCTTCGAAGCCTTCAGAGTGCCCTCCCAGTTGCGCGCGGTGGCCGAGGAGGCGCTCGTGGCGGTCATCAGCAAAACCCATTCGGGCCCCAAGGTCAGCAACAACAGCAACAGCATGGTCAGTCCCAGCGTGGTACGGGTATTGGCCGTGGACGGGGTGGACGCGGTGGATTCGGTCGAGGCGGAAACCAAAACGTGCAGACCAATGTTCCCCAGGGACAGGGACAGGCCAGTCCTGGTGCTGGACGAGGAGGCCATCTGAGTGCCAACGCCCGCCAATTTGTGCCTCAAGGAAACAAGCGAGCTCGCGAGGATGGCAGTGATGGCGGAAACGACGGCGGAGCAAATGGTGGAAAGAGGATGAGAGGTGGTGGGCATCCTAGAGGAGGATCTTGATCTAACTAAATTCCGTGTATTTGTTTATCATGTTTCATTACTTGTGCTTGACTGCCTGAAGCGTTTTTCTTTTATTCATGAACAATCTGGTCTTCACAGAGAAGACACCAATCTTCGGGGGAAAATCTCTTTACATACATTTCCTTTGTTTCTCATCAAGTCAATTATACTGTTCATTCTATTTGGTCTTTTGTCATGGCTTCAGAGTATCTCAATTCTACTACTGGTCATTCCAACCATCTACTGTCTTTGAAATAGCAGTATCATAATCTTATCTATCACTGGGTATCGAGCGCAACGCATAATGCAAAATGCAGAACATATCAACCATCCTCCCTAGACCTGGTATCTGTATCCTCCCTCCACACCTATCATCAAATTACCTCCGTCTCCCCGAACTCGCCGACGCCCCAATCAACCTCGCCAACGCCTCTCTCTCCTTATCCAACACCATCAACCTGGCCTCCTCAATCACCCCGGCCTCAAGAGCCTGTATTCCCTGCGCCGCCGCCGTCACCGAACTCATCTTCCCCTTCGCCCGAACTCTCCGTCGCTGCCCCGTCCCCGCCGACCCCCAAACAACCATCCATTCCTTCAGCACCGTGTTCTCAGATACGTCGCAGCCCGCACACACCTTTGAATGCGCCCCGATCGTCACCCGTCGATGGATCGTCGCCAGCGCTTCCACTAATACCCCTGTTTGTAGCCGCGTGCCCGCGTGCACCGTCACGCCGGGTCCGAGCGTTACGTTTGCTGAGAGTGTGATCGGTATACCACTGCTGTCTTCACTAGCCCCAATTCCTGATCCCGTAGTCCCCGAGGAGCTGTGACTGGTGATGTTGGTGGGCGGCGTCCCCAAAACGCTCTTCTCGCCAATAATGCACCGTTCTTCGATGATGACGGGTCCGTGGAACGAGTAGATTCGCGTTCGCGGGTGGATGACTGTCCCCGCGCCGATCGAGATCGGGTGCGTGCCTTGGAATATGGAGGATTCGGCAATTGTAGAGCTGGGGTGCGCGGTTACGGGGGCGCGTGGTGGTATGGATGAGCTTGGTGTTGTTGTGGAGGTTGGGCGCGGCGTGTGGTGAGGGGGTGGTTTTAGGTGTGTTGTTGTTGGGATTGGTTTTCGCGGGGGGTCCATTTTCGTGTTTCTTTCTTTCTCTCTCTCCCCTGTGTGTGTCTTGGAGGGGTTTCTTTTGGGAGGAGGTTGGTTGGTTGGTAGAGGGGTTGTGTTGATGGTGGTGTTGTTGTTGTTTTGCTGGTGGTAGATTTGGAGGAAGTTTAGGTTGCGGAAAGGTTGAACGGAGGAGCTTGGGCCAGCCAGCATGGCGGAGTGCGGAGTTGGATCTATAGTTATAGGTGTTAGGTTTATGTTAAATTAATGTTTTCTAGTTTAGGTATATTTTATAGCAGGCAGTAAGTTCTTTCAATGTCTTATCATGTCTATCATTCCAGCCATCCTTCCATCCGGGTATCTCTCATTGTGTATCAAAGTCTAAGCAAAACAAGTCGTAATCTCGATCCAATCCAACCCACCCAAGCCAGCCATGCGCCAATATCCAGGTACATAACTGCACCTCCAGAATCTGCCCTAGGAATCAACTAATTCTCCCCCTCATCGCCATCCTCTCTCCTCTCCCTCTTCACCCCATTCCTCTTCCGCCACGCCCACACCCCCCGATCAACCTCCTCCCTCGTCATCCCATCCCTCACCAAGCAAAACGTCACGCCCAGCTCCGTCTCAACATTCCGATTCCGCGCCTCGTCATCGAAAAACAACATCTCCTCGTACCGCACCCCGCTGGCCTGCTGGATTCGCGAGAAATGCTGCGTCTTGTTCGCCGGGAAGATCTGGATGTAGTCGAAGTAATCGAGCGCGCGGATCGATTTGTTCTTCGCGGCGGCGGGGTTGTCCGTGAACGTGGGGATTATGTGGAGGGCTTTGAGCATGTCCCGGGCGAGATCGGGCGTGTGGGTGCGCGAGGCGAGCGCGAGTGGGATTGAGTGGGTTTTGCAGGCGTGGACAATTGAGGAGACGGCGGGGTAGAAGGCGAAGGATTCGTTCCAGCTGGATTTGGTATTGAGTTTAGTTTTGGAGGTTTAGAAGAAGGGCAACGGAGGCGGTGGATGTATGTGCATACCGATCTGTACAGCGCGAGTTGTTGTCGCGTGGCTTGACTGGCGCGCTGACGTGCGTGTCCACCCAGAAGGGCCAGAGCGTGTAGTCGAGATCGAAAGCGATGAGTTTCGGAAGCGGAAGTCCGTCGTTGAAGGTCGATGGCGCCGTGGATGTGTCTTCTAACGGCGCGGTGTTGGTTCTTCTGGTGCGTAGCATGGTGGGTGTTTGCGGTCTATGTATATCTGGTCTATATTGTGCGAAACGAAAGTCTAGGAGAACAAGTGGACGCTGCGTAGAAAGTAGATAAGTTGACGAGGGGAAGTGTAACTACGGAGTCAAGGAAATGATATTCGAGTGGGGAACGATCAGGTCCCGTGACCCCACGCTGCTTAAGGTGTCTGCAGACATCCGCTGGTTTGGCGCTTCTCTCACTACAGCAACATCTTGGATGAGTATAGGAGACGAAAGATTGGCTTCATTCAACTATCTGGGTAGATCTGGCTCTGTCTAAATTCGACTCGAGTCCGCTACATGACAATTAACAGGTCTTTACCGTCCAAGCCTAGTAATCTTGTCACATCTCCCTTTCATTAACTGCCATGCCCTTTTCATTAACAATCGTGACTTTTTGTTCTCTTTTGGTTTTTCAATTTTCGAATTTCCCTGTGATCATGATCTCCACATAACAGATGAGAGGGTCGCTCAATTTGTAAATCATAAACTGTCGACGTGTCTCCATGGCCACTGTGCCTTGTCCTCTTCCGCTTACTGACGACTGTAAGTGAAGCAGTGGACAGTTTCCAGGAACTTCCAGATCTGCTGGTGATCTTCCGCCCCGGTGATGGTCATCTCGTACCTCACGGCCTCCCAGTTCGATGCATAACGCAAGATCTGTTCCTGCTGCTCGTCGTCCAACACTTGGTTCGCTCCGACCGCGTCTGCGATGATTCGGCGCCACAGCCTCAGAGGCAGACCGTACCGCCATCCAGACTTTTCCGGCTCGCGGGTGGCGAGAACGCGAGTGTTCGCTTTTCCAGAGCGATGAGGAGGGCTGGCTGCGGACGAGAGGGCGTCTTTGGTCGATGGGCTCTCCACTTCGTTGCTGGCTTCGCTTTCGTCGTTTTCGTCCTCCGCAACGACCTCCTCAACGTGAATAGTCGGAACGGGGCTTAGCGCAGGGAAGTTGGCGAAGAACTCATCGGTTCCCGGGTAGAAAGGGCCATGAGAGGTCATGGGCATGGGAGGCCGATGGGGGAGGTTGCGCAGCTGCTCGACGCGTTCATCCTCGGACGGATCGCTGATGATTTCCTGAACGGGCTTAGGCTCTGGCTCTTCAAGATCTTCGAGCTCGACGGGCTGGTCGATTTCTTCGTCATCCTCGACCGGGGTGTCGGATGTGCGATCTCTGTCCTCCAGCAACAGGGCCCGTGACACGAGCATCATCCGCAACGCGGTGATCCAAATCTCGAAGCTCTTCACGCCTTCGTTCTTCAGGGCTTCCATGCGAAGTCTCTTGTTGAGACGCGTGAACTCAACGTACTTCTTGCTCTGCATCTTCCGCATCTCGAGCGTGCCCATCTTCCGGGTCACGGGCTGATCGGAGCTGCTTTGACCCAGGGTATCGTCACAGTCCTCGTCGGCCTCGTCATCGGCCTCCTCTGGGTCTGGTATATCCTTCAGATCGTGGATACGCTCGGAAATTCTCAGAAGATTGCATGCGTAGTCGGCAAGGTTGTAGCAAGGCTGCCAGATGATGCCCTTGCAAACCTGCGCCTCTTCAGGGAGAGTCAGCGTCTTGCCCTTGGGGAGAAATTCGAGAAGTTGCTCCGGGGTGCGCTGCACCTCGAGCATGCTGGCGAGGTGGACGGCACTGCCCGAGGTCATGGGGATATCAGAGACGATGAGGTACGGAATGGACCGAAGGCCTCTGGTGCATGCGAAGTGCTTGAGCTTGGCTTGGACTTTCTCTGTGGGCAAGGTCGCGCTGCTGCTAGAGGCACCTTCGACGAGTTGAGCATCAGCAGAATGAGCCTCATCTTTGCGACGGGACTTACCACTCTGTTTGGCACTCTTCCCCTTATTCGGCGACTTCTTCTGGCCAGACGGCTTGGGCGACTCATTCTCATCCGATTTAACCTTGAGGGCGGTTATGTTCTTTGCCAGAACCTCAATCTCGTCCGCAGCTTCTCCAATCATGTCCTCGGCATCAACCTCCAGAAAGTCCAGATCGCTCTTGATATAGACGCGGGCCAGGATCTCCACCCCCGCAGCACCCAGCGGATTGCCTCCCAGGTCGAACTTCTTGAGCATGTAACAGTCTTTGAAGGAGGAGAGAAACTCGGACCAGATCTGCTTCTCCTCGGGGGTCTTCACCTCGATGTTATTAGTCGAGATATCGAGTTCCTGCAGATCGCCCTTCGAGAGAGCCACCACTTGGCCTAGCTTCACCAGGGACTGCGCGGTGAGTTCGTTGCCCGATACATGGAGCTCAACGACCCGGGCTAGACCTGCCAAGTGGTCGTCATCACGGTACTTGATGCACTCGATCAGGTCATCGATGAACTGTGCAAACCCCTCATCGGAAATGCTCTTGTTAGAAACGTCGATTTCTAGGGTTGGGTCTCGGCCCGCGGCCTTGGAGTTTATTGCTGGGGGAATCCGTTTTTTCTGCAGACAGTCAGACCTTTCCTGACCTTATGGCTGGTTGATGGAAGAGGAAGTCAAAACTTACAAGATCCTTGGAGATGACCTGGGCTGCCTTGACCCCGGAGATTCTTCTCTATAATCGATGATGGAGTGATTAGCATGAGTTGGCTTCATGAGAGAGATCCCGGGGAGCTCAATCATACCGCAGAGTAATTCAGTCGACCCATTGTGGGAATTCACAAATGCTCAACCTGATGAGAAACACGCGTTAGTACCTTCAAGACGCGGACGCGAAGAGTGATAGTGGTTGGGATCAGTCGTGGTGGTCATGCTGTGTGAGGAGGACGCGTGAAGAATTTCAGCAGGCCGACCGTCAGTACATATCGAGATGGACCATCTAGAACAACGTCACTTTGCAGGAGTGACATCGCATGTAATTTTCCATTCCATGTACATGACATATCTTGAATGAAGCAGGAGACTTACTTGTGATAGACAGATTCAAGATGGAGATAGCAAAAAGGAGGAGAAAGGGAGCGGTTGAAAGAGAAGGAAAGAAGACGATAAGAGATCTGTTACAGTGGTCGGTTGAGGGTGACCCAGAGACCACGATCAACCCACCGAGTGATGTCCTAAGGACGGAAGATCCAGGGAAAAGAAAGCACAGACTTGTATGTGAACTGACGTGCTGGACAGTCTTTGCAGACGAACTATGCAAAGGAGGAAGTTCGGGAAATGGTGCGGGAAGAGCGTAACGAAGGACGATGAGAACAAGAACGAAGGAATGGAGGTGAGAGAAGGTGAACGTCAGAGAAAGAGATAAATAGAGTGGCGTTCAGAAGGAAAAAGAAAATTAATGGGAAGTTCAGATCACCTTACAGTTATGCTGCGAGCCTCCGGTATCGACTCTATCAACAGAACTTAACAAGCTCTCTCTCTCCTCTGAGGGATGCACTACGGCTTCTTCCTTATGGATTACAGATTGCAGTCATGGAGCCTAGCGGAGTCTGCCTATTCTCAGGCCTAGCTTGTACTACACTCGCTGATCCCTAGTTCTGGTTCATGATGTCTGGTGAGCGAAGGAAAACATGGTTGGCAGTGCGTGGTTGTTAGCAGGGACTTTTGGGACAGGACTGTCCCAAAAATCATTTTTGACCCATTCTGTGCTATGCATCCACAACAAAGAGACTGATTTCTTTTCTGTGTCTTCACATAAGTACATGCAATCAAACCATTCATTTTCATTCAATTTGAGACACTGTGATCTTCAGAAAAAGTTGATAATATCCTTGAACTCATCCAACAGCGCAGGGTCGATATCATCCCAGTCGGGCGGCATTGTCGATGTACCTGGTGCTGCAGAGGGTCGATCTTGAGTGCTCACTCGTTTCTCTGTCAGTCTTTGCTTTGGCTCTCTGTGGTCGTATTCTTGGTGATTTGGTGCTATCTGCGACAATTTTCTTTTCGTAGCTGTTCCCATCCCTTTTGGGCAGTCAGGGCTTAAGGAAGGGGAATTGAAGATTGGATTGACTGAGGTATCATCCTCAGGAGAAGAGCTTTTGATCCTCAGACTGACTTGTGACTCGTTTGGGTTGTTTGCAGACACCTCTTTCTTCTGAGAAGGTATACTGTCCCTGTCTAATCCTTGGCCAACGACCTCGTTGTGATATGGAGAGCAATCATCAGCTGCGGTCTGGGTCAGATGGAGTGGCTCATCAGCGAAGAGCCAGTCGTCTCCTTTAAATAAATCCTCCATGTTGGGTGCTTCGATGGGCTTGTCAGTGCCGAGGAATGGCGCTTTCGTTGATTTCCCCAGGAGCAGAGCGGATGGCGAAGGCAGGTCGTCAAAGCTGTCATCGCCGTAGTCACTTGAAGATCTCAAATCGATGATGCGAGGATTTCCCGGAGAATGACTGGGAGGCAAGGAAGTGCTGGCAGAACTCGGCTGCGGGCCAGAGGGGAACAGATAATTCTTTTTCTCGGCTTTCAGCGGTTCATGCTGTACTGGTCTCTTTGTGACGCTGGCTGAGAGAGTAAGCTGGCTGAGCTTCTCTTGCTTTTGGGTCCCGGGGCAGTGTTGTTTCTTGCTTCCTTTGGGGGGCTTGTCCAATCCATCTCGGCAGCAGAAGTGTTTGCATCTGTCCTCGGTCAGTTCGTTTTCTGGCTCTTCAGTGGATTTGTCCCTCACGCAGTTTTGTCTCTACATTTGTGGTTGCATGCCCATTTGCCATTCTCCAGACGGACTGGTTCTGTGATTTCGTTCAAAGGCAAGAAATTGTCAGTAGGAGCGCTTTCAACAGATGCTTGTTCTTTATGCCCTAATGTAGTATATTTACTGGGCCGAATGCAATCTGCTAATTGATTTATGTGTTTTGTTTAGAATGGTAACTTCGCTTGGTTTGGAACGAAGTGTGAGCGTACCTGTCTCAAGGAAGTCATTAAACAGCTGGTCATCACTGTCAAAAGTATCCGTCTTTGGGGCTGAGCTCAATCTGGTTTGGGATCCATTGATATGTGGAAGGGATGTATTCAAGCGATTCTGATTAGTGGCTGGTGTCTCTACAGTCGAACGGGTCGGAAACAGGGCTTGTGGCAGATCTGTTTGTATCTCTGCAGACCTCAAAGTTCCAACTTCGGGGAATCAGTACAGGGTCTAGGCTGAGGCTATAGTACGCACCGATATCATCACACATGACGTGGCATTTGATCGACTGATCTCGATCCTTGATCTCTGCACTGAGCGTAATTCCGTGGTTGCTTTGTAGTTTACTTGCACTACTTCGGTCAATAAACAACTGCAAAGACGAGGAGGGGCTCGGACCTGATCCGCCTGAAGTCAATCAGGTGGCCACCAGATGTTTCCGCTAGGAAGCAGACATAGATTGGACGTCTCTGAAAATAGATCGGACACTTTTCATTCATGAACGCTATGTCAGCTGTGAATCGGATTCTGATCGGACACCCTGGCTTGACATCCTATAGAGATATTAATAAAACCTTAACTGATGGGCTGGTCTATATACTCTGCCTGTCTTCCTAACAGACACCAGAAGCTTCGGGAAGTCCGCAACACGACTGAGCACTTTCATTCCGAACGGTGGGTTCTTGCTCAAGATCATATCGATTCGATGGGCTTCTGTGAGCTCTAATGCCTCAAGGCTGGTGATCCCAGCAGCTGATAATTTCCTAACAGCCACGATGCCGATCTGGTCGATCTGTTTCATCTGGAGCGCGGAGTAATCCCACACCTTGGCCCCAAAACTCCTTGCGAGGTCTAAAGCATGGCGAACAGCAACCGAGTCTGCAAGAGCGATTTGGCAGTCGATGATACAACGAATGAGTCGATTGACATGTGAGAAAACGAAACTCTTGTCCTGTTGGAAGCTGAACTTGTGCTTTTGGAATTGCTCACCGTCCGGGATGTCCACGGCACCTAGTTCGGCTTGAATGAGGAGCGAGACTTTATGGGCTGGAAGGGCTATATCCACTTTAACTGGGAAGCGAATACCATTCGCACGGTTGAGCTCTTTGTACAGCGACTTTTCCCCGGATTTGAGACGAACTTCACGGAACTCCTCTGCCTGGACAACCACAGAGAACTGTTTATTATTAGCCCACGCCAAATGATGCCAATCGGTGTATGCCTACAATCTGTGAGATGGTAGCCCGCGGCTTCAAGGACAGAAACGTCTTCATCGTTTCGAAACGAACATAATACCGGGCCATTGCATCTCCGTATTGTGTGGATCGCAGCTGCTCCGGAGCGATCAAGCCACACTCCCTCAAAAGATTGATGTCTTTCTCGCAGATTTGTCGAAGCATCTCATCCTCATCGTCTCTATTGGCACCTTCCTTAAGGTGATAATGTGTTGGGTTTCTTCTCAGCCTCACAAACAAGAAAGTTCCAGCAAGCCATTTAATGGCCGACTCGATATCTGTAACATTCCCTAGCCCGATTTCAGCATTCAAATGGTCAATCAAATTCAAGTGCAAGCAGCTCTCAAGGCTCTCAGACCCAGAACAGAGTCTTTCATAGTAATTGACGCGCTCCTTTCTAGTCAGAATTACGGCTGTAGAGCTGTCGTCAAATTGAGGCCGACCAGCACGGCCAAGCATTTGCATGATCTCAAGGTCGGAATATTCCCGACAGCCACCATCTTGCCATCCCACGGTGTTTTTGACTATCACCAAATGACATGGAAGGTTCACACCCACTGCAAGTGTCGAGGTGCAGCAAATGATGTTAACCTGTCCCTCCAAAAAGCCAGTTTCAACCGTATGTCGGTCCGCAGGATCAAGTCCAGCATGATGAAAGGCGACCCCGGCAACAAGCGTGCCTTTCAAGTCGACATTATGAGCCTCCATGCGTTCATTGGGGCCTTTCCAAAGCCTTGCAGGAGGATTGGACGTAGACCACAGCCGAACAAGCTCTTTTGCAGTGGCTACAGTTGAATTTCTGGTGCAACAAAAAATCATAATTGGTTTCCTGCACGAATGAGCAGCGATAATGTCGGGTAGTTTTGAACTGCAGATTTTATCGAATGCAAAGTCATTGCCATGCGATTGATACCCATAGACGAATTTCTGAAGTTTGACCGGACGGAACTCCTCGCCAAAATGCTCACGATGTGCTGGCACGTGCTGGTTCATGGCATCTTTGCCTAGCCACGTCGCGACATCCTCGGAGTTTGGGATGGTCGCACTCAGAGCAACAAAGCGGACATTGGATCCAATAGCTTTCATTCGAGATACAACGGCCTCTAATGTCGCCCCACGCGTCTCTTTCAGAATGTGGACCTCATCGATTAGAAACAGCTTGACTAGCTGCATCAGTCGGGTGTGGTCTTTCCATTTACGTGTCATGCTGTCCCACTTCTCCGGGGTAGTGATGATTATCTGACTGTTCTGAACATTTCTCATCTGAGTGTGATCTGTATCACCGGTTAACTCAGCACATTGGAGTCCCAAAGTTTGGAACTTCCTGTTCCAGTCGCGAAACCTTTCGGAGCACAAAGATTTAGTAGGGGCTTGATAGACGACTTTGAAACGTTCATCTTTCAGATTGGCAAGCAAGCGGCAGATTGCCAGCTCCATGATGACAGTTTTGCCGCTTCCCGTCGGTGCCGCAAGAACTATGTTATCGCCGGTTTTGTAGACAGAGCGGAACGACTTTGACTGGACGGCGTTGAAGACCGGGAAGTGAAATATCGATCGATAATTATCTGGCAACTCACGAACTGACACAAGGACGATTCCTCTAATTGACATGGGGATGTTTTGAAATGAGGTCAACTTATTTGGGGAATGCAGTGTAGTATCATAAGCGCTTCTGGACTGCTGCTCCCCAGCTTGCTGAGATTCGGCATCATGTTTTGGAATGTCGGCTCTGGCTCCATTGTTTACTGACGTTGCCCTCATATTGTGGAAGCTAGTGAACGGGCTAGGTGGTGATCGGTGATCATTACTCGAAGATCCAGAACCCAAGCTGTGGTGGAGCGAACTTTGGGAGCCTGTTGCTAACTAATTAGCTTTTTATAACAACCAGTTTTCAGAACGAAATGGTGCGCTGTCTTATTGTACCGACCATAAACCTACCGGGAAAGAAGCGCGAGATCTGATTTGAACTATCTCTGGAGTCCAACTCATGTGCAGGTCCGTATCCCGCATTATGTACTGCACCTTGTCGATTCTTCACGGACTCGTCGGATAGTGCAAGTAGCTCTAAGTCTAATCCAATTGAAATTAGACAAGACCCTGAAACAAGACGCACTCGGCTCTAATTGTGCTTACCAAATGCATCATATTGTAATTCATCATCAGGAGCCCTGGTTTCAGACACATAGGCTCTTGGAGCATTTCGATACGTTGCAATCGCTTGTGGTGAACTTTGGGCCCCATCGATTAGCCGCTGATCGATGACCGTGCCGGCGTTCAATCGGGAGAATGGAGAGGAGGCATCAAATCCTCGTCTTGTGGAGGGTTGGGTGTGATAAGGAGGAAATTTTTGATGGCCCTTCTGCCGCATTGCTAATTTAGAGTTGATATGGTACTGAGCCAGAAGATCTTGGATGAGAATGGAATGGGGTGAAGTGCTTCATCAAGAGGAGCTTGGGCGCGGGTAGGTCACCTGCCAAAGCACGTGGACGATATGGCCTCTTCAAGGGGACGAGGACTTTGACCGTAGAAGACCGTAGAAGGTAAGACCTTTCAAGTGTATACAAACATAGCTTAGTAGACAAAGACTCGTCTGCGTACGATTTACTGAACGATTGCTCATGAGGGTAGGTATGAAGACTGAAAATGCTTTAGTAGCGTGCATAAAATGAAAATGCTGTCGGTCAAAATGCAATGTAGAAAAACCTGATAAAATTACAAAATCGCTGCATATAGAGTCAAAAAAGGAAAGGTTTCGCTTCTATCCATATGTACTTCCCAAGAGACATGGTACAGCACACCGTATCCGGTGCACACGGTAAGTGTGGAGTCGTATCAGAATCGTCGTATTCACAGATCTCGTCAATGCTTATCGAAATAGCCACCGCCACCGCTCGCAGTACGAGCGGAGTTGAGCCTGGGGTGTCCTGGGGACGTAGGTCGGGATGTGGACAAGCCTGCATCCGACAGGAAGGGGGTACCCGGGAGTTTGATGGAGATCTCGTTGGGAGGTGATGACACCGGCGAGACCTCGTCACTTCTCGAATCCTTCTCGTAACTGTCGATGCGAATTGGCGGAGGGCGAGAGGTTTGACGTGTGGCCTGGCCGAGTCCCAAGCTTGAGTCCTCGCAAAGATAAGTAGCCACGAGCACCGCAAACGTTCCGAGAAGAAACTAGAAAGAATGTCAGTCCTTGCAACATCAACTGAACAGTAGTTAACAGAAGAGTAATTCAACATACATTACCGGTAGGCTCAAATTCAAATAGCCAAATGCTTCCCAACGTGCTAAGCGCGATGCTTGTAGCTGTAGCCACATTCTTGGTGTCTCTATAAGAAGACCCAAGATAGAAAGATGACGTGATGCCTCCAACAGCTTGAACGAGGATGGTGGACCACACTGCCCAGTTATAACCCTCGAAAAACCCATTCGCCGCAATTGTCTCACCATCCAAAAAGATCACGCCGATGAAAAGCGCAGGGAAGACAGAATAGACGGCCAGCTGTACATTGCGAACCCAGACTGACGTTGTCTTGGCACTGTCTTTAATCACCTTCTCGAAATAGATGCTGGCAAGGCCGGAGGCAATGCATGCACCGACTGCCGCAAGAAGACCAATCGTCCCATTCATGCGCGGGAACGCAGTCAAGATATCCTCTTCGATGCCTTCGTAGGTCGCAGAGCGTTTGTGCAAATTCGGGCGGTCGAGCTTTACGGCCTTCCATTCTTCCAAAGACCGCGGGAAGGCAGGGTGTGTCGTCTTATCTTCCAAGGCGGCCTCTTCGGAGGTACCGTCGGGCATCTGGACGAGCGCAATACCCACGAGTAGGAGCAGCAGCAAGCCCCACTTGCGAAGAGGAACAGTCCGCTTGAACAAAATGAGCCCACAGACAGCTGTCACGACGAGCTTCAGCTGGTATGTTACTTGGAAAGTCGCAGCTTGCAGATTGGAGAGAGCAACATATTGCAACGAATTGGAGAGGGTGTACAGGCCGGCAGGGATCGCGAGCTTCCAGCTGTCCCCGGAGAACACGGCAGCCGTGAGAGAGGAGAGGAGCGATGTAGCGGGAACGGTTGGAGGCGCCGATTTTGACACTTCGTAGAGCGCGATGGTCAGGGAAATCGCGAGTTTGATGACTTCATTGAAGAAGACGGCCGTAGACGCGATGTATCGTTTCCCGTTGGTCGGAGGCATCACCCTAGAATAATGCAGGAGCTGAATGGATAACAGGCGTTAGCGATCGTCAACCCCGAGGACAAGAAAGCTTGATCCTCCTTACCAACACAAAAGCCGTGTACTGCGCCGTCAACTACATCAACCGACCGAGAGTTAGCGAAAAGAGAACACGACGAAAGCAATCCGGTCGGATCACAGAAGAGTCCTACCAAAATCCAGGATGATTGCCTCAACATAGCCCCCGGCCCTGAGGCAGGTTGTTTTGCGGTTCCCCCCATTGTTGATGGTGACGTTGCTCCGTCGATGCCGCCTAACACGAGAACGTGCCCGGGTGATCAGGGCAGCCGATTTATATAAGAAAAATCCCCGGACGGGCGCGCTCGGTCGTAAAGTGACAGGGAATTGGGATTAGTGTGCCGAGGATGTTGCATTCGATTTGTGCGCGTGCTGATCGTGAGGAGGGGAAACTCCTCGCACTAGGTAGATGGGGAGCCAGACGCTGTCGTTACTTCGCCAGCAAACGCAAAGCAGGCCTGCTCGAGGGGAACGTGGATGGAGACGAAGTAAAAATAGGAGGTAATCAGATCCCAAGAGCACGCTGAATAAAGGTGCCAGGGGAAGGGAACTCGTGAGCCGGCAAGGCGTGAAGAGGAGCGAGTGGCAAAAAGGCTTGCTTTGACTAGGGGAACTCGACGAGGCCGTCCGGGGTAGTTTTTGGACGGGAAATTGACGCCGGCGCTTGTTTGGCTGGCGAGGGGCGGTGTGGATCGCGCCCAAGAGAGTCTGGCCGCCCAGCCTTTGTTCATGTTTCCTCTTTAACTTCCCTCCTGCTGAACTGTCGTCGACGAACCATGCCATCCCATCCCCTTCCAGAAGCAACCTGACGTCAGCTCCCCGTGAGTCTCATTCGCTATCCCTTGAGCCAGCAATGCTTCCTCGTCTGCAGCTTGGCAAGCCACGGTAGCCCAACGGGGCGCAGCTGGGAAATCCTACAGGTAGCTCATGTAAGGTGCTCATGGGTAGTAGCACCGACCAGGATCTCCTCGGTCGTACATGACCTAGGCAGCGTCATTTAACGATGGACTGCCCTGGTAGCAGCGTCGAGGTGTAACAATAAATATCGCTCATTAACCTGAATTCAGGAATAGCAATGATTATCCACGGCAATTTGGGGAAGCATCATGGTGAGATGATTCTCATATTCCCCGCTTGTCGGTTGTCTATATACAAGTCGCTATAACCCAAAATAAAATACAAGATAGGAAATGTGGCTGGGAAGCCCGGCAGTGTATAGTCTATACAGAAGGTAAAAATAACGTATGCAATCACATCGAATACATGATAAGCGCGCTGGAAGGAATGAGTCCAAAGAAAAGAGAGGGAGAGAGAGAGAGAGAGAGAGAGAGAGAGACATTAGTGAGTGTCCATGACCAGATGGTTGGTAGAATAAATGTAGAGGATCGTGCTTGAGCAGGTGACCTGCGTGCCTTGCTTTGTGTTTCGTCATTTAATGCACGGCCGTCAGGCTGGCACCTTCGTTATTCCATCCCACGGCCCAGAGAGGGAACTCGGTTTTCTCCTTGGAGTTATCCGGCTCGTCCAAGACGATTGCCTCGCTGCTGTCGGTGCGTCGCCGCGAGTGTCGCCTTTGGCTCTGGGGAACAGGGGGAGGAGGACCGCGTGGAGGTGGCTTTTGCGATGGAAGCGGAGAAAATCGATGGATAGGGAGAGTCGGCGTCATGGGAGAAGCGGCACTCGTGGACGGGGACGGCAGGCTCTCTGAATACACCAAGCTCGCCCGAGGAGAAACGCCCGAGTAGATGGTCCTCTGGTCGATATCAGAAGGCGCGCCATGACTATCTTTGTCAAAGTTGCTGCCAGTTTGGTCCGGTCGCGCTTGATTAGGCGGGAAGCTGGGGCTTAGGCGTAAAAAAGACATGCCAGATCCGTAAAATGAATCCCGCGAAGGAGCTACCGACAACATGGAGTTTCTATCGGGTTCCTGTCCATTGAATCGAGCTTCGTGAAACAGACTGGGTGTGATTTTTCCCTGGCGTTGTCTCATTGCTTCCAGAAGGGTTTCTTCCTGTCTAGTCACGGTCATGATCCGGCTTCGTCGATCAATTTCTTTCCGAGAAAGACTGGGGTTTCGCTTCTGGCTGAAGATCGGATCGCTGTGGTAGAATTCGGGTTCGGAGATGGTGGGAATTCCGCTGGATCGACGAGATTGACTCTTGCGTGTCCCAACGGATGACCGCCCGGCCGACGACATGGACGGATTGCGACGGACGGAGGACTGGCGCTGAAGAGAACGCGATCCACGGCTGCTGGTCGAGATTGGCCTTTCAACTCGCCTTAACGTGCCTCTTGTGGTGTGCGCAGCAGATGCTGTGCAAATTTCGGCGTCGGAGTCACCGTATGTGGTCACGCTATCTCGCGCGCCCTTGTGCCCAGTCAGTTGAATTCCGGTCAGTTCTTCCTCATCCTCATCCTCATCCTCATCTTCCGACGACGAAAGACATAGAACACTGAGATTGTTGAGGTCGGAGTTCTTCAATGTGTTTTTGCTGCTCTTCTTTGACATCGTTTGGTTCTCAGGGATGGGAAATTTTTCCGGCATGTCGTTCCGTCGAGTGACGCGGCTGGGTCTAGGGTGGGCACAAGTTTTTGGCGAGAGATACGTCTCTTTGCTCCATCCCCCCGTGGATGCGTTGGATGGAACCTTTTGCAAGGAGCCGCTGGAGGGTTGCGCATCGTTACTGTGCGACTGATCCCGACTCAAATTTTGCGAGCGTGTTCGGTCCGATCTGGTCCTCGGAGCAGGTCGCGAAGGCTGTTGTAGGCCACTGTATTTCTCCAATGCCAAATCTATCTCACTGGTGCCCACAGCTCGTTCGAGCGAAGGGTCCGTCCAGTTAGATGTTGGAACTTCATGCGACGTCGTAGATTCGCCAGCATCACTGATCGATTCAAGGCCACTGGGCCTCCGACCCGAGCGTCTCGAAGGGGGCGGTGTCTTTGTAAGTTTCTTGCCAGATGCATGGTTATCTGGCTTCTTTGGGTTGGGGGCCGAGTATTCCGAGGCCATCGAGATGGCTGAAGGGGAATTGACCATGCGCTGAGGTGAAAGAAGAGGCGCAGCAGTGGCCCGCGGCTTAGGGAACAATAGCGAAAGGTCAATTCTAGGCGGACGCATTTTCCGTTTCGATTCTTTCATGAATCCTGCCGGCTGCTTGAGCCCTGCGCCGCTACCGTTATTGTGCTGCGAGTCCGAGTTCCCAATTCCAGGAAAACTGAACTCTTTCGTGGAGTTTCCGCCATCCGTGCTTTGGTCGGCGGAGGAATCTCGAGAGGTGAAATAAGAATACAAGGCGGAGGCAGAGCCAGAGTGATGGACTTTCTTTGACGTCTTGGGCAGCGATGGTGGCGGCTCATCTTGCGAGCGGTACTCTTGACCCAAAAGGGGAGACGATGCTCGCACCCGAAGGTGCGGAGGTGGGAGTGTGTTTTCGGAGACCGATGCTGGGAAAGGAACAAAACTGCCGCCTTTTTTCGATTTCGCTTCTGAAGATTTCATGAAGCTAGGTCGGTGCCCTTTCTTCTTCTCTTCCCATTTCTGGTGATCTTGGTGGAAGGAACGGTCGGCTGTGCCCAAAATCTTCTGAGCCTTCGATGCCTTTTCACGCCGTAAATCCTCCTGGCTGGCATTTGTGAGGTGCATTCCACCCTCCGCACCATGCGCACTCGACGTCCTCATAGTTATATCCAAATTCTGCGCAGGCATCATTGGAATTGACAGGAATCCGGACCTCTCAATTGCTGTAAAGGTTGTTTTTCTTTGATTCCAGGTGCTCTGCTCTAAATGCCGCCAGGACCCGGCTATTTCACGTCAAATAGCAAACCTTATAAAAGATACTTTCGGTATAGCTTGATAATCTTCGGCCGGTTCCGTGGTTTCAGAAGCTTTTGCACCCTGAACCCCGAAAATGAGTCTTGCCTCCCCACAGTGTAAACCCCGTACGTTACAGAATCAATTGGCGGTCGACTGTCGGAGTTCTCGGCCTCCCCTGATTTGCGGTGAAGGGAAGTCGGCGAGACGGGGAGGGTGAGGTTTTCGAATCGACGTCTCGAGAGGAGAAGGCAGAAGAGGGATGTGTTGGACGAAGTCGGCGTCTGCAAAAATTCGGGAAAGAAAACAATTGAGCTCGCACGGATTGGAATTGGGCACCCGAGCTCCTTTTAACGATGTGTTCAGACAGGTTGTCGAGGGATTGATCGGGGGTCTAAGGATCCGTCCGTGCGAGCCTAAAGATCCATCAGGCACTATTAGTGATAATTACATCAAACCAACTGGGGGTTGAAAAATGAAATAATGCGAGCGGAGCCAGAATTAGATCAAGGGGGAAGAAGAGAAATTCAAATTGCTCCCCGGGCAGGCAGGGTTCGAGCAGCGCATTGGCCAGGCTCTCAGGGCAAAGTGCGGCGGGGACACAAAGAGAGAAGAGATCCGCGAGGAGTGCGTACACAGGTCAAGCGTCGAGAAAGCAATCTCATTCGTAGGGGTGGAGCAGGAAAGTTGAGGGCGCGCAACACCGCCCAAAAGGCAAGTATCCATTTGGCTATGACCATGCGGTCGAGGAAGTCAAGGGGGCTCCATCCAGGATCCTGAGACGGCCGGGCGGATCAGGTTAAGATTTCGTGTCAAAGTCATAGCAACCGGTAGTGTCACATTAGCCTGGACCATAACAGTAATCATCGACAGGCACACAACCATGGTTCCATCGATCGTAGAGCGAAGCGGTTCCTGGAAGGTTGGGTGGGCTGAGGGTTCCATCGGATGGAGCATTTGGACTCAGTTGGAGACTGTAAGAGGTCGTCGGCAGCCTCAGGCTCCCCGGTGATTGGCTTGTGGCCTCAGGCGCCATCTCAGGGGGTGCCCTTCATTTCTTTTTTTATGATTACTTCCGTATGATAGTCACCACCTGGTAGGATTCATGCTTCTGCTGTCTCTCCTGTCTCTCCTTGGACAAAACCCTCCAGGCCCCTACATATTAAAATATTAATAGCCCATCCTTGGTTCTCCTAAGAATAACTCCCTAATCCTGCGAACCACGTGCCTGCAGAAACCCCCACGTGAGACAGCCCCGATTGCCCCTGGCCCTTGCAGTAATCGGAGCATTCACATTCTACCGTAGCATTCATGTTGTGCACACTACTCGGTCTACGGAGTACGCTCAATTTAAAGGGGTTAACCTGACCCCGCGCGAAGTTCGACCAATTTTCTACTTCTGAGTTCTGACAACCATCTAACCAAAGTCTTGGTCCCTCAGCCGTCTCTCAATGGCGTTGTGTTTTCCCCCTTGATCGCCACCCCGTCTACCATTGTCATGCTCGATTCTTCCTTTGAAAGGTGGAGAACCCAGATGTACCGAGTCCACCATCACAAATCAGAGATGCAGGAAACTACCCACCCAGACTTTATTTGGAATCCAAATGAGGGAGTACGTCGTCCCGGCCGTCGCCCTCCCACTGACGCCTGCAGAAAGGCTACAGGACGCTAAGTGCCTCTTAACAAATAGTATGCTTCCAAAGGATCTCGGGCTTTTTTATCCTGCCGTCTCGGGGTTCTTTTTGAGTTTGACGTCCTCTAGTCTGCACGCTGGGCGGAACCGGTTTGATCGCCGTCGATAGTCGGCAGATTCATTGACGCCCTTTCCATGGGAAGACAACGCAATAGTCCTACAGGCTACAGCACCTGAATCTCAGTTCCGCGAAGATCAGGATGTACTATGTTCCGTGTCGATCAGCTTCTTTGTTTTCGTGGTGATATCATCGACATCTTCTCCGCGGCATTATCACCATGTAAGCCCATTCACATGGCAGCTGGTCGGAAAGACCCATACCAATTAGATCCCGTGTACTGCAGGTGCTCGGCTGTCTCTCTATAAATATAAAAACGCACTTCAGCTTTCACTACCAGATTGTTCGATTGAACTCGGAGGAGATCCTTGAGGGAACAATCTCCCACCATTGTTCCTTCGTGGCACATACCTATACTCCGTATGGCTGCGCTCGGATTCTGGTGGCGTCTTCTACTGGATCTAAAGGGAAAGGAAGCCAGCAGGGGTTTTGCGACTAGACTCATCGAGGATCCATCTGGCCTGCGCCGATCGCTTTGCCAAGCACTGCCGGTCGCTACCCGATTCGTCCAGGGCTCAGTTGTTGTTTGCCGACCAGTCTGGAGCCGACTGCAGGGCCAGACACCTTTCCCTATGGCAAAAATAGGCGATCGACTACATTTTGACAAATCGGCGTTTCATGTTAACTACGTTACAGTTGAGATGTCATGGGCGGAAGAAATGGGAACACCTTACCTGCGGAATCACCATGTCGCCCGAGCATATTCTCCCAGGCCTCATCAACTGTAAATCTGGACTACCGTGTACGAGGTAAGCACTAAGTTGTCTCATGCGACCAATTTCGAATCAGTTCTGACTTCTATCCCGACTACTCCCTATCTCAAGAGCAGATCTCGGGTTACCCAGGATGTCGGTTCCTCACCTATTATCCCCTTTTTTGGGGTGATCGACAACCGTCAACTTACCCCAAGTCCCCAATAACGCAGGACAAAAATTCACATGCAACTACTCCGTAAACTCTGATTTCCTTCATCCATACAACCCCCTGGAGCGGCACGCAGAAAAGGAGTCTTCAATTATGGTTTGCGAAGCTTCATCAAGCTCCCGCCCACGAGTCAGAGAGAAACACCCTATGGACCTCGAGCTACCATGATCTGAGCTCCTGAAACACTCGCTTCCTGATAACCCCTTCACTAACAGGTTCAACGTCGGAGTAGACCTTCCATGTCCTTAAAAAAGAAACCCGAAGGTCCTCAGCTTCGCATCGGGCGGAATGTCCCGAGCGCTCCTTACAGTTTATATAGGAGGTAGCATAGTTATATTCCCGACCATGACACGAGCGCATCTCCAGGCCCCAACTCCCTGCTGCCGATCTGTTTCATGAGGAAGATGGCGCATCTCGTTCCATCTTTCCGAATATGATATCCGCAGTTCCCATGGTTGCTAACCGCCACAGAACCACGAAAGGCCCGTGTCAAAATCTTTTGGCAATAGGGGAGAAAGTGCAACAACCACTTGAAGAGCAGATCCTAGCTCTGATCTTCTCAGCTGTGTCAAAAGAAAGTTACGCTGGGTGTAATATTGCTTGGAAGTCTTCTTTTTGGGGCCCTCCAACCTCTGACACAGTATGCCGTACTAGTCGTGCGGTTTCGGTTTAGAGTTGAGCATTATTGCTCCGGATTTCAATAGGAAGATTTCATGCATAAACTATATTAAGTAAATGTTTCATCACGGTACAGTTTATTCAATGGCGGAGGTAGATCAACTTTGTAGAGTTTATTCATCTAATGGGCGAGAAAAAGAACCGAAAGAGTAAGGCTTATTGACACTTTTGAGGCCTAATCTAAGATGAGTAAATCCGTAGTAGAAAACAAAACACCAGCTAACTTTCTATCGCTTGTCAGTGTCTTTTGTCGTGAGGATGAAATATTGTCAGTGATTTACGCGTATTATGTAGAGATGTTGTAGGCCGTTGAAGTCTGTAGTGAGAAATTTGCGTGGCAAGTATGGCTGCCACTGCACTATTGTCGAGGAGAATCTTCTCATGGAAGCTCAATCCAGATTATTTTCAGCTAAAATCATTGATTTCTGCAAAAAGTTCTTGCAGTCGTTGATACCATCGTTGTCATTAATTCGGACAGTGAAATATATGTAATCCGAACAAGATCAAATCAGTCGCCTAACGTGGGTGGTTACATATATAGATGCAAATATTCCGCTACCACGCTAACCCAACGCCCACTCGGCTGAAGCCCAGCTGAACTGGTCCATAGTATCCGGCAGCCAAGCTTGCGCCGACATATCTGGAAACAATCCCATTGGTCCCAAATTGTCTTGGTGATCCATGGTATACGATAGGCTGGAGTCAGTAGAGCCCATCGGCACGGACGTGAAAAGATCCTTCAGCCCAGTCATCAGAGAGTTATGTTGATCCGTGCCGGAGGATTCTGTGTCTCCTGACATCTCCGTCAACTTCTGTCTGATACCTGACACGATTCTTGGTGGAGGCAGTGTTTCCCCAGGCCGCTTGAAAGCAGCCTCGAAGATTTCCCAGGCGGGTAGCACAACTTGAATAAAAGTTCGGAAGAGGGGATTGCCGACTACATCTAAGGAGCCGAATCGAGCCTCGTAGTTGTCACTCATTACTTCCCAGGCCTGTTCGGCTTGTTGGTTGATGGGGCGTTCCTTCAGGCGTTGAAGAATATAGATGTATGCGAAGAACGGGAAGTTCGAATGCAAAGCCCAATGGAATCGTTTGGTCAGATGGGACGTCATGATCTTCGTGTCGCACTCAAGCATGCTCAAGGCATGAGGCATAGCAGCATTGCGCTGCGACTCTTTAGGCCGCGAAGACGAATTAGAATATCTCCAATAGTGTTCGACGAGGTGGTATCTGGCGAGGTGGGCTCGCATCATCTGGATAGTTATGAAATGAAGTGGATTTTGGGGGTCACAAGCTTCGAGATATTTATTCTCGATTATCTTCTCCAGAGCGGCAATATCGCCTCCACCTGGCAAATCCTTGGCAATGGGCTTCAATGCCGGGTTATTGAAATCGAGATGGAATGGTGCGTGGCGGATAAAATCTCCAAGTTCACTGCGTACAACGGCATAGATGGCCTCGCTGGCTTGTCCCCGGGCTACTGGAGGCTCTTTCATCTCTGTTCGAAGGTCCGAATCGCTGATATTGAGAGGGACCCTGCAGTCCCATGTAGGAACTAGCATGGTGATACTGTATTCCGTCAACTCGCCAATGCGAGAGTCAAAGAGCACGAGCGACCACCATAGCCGCCGGCGCATTTCAGCCTCGAAAACAGTACATTTAGCTAGAGTCGCTTCGTTATGTATTCCCATGCGTTGAGCTATGCGGATCGCAATGGCAAGCATAGAAGAGAGAGACCGAGTATTTCTATCAGAGAAGGATGAAACCTGGACAAGTGTTAGTGCATATCAAAGTATCGGCGGAGTGACTCACCAGATACAGGTAGAATGCCGTTAAAGCGTCGCGATCACTAGACCTTAGGAACCCGCAGTTCGATAGAGCCTGCTGACAACCAAATTGGAACTTGGACAGAAGGTCTTTTTTTGGCGAACCAAACAAGCTCTGACAGTCATCTACGGATAGACTTAGTATAGCCATGCAGTATATGCCGAAAATAAGCGCCTCGAGTACAGGGTTGATGTTCGAGAGGTTGCCGGCGGCGTCGATAATGCGCCCCTGAAGACTTGGAGTATGCGTGACCTTGAGTAAAGGATCGACATTTTCGAGGTAGACCTGCCATAGCCGAAAAATATGAACAGGCTCTGGGTGAAAAGTAGAGATATCAATAGCCGTCATTCTACAAAATAGAAGGTGGTCGTCATCGTGAGACCCTTGGTCCCAAGCCTTTCTGACTGTCATCTCGTTGCTGCTGTCTCGAAGCTAGTTCAGGAATGTCAGCAGAGAGTCCTAGTATAACCCAGACAGAATTATCTAACCCCTGAATTCATTGCGAGCCATATGTTTCTGAGATAGTTAGCTCAGCTGAACAAGATGCCGAAAGAGATCGACAGACAACGTACTTGGCCTCGTATGTCTTCTTAGGCTCCGATGGAACCCCGGAATATGGCAAATGTGTGTCACTGGCATCTTGTTGTTCATGATCTGAATCATGACTGCTTTCGGGAGCGAGGGGGTCTCGATGAAGCGGTGCGAATTTGACATTGTTCTGGCGGAGCAAGGACTCATACTTCCGGAGGCGATCCAAGAGGGCTCTCTCCGGAAAGCGTTTTCGCCGACGGGCCTGTGTGGCCGGCATACATTGCGCCTTGTTCTTGATGCAGTTTGTGCAGGGTGATCTGCGGTCACATCTCACCTTTCGCTGCTGGCAGGGTACGCAGGCGAGAGGTCGGGAGGACTTCAACCGGGAGGGTTTGGCCGTATCGACTTGCTCTGGTGCAGGCAGCCTTGTTGACATGGGTGTAGTAAAGAAGTCAACGACAATCTTCGAATCGGAATTCGGGCAATGCAAAGATGCAGTTGGAAGAAATTGTCGGTTTCTTGTGAGCTCGGGGTTTTCTACCCCCCGACCGGGCCTTACTAACTCCCGAACCGCTCCCATGATTGGCCGACGGATCTATATCGCCATCGCCGACTTTGCGAACGGTTGATATTTAATAGACAGCAGTCTCCCAGTATCATGCCAGTCTAAGTCTTAGGGTACAAGTGGCTTCATTTAATCCAGTCAGCATGGCTTCCAACGATGCCAACCAGCCCAAAAGTTCCACTCAGGAGCAGTCCACAGTGAAGACCATCCTTCTAATAACTACTGTCTTGATGAGCATCTTCCTGGTAGCTCTGGACAGAACAATCATCTCCACGGTATAGTCTTATCCTTAACTTTTATATCACTGAGAGCCCAGGTTCTAATTCAGTTCTCGCAGGCCATCCCTCAAATAACCGATGAATTCAATTCCCTGTCGGATGTCGGCTGGTATGGAAGCGCATATACATTGGCATCATGTTCTTTCCAGCTGTTACTCGGAAAGATCTATGCATTCTACCCTATCAAATCCGTTCTGGTAGCGTGCGTCCTGCTCTTTGAGATTGGATCTGCGGTCTGTGGAGCAGCGCCCAGCTCGGCAGCTTTTATTGCTGGAAGAGCAATCGCCGGAGTTGGTGCCGCTGGTATCTTTTCTGGATCTGTAAGCTAGTTGCAGTTGCTAAATCTCCAATTCAGGAAACTGATATTGTTCCCAGATCATGTGCATTGTCTATGCCGTTCCTCTAGAGAAGCGCGCCCAGATCCAAGGTCTATTCGGATCTATCTTTGGCATTGCTTCCATAGTAGGACCGCTGATTGGCGGTGCATTCACCTCGAATGTAACCTGGAGATGGTGCTTTTATATCAACTTGCCGTTCGGCGGCGTGGCAGTGGCTATTATAGTCTCTTGCCTTAAGGTACCTGATCGGGATTCGACCAAGCTTGCTTGGAAGGATAAACTTTCACAACTGGATGCTCTTGGTACTGTGGTCTTGATATCTTGTATGGTGTGTCTTCTGTTGACACTTCAGTGGGGCGGCCAGTCTTATGCTGTGAGAGAACCCAATCAAATCTGATCTGGTTTGACCATGTACTAATATCTTCAGTGGAACAACGGGCGTATTATTGCATTGTTGACTCTCATGGGGGCCCTGGCTATCGGCTTTATAGCCGTTCAAATCCTGCTTCCCGAGACAGCAACAATGCCCCCGCGGATCTGCAAGCAGCGGAGTATTGTGGCTGGCTGTTGGGCCACTATCTGCGTCGGAGCCTCGTCATACATCTATAGTAAGACTACGTCCCTTTGGAAAACCCTACATCCAACTAACCCCGTCGCAGCGTACTTCCTCCCGATTTGGTTCCAATCCATCAACGGTGTCTCTGCCATGGAGTCCGGCATCCGCCTCCTCCCACTGATGCTAGCCATGGTCCTCGCCTCTATCGTCGGAGGCCTCGCAACCCAAAAAGCAGGATACTACACGCCCTTCGCGATTGGGGGATCGTGGATAATGGCCATCGGGTCAGGCCTCCTCACAACCCTCCAGGTTGACACCAGCGAGGGCAAATGGATCGGATATCAGATCCTTTACGGATTCGGCATGGGTCTCTCCTTTCAGGCGCCTAGTCTCGCTGCGCAGACTGTTCTTCCGCCGGCAGATGTCCCGATCGGCTCGTCGCTGATGTTCTTTGGGCAGCTCCTCGGAGCGACTATATTCATCTCTGTTGGAGAGAACGTGCTGGATAATCAGCTGGTTGGTCGGCTTGCGGGTATGCCGGGGTTTGATCCGAGTTCTGTCACTTCGGGCGGTGCAACGTCTTTGCTTGATATGTTACCGGAGAACTTACGGGGTACGGCTCTTGTGGCTTATAATGAGGCGCTGAGGCAGGTTTTTGTGGTTGGGCTGGTCATGTCGTGTTTGACTATGCTGGGAACGGCTGGGTTGGAGTGGAAGAGCATGCTTGCGAAGGCGAAGGATCAAAGATCTGACAATGAGACTGTTGAGGGCACGACGCAGAAGCTGGATAAGAAGGCCGTGTGAGTGACCTATGTATATGAGACGCCTATGTTGGATGTGAACCATTGTGTTTTGATTATATGTGCGGGGTGTTAGTTTTGATTCATGATTCTTCTACCTGTTCAGTAAGAATATGTACTGATGTGTACAATATTTCTGTAACCGATTAATCTCATCTCATCGAAAAGGAATAAAAGTTATCCACGTATAAGCCGTTTCATCAATCAACATCCTCGTAGAAAATATTTTGTTCCCATTGCCTGCCCGAATGTGCAGACCCATGAAGTGAAAAGACACAAATAGATTGAATCACTAAAACCAAGAACTAAACTGGCCGACATTGCCACATTTCCCATCGAAAAGACACTATTTCTTTCAGGAGCTATTCGCTAACACCGCTCGAATCTTCTCCTCCAGATATTTGTCCGACTTCTCCGGAATACCCAGCAACTGATTATCCACCCGCTCAAACTTCCCTCCATATCCTTCAGCAAACACCGAGCGGCAAAAGAACCCCACTGACGCCTGCAAGTCAAAGTTGCCTTTGGCATAGTTATCCCGTGCGGCAGCCTCCATGTCCTCGGTGCTCACATTCACCGGATTCCAGGTTCGATCTGGAGCGATCTCGCGCGCCATAGCCAGGATCTTCCGCTGGGTGGTGACGAGATCATGAACGAAGACAACTCGATTCTTTGTCTCCTCGGGCCGTTGAAGAACACCTACCACGGCCTGGCCGATCGTGGTTAAGTTTGACGTGCTAAATGGACGATCTCCGCCGTCGTAGAGGGGGGTGGTGGTAGTCTCCGCCCCCTGTTCCGGCTTCAAGGTAAGAAAAAATCCAAAGGCAAGAGACCAGTCCAGGAACGGCCCGTTGCGGATCGAAGTATAGGTGAACTGCGGGTTCTCGCGAGCACGACGCTGGAGGAGTTCATGCACTGTGTTCTTGCAATGGTAGACGGGTAAGGTGGCCGTCTTGGGGTTTCCGCAATCAGCGCAGAATTCGGACGGAATGAACCGTTTCACGCCGGTGGCTATGGATGCCTCGATGAGAGGTAGCTGGGCTTCCATGGCGTTGCTGGTCAGAACGGAGACGACGGCGTCCTGATCGGTTAGTGCTGCGGTCAGGTCGGTGATGGAGGTGTAGTCCACGCGGAGGACGCGGACAGAGGTTGGAAATTCTGCAGAGGACTCATGGCGCGTGAGCACGGTGATGCTGAAGAGGCTGCTGTCAATGAGGGCACGGAGTATGGGGGCGCCGAGATCGCCTGAGGCCTGGAGGATGTCAGTAAGCTTGATTGTCATGGAGTGCAGAACTGGGCATACCCCTGCGATAGCAACATTACGAATCAGGCTCATGGTTCAATGTAATTGCTGGTTGGAAATACTTCTAGAAATTTCAAGTGTGGACAGGTAGAGACACGCATTATATACTGGAGGATGTCAGAGTATTCCGTATAGATCTGGTGCGGACGCAGAAGCGGAGGCTAAACCATATTAGGCAGCTCCTAAGCTAGACCTGCGCTAGTCCCGAAGGGGTCAAGCCTCCGCATCCGCATCCGCACCCGCATTCCTTCTACTTAGTTAACTGTCTCTCATCGCATCCCATCTCATCTTGTCTCTTCTTGTCTCTTCTCATAGATTGCTAGTTTATCATGTCTCAAGCTTGTATCCCCTGCAGGAAGCAGAAACGGAAATGTGACAAGCTCTTCCCCGTGTGCTCCCTTTGCAAACGGTACGCCCTTCTCGGCGGGGAACCGGACTTAGCATTGCTGACTTATTTGGCCTAGATTGAACAAGTCTTGTTCATATCCAGTAATTGACGCAGAATCGCCCCGTCCCATATCTGTGCCCGAATTAAGTGACCTGACGCCGTTGAATATTCGCTATACCCTAGAAGCGCAAGTCTCGTCGATTGTGGGCGATGGACCCCAACTACAGGAGGCCATCGCCGTATACTTCCGAACCGTGCACGTCTGGCTACCAGTCGTGGCCGAAACCACATTCTACTCTCGACTCTGGAAATTCCGGACTCAACCTGCCCCGTCGGAGTTTAGCGTGCTGACCCTCTGCATGTTCCTGGTGTGTGCGATGCCTGTAGATGGGACAGTGTCGGCTGAAACGCGATCCCTGTATGTTCTTGTGAAGGGCTTCGTCGCCACGCTGGAGGCCATGGGCACGAACTCTTTGGACATGCTACAGGCCCGACTACTCTTAACTGTCTTTGAAGTTGGGCATGCAATCTACCCGGCCGCCTATATCTCGGCAGGAGCTAACGTCCGGGCGGCGATCGCTCTCGGGGCCAGTGCCGCCTCGTCCGAGGACCTGCATGAAGTGTTTCTGGGTCCAGGAAAAGCAGAGGAGGCGCGACGGACCTGGCGAGGCATTGTTATCACGGATAGGTAGCATGAATGTCCCTTTGAACCCCTTGAATTCCGCCCAGGAAACGTGGTGCCGATTCGTTTTTTTTGATAGATACACCTCTCTGGAGAGTGGCAACGAGCCTAGCGCTCTCCGCGGGCGACGTATAGATGCAGCGATTAGAAATAATGTAAGTGATATCAAAGCCCACAGTCTCATTTTGGATTGGAGGAATACTGACCCAGATAAATTCTTAGGCTGTTGATGAAACAACCGAGAGCGACCTATTCACGAAGTTATTTCACTCTTCCGGGCTCTTGGGGCACACGCTTGCCCATATCCACGAGTATCATGAGCTCATCTCGCTTCCATCACTCAAAAGCGTAGAGGCACGCTTAGATGCATTGCATATCATCAAAACATTGACCTCGTTGTTGGCAACATTCGAGGGCGAAAGCCCTACCTTGGATCCTCTATCGTCCAGCTCCCTGGCTATGAACAGAAGGTAAGATATTGACGCCTGCGGGCCTATCAGATCCGCTTTGAAACGACAGGTTCTTATCTAAAGAGACAGCGCAATGCTGGAAATTCTTGAATTTGCTTCCCACGTTACCATCCCTGCCAATGCGTATTGTGTCCACACATCCATCAACATCTTAGACTCTTTGATTCTTGAGATCAGTCACGGAGCAAAAGACATGACCACAAAGACGGAAGTGGCAACGATGCCTGTTTTTATTATGCACTGCATCTATAAAGCTGCGGTTGTCTACCTCCGAGACGCAAGGCTATCCAGGGGTGAGGATCCGGAGCCATCAATACGCCCATTGAAAGACCTTCTACGGTATATTGGGATGAGATGGGGGGCTGCTAGTAAGCTGCACACTTTTCCCTTATTTTTGACAAGTAAATGGAGCGGAGACCAACAAAGATAGGCTATTATGTTGATAAACTTGAAAGTATGGCTCGTCAGTCTACTTTCCGAGATCTGATGTCAGTTTGTTAGGTGTGCCAGCGAACACTCGATTATCGAATTTGCACGGATTATCATAGCCTACCATTGTTGTATTTAAGATTTGGAAACAACGACACGGGTCATTACAAACAAGAGGGGGTTATCAGCTGCAGCAATCTGTTTCGAACTTCTGGGTCACGATCCGTAGGCCTATTCATCATTAGACTTCATCACTTCGCCGTCCTTACTTCTTTGGTTATTGCTTTTGAAGAAAGGACATGCCGATGAAAAATTCCATCCCGTCGATCAATCAATAAAACTTATCTTCATCACCAAATTCTGTCATGAATGCCTCCGAAGCATACCTGTTTGTCCATCACTATGGCGTGTTCGTGGAATACGTTTGGGATGTGAAGCATACACATTGATTCAAAGCAGTCCGTAGATTATCATGTGAATGTGCATCTAGTAAACTGAAAAAATTATGGATGCAGCAAAAACACAAAGCAGCAGGCGGATACAAAGCATTGAGCCTAACCAACTGCTGCTTCAACTGGGCCAAGGTTCTAAAAGAAAGGAGACAATCTAAGGAGACACCGAAAAAGTGGGGGCGTAGTTTCAGAAGGAGGAACAAAGGGGACAAGAGGGACAAATGAATGAATAGCAGCTGCTAAAAGAGATCATCATTGGTACTAATCGGATGCACGTTAGTCAAGCCATTCAATACACGCAAAGGGGTTGGACGAGTGATTGATTTCCATTAAGAGAAAGGAAGCTTACTATGAGCGTTGAGGATTGTTTTCAGACTCGGCGTCAGGGTCCTCGACAACCACCACGGCCTTCTCATCGGCAAGGGATGCCGGGAAGTATCGGTTTGGCATTCGAGAGAGGACGCATGGGTGTGTAACAATCAGAATCCGTCTCCCATCTAGCCGTTTGAGATCGTACTCGTTATCCGGTCCCCAATTCAGATAGTGGGCCTGTTTCAATGGAGACGAGTCCAAGTACGTCCCTCCAATCTCCGCAAGAGAGCGCCGAATCTTAGGGACTCCCTGACGCAACTGAAGGTTATCCGTAAGACACCTTGCAGCCTCTCTGTAGGCGGTCACCAGCCCGATGAATCGCCCTTCCTCCTGTTCGGGAGTCGCCAGCTTCTTGAGAAGATATTGAAGAGGTTCGTTTTCGAGCATCGCTTTAGCGAAACCAATGGCAGCGTCATTGCGGCGGGCTTCGTGGTGTTGGCCAAGTTCGAGGTTATGAGCCATCAGGGGGCGGACTGCATTAGCAAGGCGCATGGTCTCCGCCAACCAGGCGGCTGCTCTCATCTCGTTAGCTATGGAAAGCTCGTTAGCTGAAATCCAGGCTCAGGAAAGGCAGGTGCAGGCCGAACGTACTCTGGACGAATCTTTCAAACAGATACTGCACCCGAGCACCGAAGTCACCCAGTCCTTCGTCTTGCTCGTTGAGCTTGCCATCGAAGTACCAGAAAGGATTTTCAACCACCACGTTGTAGATATCCCGAATGACCAGTGCCTCGATGAAGAAGATGTGAAATTGATGGCACATCGCAGAAGGACAGAGCTTGTGCAATGTATCCCATTCTTCCTGAACGCATTGGCCCTCCAGGCTGGCGATGATAGTACGTTTCTGACTGCTGGTGAGCTCGGCGCATTCCTCGGGCCTAAGACCGAACTCCAACGCCCATGTCCACACATAGCCGTGAAATTGCCTCAAATTCCGGCCCTTTTCTTCTGCTCGGCGTCCCATCCAACAGTTATCATCTCCGAACCCGGCGTAGTAATCTCTGAAGTGACAACGCATCCGCCGGTGGTATCGCCACGCCTCCACCAAGTGCTTCTTGGTCGTCGAGTCATCGGACGAGTCATCCTGGCAGTGACTTCTTTTCGGAGGCGGTGATGGGGTCCAGGTAGGATCTAAGTAATCACAGACATTGTCGTAATCGCCGCTATCGGCCTCTTCTGCTTCCTCATCTTGCTGGCCCACATACCTATTTTCTTCTTTTTCCGCTTTCCGTTTTTCCCTGGTCCTAACCATCTTACAGGAGTAAGGTTGGGGGGATAAAGAGGAAGAGAAAAAAAAGAGAGAGAAGTAAAATCTATTCAGTGGGAGCCGGGGGCACCAAGATCAGCGTGGAAAGAGGCAATGGGAATATGCAGGGAGAGAAGAGAGAAGAAGAGAGTGAAGAGGAGGGGGGGAAGAAGAGTCACTCGTTTGTTTGTTTGTTTCTTTGTCTTGCTTAACGTCTGGAAACTCTCCGGGCCCTCAGAACCAAATACCACCTCTGCCACATCCGGGACATGGCGTTCCTGACGTGTCGTCAGGAGAAACAGAGACCTGCCTCCTGATGACCTTTGCGGTGAGTATAATAATGGCTCCCTCCCCCCCCCCCCCCCCCCCGGGGGGGACCGTCCCTGCAGAGTATCTCTCTTCAACCTCCCACTTTACCTCTTTCTCGAAACCTGCATACTTTGCCATCAACATCAACGCGCACAAGATTGATACTGTCTTAGCTCGTCATGTCTTCCCAAAATTCCATCAAAGTCGGCATCGACTTTGGAACCGTGACTACGGGTAAGCAATGGCTCCTTTCCCAGGAACTTTTCATGAAGCATGTCAGGCTTATACAGAGGAGTAGAGGTTGCTTATATCTGTTCATCCCGTTTCCCGGATTCTCTGAAGTCTATCAGCAATGGCCCGGTACATTTTCCGGGAATCGCATCGTCCCTTCGGTGGTATCCTTCAGTACAGACAACCGCGCGATAAGCTGGGGTCATCGGGCAGATGAACAGCCACAGACCTACGCCTGGTCAAAGTTGTTGCTGGATAGCAACACAAGTTCGGGAGACTTCACGGATCCCGTACTGTGCACGATCAGCAACTCCTCCATCCTTCGGCGCCCCAGGGGACGCCAACCGGAGGAAGTCGTGAGCGATTTCCTCCGACAGATTCGATTTCATATCTTGAATCACTTGGCGACTTTCGAAAACGTTCAAGACTCTCGCCAGATCGAATTCATTTTTGCCACTCCAATCTCGTGGTCTGTGGGGGCGCGACGCTCAATGGAGCGAGCTATCCACAGGGCAGAATTTGGTACCTGTGGCGACAAGTGGCGCACAATCAGCGAGCCCGAGGCCGCTGCCACGGCGATCTTTAGGCAGATGCCAGGGGCATTCCAGGTTAGTGGGTCTCCCACGTGGCTCAGACATTATTGGCTGACTGTTATTGCCTCAGCCCGGTGATGGCGTTATTATCTGCGATATCGGGGGTGGGACAGTGGTTGGTTGCAACCCTGGGGTACGTTTTCAACGGCTAACATCAAGTAGGACGTTACTGCTTGCCAGATAACGGAGGTGCAGAGCTTAGTTCTGTTTGAAGAGCTCGCCACTGCCGTGGGTATGTATAGCCAGCCGGCGTCCATCTATCCTCCATACTGGAATCGAAATGACCCTTTTCTTAGGAGGTAAGTGCGGCTCAGCCGCGATAGACAGTCGATTCTACCAGCTACTGTCAGAGAGACTTGGAATTCGGATCCATGAACTGCCTCAGATCTATTCTGGAAAGGGAAAGGCCCTTCTGAGCCATCTAGGGCGTATCAAGATCAGTTTCACTGGTAACGAGCAGACTCTGGAGTCCATCCCCGTGCGTCTCAACCCCAAGAGAAGGGATCATTCCCTATATGATTCAAGAACGCAATTCATCACTCCAAAGCCGCATCACATAAAAGAGGTGTTTGATCCCGTCATTGATCAAATCTACAAACTCATCCTTCATCAAATCGAAGCTGCGAATCAGAAGTCCGGTCGATGCATGATCAGTGTTAGTCCGGCCATAGACGTGCCACCTAATGATCCAAAAGAAAAATGTGTCCCGTGAGCTGACCATGAAGAATAGAAAGTGGTGGTAACGGGGGGCTTAGGGACATCGCCGTATGTTCGGCGTAAGCTCGAACTCTTTCTGAACGAGGCGCAAGGCCTTGGTATCGGGCCCTTGATCACTCCTGATGAGCCGTGGGTGCTCCTTTCTTCCCTCGCTTCCCTTCCCTTTCCCTGTTCTTGACCCTGTATAAAACTAACCCCTAGTCCTCAGCGACGCGGTTGTTGCGCGAGGAGCAGCTCTACGCGGCCTGACAGGCCCAGTGACTCCAACTCGCAAGAGTTGGCACCATTATGGGATCGCAGCATGCCAAGACCTGTGCTGCCCCTTCCCAGTCCGTGGTCAAATGAACACTGGATTTTCAGGCGAGTTGCCGTGCAAGTGGTTTTTAGCAAAGGTGACAGCCCACTTTCCTATGTACAGTACATTTAGTCCTGGCATAATGCTGACCCTTCCTTTATTTCGTCGAAAAGAACGTCAGATACGCGTCTGGCCACAGACGTCCCTTGACGGTGTCGATGCTGCATTGCCCGGGGCAATCGAGCATCAAAGAAATGATGATCTGGGTATGTGATCTTGATGGTGCCCCAAGGCACGTTGACGAAAGACGTAAGTTTCAGAAGCCACTCTTTTCCTATAACATTTAGCCATGCTCAGATGGCTGATTCTATCTAGAAATGGCTCGCAAAGCTAGGGTTATCTGTGATGTCAGTTCGCTCAGGGAGCAGGACTGCATGTACGGAGAATTCAACGGACAATGGGTGTGGATCTTTGAAGTTAAGGTAGAAATCCATTTCGATCACACGAGTGGGAATGTGACCGTGGCTGCCTTTGTATCTGGCAACCCAGTCGGTCAGACTGTCTTTCGTTTGGATGACTATTGATTGATCTCCATATTTTTGGTCTTTCTTCCCCTTGTTTTCGGTCTTCTTTTCGGACTTGCTTTCCTCTATTTCATCTTTCATCTTCTCGGGCTTTTCTTTCCTTTCCTTTTCTTTTCTTTGACCGAAAATATCACGACTCTTCTTGTTCAGCTCTACTCTAGACAAAATCCAACCTACCTCCTGGAAGGGAGTCATTCAGACGATGCCACATTAGATCTTCACATCCATCCAATTCAACAATATCAATCATCTGTTATCACCGTACCTAATTCCCTCTAGACACAACAAACAACCAACCACACCCAACCATCCCTTATCCCTACACTATATGTCGATTTCCATCTCCATCCTCTGCTTTATCCCGAGTCACGCGTGGGCTGCTGCGCGTATGTGCGAAACTCATTGACTATGTTCCGTCTATAGTGTCTTTTCATTATCTCTGTTTTTTTTTTATTTTTCTATGGTCATATTCCTCCTCGTATTCCTCCTGCTTTTGTTGTCGTGATCCTCGTCGTGATCATCATGGCAACTCCCGTTGATCAAGACGGGTAACAGACCGTCTACGTGCCCAGTCAAGCTGTGGTGAGTCTCAGACGGTGGGTTGACCTGAGCCCTACGCAAGAAAAAGAAGGAAGTGGAACATATCGCGTAGACTCGTTGTCATATAGCAAGTTGATCGGGAAATAAAGGGTTGTTGGTTCATGTTATGAGATATAATGTTGAGAATCACGGCGATAGCTACAGCTCATTATGATCGATTCATTACGACGTCTAGAATACTATTCGTCTCTAGTTCGCGCCCTCGTGGAGAATTCTTTCCCGGGCCTTGCCTTGATTAGTTTAGCTTGCTACGAAGAAGGCAGGAGCATTTGTTGTTAGACCATGTTTGCGGGTTGATTCACAAGTTCTAGAGACATATGATAAAAGACAGAATCTTGATTGCGCAGAAAAACTTCCAGTCACATAACTAATCTCTATGAGGGCTCAAGCAGGGTATGTACAAAAGACAAGGACAGGCAAGTTGGTCAACCGAGGCTTCGAGGTGGCTCAACAATAATGACCGATGACATAAAAGCCCCCAAAATTAGAATCAATGCTTGTCCCGAAGTGTAAGAAGAAGAAATGATCATCCATAAGACGGACTTATCGACCCTTCTAAAGAAAACGGCGAAGCTCTATCCAGGACCCAGTGAAAGGTTCCATGAAGGTACAGCAGACACTAACCGACATTCCCGACGGTTCAGACTCAATTACTTGAATCGACCCTGTCAGAGAGTTTGGTGTTCCGCTAACCAACCATGTACTATGCCCACCGCATCCAGAGATTGTCTCGCAAGTTCTCGAGGTTCGGATTGAAGTCACATCTGAGAGGCAAACGTGCAAAGGATGATGTGAGGTTTTCGGGGAACAAACAAAGGATGGAAAGAAAAAGACCGAAGAGAAGACGGGCTATGTCAGAAGCCAAAATGTCTGCAACACAAAGAAATCAGTCGGTTGACCACTTGAAAAAAAAAAAAGAAAAAGAAAAAGAAAAGGGAAAAAAAAATACATCTTTCAACAAACAATGCAATCCATGCAACCAATTCAAGTGATTGCTTTTGAGAGAAAAAGAACAAGCAGTATGCTAGAACAAAAAAACAGAACAGGTACAAAAAACCAAGCCATAATACATCGCCGGGCAATTCTGGCAAACCCGGGCGAAAATGAAAAGAAGAACAAGAAAATTCATCGTTAGGTTGCTGGAAATGCATGCAATCTTCTGCGCCGATTCATGAGTACTTTGCAAAGAAAAACAGGGGGAGGAGGAGGAAGAGAAGTAAAGGGAAAAGATAAAAGAAAAAGCAAGATAAGAAGATACGAGTCGACCATTAAGATTTGGTCTCCTCGATCGCAGAGCCCAAACGCTGCACCTCTTCCTTCTTCACCCGGACAGCCCACTGCTCCGGAGCGCCCTCAGCCTGAGGCACGAGGAATTGCACGCTGTTCCCAGAAACGATGTACTTAATCTGTTTCATCAAAGCAGCATTGAGGACCACCTTTCCGCTGGGATCAGCACGCAGAAGAACACGGCCGCGCGAAGTGGTCCGGTCTTTCAGGACGCGGACAAATCCCACGCCCTGGCTTTCCCAGCCGGACGGCAGCAGCTTCATTCCTCGTGCACGGAGCTCAATCACCACGTCTTCATTTTCTTCGCCAGCGCCGCCCCTCGACAAGTCAACCTGGGGAAGAGACTCTGCCGATTCACCATCCCCAGACTCTTCGGCACCTGTATCGGTGGTGACACCCGGGGTGGGTGTACGGCTAGGCGCCGCAGAGCCAAGAGTGGACGAAGCGAGGAAGGATGCCGGCTTTTGAGCGGGACCCCCGAAAGAGAAACCCGTGGCAGGCGAGGTGCCGGCGGTAGAAGAGTTTGGCCCGCTGGAAGCGCCTCCGAAGAGGGTTGAGAGCGACTTCGACGAGTCGGGCGCTGTCTTTGGGGCCGTGAAATCGATCTTGGGGCCTGAGGAGACGGTGGAATCGCCAGCGAACTTGATGGGAGAGTCTCTCTTCCAGGTTTGATCGTTAGCGGGCTTCGGGGTGCTGTTGTTGCTGGCGAAAATCGATGGAGTGGCGGCGCCCGAAGTCGTGGATGCTCCGAAAAGACTGCCGAAAGGATTGGGGGTAGCCGGCTTGGAAAATGGGGAGGCAGCTTGTTCAGGCTGGGCCTTGGTAGATTGGCCGAATGGGTTGGGAGTAGATTCAGACGGTGCGGGCGAGTTGAACGACGACGCATATTTAGATGAGTTGAAGAAGGTGGAAAGCTTCTTCTTCTCCTCCTCCTCGCCTTGCCGCTTAGGGTTACCATCCTCATCGTATTGGACACGATCGAACAAGCTGCGGCCACCGCCATTCGACTCGATCGGCCCGTTGGTCGAGGCCTTCTCAGGCTGCTTAGCCTTCTGGAGGGCCTTGGTGATATCACCATCGTCGCTACTCTCGTTGGCGGACAGTGCAGGAGCGCTAGTCTCGGCCTTTTCGCTGCTTGGGGCAGAAGAGAGTTCCTTCGGACCTTCATCCTCTTCCGTGTCGTCTGCGTCGTTTTCTTCCACCTCCGACGGGGTCGCCGATAAATGACCAAAGATGTTGCTGGAGCTTGTGGCAGACTTGGCCTTGGCATCGAAGACCGAGGCGCCAGCACCAGAGGTGGAAGAAGCAGACTCTGCAGCTTTGTCTTCCGCGCCGCTGGCGTCTTCAAAAACGAAGCCCTTGCCCGGCACCATTACAGCACGCTTAGGGGCACTAGACTCCAACTGTTGCCGCTTCTGGCGCTGCTTCTCAGCATCTTTACGCTCCCACTCGGCCTCGTCCTCTTCGTCGGAGTCAAAGTCTTCGGCCTTCCGCTTGGCCTTCTCCTTCGCGGCGGTCTTATCTGCCTGGGCTTTGAACTGAGCAAAGAAGTTGGTTGATCCGGTGTCGAACTTAGGAGGGCCGGATGCAGCATCCGCGCTCTTGTCCCCAGACGGCTTCAAAACAAAGGGGTTGGGTGCAGCCGCGGCGTTGGTGGTCGGGGCTATGAATGTGGGCTTTGAGATTGAAGCGGAAGAACCGAACAGCGACGAGGCAGAATTCTCGGGAGCCTTGGAGGACTCAGAGGTAGGCTTGGCGGGAGACGGGGCAGACGGCGTGGGGAAGAGGGATGGCGCCTTGACAGGAGAAGCGCTCGCTGGGGTAGGAGGAGCCGCCTGAGCCGATTCGCCATCGGAAGACTTTGACTTGGAAAATGACTGGGCGAAAATGTTCGCCGTCGTAGAATCCCCGTTGACACGCTTCTCAGGGCGACTGTCGTCGTCTTCGCGATCAGGGGACTTCCTCTTGTGGCTGTTGGGGGTAGCAGTAGACGCGGGCTTAGAGGGGGTAGCGGTGGTAGTTGCGGGAGCAGTCGGGGTTGGAGTAGACGGGGTGGGCTTGGTTGGAGTCTCTGCACCAACGCCAAAAGACGGCCTGGCCTTCTTGCAAGGCCCCTCGACAGCGCCGTTTTGGTCAACCTCGGGCTTCCGCTTAGGAATGCGTTCCCCGACGGGCGCCCCGAGAGTCGCACGCACACGCAAATAGTAAGAGATGAGCTTTTCGAAATCATCGCTGCCGGGATCCAATTTTGCGACTTCTCGCTGGAAGGAGAGATTAAGCATGCGGATACGGTAGTGCATTCCCACTTCTTCCTTGGTCTCCTGACTCAGAGTACCGGGGAGCCCGGACGGCTGCAGGTTCTCAAAGCTCGATGCCGAGACCTTCTTACTAGCGGGATTCGACACGGATGGCGACGACGAAATCGTAGTGCTAGGCTTGAAAGGACTCTGGGCAGGTGCGGGAGACTTAGCTGGCTCCTGGGGCTTAGCCTCGGTCGGCTTAGAGAAAAGAGACGCCTGTGGCGCGGACGAAGATGCAGATGCATTCAGGCTAGAAGCAGGAGCACCGAAGAGAGGAGTAGTAGTAGATGGCGCCTCTGAGCCGCTCGTCTGAGCGTTCCCACCAGGCGAACTCGGCTTCTGTGCGAACAGGTTGCCAAATGGGGCAGCGGATGGCAGAGGCTTTTGTTCTGTCGAGGGCGTGCTCGATGCAGCTGGTCCCGGGGTAGTAGGCTTCGGGGAGAACAGACTTTGGAACGGATTCGGCGAGGCAGGCTCTGATTTCTCCTGTTCCTGGGCGACGGCGGGCTTGGGGGTAAACAGACTGCTGCCGGCGTTGGGAGTCTGGAACAAACCACTGGCTGGCGCGGCAGGCGTCTCGCTCTTTGAGAATAGAGAAGGCGCTGTTGTGTTGGCAGGGGTGAACTGGAATCCTGATTTAGGCTGCGCGGGTTCTGCCTTCTTCTCATCAGCGCCTTTTCGCTCGGAGGCATTCGGCGTGGCCGTTGAAGTAGGCGTGCCACCAAAAAGATTCGAAAAAGGGGTGTCTGGCTTAGCAGGCGAACCAGAGCCAAACAGGGTGGAAGTGGCAGGGGCAGTGCTTGCGGTAGCAGTCACTGCGGGAGTACTAGCGGAGGTAGACTGCGTGGCGGCACCAAATGCCGATGGAGTAGATGAGTTTGTTGGTGCTGCTCCGAAGAGAGGCTTTGAAGGAGTTTCAGCAGTAGTCGATGGTGGAGCCCCAAACACGGAAGTAGACCCAGCAGCAGGGCTACCAAAAGTGGTGGAGCCTCCAAAGCTTGGCGCAGATGCACCGAATAGAGGCTTCGATTGAGAAGAGTTGTTTTTGGCATCGGGCGAAGTCTGCATCGACTCTCCAAAGGCAGTAGACTGAGAGAAAGGGGAGGGTTTCTCGGTGCTTGATCCACCGAAGAGATTAGGTTGAGGGGTACTGCTGGTAGCACCATTGGCACCAAACAAATTGGTGCTTGCAGGTGCGGCGCCAGATAGACCAGAGGGTGCACTGCTGGCAGGAGTGCCAAAGATACCTCCAGGGGTGGTAGACTGCTGAGAGTTGTTTCCAAACAGACCTCCAGAAGGCAGAGACTGTTGGGCTGGACCGGAACTTCCCGCCGGCGGCAGGTTAAACATACTACCCTGGAAGCCGGAGAATTGACCACCTCCGGACGAAGGCTGACTACCACCTGAGCTCATGGTGGCGAAAGGGTTATTAGTAGACGACGCTTGTCCTCCGCCAGAAGAGAAATTGAAGGAGCTGCCGCCGGTTCCCGATCCAAAGGAAAAGGGCGAGCCTCCGTTCTGACTCGGTTGGTTGGAACTTGAGCTAGCGCCAGGGAAGCTTTGGGATTGCCCAAACGTGAAGCTGCTGGAAGGTGATTGGGGAGCAGGTGATGAAGAAGAGACGGTATTGGGATCAAGAGAATTAAAGGCACCACTGAAAGAGGCACCTGTGGTACTTGGGGTAGAAGAGTTTGGACGACGTCTTCGAACGTCCTTGATTCTGTGACAAGATTGTTAGAGAGGTTCAGATTGCTTTGGAATGAATGTGAGAGGGTTGGAAACGAGAGGTGGGAGAGAGGAAGAAAATGGGAATTTTATGATCAAGAAGGGGGGAAGACGACAAAAGATAGGCACCTGACGCACTCGACAGTGAATGGTGGCCAGGCAGTGAAAATTTCCATGGCGACAGGAAGGAAATGCAGGTGAGTGGTGCAGACAGCAGGAAAGTTCCGGTTCTGAGGGTGATCGCAAAGGTCGGTCTACATTCACTTACTTTCTGTTTGCTAGCTGAGCGGCCGTGGCCCGCTGGGGCTTTTCGTCCGGTGTACTCGACATATTGAATGAAAATAGATCGGTATCCTTGTCCCCTTGAGGACCCTGAGCCCCTCTTTTAGACATTTATTGCACCCAAACCGCTCCGTCCGAAGCCTTCGATTGCTCTCAAGCTGACTGAGCGGCAGGTGTCCAGCCCCTTCTTTTAGACCACGTTATTAACAGAGCTATCCAACTCAGCTCTTTCCATCCACCAACTATGGTCTGAAGGTCGCGCGGGGCTTCTCGCCTAGGGTCGTCCAGCGGTTATCGATGATACTGGGTGATTTACCCTCCGGTTGTGACGGTCCGCAACCGGTGTTCGAGAATCGAGCGATTACGGTCGCGACGTCCTGGAATCAAGCAAATGGCGACGAAACGGTGTTCTTGATACCAGCGAAGGTTCCAAGAGATATATACTATCGTCCTCAAGCTGCAGGACGATGAACACGACAGATCACGCGCTCGTTGTGAGTGTCGGAGATAGATCGCGAAAGGCGCGAGGTTAACCGCAGCAACGAGTCGACAAAGGTCAATGCTCCTCAAAGAAGGGCGCAACGGTTTATGACTATGGGGAGAAAGGAGATGAGGAAAGGACGGCAGCGCTTTGTGTTTGAGAAATAAAGGGGAGGAGGGTCCCTTTCGATGCGCTCCTGCCGTGTCGGGGGGGTGGAGGGATAGGAGGTGTTCAACGGAGCTGCTTTTTTTGGTTTTCAACCGTTCGACTCGCGACTTTTTTTTTTCTTCGGCGGCGGAAGGGCGAAAGGCTCAGCTGGCAGAAAAATACCCTCACGTGATGTCCGGCAGGGCGATTCTTGGCAGCTCTCCGCGTTCTTTAAGCGTCAGAGTCACTCAACCGAAGGAGAGTTAACACGGTGCAGGGTGCATGTGCATCTACAGTGTCAACTGGGCTTTTGCAAAGATGGTCCTCGGAGGCCTTCACACACACGCCCCTACAGGAGAACAGAGGGACGAACCTCTTCTGATATATGTCCTACACCCACCTTTACCCGGCCCTGACGACACGAAACGGTATTTCCCACCGACGGAAGACACCGTGGGGCAAGAGCGCCGTAACGTCTTACCTTACGCCTTGTTTCCATGGCAAGATTGAATAGTGCGGGCAACGAATATGACGTCTTGGATGCCGCCGATCTGCAGCAATCGCCTGAAAGGATAAGAGGGATAGAACCTGGAGGAAAGGACCGATAAAAATTGTAAATATGCAACGTATACGACGGGTTATAATCTAGATACCACTCTTAATATAGAATCATCAGTTTCTTTGTTGTTTGTTTATGTCATCGGACGGTTGGCCCCTGAGATATATATTCGGCCGCGATGTGACAGAGGGCAATACCTATAGACTGAGGATATGATCTCTACGACCTCATGTCCAGATACAAAATCTATCGCAAACTTCAAAATTATGTTTGCTGTTTAATTTGCATACATATTGGGTACTTTCCGGGAAACTACTCATACATCGGGGGATTCCGATAAATAAGCCGAATAACGTGGCACATCGCGATAAACAGGATTTTGGCCGAGGATTTAAGAGGCAAATGCACAGAAAGATCAAAATCGTGTCATAGTATTGAGTCGAGTAAAACATTTGAATACAAATAGTAGGGTATCTATAGCTTGGCCTTGCCTTGGGCCTTCTTCATGATGGGTTCCATCTTCGTTGCCTTCATAATGTTGCCCTTGATCTTGAGCTTGCCTCCCATGAACAGTCGCTGGGCGTTGGCCTTGCCCGACACCAGGGAAGCGAAGTCTTCGTCAGACAGGGAAAGGGTCACTGTCGGATACCGCCGAGAATTAGCACGGAACCGTAAATGTCCATCGGACACGTTGAACCAAGAGGACCGGATGTACTAACCGTCGGCCTTTCCACCGGGAGGAGCAGCGCCCTTGCCCACGGCACCCTTCTCCTTGAGGTCCAAGTACCAGCTGTCCTCCTCGCCCTTCGAGTTCCTGAGGTTGAAAGCGACGACGGCCTTGGCCTTGTCAACGGCGTCTTTGCGCTCGGCAGCGTCACCCTGAAGGGTGGAGTGGATCACGTCGAAGGCGGCGGACGAAGGGAAAGCGTCTGATGCAGCGAAGTAAGATGAAAATCAGCTAGAGTCACGGAAAACAGGGGGGTTGTATCGCGTCTAGGCGACCGGGGGGGTTGACGAGAGGACAGACATACCGTTTTTGAGAGCCATGGTTGGTATAACTAATAGGATGGTGTTTCGTAGAGAAGAAGTCAGAGGAGCAGGAGTAAGAGTAAGATGCAGAGTTCGATGACGGAGAAATCAGAGGATGACAGATGTTAAATAAGGAGAGCAGAGATATCCGGGGTTCGACCAAAGGCCACAAGGCCAAAGGAAGCTACCCCGGAGTGTTCGGGGCATGTGAACGGGGGAGGCGGTCGGGCGGCTTTTGAACCGAGGCTGCCGCGGGCGCTCCTGTGATCAGGAAAGCTTCGTTGAGATCTACACTTCTACACAGTAATTACGCTCTCGTTCTTAATTTCTAATTCTTCTCTGTTGCCCACTTCCACGGTCTTAAATGGAGCATCTACCGTGCATGAATTGACGACCTCTCCCAATGCGGTAAGCATTGCGCACCATGTCCTGCCCACCAATGATGGCCATCAATGCCACATGGATCAGGCCGTGCCTCGTTTCCCGGCTGGAGTAGGTCACCTAAACTACATGACGGTTCCTTACTCCGGAGAAAATGCTAGAAAGTAGACCCTGCAGGCTTGTGACGTTAAGCGAGCAGTCTTTCACATATTTTCCGTCCGAACATGCTCCGCGAATCATCCAGCTGAAGCACCAGGTAGGAGACGGCGGATTGGAAGATTTTTGCTCCTGTTCTCACATTTTCTTCTCCCTAGAGATCTCCTGCCTATGGACAGTACTGGCATTCGAAGTAGACTTTCGATAGCCATACCGTTGACAATGCGTTTGGCTGTCTCAACCTGTGCAACGGGAATTTCTCGCCTTGATTTGCTTACTCCGTAGTGCGTGACAGTCACCCCAGGTCGCTAATTGGCTCCACCTCCTAGAGACAATTGATTCGATATATTCTCATGTTTGTGGTCTGGAGAGCTGGGACGAGGGACCCTCGACAAGCCATTGCCTTCCTATGGAGTGAGCAAGCAGTCAGCATTGACAAATGTCTGTCCAGAGCAAACAGAGCGAACTGGAACATCCCAGTTTTAGATCCGGAGATATCAGTAGAGTTTCCTTGCAAACCGATCAAAGTTGATAGATAAAACAAAGTCGGCAGGCAGCGATGGATGACAGATCAGGTTGCCACCCCGTGACTTTCGGAAGCACGGATTTTCCCCTGCAGCGACTTTTCTACCAGTCTACATCAGAGTCAATCGAAAGAGTGAAGCTGCAGCCTCCCATCCACCCCTCGTACCGTCTCTCCCCCTTTTTTCTTTTGTTTTCTTTGCGTTTCTTTCCTTTGATTTCTTTCTTCTATCGTTCTGGCTTGGTTTTGTCCTTTGTAGTGGGTTCTTTCTGACGTTCCTCCGTCATCCTTTCTTAACTTCGGACTTTGCTCCGCCAAGAGCGATCGTCAACACGTCTAATTCTCATTACCTACTCTAAGAATTTCGACGCGGGCTTTCATTTCCTATTTTAATCCACGGCCAATCTCATCTGTACTATTTACAGCCGTGGACATCAGTCCAGCTCGCGTTCGTTCCTGCCTAGCCGTGGGGCTTCTCATCTTTCGCAGGCAGAGCCTGTACAAAGGTCCAGGTTTGTGCAAAATTACCCTTTGCCGGACTTAAGCCATGGCGTCTTCGACAATTGACGCGTCCGTCGAGGATGTCTTGGATGATCTGCAATTGAACCAGGTCATTCTAGAAAGTTTAGACCAGGAACGGCCTGATGCGGTCGCCGAAAGGCAGGAGATTCTAGACATCATTAAAGAACTCGAAGCGCGTCTGGCGGTACTCCGCGGTGAACCTCCCGCTAGTTTTCAGAGTCAACCTTCTTCTCATGGCGCCGCAGAACATACTGTTGTAAGTCGGCCTCAATTAGAACAGCCTGACGCATCTGCCTCATGGTCATTTCAATCAAATCATCGGCATGATTCGCCTTTTTTCGTGGGTCCCTCAAATATGCGGAAGCGTCAGCGTAATGAGGACGTGACCGATGGGTATGAAGACGCCGATGAAGATGCCGAAACCGATTTCACGGACGATCTTGAACCGCCGGTCAAGCGTGTGCAAACAAGCCGACCATCAGAAACCTCTAGTTCCGTCGCCCGGTCGAGCCCCAGCATACCGACGGATGACGGTGCTGACGAGCTGCACAAGCTTCTCGGTTTGGACAGTCGGGATACCCTCTTACGTCTCCAGGAGGATCAGCGGAAGGCCGAACAATGGCTTGAGATGCGCAAAGAACAGGAGCGACAAGATGAAGAGTTTGCCCGTAGGCTCAATGAAGGCTTTCAGGAGCGCCATCGGCCGTCATCACCCGTGAGCAGCCCTGCTCATCATGGCAGAACCTCGACTTTTCCTGTCCCATCCTTTTCAGCCGAGGAAAGGGGCGATCAATGGTCTTCATATCGTGATCCCAGTCATGATCCCAATCGCTCGCATTTTCGAGCCCCTTTATTCCCCGACGGAAATCGCACCGGATCCGAACGCTACCCCGTCCCCATAGCTCAGGACAGCGACGATAGCGACCTCGCAGAAATCACTGAAGGAGATTTCCAGCATCACACACGTAGCCCGTCAAACCATTACACCGACGGCATGCCCACCTATCCTTGGATGCCTAGGCGTCCAGAGGTACACCGTTTCGAAAACATACCACCCCGAAGTCTCGGTGCGTCTGGTCCGGTGTACGGGCCAAACGTGTTTCAGAATACTCTGGCAAGGCTTAATGCAGGAAAACAGCTGTTTGAACAGGCAGGGAGGTCCATCTTCGGATCAGATTCTAGTCCGTTTTCATCACATCGAGGAATCCCGCTCCCTGAGCATGAAGGTCCAGATCCATATTACGACATGTTGAATGATCTCTACGGACAGGGGGAAGATCCTCAAAAAATAAACGACGATATCAAGCAATTACTTGAAACCATCAGACCCGATTCCGATATCTCCAAGGAAAATCGTGAAGGCACCCCTGAAGCCCTGAAATTTAATTTGCTGGAGCATCAGAAGCTAGGGCTGGCGTGGATGAAATCGTTGGAGGAACAGGATCAGAAAGGCGGCATTCTTGCGGATGATATGGGACTGGGAAAGACAATCCAAGCCATCGCGCTTATGGTCTCCCGACCCCCTGAAGACTCGGAAAGGAAAGCAACGCTCATCATTGCTCCGGTCGCATTGATGCAGCAGTGGAAGCGAGAGATCCAGAGAGTTCTAAAGCCCGGACAGCACCAGCTGAGAGTCTACGTATTGCATGGCGACAAACGAGCCGTGGGCTTCAGGGACCTGAGAGACTACGACGTGGTTCTTACCACATTCGGCACCCTCTCCTCTGAATTGAAGCGCAGGGAAAAGTATGATGAACTCCACGGACATGAACCGACCGAGTCCAGAGAGCTTCTCAAATCTATGCCATGTCTTGGTCCGAGCAGCAAATGGTATCGTGTCATCATAGACGAAGCTCAGTGCATCAAAAACCGGAATACAAAGGCTGCGATAGCGTGTTGCCGTCTTGACTCGACGTACCGCTGGTGCATGAGCGGGACTCCGATGATGAACAGCGTCCAGGAGTTGCATTCTCTGTTGAAGTTTCTGCGCATTCGACCTTACGGAAGCCTGGACAGATTCAATCATGTAAGTACACTCGCTCTCCCTATTTTATCACCAATCGGATGTCTAACAAATCTTGCTCTCAGGACTTCACGCGCCCCTTGAAGTCTGGTAGTGCTAATGCGCAGAAAAAAGCGATGAAACAGCTGCAGGTGTTGCTCAAGGCGGTTCTTTTGAGACGAACGAAAGAATCTAAGATCGACGGCAAACCCATTCTTCAACTCCCACGGAGGGTGTTAGAAAAGGTGCACGCTGTTTTCAGTGACGATGAGCAGGAGTTGTATTCGGCACTTGAAGCGCAGACCCAACTCCAGTTTAACAAATATCTGGAAGCTGGCACTGTTGGACGCAATTACTCCAACATCCTGGTCTTGCTCCTCCGACTTCGACAAGCTTGTTGCCACCCCCACCTGATCAAAGACTATAGCGTCAAGCTCAACGCGAACACGGATGAGCTGGACCTCGTTGAGAATGCGAAAGCCTTCGGTAACGACGTCGTCATTCGCCTGAAAGGAAACAGTGACCTCGAATGCCCCATTTGTATCGATGCCGTTGACAATCCGATTATCTTCTTCCCTTGCGGCCATAGCACCTGCGCTGAGTGTTTCTCAAGGATTTCAGACCCAGAGCTGTCCGTGAGGCAAGGCCACGATGGCACCGTCGACGTCAAATGCCCGAATTGCCGTGGCAAGGTTGATCCCAAAAAGATCACCGATCATCTGTCGTTCAAGAAAGTTCACTTCCCCGACGAGTCCAGCGAGTCCGCAGAGTTGGAACTGCCTAAACCCGCTGAAGAAGACGAGGATGACAGCGACGACAGCGACCAAGACAGCTTGTCTCGATTCATCGTGAGTGACGACGAAGAAAACAAGACCGCTCAGTCACCGAAACGTAAAAAGAAAGGGAAAATGCCCCAAAATACCAAGAAGACCCTTGCGGATCTGAAGAAGGAAGCCTCGAAAAATCAGAAATCCAAGCGCAAATATCTCCGCCGTCTGGACAAAACATGGATATCTAGCGCCAAGATCGACAAAGCAATGGACATCTTACGCGATGTTCAGCTCGGCGAAGCGAAGGAAAAAACCATTATCTTCAGCCAATTTACTGCATTGCTTGACTTGCTCGAGGTTCCGATCATGCGCAGCGGATGGGGCTACCGACGCTACGACGGCAGTATGAAGCCCGCGGACCGGAACTCGGCGGTGCTTGATTTCACCGACAATCCTGACTGCAGGATTATGCTGGTGTCGCTGAAGGCTGGTAATGCTGGACTTAACCTTGTCGCTGCATCTCAAGTTATAATTTTCGATCCATTCTGGAACCCGTACATCGAGGAGCAGGCGATTGACCGTGCTCATCGAATCGGACAATTGAGGGAAGTGCATATCCATCGAATTCTTGTAGAGAAGACCGTCGAAGATCGTATTCTCGAACTTCAGGACAAGAAGCGAGAAATCATCGAAGGCGCCCTTGACGAAAATGCCTCAAAGAGCATTTCTCGTTTGGGGACCAGAGAGCTGGCCTACCTATTTGTAAGTCTTCCGACCACACTCCACGCATAGACATCACGATGCTAACCTTCTTGATTAGGGTGTCCATTAAACATCTTTCCCTAATTACCTCACGACCCGGCGTTGTTGGATTCTTGCAGCTTTATCAATCGCGTTAAATCCATTACAAAAGAAACCAAGATACCCCTAATCTGTCTGTTATTCTGCCCCGGCTATGTTACAAAATGCGTTCTGTTTCCTGTATCTGTTCGACTTCTTCTCGGTTTACATAGACCAGGACACTGGCATTGAGAGCATCATAAGTCGATACTTTCGAGCAATATTCCTTTTCATGATTCTGCTTTCACTTCAAGCCCTTCATTCCCGCTGTCTGTTCCAATAGACCATTGGTCTTGCTTTCGAGGGCTCAGATATTTCGGTTACACTTGCTCTCCCAATACAATTTATTTGATTCTAGAGATTGATTGATTGCCCTACTTTCAGGCTCCTCTTTCGGCTCCCTCTTGAGATTGATTTTCTTTCTTTTTCTTTTCTTTTCTTTTCTTTTTTTTTGAATAATCCATGGCTTCTTAACTTCTCGTCACTATCAATTCTCTCTTCCTTTTCACCTATACTAAAACTCCCTGAGGTAGATAGATACACACTCCCTAAAAAACCTAGGCAACCACCTCGATGTCCGTAAAAAGTCCCAAGGTAGGTACAGTACATATCTGCCATGCGTGATTTTGACTATCCTGTCCTACATACCTAGCTATACGACCTGCTTGCTTGCTTGTAGTTTACTTACCCAAATGACATCATGACGTCACCCACAATGCCTATTGTTGCGTTGTGCGGTTCCTGGATTTTCCAGGGAATTGATCGTATTTGGATTAGATGGGGCCTTTTTAGGTAGGTGGGTTGTTGTTGGGGGGTTTTGTTTAGGTATCGACCAACAATTGTTTTTTAGGTGCCCTCTTGGAGATCTGGTATAGGGTGGGTTGTCTATGCGAATTACGGAGTTTTCGGAATTTTGGCTTCACGGTTAGGTAGATAGAAAGGCATTTTGGGTTCGCTTTTGCTTTTCCAATCGACTATTCCTAGAGTCGTTGTCACATTGCATTTTCTTGGGCGATGAATTGCATCGCCTCGCGAGGAGAACGGGGGATAAAAAGGAAAAAGAAAAAAAAGAACTTTGAAGATAAAAGGAGTCTAGACTACTATTTGTAATATTGCAAACGCATAATCATGCCGACCGTTTCACGGGCCTATCCACCGACCGCTATTCGTTGTATCGTAATTGGAGACTTTGCATAACGAAACAAACACTTGCGGGGAAAACGGAGATTCTCTGCCATGGTTGCGCAATGGCGGATGAATCGCTCTTCCCCTATCCCTTTCAGTGACCTGACGTTTAGAGGTCTGCGTCCTCCTCGTCGGGCAGAGGCATCTGGGCGGCGGCGGCCATCTCGTCGTTGTACTTGGCAAGGAGCTCGGGGTCGACCTGCACCTCGGGGGGAGCGAGAGCGGGGGCAGCAACGAATTCCTGAGAGCAGGAGTGTTAGTGAAGGGTCTTTAGGTGCTCGGGAAGAGTTGTGGGAGTCTTACCAGCTGGGGGTTGCCGACCAGCTTGCGAGCAAGCCACAGGAAGGGCTTCTCGAAGTTGTAGTTGGACTTGGCGGAGATGTCGTAGTACTGGAGGTTCTTCTTGCGGTGGAAGGTGATGGTCTTGGCCTTCACCTTACGCTCCTTAACATCGACCTTGTTACCGCACAGCACGATGGGGATACCCTCGCAGACACGGACGAGATCACCTGCGGTTCATGGTCAAACATCCGAACGAATCGATAGCCTCAGGATTTGTTGGCTAAACTTACGGTGCCAGTTGGGGACGTTCTTGTAGGTGATACGCGAGGTCACATCGAACATGATGATACCGCACTGGCCGTTGATATAGTAACCATCTCTGAGACCACCGAACTTCTCCTGACCGGCCGTGTCCCACACGTCGAACTGGATCGTTCCCAGGTTCTGGCATACAGGTTAGTCGAGCGAAAAACAAGGGCGGTGGGACGACCAAAGCGGGGTCACTGGCGGGGCATACGGTGGTGAAAGTAAGAGGGTGCACTTCGACACCGAGAGTGGCGATGTACTTCTTCTCGAACTCGCCAGTCAAGTGACGCTTGACGAAGGTGGTCTGTAGTCGATGAACGTTAGCGATATGTCATGTCGATGGTGTGGTAGGCGGGAAGAGAATTTTTTTTGTTGACAGCGGCGGGGACTGGGATAAACAAAGACGGCTCGACAGATTCTATTGCCGAAGATGGCGACAGAAGTCTCGTATCTGAAGACATCGATGCATTAGAGGACAAAATCGATCCAACTTGCCTTTCCAGTACCACCGTCACCGACAAGGACGAGCTTGAAGGTTGGTGGGGCCTGCGCGGCTTCAGCCATAGTGATGTTTTATGTGAGGTGAAAAAAAAGGGCAAAAAAAAAGTATTAGAGGAGAAAATGAGTCGGTAACACGAGAAGACGTGTATTCCAGGTCGTCAAATAAAAGCGACGGGTGGAGGGCGATGGAAGAAGGGGTGTGCGGTAGAGCGACGTGAGGATAGGGAGGAACAGAATGAAAGGCGATTTTGGTGATGGAATTTTTGCCCGTCGGTCGTCCAACCCCAGAGGTCACGTGCAATTGTAGCCTCAGGCAGGAATGCCCCGCGGTACTGCGGCACAAAGCGGTCGATCCACGAGGCAGACAAAGCACAAACCAGACTGGCTGCTTATTCTACGAGATTTTATTATTAGAACTTCTTTGACTGCTGCTCAAGGGGTGAATGCCTCTCCTCTGCATTATTATGTCTGTTCCGGCACCAAATACTAGTCATAAGGCATCATCAAAGCATGTCGCCATATCTCATCCCTCACCCGAGGTTGAAAAAAAGTAAAAGAGAAAAAGAAAAAACAATGAACACGCTAATTTAACCTATTGCATCACCGACCAATTTCCTTCTGATCCCGTTTACAGAGGGACCAGATGACAGCCCAATAGACCTCTACCACCCCAGTCACGGCGTGGTGTAAGCTCCAGGGTCAAATCCGCACTGCTGCCCAACTCATCTTTCCTGACAACCTTCACGGGGACGGCTCGCTAAATGAAGTCAGTATGAAGGCTTAAGCCTAAGATGCCGGATCGTTGAACCCGCCAATAGGATAGAACGCATAGGAAATGGAAAAGAGGGGGCGATGCTTACGCCTTCGTTTTGTTGAACGATTTCTGCAACTTTGGTCAGACGTTCATGGTTGATCCAGTTCACAGTCCCAAAGCTGCGAACAGTATCGCCTGCCTTTAGCCCGGCCTGATCTGCGGGGCTTGCAGGCACGACGCTGTTCACTCTTGCAAACGCCGGTCCCAGTGCCCCTGCATTTGACAGAGAAGTATCATTCGAGTCCGACCGCGTTCCGTTGGTGCCGTTGGCATTATCGGAAGTCGTAGAGCCCTGCGCGCGCTGCAAATTCGTAAATTGTTCGTGAACCTTCCTCTCGAGATGGGTCATGGCATCTTTGTGATCGTTGCGAAGTCGGATGATTTTGGTTCGAATCGTACGGACTTAGATAGGTCTTAGTAGGTATATCAACGCGTTATTGTTCGCTGCTTACTTTGGGCGATGTCGATGTCGTCTCGTGGGTATCCGTCGAAGGTTGTGAGAGTGGTGTTCATGTTCACGCCATGCTAGAGATCATATCGTCAGTTACGTCACGAAGCGATTTCGAGAACTCTGTAAACAAGGGAGGGTACACTCACGGAGCTGAGGACACTGCTGAGCGTTGATAGCTCTTCCTCGATGCCTTCCTTTTCCTGCATCAAGTCGGTCATCGAAAGCTTAGCCAGATCGCGAGGAGCTCCTCCGGACGAAGGCCCGGAGGACACTGTAGGAGCGTGGATATTATCGTCCATGGGGATGCCCATTCTAGAAAGAGTTAAGACAAGTAAAGCATGATTGGGAGGGGCTGAAATACAATGAAATCTAGTCAAGAGGGTTGTTTGCGACAGCTATCGGGTTGGTGGGTCGCGTCAATCTGGGGGGAGTTGCGCAGTTGCTGGGCTTGGCATGGCCCTGACCTATAACTACTGCGACGTGGTACAGCACTACTTAGAGAGAGGTCGATATGTACTACGAACAGAATATTATATTTAAATGAGTCATTCAGAAAGGATTCACAATCCTTGTACAATCATAAGATATACAAATCCAACCTACTGCCGACAGTGCAGATCTAGTCCTCGTTCATGTCAAGATGACTGAGGCATCCTTGTTCATCAAGATTTCTTCCTGCTTTCTCAGGCATTCACTGTCAAGGTCGTGACTTCCAACTTTCCCTTCGGACTCTTTTGCTCTTCTCCGCTAAGGGACACTCCGCCAAATCCAAGACAATGTGTTGCTTTTGCATTTTCAAACATACTTCCCAGATGCTTTCCCTTATTCTCTTTGATACCACTTCACTCGTCAATCATAATGGCAGACTTGGACCAATCTGCTCCAAAGCCCTTCCCCCTCGTGGAACCTCATGACCCAGAGAGACTTGTCGACACCAGCAACCTTCTTGAATGTGCGGATGGCGTGGCTGGGTTTCTCCCCTTCAGGCGATGGGTGAAAAGCTTCCGAGAAAAAAGAGAGTACCCCCGGCAGAACTGTCAGAGATACGTCGAGGGATGGTCTGACGCCTCATCAAATCGCTGCGAAAATTCTCTGGGTCTCTCAATTGGAAACGGGGCGCAGGAGCTGCAATGGGAAGCGTTATCAAGGCACTCCTCCCACCTAGGCACAGTGAAAACGAACACAATGAGCATCACAAGTCAGAGCGTCATGAGATCGAGAGGCGCGACCCAAAGTACAACCAACTATAGCACCAAGTCGGACATGCGGCAGTCAACCGAGAGCGCAAGACCTGTGAGCTGGATCATGGACGAAGAAGCACACAACCGAGCGGTCAAAAGACGTAGAGCATTACGGGAGATAATAGTCACCGAGTCGGACTATGTGCTGGGATTGAAAGCCCTTACCGATGTATGGTTCTTGACTGATTGAGGGAGCCCTATATTTGTCCTCTTAGTTGACTATCGCTTTTCAGATCCTTCTCCTCTTTTCGACAAGACAAGAGATTTACCGCAATCTCCAATTAATCCGCGGAACACACGACGCCTTTCTGACCCGATTACGGACCGTGACGCCCATGTCATGTCTCACCGGGATGGAGCTTGGACAGTCAATACCCAACAAGATACCTAAACACTCCAACGCAGCCGATTTAAGTTTCAAGGCTTTCCAGAACATATCGTCGGGAACTCGTAATCCGAGCACAAGGCCGAATCTCCGCATCAGAGCTATCACTGCGGAAACTAACGAGGCGCTGGAGGTCGCCCGTGAGATTGACAAACTAGTAGGTGAGAATTGTTCTGCTATTCTGTCAACGCTGACGTTTGCCGAAGTCCATGACATTCGAGGCATATAAAGACTTCTGCAGTCACTACGAGCAGCTGATGCAAGATATGGACCTCTTAAGTCGCTCGGTACCCAACTGGGCCATCCTCGACCAAGGCATCGAAGCTCTATCTAAGTCAGTGGCATCGATGGAAAGCCGGACTCTCGAGCCGAACAAATCCATGTCTTTGAACGATCTTCTCATCAAGGTCAGTCCGGAGTTACACAGTAAGTAGTGTATCTATCTTTCTGACTCAGACTGGCAGCCCATTCAACGACTTTGCAAATACCCACTGCTGCTTCAAGAGCTACTCAAGTGGACCCCTATACAGGACGATCCATCTGCTCACGATGGCATAAGAGAAGTCTTGGAATGCGTGCGAGCCACGGTTGCCCAGATCAATGAGGCCCCGAGCAATCCCATCAATAAGAAACTTGCCCATCAAACGCTTTTGCTGCAAGACATGTTAGAGTTTCCCAAAGAGGTAAGATGTGCTAGGCATTTACCATGCGGGTCAGGTTTACTAAAGCCCTAGGCCTTACAGACACCCCTGCATGACGTTTATCGTGAATTGGGGCCAATCAATCTCTGCGGTGTGCTCCATGTGACCTATCAAACGTCTAGTCATTTGATGGGTGGTTATATGGTTTGCGTTCTTTTCAAGAACCATTTTTTTCTCGCAAGAGTGCAGGATGACTTCCGAAGGCTTCATGCAGTGATGTGTTTGTACACCTCGGATGCTAAAATTGATACACCGAGAAACGGCCAAGGTAATGGATGAATAGCCTCATCTTTGACCTACGCTAAATGATATTCAGGGTTGTCTTGCCACAAGTGCTATTTCTCATGGAAGCTGGTATTCCAACACGAAGACAAAAGGTTCGAGCTTGTTTTGAGCGCCTCAAGTGCAAACGAAGAGAGATTATGGAAAACAGGACTGCTTAAATCCGTAGCAGCATCAGCCGATGTGCAGAGACCAGTCTCTTCGGGGCAAAGTAAATACTGCTTCTTGTCTTTGGGCCTCGAACCTCTGGACAGTGGCAGACCTTCGATTCACTCATTGGCATTTCCCCGGACAGAGTCCAGTTTACAACATATAATTATCAAAAAGACTCATTGCCCTCATAAGCTTGGAACTGCCGACGTTGAGACCGAAGGGGTAACCGAGCGGCCAAAGACGCCTTCGTCGCCCCCTCTGGTACTGACGAGCAGGAGGCAGGAGCGCGTCCGGCTAGAAAGGGTGATTTCACCCATTTATACCCGCGATTCCCTCCCTTATCCTGGAATGATACTGACGAAGGGAGATATTCTGTTTGGGTCTGGATCGGTTATGAGACGGCTCAGTCTCCGGCCGGGGATACATAGGCGTTCTAGTTCCGCACACCTGCCCAGTCGCAGAACGATCGAAGAACATCCCGAAAAGGTGGAATCCGCAGACAACAGTCATATGGATGAGATGGCGCAACGCAAATCGGAACACGATCCTGAGAAAGGGCGCACCATCCTACCCATGTACAGCTTCGGAACGATCGGACGGAGCAAGACATTGAGGCGCAAAAGCAGTTCTCGGCAGCCTTCCAGCCCTGATTCGCAAACCTGCGTTGGCAAGGGGGAGGGAAGCCATGAAAGCCTTGAAAGCCCTTCCATGAAGTCCTCGATCCGAACGATATTCAACTCGATGTCTCTACGAAAGGCAAAGAGAAATCGTCGTATGGGCTTGGCTGGTGGAGGGGGATGATGCAACCGGTATGGAGATGGGGCTGCAGTATTGCATCAGGGAGCATGACACGACTGGTTGGGGGACGTTACTATTCTATTCATCTCGATTCGATGGCTGCGGGGCGTGGGCTGATGATGTGGTGCTTGGCGAGACGTAATGGCAATAATCACCAGGGGAAGATCGTAATCAGTGAGGGAATTCGCAGACGCAGGCGAGAAAAGCTCCCCACCGGTGTGCAACAGAAGGAAAGAAGTGGTCCGTTGGATGGGTTCGAGGGCCCCAGTCTGATGGATCCCTTGTAAGAGAGAACGTTCACGGTGGCCGGGCAGGCTATGACGTCGAAGGTCGACTACACCCTCCCATCCCACCAGATGTCCTTATTTAAAGGCCATCCCTTCGGCTTCTGATTATAATTGAGCATTATAACAAAGATATCACTCTACTGAAGACCATCTTGACCAATACTGAGCCTTTTTCTCCCGTCTTTTTCTGATACCCAAAGTTCATTTGTTCTTACATTCCTCCGCGTGATTGTCCCCGCCCTGCCAGCCTGGTGACGTCATTAACCGTTCATACTTAACTTGCTTGCACCACGCCATTTTCTTCCTCTTCTCTCCATCTCCATCTGCCTTCGATAGACCAATTCCTCTCTAAACAACACTCTACACATCCAAAATGCGCGCCAACGACACCACCACCAAGATCTTCTACAAGGGTTCCTCCGAGGACTTCATCGTCTTCGTCGATGACGTGAAGATTCTCGAACAATGGCGCCAGGACCGCTCCATCTCCCTGGCTAACGTGCTGAACGGCTGGAAGATCTTCGTTACTCACAAGTAAGCCAATTGCTCTATCAAGCCAAGCTATCGGAAGAAGAAATTTAACTAACATCCCACTCAGGCACGGCGCCCAAGGTGTCCTCGACGGAGCTAGCAAGTCTACTCTGCAGAACGAGTTCGGAACCGACGACGAGGACACTTGCATGACGAAGATCCTTGAGAAGGGTGAATACCAGGTGACTGCTGTATGTTCTGACCCTGTCCGGATCCTAACTTGACGGTATAAAGTGGCATATACTAACGATCTCGTGAACAGGGCAAGGAACACCAGGGTGATACCAACCTTCGCAACGGTCCCGCTATGATCTCGCGGTAATTTCTTCTAATGGCCGTATCATGAATGCCATTTTTCTGGGAATCATGGCATGACGGGTTTTCTTTTTTCTACCTTGTTTATTTTCCTCTTTTTTTTTTATCGACCCGAAAGCTTTACGAGGTCATGGAATTGTTGATCAACGGATACTACTGCAATATTCTACGAGGCATGATGGTTTGAGGTGTTTATTGTGTATGTTACCCCTAGGATTAGGGTTGGTATGGTATTATATGGTAGATTCTTGCATCATCAGATAATATAGCATATACATATGTATTATTTGCTGGATCTTTTTCGGGTTGAATGTAAATGGGTTGGTAGAAAGTTGATTTGTATGCATAGGGAAGTCGTGGTCTATATCAGATCATATCCTTCTGCTCCTGTTCCTCTTTCATCTCCTCTCGTCTCCTAACAACCCACATCCCCAACTCATTCCACACAGCCTCTTTCTGCGCCATCGTCATCCCCGCCGCCAGCCCACTCGTCGTCGTAGCCACAAACACCGGCGCCCCATCCCACCCCTCGCACCGTCCCATCTTCTCCCCTTCTCCCTGCCACCCATACCGAAACTCCTCCTTCCGGATGCCCCTCCCCCTCCGCACCCGCCAAACCGCTTCCCAGATACTCTTACCCACCAAACATACCGCCTCGGGCCGCTGCGCCGCCACCTTCGCTTCTAACACCGGCACCCCCGCGTCCATCTCCGCTTTGCTGAGCATGCTGGCGTCGCGCGTCGGCCGTTCCACGATGTTCGTGTTCCCGACGTTGTAGAGGTCCGGGAGCCGGTATGTGTCTGAGGGCGGGTGGCGGATGGTGGTTATTCCTGACGAGTGGAGGAGTTTCCAGAAGAGGTTTGAGGGGTGCGCGTATGCGTATCCTGTCGTTCCGGTCATTATGCCGGGGTTGACGCCGACGAGGAGGAGCGTTAGGTTTGGGGGGATCGTGTCACGGAGGAGGGAGGATGTTGGGGATGGAGAGGCCGACGGGGTGGTTGTTCGGGAGGTGCGAGGGCGGCGGGATCGAGTTGGGGGTTTTGTTTTTGAGGGAGGGTTGGGTGATTGCGATGTGGATTGTGGCGAGGACGAAGTTGACGATGCGGAAGCGGTGATGGTTGATTTAGAGCGTGTCATGCGTGCTGAGAGGAAAGGGTTGCTCTGTCTCGTTCTTCTGCGTTTGGGAGAGGATATTATTGGCTCGGTGCTATTCGAGAGATCTGGTTTTAGGTCTTGCGCTTCATCGAGGGGACGAAGGCCTCGTTTCGATTCCGAGCTCGAGCCAGAGCTATTATCATCTTGTAGGATCCCTCCGGCGCCACTCGACTCCAACTTCATCTTCTGTTCTCGCCCACCGTTCACGTTCTTCGACGCATGAAAATACTGATTCAGTCGCCCATTGAAGCTAGTCAGCTTGTTCACGGGGACGTCGTTGTCATCGTTGTCTTCGTTCTCGATGATATCCTGTTTCGAAACATCCTGTATCGTGCAGGTGTACTCCGAAGGGGGCATGTTCTTCGGTTTTCTGATGTTCTGCGGGTTCCTTTTGCTATACTGTGCTATGTTAGTAGGTTTTGTAGTTAGTGTATAGAGAGAAAGAGGTTTTATATAGCTGGTGGCAAATGGCTTCATGAAAAATCCTTGATTCTGTTCCTTTTTGGTTTAAGACAGAGAGCATTGTCCTTGCGTTGGAGTCGAGGAGCTAAACTTGATCGGGAGACGGGATTAGCCACTCGGGTCACGTTCTTGTGCTTGGGTTATGCCCACTTATGCTGACTCATGATTCGTGCGTAACGTAATCGGACAGCGAACCGCCGCGACACCGAACCGCCGTTTCTCACTATAACTACCACTATAAAAATTGGAAACTTACAACAGATATAGATATTGATGGATAATAAGAATAAAATAGTAAATTATATTATATTAAATCATTCTATCAAAGCTTTATAGAAAATTATAATTTCAATAGTCTCTTTTTACTCTCATTATGATATAAAATACTTCGAGCATTAGGTATTGTAATATAAGATTTACGATCTGTAAAACTAAGTAACCTTTGGATTATTTTATCTATTTTGACGTAAAGTATATTTAGTTTATATAGCTAAAATAGCCTTTGGAAGGAAATCTTCTATTTTATATAAATGATAGAGTTCCATTTTTTATAGTGGTAGTTATAGTGAGAAACGGCGGTTCGGTGTCGCGGCGGTTCGCTGTCCGATTACGTTAAATAATTTGTGCGCAAGGATGTGCTGGGGACAGTTGGTTATGAATAGGTATGTTAATTGTATTTGGAGAGTCAAAGATAAAAGCTTGTCATCTCGATAATTGTTTCAGATCTCACATTATGTAGTATTGGCAGTGGTGTCGACGTGCACGACGAATCCATCGCAGCTGTGGCAATAGCCGTTATATATTCCTAGTGAAGCAGCTTCAGATTGTAGATTCCCGTCCTGCCTGTGCAATTGAAAGAGACATGCGGACACGAAATCGATAGCAGACTGTAGAGTGGAATAATTCAATATTCGGTAAGAAAAAAATATATAGGCAGGACTGCCAGGTTACAGCAAGCCAAGGTGGATATTGTTGAGATGTCTCATGCCTATTGACTATGTACGATGCTGACTTGCTGCATTATAATACAGAGCACTGTGATATTATCAAGTTGCAGGAGTCCTGTAGGTTGACCACCTGCTTGTAAACTGGCCATCGCTGGCAACTATGCTTTATGCCACCCAAAAATAAACGCCTGCCGTTTCCCAGAGTACCATTATGCCCAAACCAAATCGTGTATCGTGCCATGTATGTCGTTAGGATCATTAGTCGAGTATATGCATGCCGCAAAAAGGATTCGTGATGTTATATGTGGTTATACTTTGAGGGAACGCCGTTTTGGTAAAGTCCACGGCTCCGGACAAACAACCTAGCAAGAGTCAATGAAGGAATCTAAGCAGGCTGAATGATGCATGCACATACCTCGCCTTCGCTATATGCCCAAAAGTAGACCCCGATGCCAACCAGGTAGTATATCGCGGGATCCGTGCCTTGGTAGAGAAGCGCCGAGAGTAGAGCACTGAGTGGATAGAGGATGAGTCGCACTTCGATGCTCCGGTGTGCTAATGTCCCGGCGAAGTATTTCAGAGGCCATTCCCAGGCGAGACCGAGTAGGCCCATTATTAGGTTGAGAATCTGCAGGACCGGAACGGGCGCTACGGCGCCGTTCAGGTTTTTGGTGATGAAGTCCCAGAAGACTTTGGGCCAGATGAATCCCTCGATGGCGGCGCCAACTTGGTCTGCGATGGAACTCCACTGTTAGCGTTTCCGGTTTATTATTGATCAAAAGGGATAGAGTAGATGCGTACAGGCAGCAGCCGTGAGGATAATTAATCGGCCCCAGTGGTTTTTGATTAGCCTCCCCATGGTTTAGACTGGGAAACAAAGTGGTGAATGCGCCGAGTAGCTTTCGTCCCGCGAAAGGTCAAGATAAGTCAAGGGTATTTGTTCCTTTCAGTCGCTTGCCTTGTCAATTCGAGTCGCTCGTATGGATTTCTTCGACAAGGACATGGCAAGGTGAGATAGAGCAGTATGATGGGAGACAAGATTTGGAATCACAGCAATCACATCCGCACAGACAGTCAATACGAGGATGGAGCGTCTAATGGAGACGAAATGGAGGAGTCATGGCATGGCATGTCAGGAAGAGGGAGCGAAGGATGAGCATTACATACTCTCCAGGACGGACTTGTTCTGCCAGCGCCAACCGAGGGACCGCCACCACCGCATCACCGCATCTCATTCTCGCCTCTTGTGCTACGCAGACGTCCCTTTCTCAACCGCTGCCTCCTCTACGCCAATCGAATGACAGCGCCCACCGAATCCCCCTCTTGGCTTCTTCACACGTTCAGAGCTTCCGACACCCGTGATTGGACCTGACAGGGCCTGGGACGAAGGAAAGGATCCCCCTCTCGACCGGGAAATGCTGCGTCCTGGCCGCCCTGGTTGGGCGCTACCTCCATGCACGACCGTCCGGGCCTGAACAAATGAAAAGCGTCAGACGCTGGAGACGGCGCGCACTAGCGACCAGACGGAGCGTGACGGTGGACCGAAGCATGCAGGAGATTTGCGGGAACACACTTTAGCGGCCGATGCATTTGTGTCACTCGCACCTTCTGATTGATGGCCGTCTTTCCTGTGAAGACTCGACGCGCGGGGCATTATTCGAAATCAGTCTGTTTCCTTTTTTATCTTCCTGGGCGGCGATTTTCGCTGATGCTACTCTGCCATACTGTACACCTGTCGCATCTCTTGGCCTTGGGAACGGGACGGTTTCGATAGGCGACAGAGAGAGATGGCTGAATAGAATCGGAGAAAAAAAATGTGAAAGCGAAGGATAATACGCCTCTCAGTTGGTCAATCTTATCTCCTGAATCCTTCACAGTCACAGTCACAATAGAATTTCACCGTCTTTTCCATTTTGAAGTTTACCCCTCCCCTCTTGTGTCTGACCGACTAGAAGAAGATCATTGAGGAGCTTCCTGACAGGGCCGAGTTGTCGAACGGACTCCCAACAAATGTGACGAGAAGTCAATCATGCAGAGCCAAGTGGGCCAAGATCCTGCCTTGCATTCATCTCGGATTTATTCCAACTCGCTCAGCGCCAAGCACCAACCACCCCGTACGTTGCCAAAGGTCGCGCTCGGAGATGCCTGCTGCTTCGGACTAGCCTAGACCAGCATCTTTGATAGGAATCTAATTTTGGCAGTCCGTTAAACATCGCTTTCAATTCAACCCCCTCTCTTGAGTCTTGACGCTGCCAACAAGTTGCATTGCGGTGGAGCACGAAGCCGGGATGCTAGGATCACGCTAAGACCGTGTGACGGCATCAGCGCTTGCAGAACGCTTCTCATAGGGCCAAACCACTCTGGGGAGGCCGAGACTCCACCTTCCACGAAGCAAATCATCTATTTTAAAGAGCATATCATCTTACAAGCTACGGTCTCCACGGATACGCCAAGCGGCCACCGGCTCCCAATCGCTTCCAGCTTATCCCGGCACCACATGGTTTCTTTGTGCGGTGGAATCGCCAGGGTATGAGAAGGCGAGAAGAAGATTCAAGAGAAATGGCGTTACTATTCTTGAACCCGTGGCCGGGATAGCCGCTCAAAACAGAAAGAGCAGGCCGGTCGGAAGGTTCATGGCACAATGTGATGGATTGACATCGGTCCCTCGGAGCGTAGCTGAAGGATTGTGCTCGGAAGAGCAAAAGAACTGGCCGAGCGTTCATCTGGCAGCGAGGAAACAAGTCATACGACGCAGCGATGAACACCAATGTGGCTGGAAGAAGGTTTATCTCGCGAGGACAGAAGAACCTACCATGAATTGTCCATCCACGGCAGGAGTGGCGGTTGAGAATGAATCCCATACTAGGTAGGACCTGCAGCGCTTCAGCAACGTTGCCCAGAGCGCCGGGGGGCATAAATATAGCAGCAACACTATGCTATTTAGGGCTCTTTTGCCCTCCCCTCCCCCTCTCGTCTTCCCTGCACGGCTGCACCCCAAACCATTCCTCCGGGAACCACAACGCCAGCCGTTCGAAATTTTCTCGTCGTCGGACCTTCTCTCCCCACCCACATGCGTTGTTTCCGCTGGTGATAACAATAATGCTCCGATTGAGGCATCCTCTTGGCCCCCAGTTGACCCGAGGTGCCGCTTTCTGATCGATCCGTCTTTTGCCTTTCGTGGCTTTACACGAAGACCTTGGCTGGTGGTCTTGCCCCTTGAGACCAGAACACCCCATGAAGTCATATGAGAATCCTTATCCCAAACGAAAGAAGGAAACTACTATCTCACTCTCCACACTCGGGATATCGAACCCGGTTGCACTCTATGCCATCATCGTCGACCATCCCTCTCAACTTGCATTTTGACCGTCTCTATTTTGCTCGGCCAACCTTGGCTGGAGTCGAGCAAGGCACTGAAGCTGTATAGCAAAGTCCTGGTTAATACAACCACAGCCGAACCAAAGAAGTCATTCCTTTAATCTACGGCTCGGCGTTGATCCAAAGACGGTCTGCAAAAGAGTGTCATTATCCGTGATAAATAGCTGTCTTGTTGTTTCCTTTTTCCGGTTATCGCTGGTCGATGCTCTAGCTGTTATTCAAGGTTTTGATGCTGTATTTCGCTTCATCAAAGTTCCCTCCATCATCATGACACATGCGTGGGGTTCCTATTTCACAGGTTCAAAACTTTGGTTCTATTCCATATTCTGGGGTGCACACATTGCTATTTTTGCAGTAGGCTGGTATGGTTTTCGTACATTTTTACGGAGCAGTCGCTGATTTCTCTTAGGTATTTACAGGCGTCGAACTCAAAGCTAGACGCTCTCAATACCCTGCAATACTCGGTCTGGATTTCCAGAGGCGCTGGCCTAGTATTAACGGTCGATGGGGCTCTCATTCTTCTGCCGATGTGCAGAAACATCATCAAATGCATCAGACCGAGGATACGATGGCTACCTTTGGATGAGACTGTATGGTTTCATCGTCAGGTAGCATATGCTCTGCTTGTTTTTACAGCCGTCCACACGGCGTCACACTATGTCAAGTGAGTCTAGACACTCAGGTGGTCATTATGGCGTAGATCTAATAGCCCACAGCTTCTACAACGTGGAAAAGAACCAACTTCGACCCGGGACGGCAGTACAAATACACTTTACTCAAGCAGGTGGAATAACCGGCCATGTTATGCTCCTCTGCATGATGTTGATGTATACCACTGCGCACAATCGAATTCGCCAACAGTCGTTCGAAACGTTTTGGTACACGCATCATCTGTTTGTACCATTCATGCTGGCTCTCTACACCCATGCCACTGGTTGTTTCGTTCGAGATACGGCCGACCCGATTTCACCTTTCGCCGGCCAAAGATTTTGGGACCACTGTCTTGGTTACGAGGGATGGCGATGGGAGCTGATAGGAGGTGGGCTCTATCTTCTCGAAAGGCTTTATCGCGAAATTCGGGCCAGGCGTCAAACTGTGATTACCAAGGTGATCCGCCATCCGTATGGTATGTTCTACCTCAATGCTTGGTTACAAGGGTATCTCTGACAAGTAGCAGATGCAATGGAGATCCAGTTCCACAAAGACAGCATGGGATATAAAGCCGGTCAATGGCTTTTTATTCAAGTACCAGAGGTGTCCAACACGCAGTGGCATCCTTTCACGATAACCTCCTGTCCCTTCGATCCATACGTCAGCGTACACGTCCGTCAGGTCGGAGACTTTACTCGTGCTTTGGGAGACGCCCTAGGTTGTGGACCAGCACAGGCTCGGGACTTGGAAGGACTTGACCCCCTTGGCATGTATGAAGTGGCTCTCCAGAACGGACAAAAGATGCCCAACCTCCGAGTCGACGGGCCTTACGGAGCGCCCGCCGAAGACGTCTTCGAGAACGAAGTTGCAGTCCTCATCGGAACTGGAATTGGTGTCACGCCCTGGGCTTCTATCTTGAAAAATATCTGGCACCTCCGATCCGGCCCCAACCCCCCACGCCGTCTTCGTCGTGTCGAGTTCATCTGGGTCTGCAAAGACACCTCTTCCTTCGAATGGTTCCAAGCCCTCTTATCCTCTCTAGAATCCCAATCCGCCTCCGCAGCTGCTAGTGAAGGCCGCGCTGAGTTCTTGCGCATCCACACCTACCTCACGCAACGTCTTGACGACGATACTGCTGCCAACATTTATCTGAACTCCGTCGGCCAGGATCTCGACCCTCTCACCGAACTACGCAGTCGCACCAACTTCGGTCGTCCCGACTTCAAGCGTCTTTTCACGGCCATGCGAGACGGTCTCCAGGACCAGACCTACTTATCGGGCTTGTACGGGACTCTGAACCGGCGCACCGAAATCGGAGTGTATTTCTGCGGCCCGAATGCAGCGGCTCGACAGATCCGAGAGGCCGCCGTGACGACGTCCACTAAGGATATCAAGTTCAAGTTCTGGAAGGAACACTTCTAACCTTTCCTCCCATAGTTCTTTTCCTATTGTGGTCTATTTTGTTCTCCTTTAGTTATCTTTGACGGTCTAGACAGTGTGTAATATTTGCATGCGAAGCGAAAAGAAAGGGTATGGGTTTTAACTATTTGCTATGAGATGTTATGACTAACGATTCTCTTTTCTTGTGGTTTAACAAGGTTTGCGGATTTCTTTCCTGTTTCTGTTTCTGTCGTCTTTTCGTTTCTTTTCTTTCATTTTCTGTGTTCTGTCTCTTTCCGTGTGTGATTCTGATTATCGTGATTCCTGCAATTGTGTACTATAGTTCAAGAATATAGCCTCTGAATTGGATATACAAATACAAGTTATTGCTTAGGTAATGGGATCTTGACATATGGATAGAAGTGTAAGGCCCACACGAAGCCAAGGAATTCATAACCAACAGATCAATGTGTCACATAAGCGTTTCGTGTTAGCATACAGCCCCTTGTAAGGTAAGAGATATATGCAACCCCAAGCCTACGACTCCATCCTCTCATCCTCCTCGCTTTCCGCATCCTCAGGCATCGTGATCGGGATCCCCAACGCCGCAGCCCGATCCTGCATCTTAGCCGCCATTTCATCCAACAGATCCCCGATGTCGACGTGGATCCGCAACTCCTTCTCCACGAGGACATTGTACACGCGGCGGAGCTCGTCGAAACCCATTCCTTCGTCTTGATGGGAAGATGGCGATGATGATATATCGGAGTATCGTTCTCGAATGACGTCCGCGCGGAGATGGCTGAATGCTAACATCATGAGTTCCTTGGACCACGGACAGGCGCGCATACCGCGGTAAAAGACGGCCTTGGCGCGGCGGATGTCGTGGTGCGAGAGTTCGAAGAGGATGTAGAGTTTCCAGAGGGTGAGGTTGGACCGGGCGCTGGAGGTGGATGTGGAGGGTTGATGGGTCGAGGTCTTGTCTTGGCCGGTGATGGCTTTTTCAAAGGCCGCTCGCGCAGAGTGGATGGTTGAGCCGGCGTGGACGGGTCGGCTGAGTTCGGTGTATATGGAGAAGAGATGTGATGTGACGGGGACTTGGGTTGTTGTGAGCAGGTTGTTGGCGTTTGCGCTTTCGCTGCCTCGGGGATGAGTCGTGATGTCTCTCATGGTGTCTCTGACGCGTTCTTCAATTCGGAAGCGGGATTCGTTCCAGGCGAAGAGAGAGAGGAACATGGTGTTGTGTGGGAATATTGAGATGCTCTCAGTTAAGAGGGTTCGGATGTATGAGGGTTTGTAGAGGGTGCTGGTGCGAACGTGGTGGTAGAGGAGTCGTGCGCGCGATTGGTGGAGGAGTTCGATGGCGAAAGGTCGGAAGGAGCCGGTGTGCGACGGCATTGTATTGAGTCTGTGGGTGGCGTTGAGGTATGCCTCTTGGGATTTGACGAGGTTCAGCGAGTGGGTGAGGTAGAGTAGTATGGCCAGACAATCGGTGCAGGCAGCGAAAACGTCGGCATTCTCGGCGGCGAGGGCGGTTTCTTGCGTCCCCGACAGATACTAAGATTATTAGTGCCATGTTGCTAAGTTCGGATGGGGATCTTGTCTTACACTCTGTATCTTGAGAAAATTCGTTGGACTGATGGTGGGTTGGCTGGAAGAATCAGGGAAAGCCTTCAGGTCAACGCTGTTCTCAGGCATTGACAGTAGAAGGTAAGAGGCGTGAGCTATATTTCGAGCTTCTAGCAACTCCCATATCCATGTATGCCATAATAGAACGCTCTGAGCCTTGTCCTTCTCCGAGAATGTCTTGCTCATGGAGAGAGAGGTCGCCCAGACGTGGTCGGCAACCGCCAGGTTGCCTGAGCGTCGCTCGATGAGAGCGTAACAATTATAGAGCCGCAAGCTGGAGGACCGTTTCTTGAGCAAGGATTTTGCATACTTCTTGGCGTCCTTGCTGCTGCATGCGAACTCTACGGCAACGGCATACTCCGCCATATGCTCATTTCCCGGCATTGCCTCAACTAACAACCGCAGAACACGCCGAACCCAGTCGGGATCGATATCGGATCGCGAGTGCAACGTCGCCTGAGCCCACGATTTCAAAGACGCAAACCATGTCCCCTCGCTGGCAAACAGGGTTTGGACATTGTGGATGAACTTTTGGTGAGGGAAGAGAATTGGTTGGTGGGTATTGGCAGAGTCTTTGGGAAGCCAGTCGTCAAGGCTGGAATGTGCACTATTCACAAGATAATTCTGGAAGAAGCTATCGCCAGTCCAACCGGCAGTTGTTTCCAGATTTCTCGCAGATGTTAAGGGCGGGAGGCAGCAGAAATACAGAAAAGCGTCGACCAATTCCTCAGCCGAATTCAGGTCCCAGACTAAGGGTACGATTTCTTGGAGGTCCGACGAGAGAACAATTCGGAAAGGGTCATCATCATCGGATTCATCTAAGCTGCGACCGGGAAGCCGGGAATTAAGAATCCGCTCCCTTTCGCAAGTTTCCCATGTTGTGAAGATCGCTTTTGGATTGACGTGCGAAACTGGCTTGAAGACTCTGGGAGCCGCAGGAGCACCACCGCCATTAGCCCAGCCTTTTGCCCCAACCTCGCCAATGCGAGCACTCTCCGACTCCCAGAATTCCATCAATGTCGATATTATCCGCTGTGAGTCTGCGTCTATTTGTTGAGGCCGAAAGAAGGCAGCCTCTAGAATTGCTTGCCAGAGGCCAACGGCATGTTCTGTGAACCCGGACTCGCGAATAAAGACCGTCAGCCGGAGGAACAGGTAGATCTGGACGTGAGCTTTCCCAGGGTTATCTGGGGCCGACCGATTTAGCTTTAAACATTCCAAGAAGGTGGTTAGACATTGTTCATAGGTGAAATCAAGGAATTCGGTCTGTCGAAAGTCCAGATATTTAATCCAGAGACTGACGAAGTGAGCGTTCGACTTCAATACCGCCTGCCACTGTGCGGACAATTTCTTCGTATCCCACAATTTCGCGCCCTCTTCCAGCCTGCCCAGCAGTAAACGATCACGAGCAGGATTTTGACCGGATCTTTTTAGCGCCTTTTCATACAGCGAAAGCTTGATATCGGCCAAGCTTTGCTTTTCGGCATACGTCAAGGCGCTAGATTCTCGTCCAGCGCCCTGGAGAAGAGTCTCCTGGTGATCGATAAGCTGGAGCCACGTGCCGACATCACCAGGATTCTTCTCAACGGCTCTTGTCAGTTCAACATTTTGTTGTTTGATCTCCTGATCTGGGTCCATGCGAACCCCTTCGTCATCGCTCGACCCGCTGTCCGAGACGGCCTCCAGGTCGCTCGGGATGTCGTCTTCCAGTTTGGCTTTACCGTGTATTGAACGATACGCGTGTTTCTCATCGTCTGACTCGATCTCGCCGATAATTGCTTGTCGTCGTCGACTGCCAGAAACGTTAAGAGGTAGAAAGTCTTCGCTGGCATCCGCGTTTTCATTCGGTGAAGATGCTTGACGTATTCGAAGTAGCTTGGGTCGTTGCTTATGGAGACCCGCCAGTATGCGCTTGGATTTCGTTTTGGACGCATCGGAGCGCCATGCGTCTGTTCTTATGACCAGCGCGTCTCCTTCAGCGGTATCCCGGTCGATTTTATAATTCGGAGGGAGACCCAGTACACTCCCTCGACCCACGCGATGATAGAGGGGAATGCTGTAGCGATGAATAGTACCATATATCAGATTGTATTTGTCGCCTTTGCGATCAATCACGAATAGATCAGGTACATCTTCCTCGGGCGCCTTCACCTTGGTTTTCGGCCACGATCGATATTCGGAGGTGGACTCCCTCGGTTCCTTGGGGGTCTCGCGACGGCGATGTTCCGGTTCTCGACGGGCATGACGATGGTCTCGGCGTTCTCGCTCTCTTCGCCGTTCTTTCGACCGCGAACGATCACGATGGCTTCTATGTCTAGAATGATGGCTCGAACGATGCCGGGAACTCTTCTTCTCTTCTGTTTCAGTGTTGTCGCGATCGGGTCGCTGAACCGCGGGCAGAGGAGCTGTCGGGGGTTTAAAGCTAGCAAAGCGCGGGATAGATTTTTTCTCCTGTAATGAAGCAGACATGATGAGTGAAAATGAATTATCTAGAATCTGACGGACAAACAACAGCCACTCACCTGAGAGCCGGAGGAATCCATGCTCTTGAGACGTGGGCGTGGGCCAAACCATGCCGGAGCCAAAGGCGGGCGGAATCGACAACTGGAAAAACTCCGTTCCGCGATTTTTTTCTGCTGGGGAAAAGCGGCAGTAAAAAAAGTTGCTCCGATCAACCTTCCTCTGCCTCCCCTCCAGATCGATTACGCAGTGCCCTTCAACGCCAGTGGAGCTCAAGAAGAGGCTTGTCTGGGGATGGATGCTTTGTGTCTTTTTCGCTAAAATTTAATTCACCCTCAAAATCATGGCTTCGTCTCTCTCCGCGCAGTTGTCGCAGATCGCGGCCAACTCGACCAGCCAATTGAACCTCCGAGCTCAGAGATACCTCCATTCGCAATCGCTGATTTTCGACAAGAAGGTTGCTGGATCTCAAGATTTCCAGACGATTTACGAAATATGTCACGAGGGCTTTCAGGAGCTATGCCTGCTGGACCCCCGGTTTGCGCAGTTCGAGCGGACCATCTTCAGCGAACAGAGCGTCGGCGAAGAGCGAACGGAAATGAACGCTGCTCAGAACAAGGAGCTGGACACGGTTCTGGAGGCTTTTCTGGCGCTGGTGGGAGGAAAATTGCTGTTGAGTCCTGCGGTCAAGGCCGTGGATTGGCTTATTCGGCGATTCCGGTGCGATAGTGACCTAATATCTTTTTCTTCTATAGAGAACACAACTGACCATGGCTGACATCCTGCAGAATTCACGAACACAATACCGCGTTTACGATCCTAACCTTCCTGCCATACCACACCACACCTCTTTTCTTGAATCTGCTCTCGATACTTCCCCAAGACTTGACGCCCACCTTCAAGGTGCTCAACCCGTACAAGCAAGGCCTGGTCAACCCTCCTCGTCATCCGCTTTTGCACAGTGCCACGACAAATAAACCGTTCCTCGCGGCAATCAATGAATATACCCTCACGGTCAGCCGACTGCAGGCGGGCCACCATGCGCTGCTCTCGTTTTGGGCGGGAATTATGACGGAAGCTGTTGCGGGAATGCTGGACGCAGCGCGCTCTGGTCGCCGAGCGGTGGAGAAGCAGCAGCACGACGATATTCTTCTGCGAGTCATCCCGGTGCTGAATGACGGACTGGCCATGAAGGATGTCTCGGAGTTGGTTATTGGTTGCTACATGGTCTGCGTGGTTCTGGCGCAGAAGGCTTCTCTACAGGACACCGTCCTCGACGAGCTGATGGGGGCTGTTGCGGGCTCGTGGACTGAAGAAACGGCGAATTCGGGCCTGATTTGTCTGTCCGTCCTGGCACAGCAGAAGCCCGACGGAACGATACCGAAGCGCGCTTTCAAGGCCATTCTTCGATTGGACAACCTGGTTCAGCAGCTATCTGAAATCTCAACCCAATACAAGACATCCAATCTGCTTCTTGCGCTTGTGGCTGGTTGCGTTCATGATATCCCGAACCAGAAGGACACATCGCGACTGGACCTGTTGTCGCTCATGTTCGAAGCGCAGTTGTTCGGCGAAGAGGAGACCGGCAGGGCCATGGCCTTGGTCTTGAATGCTGCTAGCAACGCGAACAAGGAGGGTGTCATGTCATTGGACTCTCAAACTCACCTGGCTGATCTCGTCCAGTCTTTCAGCAGCTCGGAAACCCTCAAGCCCATTTTCCAGAAAGCCGTCGCGGAATCGTCTCTTAATATCTCCGCTTTGGAACACAATCTGCAGACTGTTCTTGAGTCGGCACCGACGCCAAAGGCCTTGGAGGATGTGGAAATGGAGGATGCAGAGGACAAGAAACCAGAGCAGGATGCTTTCCCGTCAGCTCTTGAGCCCTTGAAGGGGGAGAGCCAGTTCAAGGACTCATTCCTTTCCACTCAGTCTATTCCTGTTTTCGACCGTCTTGTCCAGGTCTTTGCGCTCGCTGTTGGATCTCAGGAAAAACTGGATGCCTTCACCGAGTTGAAGGTTCTCGGAAAGGCGGATGCCACCAAGTCGCCGCAGTTCCTGTCTTTCTTCGTCCGAGTCTTCTCTGGCCCATTCCCCATCGGCACTCGAGGCGCGGCGTTGAGCATTATCTCCACCTTTGTCAGCTCTGCTGCTGCCGACCTTGACTTCCAGGCCCTGCTTCCGTTTGTCTTGGTTGCTCTTACTGATTCGTCGGAAAGAATTCGCCGTGAAGCGGCCGGTCTGTTGACTGCCGTTGGAAAACTGTATAAGAAGACCAAGAAGGCGGACAATATGACCGTTTGGGCTCGTGAAACTCTGTACGGCCAAGAGAAAAAGTCTAAGAACATCCCCTGGCTTTCTGGCCGGGACGCCCAGAAAGTGCTGGAGCGCGCATTCATTCCAGGTCTGGAAGAATACATCTTGGACCCGGCCCATATTGGCCGTGTCCTGGAGGCGACCCTGCGCGGCTCTTCAGTGGCCGACTCCGGTGCTTCGGAGATCAAGAAGCCTCTCCGATTGAACCTGTTCACTCTCCTTTGTTCCCATACCGTTCAGGTGCCGCTGTTTGCTCCGAAGGATGGACTGCTGAAATTGCTCAACCGCGTTGACAAGGCGGGTGGAACCACGCGCACGAAGGAGCTCGAGCCTGTGCTGAAGATGTGGCGAGACTTGGGCGAGAAGAAAGCCCAGGAAGCTTGCCAGAAGGAGCGCATTTCCCTCAGTGAAATGGAGGACCAGATCGTTGCGACCGTCACGCCCAAGGAGAAGGACGCCATCACCGTACTTCTGTCTAACGTTCACCCTTACTCGCAATCCCTGAGCCCGTCCTTCGCCGCCGCCGTCTTCCGCCGCATGAGGGGCATTTGGGTCAAGGTGCCCGAGGACCGCCAAATCGTTGCCGCCGAGCAAATTTTCGAAATCTCTCTCGGCCAGGCGGACTCGCCGCTTGTCGCCGGCTGTCGCGATGTGCTGCGCGGCGTCGAGCTGCCGGGACCCGTTTTGCTTCAATTCCTGCAGAAGATCCCTGCCTCGGTCACAGACATGGAGTCTCTTGGACCGGCACCGAAGAGGAGACGCACCAGCCAGAACAACATGGTCGCTATGACAGTCCGGGACGAGGCCAACCTGGGTCAACTCATGGAGAAGATGACGTTCATTCTGGAATTGGTAGATAGCTCAAAGCCGGAGGCGCATCCGGAACTGGCCGACGGTTTGTTCCAGACTCTGGCTGCTCTTCACCACTTGAAGTCGCAAATCCAGTCTGGCATGAGCTACCTTCTGAGTCTGGTCCTTGGAAGCCTTTTGGCCATTGTCAACCGGTCCAAGGCAAATGCCAAGCCGCAATTTGACACTTCCGTCATCAGGGCCGATCTGGTTGTGGATTGCGTCCGTACTACCGACAGTCCTCAAGTGCAGAATTCGGCACTTCTCCTGGTGGCTGGCTTGTCGGTCATCGCTCCCGAGCTTGTCCTGCACAGCGTGATGCCCATCTTCACCTTCATGGGATCGAGCGTCCTGCGCAAGGACGACGATTACTCCGTTTCCGTGATCGACCAGACGATCGACCAGGTCGTTCCGGCCCTCATCCAGTCTTTGCGCAACCAGAAGCGCGACGTGGTGTCGGGTACTTCGGAGTTGCTGCTCAGCTTCACCGCGGCATTCGAGCATATCCCGTCACATCGCCGCTTGCGACTTTTCCATGCTCTCATCACAAAGCTTGGCACGCAGGACTTTTTGTTCGCCGTTCTTGCCATGCTTGCCAACAGGTACTCGATGGACAAGGATGTTCTGGTCTTGATGACTGGACTTGTATCCGATGCTGAGGCTCCCATCGAACTTAGCGTGCGTTTAGCACTTGCATCCCCCCTCTCCTTAACAAATGACTAACTCTGTTGCAGACATATAAGAAATACCTCGACCTCGTCATCGATTCGCTCAAGCAGAAACCTGGTATCTCGCAAGTGCTTCTTGGAATCGGAAGTGATGATGGGCGCGAGCCTCAGAAGGTTGCAGTTGATCTGCTTCGGGCTTTGGCCTACCTGTTCCGTCACTCCTCTTTGAAATCGAAGATGGCCGAGGCGTTCGAGTCCGAGGAGGGCGACGCTCCCAACCAGATTCGGGATCTGTTCTCCCGTATCTTGGAGCAAGTTCTCGCCATTGGCGATTCTATGCAGAGCGTGAAGCCCATCAGCCAGGCCAGCGGCGAAGTGCTCAGCGCGCTGTTCGGTACTCTGTCGCTTGCCGACTTCCTGGACACCATCGAGGTCCTGCTGCAACGACCCAACGACGAACTCCGCCGGAAGGTTCTCCGACTCTTGGAAGGCCGTCTGCGCCAGAACCCTGAACGGGACGGCCCATCGCAGATCCGGATGCTCGACTTCCTGCCGACGTTGGTTACCATCGTGGAGTCGTCGCCCGACATCTTGCTCAAGCACGCGGCCGTGGCTTGTATCGACCGCATTGCCGACAAGTACGGCAAGAAGGACCCGTCGAAGGTCATTCCGGCGGCCATCGCGGTGGCCGGCAAGACCTGCATCGGCTCCGAGGACGACCGCATTCGCATCATGGGTGTGTTGTGTTTGGCCTCGATAGCCGAGGTTCTCGGCCAGGCGATGATTCCTGCCCTGCCGCCGGCGGTCAGCCAGTCCCTGGCCCTGCTCGAGCTGAGTCTCGAGGCTGGTCAAGAGAACACCCGACTGCACGATGCGGTATACTCGCTGTTCTCCGCCTTGTTCGTACACCTGCCCTTCATGATCTCCGCTTCCCAGCTGGACAAGATTCTCTTGCTTTCGTTCAAGTCCGCTTCCTCGGAGGAAAGCGAGGTCGAAAGCCGACAAGAGGCGCTGCGATTGATGGCACGCAAGGTCGACCTCGCCGCCACCTTTGGTGCGGTGGATCGCAACTGGCAGCACGCTACGGCGGCTGGTCCGGAAGCCACCAAGGAAATCTTGGAGATGGTCAGCCTGGCTATCGAGAAGCACCCCAAGTCCGCTATCTCGAAGAACCTGCCCACTCTTACGAATATCTTGTTCAAAGCGTTTGACCTGCGCCGCGAGCAGATCTCCCTTGGTACTCGGGCCACTCTTGAGCTGTCGGATGTGGACGAGATCGAGGAGGGCATCAACGATATGACGATCAAGATGATCTACAAGCTGAACGACACGGCTTTCCGTCCGATCTTTGTCAAAATGCTTGACTGGGCCAACACTAGTGTTTCGAAGAAGGACACGCAGGGCAACTTGGCCCGCCAGACGACGTTCTTCAAGTTCCTGCAGGTGTTCTTTGGAACGCTCCAGGTATTTATCACCGACCCTATAGTTCTAAAATAGACATTGCTAACCTGTTGCAGTCGATCGTCACCGGCTATGGCAGCTACATCATTGAGACTGTGGTTTCTGTCCTCGGCAAGGCCAAGCCGTCCGATCAGGCGACCAAGTCTCTCTGGCTGGCGACGATGCGCATGCTCCGCAACGCCTTTGAACATGACCAGGATGGTAAGCGCTTGAAGCTCTCTATGTCCCTGTCCCGCGAGCTAACGATGATCCCAGAATTCTGGCAATCTCCCTCCCATCTCACCGCCATCTCTCAACCTCTTATCTCGCAACTGGCCCACGCGACTAACCCTCCCAGCGCCAACCTGGTCATTGCCGAGACGGTGCCGACCATCACGGAACTGGCCGTGGCCGCCGACTCCACAGACAACCACAAGGAGCTGAACTCGACGCTGATGCGCTTCCTGCGGCCGTCCACGGTCACGGGCAAGTCGGCCGGCGGCGAGAACCCGTTCACGCGCCTGGCGGCCCTGAAGGCCGAGCAGTCGCTGACGGAGCAGTTGGGCGAGGAGTGGCTGGCCCTGCTGCCCGAGATGCTGCCGTATATTAGCGAGTTGATGGAGGATGAAGACGAGCAGGTGGAGCGGGAAGTGAGGAAATGGGTGAAGCAGATCGAGAGTGTGTTGGGGGAGAGATTGGATGATATGTTGACCTAGTTAAGACCAGGTGGATGCATGATTGGCGTTGGTTTCTTTTCGAATGTTTCATTTTTTGTATATGAATGAAAAGTTGTAGACTTGTTTATATCATCCTGATGGTTTTGATAGTATTTTTTTTTCCTGTAGTATTTTCATGGAGCTAGCGTAGGGTCGTATTACGAGTTGACTATCAGACCGAGGAAGAGACTATAGCCGGGGTGCTGACAGGGTTTTATATTGTTTTCCCTTCTAGGAAAAAGGCAGTGGCATTGATGTGTATGCCAGAACGTGGAGCTCCAAGGCTGAAACCCGGCTCTGGCAGTTCCAAAGGCAATACAACATTCAGTATTTTGGCAGAATATCAGATGTTGAGAGAAGGCGCTGAAGCCGTGAACAGCAAATGGTCCATTACTGTTATGGCAAATAATAATAGCTATGGACGTGGTTAATTAGGGCTAATAGTACTAGCCAGGGTCCGGAGAGACAGGACAGACTACAGAGTAGGGCGACAGAATTTTCACGATGGCGTTATCACCCATTGCATAATGAAAACGCAAACCGGAACTGGGAATGTCCCCATCCTCTTACTTGATGGCGTTACTTGAAGCCGACTCGCTCTCCCTGATAAACAGAGATTTATATGAAAAAAAGTGGTGAAGCCGGTCGGTTAGTCTCGGATCTGGCTGGGTCGGTCGCGAGGCTCGGTTAGCGTCGCTTGCGAGAACGGAGGTGTTTTGGATGGATGGATGGCGTTGTTGTTGCGCTTGTTATTGTTGTTTGATCGGGTGATATCTGTCTGTGTGTCTGGATTGGGAATTAATAATGAAGGAGAAAGAAAGTAAGAGGAAAGTTCAGAGAATACGAGCTTAATAATGTAGAAGCTGCTGCTGCAGCGTCACGGTCGGCTGTCCAATATTGAGAAGACCAGAAGTAGAAGACCAGAACACGGAAAGACGAGAACAACACGAGTCAGACTAAAAGCGGTCCGATGTCGTAGGGCGTGAGGATCCGCCGAGTAGTAGTCCGTGAACTAGATGAATCTATCGGCGAGGACCTGCTGGCTTTTCCAAATCACTCGTATTCCATTATTTCCATAGCTTCAATAATCAATCACTAGTCCTGTTGGGAGTCTGCGTCAACGACACGCAGCGAACACGTCGATCGTCCCCCTCGATAGTTTCATTTGGACGCATCACATGGAATGACGGAGTCCCAAGAATTCAACGGTAGGAGAAGGAGTCCGATTGATCTTCACGAAAGCTCAAACGGAAGAATGGAGATCACTGGAAAGGGACAACGATCTTCGTTCATGGCGTCAGGGGAGCTCAACTTTGGACCGGATTAGGGTTGGTTCCAGACTCGCTGAAGATTCGTCATCTTCACTACGCTGTATAACTTATACCGTAGAACAAGTTCACTCCTATATCGCTTAGAGACTCGTAAAGTGAGACCACGCCGAACACGCCGTCCACGCCGTCGACTTCTCCGAGGAGTCACGCCCTCTCAGACCGTTTAGCCGGCGGTCTTAGCGTTCTCAGCATCGGTTTCCCGCAGGGCGTGTGGAATGTCATTCCCAGGGCGCAAGTCAAAAGACGATCGTCGACGGTTCCACCAATTGCCGCCCGGTGGATCCTGGCGTCGTTCGAAGGACTAGACCCGATGAAGAACCTGACGAGAGAAAAGGATTGCCCTCTGACTGGCTGTAGTGACTAGTCGCTGGCTGGTTTGGTTCTATGGAAAGAGCTTGCGTTAAGCTTGCGATGCCGTCGAGGACAAATGAGGGTTTCGCCCACCCACGTGCTCGCATGGCTTCAAAAACGAGATTTCCAAGCAGGAAGGGATGTGACTCACGCGCAACAATGATTGATTGCTTTTATTGTCTCGTATTGGATTGCTAATTCAGAGGGCTACCACCTGCAATGACGTCCTGGCTAGTGGCTATACTCCGTTGAACTAGATATTAATATTGACTAGATCCTGACCCCCCTGGGGGAAAACTCCCTTGCTCCACCGGCCCATTCCATTACTCAATTGCAACCATCACCCCATCCCTTCATTCTTCTTAAAAGCTGGGGTCGTCACTTTTTCCTCTCTCCTCTCTTGTGATTGTTTTTTCTCCACCCTTCCTGTCTTCTGTAGTTTTACCCCATATCTTCACCGAAGGTACGCTGCCATTGACGGATACAACCATCTGGAAATGGCTTCGTCCTTCGTCACTCGAACCTCCAGTACCCTGGAGGCTTTCACCTCCCGTGCGCAGCCCAAGGTCACCGTTGACCTACAAGGCCAGACCGAGGGTCTGGTGAGCGCCTACACCACTGGCGACCGCATTGAAGGCACGGCTACCGTGACCGTCGACCGTGATGTCCGATTCGACGAAGTGGAAATCACCTTTGAAGGTATGTCCACGCCCAGCCAGTCTACCTGAAGTATTTACCTAGAACTTTATTGACACTGTCTAGGGACTTCTCGCACCTCCGTAGAGCGAGCATCCATCCCCGGCCGCACCGGCGCATATCAGACCTTCCTACGCCTGCGCCAACCAATCGACGACACCGCATATCCCACTCCGCGAGTGCTCGAGCCCAACCGCCGCTACGAATTCCCCTTCACCTTCGTCGTGCCCGAGCGTCTGCTGCCGCATGCCTGCAGCCACCGCAAGACCAACCTGCACGTGGAAGCGTCGCACACGCTGCTGCCGCCCACGCTGGGCGACGCGATGCTGGCCGCCGACGGCAAGACGCTGCTGGACGACATCTCGCCGGACATGTGCCGCATCGCCTACTTAGTGCGGGTTACAGTGCTGCGCAAGAAACCGAGCGATTCGGACAATGCTACGCCCAAAAGCCTCGCTTCCGTCGGCAAGAAAGTCCGCATCGTCCCCGCCGTCGAGGAGGAACCGCCGCTCAACGTTGCCGATCACGAGCCCGTATACTGCACTCGCAAGGAAAAGGACGTCAAGCGCGGCCTGCTGCGCGGGAAACTCGGCCGTTTGGTCGTGGCCGCCTCGCAGCCTCGACCTGTCCAGTTGCATCCCGGCTCCAACGCCGCCGCAGACAACCACACCAGCAGCGACAGCCCCGTCAGCACTGCGGCGACGCTGCATCTCCGCTTCGATCCCATCGGCACCGAACCGCCGCCTCGTCTAGGCACCGTGTGGAGCAAACTGCGCGTCTCGACCTACTTCAGCGCCGAGCCCTGGCCCGACTACCCGTCGCCCTCGTCGCCCGCGATGTGGGCACAGATGGGTCGTGGCGGTTACACTGAGTCGGTGCCTCTGTCGACGCTGTGCCTCGCCTCGTCGTCGGCCGGCTGGACGCGACACGAACCGCCCCGTTTGGACCGTTGCGACTCGCGCCAATCCAGCACGTCGTCCGGCTCGGACGCCGAATCCCTGACCGGTCCGTCTGCCTCGTTCGACGGCTCGGTCTATTACACCGCGTCCGTGGTCGTGCCTGTCTCGCTGCCTGCTAAAAAGGCCTTCGTGCCCTCCTTCCACTCATGTCTCATCTCGCGCGTCTATGCCCTCGACCTGAGCATCTCGTATCACACGCCTAATGCGAATATTCTGACCCCTACCGCCTCGCTGCGCGTTCCGTTGCAGTTTACCTGTGCGAGACGCGTCCCGGTGCCTGGGAAGGAAGACGCTTGCGAGATATCCATCGACGAGGTCAATGCCGAGTTCTTCAACCCGCGCAGCGTGGCGCCCCCAGAGATGCCTGTGTCTGCGCCGCCGGAGTACTCCGAGTTGCGTCCGTTCGTGGCTTCTCCGGATCGGTCGCGCGATCTGTTGACGAGCTCCACGGGGAGAGTGCGGACGGCTTGTTGAGCTGTCTAACTGTCTCTATGTCAGTGTTGAAGGGAAGGAGGTCCAAAGATAGAAACCAGAACAGGAAACGCGTCACGACTTTAAGGAACAAAAAGTAACTACGGTGCGATTTGACTTGATGAATTTTCACAGGAGTTCGGATACAGGTTTTGATATACCCTTGTTAGCAAGCCATTTTGCATATTCAGAGTTAGATTAGATCAGTGATAATGTTAATTAGTTGATCGGTTAGATAATGCATCTTAGACTCATTTACCAGATCATGTATTCACGAGAAATGACGTGACAGTCTTATAGGTGACCTAATAATAGCTGAGGTTTGGCAGTTGACCTTCCTCTTGATCCCTTTTCTACATTCAATTAGTCTTACCATCAGAACCCAAGGAAGTGACAGGCTCTCAACATACCAATAAATCTCCAAAGCTCCTCGCCCACAGGAACTCTTCTTCGAAGTACTGCTTCACCTGATGATCCTCCATCTGAGCCTCTGTATATGTCGTCGAAACATCGAAATCGATCCAAACAACTCGCGACGCTTCCCCATGCACAAGAACAATATTTTTCGGATACGGGTCATTATGAAGGACCCTCGCGCGATGAATCTCACTCAACCCCTGCATTGCCACCTGGAAGCGTTCCGCGGAGTAATTCACGCAGTTCAGCTCTTCTGGGTCTGGTAGATATTCAAGCATGATGGCATTTGGTTGATTCTGATCGCCTGCGAAGTGATCGAGATGAGGACGATAGAGAGCCGGGTCGAGTTGCTCGATATAGCCATGGTAAGCTGGTACCACGCCTTTCTGACACACTCCCCAAGAGTGCAGGTTCTTGTAAGCGGTTAATTCGCGGCGGAATCGGTTCATGTCACGGCCATTCGGGGCGTAGCCGGGGTCGCCGTTGTTGTGAAACTACTAAGAATTAGTGTGGTGTTCTGGCTGCCTGGTGGAGAGTACGGACCACTTTTAGACAGTAGCGATTGTCGCTTAGCGTTATCTCGTATAGAGAAGATGATTCGGAGCGCTGGAGTAATCTGCAGAATTTGAGCGTACCGGGATCAAAGCTCAAAGGGTGTGTGTGATTGCCGGACATGGTGGATGTTGTATGTTTAGTTGGGCGATTGAAGGACATGAAGAGAATGAGTTGTCACTGCGTAGGCAGCCAGGCAGCGCTAGGCAGAGCCCTTGCCTTTCACGTTTCCCATTTCCCAACTGTACTACGTTTCTTGCTATTACAAAAATAAAACAAGATAAAAAAAATAACAAATTAACTGGCAAGTATAACAACAAACTGTGGAATTTAGAATTTAGCTTTTGCGGGTCTGACAATAGAACTTTGATCTGTCATAGATTAGAATATCAAATCCCATCCAATTTCCGGACCCAACCGAGGAAGATGATCAGCTACGCTCTGAACATCCTTGTCGCCTCTTCCGCTCAGACTGATGACAATATTCTGCCCCTTCTCCATCGTCCTGGCCAGCTCCATCGCCCCATAGACAGCATGAGAAGATTCCAGCGCAGGCAAGATCCCTTCGTATTCCGCTAGTGCACGAAATCCGCGCAACGCTTGCGCATCCGTAGCAGCCATGAATCGAGCTCGCTGGCTATCCTTCCAGGAGCTTAGTTCCGGGCCAACTCCCGGATAATCCATGCCCGCCGAGATCGAATGCGTGGTCGAAACCTGCCCTTGATTATCTTGCAGCAGATACGTATACACCCCGTGAAGCACGCCCTTGCTGCCCCGGGTTAGCGTCGCTGAATGGCGAGAGGTATCTAAACCATCGCCTCCAGCCTCGACGCCTAGAAGCTGGACCGGATCGTGAAGGAAGGGATAGAACATGCCCGAGGCATTACTTCCGCCTCCCACGCAGGCAACCACCGCGTCGGGAAGTCGACCAATAGCTTCGTTCATTTGTTGTTTGGTTTCATCTCCAATGACTGATTGAAAGGTACGCACAATCGTGGGGAATGGGTGCGGTCCTGACACCGAACCCAGGACATAATGCGTCGTGTCTAGGGTTGATACCCATGCCCGGAGAGCCGCGCTGACTGCATCGCGCAAAGTCCGCCCCCCCGTCTGAACTGGCACAACTTCTGCGCCTAGCAGCTTCATGCGGAACACATTCAAGGCTTGTCGGCGTGTATCCTCTTCACCCATGTAGATGACGCATTGTAGACCAAATTTAGCGCATAGAGTGGCTGTGGCTACACCATGTTGGCCGGCTCCAGTCTCGGCGATGATCCTCGTCTTTCCTAGTCGTCGCGCAAGAAGAATCTGACCGAGAGCATTATTCACCTTATGGCTCCCCGTATGGTTGAGATCCTCTCGCTTTAGCCAAATATTCGCTCCCCCGACGTGTTCTGTAAGCCGCGCCGCAAGATGAAGACTGCTGGGCCGGCCGAGGTAGGCGTAATGGGCCCGAAATTCGTCCCAGAAGGTAGGGTCCTGGCGTGCTGCTTCGAATCCGCGCTCGAGTTGCAAAAGGCAGTTTATAAGGGCCTCTGGAACATACTGACCGCCGAATTCACCGAACCGTATGCTGGAGGGAACCCGACTGTCCAGATACAGGGCATTTCTTTGGTCACGGAAAACCGGTTGAGTGGCGCTCTGATAGTCTATGAGCACCCCGTTTGTTCCTCTCGTCATCCTGCGGCCCGTGATTCCAGCGAGGTATTCTACCACACGAGTGGCCGCTTGACCAGCCGGAGCCGCGCCTATTACCTTGAGAATTTGGCTCCCGATCACGCAGCCCTGCGCGATGTCCTGCACCGCTAAGAAGTGCTCCCGTGTACTCACGCCGAATCCTACGGCGGTGGGAGTTCTCCCAGACCAAGTTCGAACTCGGCTCATGAGCTCCCCAAGATCCTCGCCCAACCGGTCAGTAGCACCCGTCACGCCCATGCGTGAAACCACATAGATAAACGAGTTGGCCATCTGACACAGCAGCTTGACGCGCGCATCGGGCGTCGCAGGGGAGACAAGTGGGATGAACGAGAGCCTGTAACATTCTAATATCAGCACATTGGCCCTCGCTAGCACTTCCATTTTACTAACCCGAATGTGTTGCAAAGCCCGCGGAAAGAACCTGCTTCCTCCGGCGGCAAGTCTGTCATCACGAAGCCATTGACGCCTGCGTCTTTGCAGTCGCTGACCATCCGCTCCTCCCCATATAGGAGAATTGGGTTATAGTACCCCATCAACAGGATCGGGACCCGGACACCTCTCGTCCTCGCCTCACGCACCATACCCAAGACCGTTGTGATCGTGACCCCATTCGCTAGGGCTTTTACATTGGCTGCCTCGATGACTGGGCCGTCGGCAATCGGATCGGTGAATGGAACGCCAAGTTCGATAACATCTAATGCAAGATCATTGAGAAGGTGTTAGTCCTATTGAAACAAAAGCTGCGTAGGGGAAAGGTAGTCCGTTCATACCAGCGCCGCCAGTCTCAAGTGCCAGGAGCAGTTCGACCGTCTCCTCGATCGTAGGGTACCCTGCTGTGATATAGGCCACTAGGGCAGCACGCTGCTGACTCGCAGCTCGAGCGAAAGCCTGTCGGATGTGCTCCATACCTGCAACTAATGTCTTCGGTAGTTGCTTGGTTGGCCGAACGGATTCATTCCAGATGGCATTCTTCTCTATATACGCACATGAGCGCCCATGTTGTGAGTCAGAATGCAGTGCAGGAAGGCCATCGTCATCCGCCTTTCCACCACCCGTATTGACATCCGTATTTCCGTTATCGTTCGAGATGTTCTACGGATCTTGGTGGCAAGAAAAGTGACACAGGTAGATTCCCGCTTTGTCAGCGGGAAGCCTCGTGGAGAAACCCTAAGTCGGAAAGTGAAATACTATGTTCTGAGATTTCACGGTCTTAGGAGAAAACTAAAACTCTACAGGGTACTACCAATCCGTTGAAGATTACAGAGATACTGTTCTGTCTTCGTCTATCAAGTAGACTTGGAACTTCCATATTCCTCCATATGGCGGAGGAGTGGATACAATAAACTGTCTCCTTATACCACCGAAGTCGGGAGATCCACCGGTTTGCTCAGAGACACTAGAAATGTATACTGTACCCTTATAATACCCGTGCGTGGTTTACCACGGCACATGCTCGCCGTTGTGGCCCAGGAAGTGACCAGATGTAGTTGATTTCGTAGCTTGTTCGATCTATGAAAGCAATGCAAGAGCACGGGTTAGCAGCCTATCGATACTTCTATAGAGAAGAGAAGAAATGGTTTCACCAACCACTTGAATAATACCGTTGACGCTTTGTTCCACCGTCAACGTGGCCACTTCGAGCCCTTTGGCGCGTGCCCCACGGTTTCCCATATCGGTTTGAACGAACCTGTACCACGGAAGTTAGCGGATGCCGTCAACATAGCCATATGATTACTATCGTTCCCTGTTCTATGACTCACCCAGGGTCCACGGCCAACGTAATGAGGTCCTCATATTCAAAATGAGCTCTCCTCATGAAGTAATTTCCTGCCACCTTTGACATCCCATATGCGTTCGTGAGAGATGCTTTGTTCTGCTCCAGCTCAGCAAGACTGGCCAGTTCCGTCGATACATATACGAATCTTGGTTGCTGCTGACTCGCCTGTAAGAAGGGAAGCACGGCTCGGAATAGTCTCAATGGGCCGAAGGTGTTAATATCCAGGTGCTTCTGTAAGTCGGAGTCTGTCATCTCGATCAGGGGTCCATAGTGATCGCAGATTCCCGCGTTGGCCACAACAACATCAATCTGTGAGATTCCGTGCTGTGCTTGCAGTTTCTGAACCGCCTCGATGATGCCGCTGGGCTGATCAAGACTGAGGGATACAGTGATGAGATTGCAATTTGTACCACGAGGCAAGGAGTGCAGATGTTCTGTTTTCTCGGGTGAAGTATCCCGACAGGCCGCGATGACCGTGATGTTCGGCTTTCTCAGGTATGCAGCCACAAGGCCTTTTCCGATACCTATCTGAACTGTTAACACTTGACATATGGGATATGTCGGGGTAACAGACCTCGATTAGCACCTGTGATCAGGACAGTAGTTGGAGCCATAGTAGTCAAAGTGTATACTTTTCTCGTTGTGCTTCGATAGGCTAGCTCGTTTGCTTTGGATGTGATTGCTGGCTCTGTAGATTACAGTAGGTGCCAAAGCCGGACCGGCGATGGGAATTTATGGTCGAGAGGTAGTATCCAATTACTGTTTCCTGAGTCAAATCAAGCTCGGTCGACAGTGGGGCCCGTCAAGGGACTTTGACCTCTGTTCGCGCCCACCGCTGGCCGGATGACTCCGGCGCCAGATCGATAGGCAATATGCCGATGACAAAGCGGCATTTTGCAACTACAATCCCTGAAGTTCTGGAAAAGGCGTGACAAGGAGTTATTTTCCGAAGCTATTTCCAGTATCCCGATTACTACGCCGTACTATAGTTCCGAAGATCCGTGACAAGAGGAATTCTTCAGACGCGATATAAATAGCTGCGGTCAATCCTACATCATTCTATTCACAGTCTATCTGTATTCCAGCATTCCGAAATTCCGGATTAATCAGCCAGTTTTCAAGGACTATTATCATGTCTCCGCGAACCGTTGTTGTTATAGGTGCTACTGGCTCGCAGGTTCGTCAGACATCCTGCTACCTTCGTACCTCTTGACAAGTGGCTGACAAGTTGCTTCAATCCTTCCCGAATCCAGGGCGGCTCCGTTGCCAAAGAGCTTCTCAAAAGCCCGCACTTGTACAAAGTCAGGGCTGTGACGCGCGATCCCAGCAAACCAGCGGCTCAGCAGCTCGCCGCACTCGGAGCAAGCGTTCAAGCCGTCGATCTCAATGCCGGCGTTGAAGCCCTTGCCACCGTCTTTGCAGGCGCCGATGCTATCTTTGCATTGACGGACTTCTGGGCTACGCAGTCCACCGAAATTGAGATTAAACAAGGCCGCAGCATTGCGGATGCGGCGGCTCGTACCTCGACTCTCCGGCATCTCGTTTGGAGCGCGCTTCCCGACCCTGAGAAGCTCTCCCGGGGAGCGCTTATGCATATCCACCATTGGAAGGGCAAAAGCCTCGTCACGAACTATATTCGGCAGCAGCTTCCAGATCTGTGGGCCAAGACCACCACTGTGCTATTTCCCAACTATTTCGAGAACTGCCTGACTCACCCGGAGCGGTATCTGTCTAAGCCTGTTTGTTGACTTTCCCTCCCCGGTGTTTGGAGTACTTTGTGCGGCTGAGGTTTGCTTACACATTTCCAGGATTCGGAGGGTGTTTATAACATGAGCTTTCCGCACAGTCCCCGCACAGCCATGCCCAATGTGTCGATTGGCGATACGGGCAAGCTCGTCCAGCTCGTTCTCGAATCCGGAACCACTTACTTCACCAAGACCATCGCGTTCTATAATCAGGCACTCACGGAAGCAGACAAGCTTGCTGCCATTGGCAAAAGTAACTATAGACCGCACCGTTCCCTTTCCTGTGCCCAACCGATCACGGCTGACTGAAATGTCCACCCCAGAGTATAATCTACAGACCAGATATCACACCTTGGGCCCCGACGAGTTTCAAAAGCTTCTAGAGACTCGGGACGGCATGTCTCCTGAGATCGCTCTGGACTTTACCGAGCAGCTTCTCATGTTTGAGAAGTTCGGCAATGTGTACGATGCACCTGAGTTTGTGCAGGCCAAAGAGGTACGTGTCATCTTGGTTGATAGATGCGTTGATGAGAGGCTGATCGCCACTATGCAGATCCCTGGACTGAAGCTCCAAACCTGGGACAAGTTTCTGGAAGAGAATGATCTTCTCGCCTATATGAAGAGGTCCTGATGGGGCTGACATACGAGTGGTGTCGTGCCATCTACTGCCGTCCTTCCTAGTTTTGACTAGGGCTATAAAGAGATTCAGTGTGATGCTCTGAGAAAAAGAGGATTTGCAGACTGCTTAGACCAGGGCAGTTGTGTACTTTCTAAATGCACTGGGCCACTAGGGAATCAACCTTGGGTCCATCATAACACAACCTTAATTCCGTAGAGCCATAGTATACCAAATCACTGCCTCAGGCAGCCAGCGACGGCTTACATAATACCGACACCGGCAATCTGCCAAAATTGATCGATGCGCCTTGGACTCTTCCAGTGGCTGCTAGTCCTGCTGTCTTATCCTAGATTGGTGAATTCATAACCATCAGCCTGTCAGCAGACCAATGGCGCCGACACCAAGGTCTCGATATAATACGAAACGGGCAACGGCCTGCGATTCGTGTCGCAAGAAGAAGGTCAGCTCCGCTAATTTTGAACAGAGCACACTGGATGTATACATCTAACTGAAGGTCTGAAGATCAAATGTGACGCCGAGTATCCGCAGTGCAACTACTGCCTGCACAATAATTTCGCGTGCACCTATACTCGGCTGGACTCGGGATCGAAGAAAAGGTATGTTTAGACTATCATAGCGTCATCCGTCTCGATCCGATTAGACCTGCTCTGGTGTCAAAACGACCGATACTGACCGACCTTGTGCAGAAAGACGAGCGACCAAGAACTCCATGGCGAGCAGCCTGCCACCCAGAAAAATCTGTCTTCTACTAGTTCGTAAATCCCCTCGACACCACAGGATTTGATTGGCTAAATAAACCCCTAGAAATCTCAATGGTCAATCTGGGCTTGATGTATCTCAACGGCATGCGTCATACCCCGGATGAAGGGCGAGCGTGGATTGAATCCCGCACGGGTGAGACCGTTAACATGGATAAACTAAACACAATGGAGCTGCCGTGGACTAAAGCTGGCCCTGTCAGGCCATCTTCAACGATCCCGAAGCTCCCCGCTCGCCCTATTATTGAGCAGTATGTTGATATTTATTGTTCGTCATACCAAAGTCTTGTGTTTCCAGTGATTAGCAAATCGCTGTTTGCTGAAACACTGGATCTTGCCTACGGACCGCAGGGCCAAGATGCAGATAGTGCCAAGTCTTGCATTTATGCCTTCCTGTCGGTGGTGATTATATTTGGATTCGAGACTAATCTGGGCGATGTGCTTGATTGTGAGACGTATGCCGCAGCCGCTCAGAGTTTCACAGTACAAATCATCAACGAGATGACTATAAATGGTCTTCAGGCTCTGATCATGCTTGTATGTCGACTCCGGCCGAACCCTGTTAAGGACATATATCAAGCGTTTGATCATGAACTGATATCATGATTAGACGCAGCACCAGTACTTTCTGGGCGATTTGCAAAGCGCCGCAGTCTCCGTGTCAATCGCCAGTCGGCTATTATTCAAGCTTGGCGCACATACCGTGTCTACTCCCGCCGTCTACAACAAGAGCCAACCAGAGTGCCACCTACGCGATCTTTTCTGGCTCTGCTACTCTTTCGACCAAGATATTTGCCTCCGGAACGGACAGCCGCCATCTATCTCGGGAGTGTTCTGTAACCTGGACCTTCCACCAAACTACAAAGAGCTTCAGGATTCTAATATGCAGCAAGACCAAATCCTGTCCATTGGTGACGATACGCTTCCCCTGTATCCCTGGGACCTTCGCCTCTCTCAATTAAAGTCCGATATATATGTGGCTCTCTATTCAACAGCCGCGTGCCAGAAGCCCAACTCAGAGATCTTGGAAAACATCCGTAATCTGGACCATGCCTTGGAACAGTGGCGAACAAGCCTGCATCCTGATATTCGACCGCCGTTGCAATTCTCTCCGGGGATGCCCACGAATACACACCTCAATACCCAGGCCGTGTTGCTACGATTAGCTTATTATCACTGCGTCACAATTATCCACCAGGCTAGCGAGCGGCATCATGACGGGCCTGGGATATGCTCAAGTATAAGCCTAGCTATTAGTGCCAGTCGATCCACCCTTTCATTCCTTCAAACCGCATTACCCGTCGTCGAAGGCGAATGCTTCTGGTAAGTTCCTGCACGATAGAGAGAGAAGTCAGCATCTGTTTTGACATTTATTTCCTTCACAACAGGGTTGTCATCTTCTACGTCATCACCGCCATCTTGACGCTCTTCCGTAACATCCTGAAGAATCCATTGGACCCTGCGATGGCGGACCTTGTGGACGTGCTGCAAGATGTTCCCAGTTTGATCGGCAGGATTCCCATTCGGACGCTTACATTCGGCCCAATGATTCATCTAAGGTTTTTGGATAATTTTACTGGGGAGCTTGCGAGGCTGGGGAATAGCGCAATCCTGAAGGCCGAGCGTGAGGTGGCTGCTTTGGCGGATGGTCATGATACTGTACATACGTGATCGACGGTTCTGGAGTACTACCGCGTCTAACAAAAACAACATAAAGCACCTACCGCAAATAATCTGAATATGGAACATAAAATTACCTCCGGAAATGTGTGAGTGGGACAGGATGGATTATTCACTCTCTTTTCCTTATCCCCCGTCTCCCTTTCCCTTTTCTATCACACTGCACATGCTGCCCATCCAAAGCGAACTAATTTCCCGAAACAGCGAACCGACTCCACCCCCGAATCACAGTCCCGTATTTCCAAAATGCATAAGGCACAGGGACCATCACGGCACTGATGATCCCCAGAATCGTCAATGTCCACTGTACGCCCATATTCTTGTAGAACGGAATCCCAACCACGGTCATTCCCCCGGCAGCGCAATAACGCGAAATAGTCATGAAGCCCAGAGCGGAGGCAGCGTAGACCTCGTACGCATCAATCACGTACATGTAACAAGAGATGAAGAGGCAAATGCTACCGAAGCCGAAGAGAGAGGAACCAAGGATTGGGGACCAGATTGAGATCGATTCCTGTGATATAAAAGAGTTTCCAGTGAGTCGCTTCTGTGCCTTGTCCTTGTCTTTGAGTTGCCAGGTGGGTAAAGAAAAGGAGAAGGGAAAGGGAAAGAAAAAATATGAACCAAAGTATAGGCGGAGTATGCGGGGGTAAGATTTGACTCACATAGTCTGTCCATCCCATCCAAAAAAGACTGATCGGAATGGCTGGAGCGCCGATCATGGCGTACCAAAGTCGATCCTCGGGTTGAATGATGGATTTAGTTTCATTGAGAGCTCTCTCCCTGTCGGGATCTCGGGCCTTGGAGCTCATGCCTTGTTGATGTCTCCAATACATCAGGGGCACTAAGAAGGCGGTCAGCATGATGCCCACGTACATGGCGACCCAGACAATGTTCGTCAACCCCTGCGACAGATGATGCACGTCACTGAATATGTAACTATAGCCGTCAAAGAAGGTGAAGAGCACAATGTAGAGAATGGTCATGTATAACGCCAGCAAAAGAATGATCGGTTCGCGAACAGCCAATGTGAATTGCCGTGTGCAGGCTGTGGTAATTCGAGAAACGATCGAAGTCTGGTCCAGATCCATCTTGGATCGAAATCGAGGATCACCTTGTAATCTGGCGCAGGTGTTTGGCCTTCCATCGCAGAAGCAGGGGGCCAAACGTCTCCGGCTGGAGGAACACAATGAGACTGAGAACCAGGCCTGCCATAATCAACACAATCCAGTTCACCCAGCGCCATGACAGTGTCTTTTGACCCATATACGACGCGACCACCGGGCTTAGGATTGCACCTCCGAAGGAGAGAATGGCATAGCCTGGAAAGCTTAGTGTCTTCTCCAGCGGATCCCAGATATCGGCTACCGTGCCACCGGCACAAGTCAGCGGCGGGCAACCACATACCCCAGCCAGAAAGCGACAGACCAGCTTGGCGGAAATGTTCGGTGAGAGGCCAGAGCCCATTATGAAGAGCATGAAGAGCGAAGTAGAGATCGTGTAGACCGCGTTGCGGCCTAGGATCTCGGAAAGAGGTCCGGAGACGAGCGAGCCGGCAGCGAAGCCGAGGAGGAAGATTGCGGTGAATAGCGAAGCGACTACCTCGCTAACATGATACTCGGCGCTGCTTTGAGCAAGGACAGCGGACTCGATAGATGACGATGCGCTGACCGCAAATGCCAGGGCAGATACATTCAGCGTGGCCATTATCCTGGTGCGAAGGCTGAATTTCCGTGGATTAAGCGGATCGTGTTCGCTTTCCCAGTCGACGAGAAACACTGGCTGCGAGCCGCCATGGTTGTCGGTATGATAGATCAGTTTGATCCCCGGCATCAAGAGCACCTCAGTGGGTGCTTGATGCTGCTGGCTCCTTCCAAGACCTTGTCCTATGACCCTCTGTTTCCAATCGGGGCAAACCTCGAGCTGTTTCCGGACAGCACTTTCCAGGGCGCGGTATTGGCGATATGACTGCATGACTGGAGGTTTCGGCGAGCATCAGGAGACGTGACACAGTGCGCCATCAGATCGAAGAAACGTAGCCACAGGGTGTTATGTATGGAAATGTCCACGATCTATGATACTAAACCATATCCGACACCGGAGAGATGTCTCCGCGTAGTAAGCGGAGTGGGTCCCCCTTTGCCCTAGAAGTATAGACTCATAGTCAATCCCCTTCACTTCCCTCTCATGGTTTAGTTCACGTAGAATGAGTCTAGGCCCAGGGGAGCATACCGGGAATCAACACAGGACAGGGAATTGGGCCTTCCAAATGATTACGTACTGATAACCAATTCTCACCAAACTCCCACCTTGTTTGGAGTTGATCCGAGAATATTGGCCAATTTGTCAGGTCTTACTCAAGGTTTTATAACTGGTGAATGCACAGTGACATGTATTCGCGCGGAACATTTCCGCATCGCAGTTGGATACATATATCATGCCATAGTCCCTAACTGTATCCTTGTCACCCGCACATTCGCTCTCAGTCAGGTTTCCATCTACGCATATCCAAGCAACCACCCTCGCCATGGCTCCACGAATTGCTATTGTCTTTGTATGCAGGTCCTTATTCTCATGGACTTGCAAGGAGCGAAAAGCTGACTCTTTTTTTGTGCTGATCAGTATTCAATGTATGGCCACATTGAAAAGCTGGCTCAAGCCGAGCTCAAGGGCATCGGGAGTGCTGGAGGATCTGCGGATCTCTTTCAGTGAGTTCACCTTTCGCAGATTTCTCCTTCTTCTCCCTGTTACAGTAAATTTGTGTTATAGTTTGCGTTCTTTCGTGTCTTCAGTGGCTCACCAGCCAGGATCCCGGAGACTCTGTCTGAGGAAACCCTTGCGAAAATGAACGCGCCGCCCAAGTCCTCGATCCCTATTGCTCAGCCCGAGAAGCTTCTCGAGTACGACGGCATTCTCTTCGGTATCCCCACCCGGTACGGGAACTTCCCAGCACAATGGAAAGCCTTCTGGGACAGCACTGGGGGCATTTGGGCAACCGGCGGCTACTGGGGTAAATACGCCGGTCTGTTCGTCTCCTCTGGCGTGCAAGGTGGCGGCCAGGAGTCGACCTGTCTTGCGGCGATGAGCACACTGGCCCACCACGGCTTCATCTATGTCCCGCTGGGATACAAGACTACGTTTGCTCACCTGGCCAATCTCGAGGAGATCCACGGAGGTAGCCCCTGGGGTGCAGGGACCTTTGCTGTAAGTTTTCCTTGCTCATCCCTCCTCCAACACATGATGAAAATGAGTGGACCTAAATGCGTGTGTGTCTATTGTCAGGCGGCCGATGGCTCCCGCCAGCCTACTGAGCTGGAGCTCAAAATTGCCGAAGCTCAGGGTAAGGCGTTTTATGAACATGTGGCGAAGGCGAATCCTTAGGTAGCTGTGCACAAGACGCACACTCAAGGCTGTTGATAGAAATAGAAGTATAGAATAAAGGGTTCTCCAGATATAGTCCTCAAGTTGAGACTGCGCCAGACCTAACATATATATCCCCAGCTTTTGCAGTATCTTCTCCTGGACTTCAAACCATAAATATCTCAAGCCCGACTAGAGAAACAGTACCTAGCTATAAGCGGGCATTCATACGCAAGTAGCTGGTATTTCTCTCAAGATCACAATAGTCTATGAGGATGTTGAAAGTAATCGCAAATCGAATCATATTGAGAGTCTACCTTGATGGCGATAAAATCAAATATAGATTATCAGTGTAAGTGAAAGGCATCGCAGTTCACGTACTCAGTGCTAGTAATTATTCCAGGAAGCCAGGACTTTGCGGGAACCGGTCAAAGTAGCTCTTCTCATGACCCAAGCAAACCCTAGCATTAGTGCGTCGCACCAACATACGCACATAATCTCTACTCCGATGCCACGTATTGTAATCCCTCATCAGGAACCCCTGAGGTTTCCCATCCTCGTAGTTCTCCTTCACGTGGAAGAGGTCTCCCGTTAGCACCACCGTGCCAGAAACCGGCAGGGCCAGCTCGACTACCAGCAGCCCTTCGGTATGCCCAGGACACCGGTGCAAGACGACCCCGGGCCACGGCTCCACGATCTCCTCTGCCACCGTCTTCCAATTCAAGATGTCGGCGCGCAGGTAATCCGGTCGGAATAGCCCACTGTCAATGCCTGTCGCGGAGGCCCAGAAGGCGTTCTTGAGTTCTGCCTCGTGGCACCAAACCTCCACATCTGTGTAGGTATTACTCTGGTCAGCCGATATTTGTCCGTCCCTTTCTTGCTCGATTTCCACCGGCAAGGAATCAAGGGTGGGTAGGCAAACGAACCTGTACCGAAGAAATGCTCCAGCCCCCCAGCGTGGTCAAGATGCAGATGGCTCATTACAACAGCCTTGACATCCGTGATCTCTCCGGCCCCGGTGGCTTTGATTGCGGCCGGTAGAGAGTGAACCCCCTTCACCCACACGCGGGGAGCACATTCTAGAAATTCCCGATCCCACGACTGAATGATATCCTCACAAGACCCAGTGTCAAATAGGATAAGGCCCGCGTTTGGGTGGTAGAGCAGCGCCGCGATCATCAGACACGGCCGACCCTCGTGAATCTGAGATGACCTGCCACTGCGCGGGACATTGGCACCGGAAAGAACGTATGATGCATCGATGTCGAGGATGCCTAAGTCAAGTAGCTTGTTTCATTCTGTTTAGCGGTAATGCTCGATAAGTCGCGTATGATGGGGTCACCTACCCAAAGTTTAGAGCCGGCAGGCAGAGATGAACTAGGCGACATGTTCTCTTTACTGAGGGTCCGCAATACCGGTGAAAATGATTGCGTTCTCGCGGTTTCGAGACAGATCTTGAGGGCGGTTCAGGAGAGTTGGATAGTAGGCTTCATTTATGTTTGTCTTTTCGGCATTACGGATGTAAACGAGGTCTTTGAATCAATAATCAGTTCTTCCGACACTCCTAATTCCGAGATCGTCGTTTGGAGTGGAGAAAGAAGAGTTAATACCTGCTGGCCCATGAGCAAACATAGTCCGTCTCACTGTCATCTTTCTTGTGGGGGTTACCAATGCTATGAAGGAGACAAGAAGAACTCGATTACTGATGGCATATTGAATATGGACTTGAGTGCATTTCTAAAAAAATGAAACTAATACTAGACCCATTTTTCTTCTTCGAATAGAAGCTTCTCAAGGTCTAGACAAGATGACACATCTGCGTCGAACATGTCTCCACTGATCAAGGACATAAGGGCGAATGAGCCAACAACTCTCTTACGGCTCTTTGGATAGGGTGTTACTGTTGGATCACAAACAGACGCCCCGGCCACGGAAGCTGCCTTGACCTGCCTTCCAGCCCAGGCGCTTTGTTTCTGGTCAAGGAAGGGCGTTGCCCAAATGTCGGTGGAGAGCAGTTCCGCTATAGGAAATGGTTCTTTTTCCTCCCTACCTTCCGGTCGTTTTCATTAAGGCCTTCAGTTCCTTGACCCCGGTCGCCAGACGTACAAGATCATCCATGGTCTTACTACTGTATTTGCTAGCGCCGTCAACCATGCGTCCCAGGTCCTTTGCCTGTTCTTTTAACCAATTGTACTCATCCAAGGTAATGGTAACATTTTCCTTCTTCACCGGGCGAACAGCTACCTTGAGCCTCTTCGGCGGCTCCCCGGAGGCTTCACCGGATGCGTTACGTTTGTTGACTCCCTGTTTGAGGAACCCACAGGAGGGTCCTAAGACAACCAGCTGTTAGTAAGGCATCCTTGTCGGAATCAGCGTGTGATCAAAAGAAACAGCCCGACCTACTAGGGAACCAGAGGCCTTAGCGGGAGCCTGTTTCACTGGCGTCTTTTTGGCCGAACCACCGATAGAAGCGTTCCTGTTGCCTGTTGGATTGTCAGTTTCACGAGCAAGGAGATGACGATGCAAATGTGGATGATAGGGCGCTGCTTGTAACGAACCGTACCCCGGGGATTCTAGATAAATAAGTCAATTATCAGGCGAACCATACACGATTAAGGATGACTTACTAGGCTTCAATCCAAGACGCCGAACTTACCAACAGAACCGCGCTATAAATAAGTCAATTAGTTCTGCTTTGGTCAACCTTCTATAACGAGTGGAACCTGGACTTACCCTATCTACCTGTTCGGTTTTGGTCTTAACTCCCTGTGCAGGCTGGAGAGAAGGTCAGCAGAGAAAAAAGAAATCGTAGAAACCAAGACCTACTGCCTTTCCCTTTGGGCTACGACTTCTCATGGCTGAGACCGACTCGTTTTCGGAGGCAGCTTCAAATACGACCGACTCACGCGGCTCGGATTTCACGCGAGGAAAAGAACCCTCATTGCGAATTGCTCCCGCCATAGCGGCCTGTCCGATAGTGGATCGACGGTCTGGATAGGCCTCAAGGGCAGCCAACAAGCCACCGGCCTTCATCACTGAGCTGGCTATTGTCAGTACTAGATTACAACGGACAGCTAGCATTGCTACTCACATATGCACAGACTCATCCCATCTAGCGCCTCCCTGCTGTTCAAACTCGCGACGCAAGGAGCAGGCCTTGCCGGAAGACTTCCATAGGCATCCGCCACACGCATGGTTGTGTACACTATGTTTACCGAATGCAGGAACTGCTACACAGTCCACCCAGGGGCTTCGAGAATCGCTACTAGCGCAACTCTCACAGGGAACGGCCATTTTCACGCCGCGTTCCTGAACAAGATATGCAGTCGTGTGCTGGCGTGAATGATTATACACGCGAACATTTGGTTTTCCGTCGTGGCCTAAAGCCCAGTGCATACTACCATTCGGATCCAGAAGCTCAACAACATGCCTATCAGATGCCGACAAGTGGCTTTTACACGCTCCTATTGATCATTAGTTATAGAATCAGAGAGGAAGGGATCGAACAAAAGAAGAACCTACTTTTGGCAGCCATGAGAAGCTCATTGGAACGATCTTTGTTGAAGGGGGGCGACATCGTGGCAAGCCAGGGACCAGTGCGTTTCGGGCAAGGTTAAAAATGACAAACGGTCAAATTATCGATATAGAGAGAAGTATACGGGATGTTATCCAAGAGCACGGGGAATAATGGCGGGAGACGGGATATGGAGGTGACAGGTAGAGGGATTGTACAGGAAGAAGAAATAGGGGGTGGGAGGTGACGCGAAAAGAAATCAGAACAATCGACGTGTCACATTGTGTAACTATGCCCTAGCTTGCCAATTGCTCAATCTCATTACCCGTTTAGGACAGCGACGACACCTTCCAGTGTACCATAGACAGCCTCAGGTTGCTGATGGCCTATTGAACCTATTTTTGGCTGCGTTATTAGACAAATGACACTGGTTTCAGAACTATTCCTTTTCCCCAGACAGAGGCTGTTGGAGGCCTAGCCAGAATTAATCGTCGCCAACATGAGCAGCGAAGACTTGTCCATTGCAAGATGCCTCTCGTGCGGTCCCCCTCAGAGGCTTGACTTCCAGGTCAGGATATAGATCATGCGCATCTAGGTAACCGACGTACTTCGCGTAAGAGGATTCATTATCCCCTTTGACCCAGTTGTCGTACAGATATTGCACGATGGCCTTCAGTCATATTATGGAGAAACACTGTTTCCGGTTGGTGTGCAAGGTAAAGAACCCTTTTCTCCGAGACCGAGTGTAGAAGACATCCTTGCCAGTGATCTCATGCGCAAGATCTATGTCCTGATTTTGCATCAAATGCTCACCGTAGGCGAACACGTACCGGTTCAGAGTGCGTGGATCAATATTGGTTGAGGCAACGAAACGACCAATATCCTCTATTGCGGTAGTTGTGCAACGTGTCTTTCCTGCTCCGACAAGGAAATCAAGGCAGCACGGTTGAGTCTTTCAGAAGTGACGCGGGGAATGGCAACCTCGTGCCATACTCTAGTGTCAATCATTGTATAAAGGACACGGAAACACGCATTTAAAGGTGATTTTCTCAAGCAAATGCATCATATACAAGAGAGGCCAGAGTTTATAGTTGAAGCTGGCGCCAATCATACTATTGCCCATCTTGACAGATTCTTGCGCGACGAATGAAAATTTATCAGCACTGCCGCCTTTTTGCACCGTCCACCATAGATCTAGATTAGCACAGGGAGATTAGAGGACCGATTGACACCAATAGACCTGATCACGTTTATGGTAAGGCAGTCTACGAACTATGAAAGGTTGAAGGCAGCCTGATCATAGCCAGAAAGACTGAGAGGAACCGAAAGGCACCATAGTTCATATTGTATAGCTTTCTTCTGAGTTCACGACTCATTGGTTGTTGGTGGTGGAGGACGAGACCTGAGGTCACGAATAGGAGGTTGAGCATACACGATGCTTAAAAATTATTCTTGGTGCTAGGTTTGATTGACCTTGTTTTACTTCCATATGTGTGATTCGCAGCAAAGTGTGGATCCTGTCATCAACTCGGACTTAAGCGGAGCCAGCCTTTTACTTCCGCCAAAGTCCACCCATGAATCACTGCTTATGCGGAGTAGTAGTGCAGATCGCTTCTCTTAAATGCTTGAAGGAGACTTGATACTGAGTCCTGCCTTTTCTAAGCCACTTCAACCATTCCGGATTATACTCATTCATTCACCCTTTTTACGCAACAAATATTCACCATGAGCTTGCTTGAGAAGAATGCCGATTCCTCCCCTCTCTTCCGCCACCGTCAACTTGCACCGGCGGCTGCCGTTCGTGTATCGGCATTATGCCTTGGAACCATGACCTTCGGAGGCGAGAAGGGCGGCCGTTATGGAGAGTGTTCGCGTGATGATGCTTTCGGGATACTCGATCACTTCTACAGCCAGGGAGGCAATTTTATCGATACCGCCAGTGGCTATCAGAACGGACAGTCGGAAGTCATAGTGGGTGAATGGATGGCATCGCGCGAGAATCGTGATCAGATCGTGCTTGCAACCAAGTACACAACCGCCTATATGACGCATCGCAAAGACCACATCCAATCCAACTACGGCGGTAACAATGCGAAGTCTATGAAGGTCAGTGTGGACGCGTCTCTCCGCAAAATGCAGACCTCTTATATCGATTTGCTCTACGTCCACTGGTGGGATTATACGACCTCGATTGCAGAATTGATGCATGCCCTGAATGACCTGGTTGTGGCTGGCAAAGTAATTTATCTGGGCATCTCAGACACCCCAGCCTGGGTTGTAACCAAGGCCAATCAGTACGCCCGCGATCACGGCTTGCGTCAATTTTCGGTGTACCAAGGAATGTGGAATGCAGCGATGCGTGATTTCGAGCGAGATGTGATCCCGATGGCGCGAGACGAAGGGATGGCATTGTGTCCCTACGGCGTTCTGAACCAAGGCCGTTTTCAGACCAGGAAAGGGTTCCAGGAACGTGAACGTCATAACCCCGGACGTAACTTCATCCCTACGTCAGAGCATGACAAGAAGGTTTCTGCCGTCCTCGAGAGGATCAGCACTACCAGAGGTGTGAAGCTGCTCGACATTGCTCTTGCATACATAATGCAAAAGTCTACATATGTGTTTCCTATCGTTGGTTGCAGGAAGATCGATCATCTCCAGGGCAGTATAGACGGCCTGAGCCTTGGCCTCACCGAGGCTGAAGTTGAGGAGGTTGAACAGGCCTACCCATTTGATTTTGGGTTCCCACACACTTTTCTGAGTGGCTCGATGTTTGACCATTCGACCCCCAGAATGGCCGATAAGCCAGGAGATGTTTGGCTGACGAAGCCACTGGGCAAATTCGACTGGGTTGAAACCCCCAAGCCAATCAAACCCTCCCCATAAGTGTGTACTCCTGTATTGACAAATGCGATTGACGCTCTCGCTTCTCGTTGACAGATATAGTTCAGAAAACCCTTTTTTTTTTCGAGACGCAATGTGCAAACTAGAATCAATATATGTATATATCATCTTGACCTGTCATAGGGACAGGCCGCTACGGACGGATCCTTGAAAGCGAGTACACAGTACGAAACAGGCTTTTGTTCCCAGCTTATGATGAGATTTATGTGCCTCGTTGCTTTTTGTCCACTCCGTGGCCTGCTTATTCCAATCTACGCAAATTTTCATTAGGTTGGAATTAGTTTGTATACCGTAAGAAACATAGAAATACCATAGGAATGATGATCGACTGTGAGTGCTCAGTAACTTGAATACTGCATAAATGGCGGTATTCAATCATCTTGGCACTCGGAGTATATCCACCAACCACTACGTATTCACAAAGTCAAGGAGTGCTCGAACACGACCTCTACCATCGTAGACCATTCTGTATGGGTAATAGTCGATAGCATGGGTCATTTGGGCTGCGGTGGATGTATTCAGATGTTTTATTGCCGCATGCCAAGGAGAATCATATCGAACGAATTGCTGTCACTATTTATTTCACTATTTCTGATTTCGAGGGACTTCAGTATGATGATATCGCCTCATCCTATTTGTACTCACTTGCCATTGTGCAAGGAGCCCTTCGGTGCAATTCTGTCATTCTGTCCAACAAGGGACACGAACCTGGTCCGCTGGCTGTTATACCAGGCTCATTTACGTTAGGTGGCAGTTCCGTACCGATGGATGAGTGAAACGTAGGGAAGGCGAAGCACCGTTAGACAACCTAGTAGGGCTGCACATAAAACCCCATCTTCCAGGCATATTGTATTACTAGCTCCGCGTTTGGTGCTGACGATTGTGGGAAGGACGGAAGGGCGCACTAACAAGGTCGTGCCTTTTTGTTTTAGTGATGTTTGATACGAGAATGAGTTGTATTCGGAGATGAAAGCGTGCCATAATCGGCTTTAATGGGGCGTTTGTAGCTACAACAAGAGCGTGCCTGCCGATGTTTCACTATCTACGGGCAACAATATGGATATACACTTTGAAAGTCTCCCGTTGTATTGGCTCTTTTTATAGGTCTTAACCAATTTCTTAGAATGATAAGTTCCCTTAGACATTATCGAAATCAAGCGCAGGTCGTTGGATTATCAGGAAGTCTTTCAGCATTAGGTTTTGGCAAAGTCACGCATATGCATTTCGTTGGTTTCTTGAACAGCGTCGAGCTCTTTCATCAAACCCTCCGCTTTTTGGGTGGCCGCTATTTGGTCCTGAATTATCTTCTGCTGTGTAGGAAAACAGACAAGCCTTTGGACTGCGAGATCGAGTTTGAATTTCTCTTTGACCCAAGTCTCTTGCAGCTCCCAGGTACTGAGGGAATAAAGACGGTTCTTGTATTGAAAGCGACGTAACCTCTGGGCGCGTCGCCATTCCCCCTTGTTCTGAAGTCGGTCCTCGGCGTATATGAAGTGCGGCTCAAGGGGTCTCACAATGAAGTATCCGAAGATTATAGCTAGGAGCTTCTATAACCTTTTATCGAGGTAGTGAGGGTGAGCGTGTAGCTGTTGTGGAATAAACCAGAATGAAAAGGAAGTGTCTTGGATTTGAAGAGTTGCTGATTGTGGCAGAATATTGGGCTGTCTTACAAGCGACTCATAATTCACAGTTACCTTTGTGTCGTCGGAATGCCTTCGGTCCTACGTAGACTTCATCTTTACCATAAATGGGTTAGGGATGCACTACACATCCTGCCGACGCCTGGTCCCTGAGGTCCCACCAAATTCACCACGCCCAGCCATAACGCGATACCTCCCGCTTGTCGCCCTGCGCATCTGTTTCCCATACATGACCATCCCCAACAAGGTCAGACTCACACCAAGGCTTATGAACCCGCAGGCTATAAACATCTTCGTTAGTCCGTTGCGCTGCATCCACGGTGTGATGGCGAATGGGATGCCGATGCTGAACGCGTTCCGGAGGAAGGCGATTCCCGTGAAGGCGTCGCCGGTTATCTGTATCCTTTTTAGCTTGTGTCTCCTGCGGGTAAAAGACGATTGAGTGGATGAATAAAGACAGGGGAGCGAAGGAAGACAGTAATACCTCCATATAACTATCAATCACCAACGTCAGGCACGCATCGCTGATACTTCCGAGTCCGAAGCCGAAAAGCGCGCCACCGATGCTCGGTAGAATCCAGTGCATTCCCTACGTGCTTATTAGTCTATATCTCTCTTTCAGGACTGAAGTAGGAGTGTGGTAGTGCATCCCAGCTTGAAGGCGAGGAGAGAAAGAAAAGAAGAAATACCCTGTCAACTGTAACCCCAAACATCACAAGCCCTCCACACAGCGCGACAGCCGGAAAATGTAAGATATATAGTCGCATCTCCGGCTCATAGTACCCCTTGTTTCGTCTAGCAAAGAGCAAGATCGACCAGTCGCCAAAAAACCCTCCATAGAAGGATCCGATTAAGTTCCCAACGAACGGGCCCACGCTCATATATCCGATCTCTGCAGGATTGAAGTTGTACGGCGGTAGGGGGAACACCAGTGATATGACAGTAGAGAGTATCGTGAGCCAGACAACGCCGCTGGCGTATTGCAGCGCACAGCAGAGGATGGCCGGGAAGGTAAATAGCGCTTCGAAGGGACGGTAGAAGTGTGGCCAGATAGGTTCGGTGGTGTATGTGATCAGGGGGAATCTTTGACGCCATGGTTTCATGGGAATCGAGGGATCAAGCTCATGTGACAAGGCGCTTGTGTGTTGGATTCTAGGCTCGAGGGCGGATTTCTTTTGGTCGTTATTAGAGGTGATTACGGAATGGTTGTTATCGTCGGTAGTTTCAGTAGGACCAACTCCCTCGATGATGGGAGAGTATTTTGTTTCTTCGTAGAAAAGAATAAACAGGAGCAATAGAACAGCGTTGAAAATCCCCATGGTGCGATAGGACCAGCGCCAGCCTTGCTGCGTTGCTTGGACCCCGCCAGCCATGGGCGTCAGGAAGCTCTGTTCTCGTTAGCAATAATACCAACACACGATATGCAAGGGAATGAGCTTACCCCTATCATCATCATAGTCATATACAGAGCATTCATACCCCCACGATGGTGCACGAAGAAGAGATCAGCAATCTGTATCAGCGTCAGCATCTATCCCGGCTAGCTTCGCCAAAGACATAGCCAAAAACGTAGAACAGGAAAGCATACCGTTATCTGCGCAATAGCCTCGTTTGTCGCCCCCGCGAGTCCTTGCAGCAAATTGGTCACATACAGCTCTGGTAGAGTCTTCAGCTCTGCGGTCCAAAGAGTCGTCGCCAGCATCAACGCCGTCGAAATCAAATATACCGGTCGCCGACCAAACTTTTTAGCTAACGGGATAAACAGCACACAGCCAATTGCGAGTCCTACAAAGTTTACCGACATAACTTGGTTCAGTTGTTCGTAGGTGACGTGGAGGTCGTCGACCATAAGTTGCCAGAAGATCATTTGGATTGAGAGGCTATTGGTTCTATGGTGAGATTCATGGTTGACGAAATTGGATGAAACGAGGAGGCTTACGCAGTGAAGACGAGGCACGTTACTGCTAAAACGAGGGCAAAGTTGCATGCTTTCCGGAATGTGCCCCAGTTCTGCTCATACTGTCAGCCATGGTAGGGCAACTGGATAGCTTTCCACAAACCAATGGCTCGTTGGGATCGCTAGAAGGCACAGGGCTGAGCATGAGAACATGTTGGTGCTCGATATCGTCAGGTTCATCTGTGCATAGTTAGGCTTGTTCCTGGAAGAAAGAACTTGCCTACCTTTGATGAGTAAAAAAGTCCCAGGAGGTTGATCAAAGTCCTGAGAAGTTGAAGGACCACTATCTGCCATCAAGTATGATATCTGCCACTGCCAGACGGAATGTCAAGATCTTTGATTAAGACAACCGAGTAGATAGAATAGAGGGCAATGCTCTTGATAAAGAATTCCGTCCTTTTAGGAAACCCTCATCCATTCTGCTATCCTGCGCCCAGCAGATAAGACCCATCATCTGTGGCTGCAGATGCAGGCAAAATGCGGGGAAATCCCAGATCTGCAGTGATAAGCAGCCATGAAGCTAAAATGGTTGATTTGGAGAGCCCAGGCCCGAGGGTCGACCTTCCTCGCTGGGAATAGCTTCAGACTAGCTCCGTGTGAAGATAGATGCCTATCGCAGGTCACTCACCATCATGAACTGAACACACTCAACCCGAAGAGGCAGGCCGTCACACGCTTGAAGCCAATGCGAAACCGGCAGATTAACACTCCTGGCCCGACCCCTATCTCCTATAAGATGTGCCCGAACCGCGGTTATCTTTCCATCGCACAAGGTATGAGAAAATGTCCTCTTATCTGAACGCCGGTGGCGCGAATGACATGGCTTTCAACCTTTTTCCAGTGCAAGCCGGTACTTGTTCCATCTACCTTTGCCGAAAATGAAGCTAACGGATGGTCTCTCATCTAGGCTCCCGGCAAATCTCTGCCGTTGCGCAGACGATCAGTCTGTCGTTCTCCCATGACCCCTTGATACGGTGGCTGCGGCCCCATGCGCCCCCATGGACACGTTTCCAACCAGATACGTATCGGTGGCAGTATCGTCGAGTGCAGCGGGCCATACTAGATGGAATTGTCTTTCGATCGTTGTCTGTCACGCAACTAGCAGAGTTAGTTCCACTACGAGATCAGAAGCCGAAGCAGCCGGAGACAGTCTCGGAACACATTACAGAGGAAGGTACAGATGCAGGAGCCGCTGTGTTACTTGTACCTCCGAAGGAATTGTTACATTGGACGACCACCCGTGTCCTATACGCTATCAAGTTGTGGATTTTGGATACGTTGTCTCCTGTTCCTGATAATGGTGGCGATGAGAAGGTATGCTTGACCCATTTATTTCCACTTATGGGTCTGACCATCCCAGCGACTCGAGCAAATGCTGCGCTCACATAATCGGGCGTTAGATAACGTCAGAAAAAAGTATCAAATCGATAATCTTTGGTATCTAGAGGTGGTGGCTGTGCATCCTTCACTCCAGGGGCGAGGTCTGGGAAGCAGAGTGATGAACTGGGTGAAGGAATATACAGATAATCAGCCCATCGTGCTTGAGTGCACCGCGGAACGGAACGTCAAGTTCTATGAGAGTCTAGGATTCAGGGTAGTCGAGGAGATAGAGCTGGCTGACAACGGCGAGACAGTCAGATACTGGGTGATGTTGAAGCAAGAGACATCCGGGTGAAGGTGAACATTGATAGCCAGAATATAGACCGTCAGAGTAGTCCCAGTTCCAGCCCCTTGGACTGAGCAAGTTGGTGCACGCTACCCATCTCATGGCCAGATTGCCACCAGTCTTCGAGGAGCTCCAACAATATCTGACCGTGTTTACCCACTTCGGCATGACGATCACCAAGCGCAAAGCAACGTCGAATGACTTCTTTCAAGCCTGGGTCTCCATTTAGAATGTCGGCCTGTAAGCCCACAACAAAAACAGGATAGTGAATAGCATTAAGGACCAGGGAGTCCTTTCCGTTCGGCTCAGTCGACCCACGAGAAACAGCATCCAGGTTACTGAGAATACGCAGCACAATGACATTCGTCTGCGGAAGAACTCTTGTTCGGGACAGAGCTCGTTGTTCTAGTTGTCCGGGCGAGGTCCTGTTCAAATTTAATTGGTCATGTCGTATAGTAAGGAGACCAGATAGTCGATAGGCCTCCCACAGCTGGCATTGAATCAAAGTGCCCTGAGCACCTGGCCAGTCCCAGAAATCTTCCTCTGTTGCACCACCCTCCCCGATACAGGAGAAGATATCCAATAAAGACCTAGGTAGTCCACTAACGACTTCTACTTCGTTAGAAGCATGCTCGGCACGATCGCGACAGTACTGTCGCCAAAATCCCAGACTCGGATTTTGACGACCAATGGCAAACGATGGCAAGTCCATAACACCCATCACTTCGAGTAGGTGTGACCGGAATATTGTTTCCTCACGGTTGTCGGTGTCGAGCCCTTGTGATTGTAAGATACTGTACATTCCGCGTAGATGCATCGTCCACGGTAAGCCATGCATAAGCTATCAACTCACAGTTAGTTAAGGGTCACATCAGGCAAGAGTACGTAGACGTACTCCAATGCTACACAGCAACAAGCCCGCAGTGAACGTTCCATCCTCGAGTCGGGTCACGCTGCTAGCCAACTCGGTACGAAATTGATTGAGAGCTGCGTCAAAATACTCCAGAAATCGAGGCTTCGATTTCAAGGCTATCGATGCCTGTAGTGCCAGACATATCGCATATAGCGCACCGGATTGCTGACAGAGCTCGGGGAGTCGCGAGGGAAGAAGATTTCCGGCATCGTGGATTGTTGTTGAATGTAATGCATGAACTCCAGATGATAGAACTGCATATGTCGGATCAGAAAATGTTGGGCAGGTCCAGAGAAAAAGTACCTACATTCCTGAAATAACCTCTCTTCTTCTGTGCTCCGCCCAGAGGATGATTCTAGTGATCTTCCTAAAGAATCGAAAAGACTATTATTGACATCGCCAACTACTCGCCAGATATCATCAATCAACAAATCCATCATTATTCGACGACACGTTTGTGGACTCACCATCTACACAAGCCTCTCGCAGGCCAGAACCAGATCCCACTTGCCTGCGCTTATCTCGACTCAAATCCCGTCGTCGGCCCTTAGCACGCAGAGGCACGGACGCGACCACTGGCTCCCCCGCCCCGGTAAAGCGACCACGCGAGGCAATTCCAGACCCCCAGCGCAAGCGCACCTCGTACCCCTCGCAGGGGATGCCACGCTCGTCACAGGCGCGACAGGTCGGGCGGGCACGGTCACATTTCCGACGGCGGGCCTTGCAGGTCCAGCATCCGTCGTGGGAGCGTTGGCGAGGGGTCGACATTCCCGTTACGATGAGAAAGCATACGGTGGATCATGGTTTGTGAAGAGGAGATATGAAAACGAAAGTAGAATCAAACAGGCAGATGTTGCGGGGAAGATGCGTGGATTGATCGGACCTATCAGATCTCATCTGATACCTAAGACTGTCGCGTCGGGCTGCCCGTTTGGGTGTGGTTGCCGAGGTGCCTGAGGCCGTTCGTTTTTCATAGTATAACAAGCAACATCAGTCATCGACTCTACTCTGCGTAAGAAACTGATACTTATGTTTATATGTAAACATTTGAAACATGTCCTTTCAATCTCCCGTCTCAACATGCTCGACTGTGATCCCATCCCTTGGAAAGCTAGACGGCTTCCAATATGCCAATGGCGTCCAGCAATACTGCGGCATTCCCTATGCCACTCTGCCCAAGAGATGGACTCGGTCATCATTGAAGAGCTCCTGGACAGACAGTTACCATGACGGGAGAAAGCTCGGGTAGGATCACCAAGCCAACGGACAGCCCCAAGAAGTAGCATCCTGATCAATCCTGCAGAAACGACTGTCCCCGTCCGATCATCGAAGGAGACGACGCAGACGATCTCGTCCCTGTTCCTCCAGCTCCTCATTTTCTAGATATGCCTAAGACGAACGAACTGTCTGGACTAGTCATGAACATCGTCCTTCCTCATGCTCCTGGCTCGCAACGTTTTCCCGTGTTTGTATACGTACACGGGGGCTCGCTTCTCTACGGAGGCGCCAACCTGCCCATTTTCGACGCGGTTAATCTCGTCTCTCACAGCATCCACATCGGCAAGCCCATCATCTGTGTAAGTTTCAACTACCGAGTCGGACTGGGTGGTTTCCTTGCCAGCGAGGCCATACGCAATGAACTGCGCCGAGACGGCCATCATGGCTGCGGAAATTTCGGCTTCACCGACCAACAAGTCGCGTTTGAATGGGTTCAACGCTACATATCCAGTCTAGGTGGCGACCCGGAGCAAGTTACTGCAGTAGGCGAGTCCGCCGGAGGTATCTCGATCAGCAACCAAATGGCCGCAGCGCAGCCGCCGCGTTTTCGTCGAGCAGTCTGCATGTCTGGACTGTCGGTGTCGATTCCGGCGTGGGCCATGGAGGAGCATGAGAAGTTGTTTCGAGCCGTTTGTCGACACTTTGGAGTTGATGTTTCGCGGGAAGATGTCTTGGATTGTTTGAGGCAGGTCCCACAGCAGGAACTGGCTAATGCAACGAGCGTTATTCAAGGCGTTCCTTCGGGGACGGGAAACCCTTGTCTGGATGGGTGGTTCTATGCGCAGGATCCACGCGAGATTCAAGAGCCTCCTAATTGGGTTGAGTCGTTTATGCTAGGAGATACATACCATGAAGGGGTGATCTTTCATCTGAATCTCTTGGGAGATACATATGACTTTATCCGAAAGACTCTTCGAGAACATATCCAGAACGACGAAGACACGGATTGGATCCTTAGTGCCTATGATATCTCGGCAGATCTATCGCACAAAGCTCTTCTCAATCGTGTGGAGCACATGTGCGGCGATGCAATCTTCAAGATTCCTAACTACGCAACAGCATTGGCTAGTCAGAATCTGAGCAGCCAGAACGCCGTGTTCGGATACCATTTTGACCAGCGATCCCGGCTGAAGAACGCTTTTGAGGGAACTGCATACCATGCTCATGAACTACTTTACCTTTTCAGGAACTTGGATAATGAGCTATCCACCGAGGAAAGTGAGATGGGGAAAGAATTTGCTAGTGCATGGGTCTTGTTCTGTTACGGAGAGTGTCCTTGGGAGACATCACATGGAAAGTGGAAAGTTTGGGGACCAGATTGCTCTCGGCAGCTGAAGAGTGAGGATGAGGATGAAAATATCCGCTCGTATAGTCGCATGCAACAAGTTCTCGCTAGGGGAAGTGGTAAGACATGGAAAAGGTGGCTTAGCGGAGTGGATGCGCTGGTTAATAAGCGCATGAACATGGGCATGACAGGATGATCCACCAATAGAACCAGCTTGTCTTTAGTACGTAGTCAGAATATTGCTAAAGGCCATTAAAGTTCTCTCGAATCCAGCATATTTAGTATGTTTTGACTTTGAATGGTAGCACGTCCGTCAACTAGCCATGCACCCTCAAAATGAAAAAAAAAAAAAAAAAAAAAAAAAAGAACACATAGCCCTATATTGTTTCCTCGAACATCCTCAAACAAAGTAAGTATTTACAAATGAGACGCCCTCTCCACCACGCTCCGAGGAAGAACAGAAGCCTCAACCCTCTCCTCCGTTACAAGCATCTGCTCCGGAAACCAAGACAGGCCCCCCTGCTCATTCAACTCCCCATCATCCGCCAGTATCATTCTTCCCAGCGCTTTTCCACACAGCCACGCATGCACCATTCCTTCGCCTGAGAACCCCGCAGTAACCCACTCCTTGCCCATTCCATTCCAATTTGTATCCTCGCCCCTTCGTGTCAAAGAGCTCGGGAGTCTTCCTACCCACGGAAACCCATCCGCACTGAATCCCATATTCCCCGTCCACATCATCTCCACAGCGGGACCTGGAACAGCGCCCCAGTTCTCCCGTCCGAAGGTAGCACTCAGCGCCCCGGAGAGATGAATGTCAGTGTAGAAGCTTATTTCGGAGTCTGTGGCAATCCCGAGATCAGCTATTCCGCCGTCCTTTCCCCGCGCGAACCCGCCACCAAACATCATTCTGTTCGCCGTTTCGGATTCAGATCCAGACGGAAGCTGGGTCAGATAGTCGAATCCACGATCATAGTTGAACAGCCAGGAATGCTTTGTCCCTTGACTCGGGAATCTCTGACCCGGGTTTTGCGCAGACATCTGTCCGCGAATGGGATAAATGCGCCCTCTGAGACCTGGGACGAGGTGGCTGACGTGGGCATTCGTGCAGTGGATGATATGCTGAGATTTTATAGTGCCTCTCGCTGTGGTGACCGAGAAACGATGTTGGTCAGCACCAGTATCGTCAATTTTAAAAACCGGCGTATTTGCCTCGATTTGAAGATTATCCGGAAACCTATGGCGCAAATGATTCAGCACGCCAGTGACGAATTTGTACGGCCACAGAGCCCCGGCCGGACCAGCGATGATTCTTCGTGCAGAGGGAAGGCAGAATTCCTTTTATTGGTATATTAGCAACAGACATCTCTGTACGCTTGAACCTAAATGAGGCTCGACTCACTCACCTTCGGAATCTCCTTCTCGAAGATCTTCCAATCAGCCGATTCTGTCGGCATACACGCCTTGAACCTCTTTATAGAACGCACCGCCTCATCCCATCTCTCATCGTCAAAGTAAACGCTGAGAAACTGCACCTTTCGCGCCTGCGCCTCCTCCACAAGCCCATACTCTTCCGCCACAGCTAGCACCTCATCTAAATGTGCCAGTCGAAACCGAACTACCTTCTTTGCTGCCTCAAGTCCAAACGACTGCTCCAGCTCGATGAACTCCTCGACTGTTTCGAGGATATGCCCTCCGTTACGGCCTGTCGCTCCACTGCAGATATCGCGGGCTTCCAGCATAAGAATTCTAGGCTTTGGACTGTCCCTGCCATGGTCACTGGTGAGAAGCGTACGGGCGATCGAGGCGCCAGTGATTCCGGACCCGATGATCACGATGTCTGTTGAGGTTGGCAGATCTGGGGATTGGGCTTTTGCGAGATTCACATGGGGACTTTTGAGCCAGAAAGAGGATGTGCTCTTGGTAGGGGGAATTCCGGGGTCTGAAAATGCGCGATCGAGAGCTTCTTGTCGAGCCTTGATGGGGATGCTTGAGTCAGAGAGAAGGGACTGGACGAATGACATGTTCCTGATTGAAGGTTGTCTAGGTTCTATTTCTTGTAGTGTACGAAATATTACTTCCTCCATGGGATGGAGGGTTCAGATAAATCCATTTCCATCGACAATATTTCACTCCCCGCAGGGTCGACCTGCCTATCTGGGACAAGCCCTAACTCGCCCCTCCTAACACCGTATCGTCTGCCTCGCGATAGCATTTAAACGGCCCCATATACCAAGGTAACTCGTTATTCTACTTTCCTCTCTATCTACCTACGCTACATTTATCGAATCAATCACAATGACATCCACCAACCTCGCCAACTCCCCCGGAAATGCCTTCTACCCGAACTCGCCTCCCATGCGCCAACCTGGCCTCAACTTCATCTACCGACTCGAATGTACCATTTCCACTGACGAAGTCGAAGTTGGGGCACCCCACGGCACGGGCATTATCCGCAGCATTGCGAACATTACAGGGGGCACATTCAAAGGTCCCGAGCTAGAGGGTACGATTCTACCGCTGGGCGGAGCGGACTGGGCGACTGTTGTGGAGGGAACTCATGTATGTATCCAGTTTACCTTCCTAATCAGACTATCGCCGGTTTAGTAATTGACGCGTTTGCCGAAAGTCAATGACCCTCGACGCCCGCTACACTATTCGCACGACAGACAACCACTACCTCTACGTCCGCGCTCACGGACTCTATCGTCCCGGACCGGGAACCGAATACGCGAGACAAGTAGCAGAGGATCCGAAAATGAGACCGCCTGCCACGGTGACGCAGGATGATGTGGAGTTTTTCTCGCACTTGAGGATCGAAGCAGGGGCGGGGAAGTATAACTGGTTGAATGGGTTAGTGTGCGTGGGTGTTATGAGTTGCGAGAATGACAGGATTCTGATTGACGCGTACTATTTGACCAATTTTGAAGGGGTCAGGGCGGAGGATGTTGTAGCTAGAATTAATTAATCCAGTGTGCAGGTGGAGGATAATGCAGTGTCTAGTTGTACGCTGTAGATAGAATACATATCCATATACCCAGGATCATGTATGTACGACAGACTATCGAAAATCTTCAGAGAGCAGAGAGTGCTGTGGGTGCCTACTGGGCCCCGCAACTATGGTGGCCTTTCTAGGGTCACTAGTGACGCCAGGAGTCGGAAGGATCCCCTATGGAGACCCACACAGAATCACCCTTTGCAAGGCACGCCCAGGCAGCGATATCTCCTCACGTAGATAGGCAGCGAGGTCTTAGGACTGGACTGATTTATACGAGTCTTCTTCCCTTGAACGGGCTAATTATTGATTTATTTTGGCTATCTTTCACCAAAGGCTTCTATTTGGTTTCCCTGGTAACGGACTTCGTCGTCTGTTACCTACATGACACAATCTGAGATAACGTATCCAGCATTCTAACATTGGGACTTGACGTAGTTGGCCTGTTTTGCACCGCGAACATTCGATGGCACAGCTTTCATATTCACATAACTCTTGTCGTAGCCGGTTCAAACGGCCAGCCAACGTGAGTACCCCAATTTGCTCCATCACTTTGGTGGTATATTCTTTGCCTAATATATACCAGCTCCTGGAGGCGGCACCCCAAATTTTCGGTGATCTGTTGCGCTTACCTACGGAGATCCTGGTTGAAGTATTCAGCTACATCGATGCGCTAGATCGAATGTGTTTCGCCCTATCGTGTAAACGCCTATTACAAGTTTCATCGCTCGTGAAAATCCGGATACCATCAGTCGTCAAGCATAGGTTCCTCCCACCATCAACTTGTCAAGACATATTTCTTCTTTTCCGGCGAATAGCACCTCGTGATAATCGTGGCCAACGGGATAAAAGCATCGGTCTTTGTTGCGACTGCTTAAGGTATCGAACGAGGCGGAAGGAATTCTGGAATTCATACAAAAGAAAATGTCTGAAGATGGAAGTGGCATCTGACGAGTGGGAAAATGTGGTAAAGTGCTGGCATGTCGCCTATAATTTTCAGTGTCCCGAGTGCTATTGCCAGGAGAGGTATGGTTATCGAGATCGCAACGCGCTTGCACCACGACAATGATGCTAGGGCTTCTCCAGCCGATATGAAGCCCATCTCCGTCATTCCAGACAGTCTGGCCTCAATCTTCTGATGCTTAATCAGTGCACCGGATGCGTTATTCCCGTTGCATTTGCTCCCATCGCCTGCAATATTGAGATCAAAATGTCAGTCATCCACCAAGACGGGGAATCGCAACTTACCGTTTGAACAGCCTCCTCGTACCAACGCATAACCATGCTTGTGTCTGAACGACTTGCTTAGCACGGCATCACCACACTGCTACTCTTGTACATTATCTGTCGTGAGTACAAGTTGTCTTTCGTGAGCTGGCGTGGGGAGAGATTTGCAATTATGGGATCGTTTATCCTAGGGGAATATATGACATGACTAGGATCTAGAAACGAAATAGCCTGTTCATCAGGTAACTACTGGTTATAAACATTCTCTGGTGCAAGTTCCCTCTTCGTGTCTAGACCTTCAACCCGTTGCTATTCATACCATCTCCGGCGTCTTTTGATTTCTGAAGTTAGGCACTAATGCAAGACTACTAATAAATCTCTCTATCCGCATCTACCCCGTAGCACCCACAATGGTTGGCTAGCACGTGCAGTATTCGTCTTCATCATCAACGACTAAGGTAGGTAGGGCTTGCATTAGTTTCCGGCAGCAGGTGTTACGCATCGCTTGACTGTTTTTGGGCATTACTCAGCTCTCCCTTTCGCGTCAGTTCCCAAGTAGAGATAACATAATGACGTTCCTCGCGTATCAATGATTCAATCGAATTTAGACTATAACTCTTTGCACAGGCGGCGGTGTTAACATAGATTTATTGGATGAGAAAATATAGTCAGGATTGAAAGCCTCATGTTTGGCTGAACAACGTGAGGTGATAACTGAGGTATGAGAAAGCAGGGTAGCTGCTCTTGTTAGCGAAGCACTGACTCACCTCACGGGAACGTTAGTTTTAGATATCATACTACTCAGACTTCACATATTACATTCCTTTAGCTATGAAAGCATGGGGTAATTGGCGAAACGCATATCTGCATCTTTATCCAGGCCGTAGCAATCAGCCAGCGTGGTTAACTGTTCTTCCGAGAGGATCCCATTGAGAACCCGTCCTTGATCCGTGGTTAGCCACGTTACTTGCAAATGGTCAGGGGCAAATTGTCTTACCAAATTTGGTTGTTCTCTCATCTCTCCATTCCTTAACTCGAACTTGAAGGATCTCTTTTGGTGTCTGGTGTATCATTGTCTTCTCAATATGTTGAGCAGCATGAAGATCGATAGAGCGTAGATCGTCTAGCATCTCGGATGTTCGATTGTAACGGCGAAGCCAGGCTTTTTTAATGACCTGATCAAGACATCCATTCCCTGACCGTATTCCTGGTAGCGCCAGTTCTCCATTTTGAAAAGATAGCGCAGGTGGAACTCCGTGTTCCATTCCAAAAATAAGTGATGCCATTGCAAACATGTCTGTCATATCGGAGAGATTTGGCGAAGAGCCATTGATAGGAAGCGGCAAATCTGGCCAAACTAGGTTGGGCTCACCGGAAGGGCTAGATGCGCTAAAATCACACAGAATGGCTGAGTCGTGGTCGTCAAACAGTATATTCTCAATGCGAATGTCTGCATGGACAATTCCGAGGCCGTGGATATGGGACAAGGCATCAGTAATCTCACAATACATTTTCATCCGGAGACTTGGCACAGATCTTATGTGCGGCGACAGAGGCCGGTACTTGCGGAGGTAAATTCCCTCGGGTCGATCAGTGTCCACGGCTTCAATAATGTGAGGATGTGGTTTTTTCTGAAGCAGTTGCAACACCGTCCGCTCGTCTTCCAGTAGGTTAACATGGAATATGGTATCTGAAGCGTAGCGGTAATGATCGCTTTCTGGTGCATCACTATGAGGGCGTTCGAAAATCCGGGAGGCTTTGAGAACGATATCGTCACCAATGCTGTACACCTGGCCGGAAGCCCCGATACCAACTACTTGTAAATCAGTCTGCGGCTGAGGACGTATTGTGTATGTTTGCGAAGTCGAAGTGAGTGGGACAACGCCAGGTGATTTATTCGACCCAAGATCATCAAGCTCATTGGTACATGGATGGTCTTCGATGCGAGTGGAAATTGAAGAGAAAGTCAATACGCATGACACTGAGAAGAAAACAGTCTTCTGTATATTTGACATCCAATTCCAGAGAAAACCTAGCATTTCGAATGCGCTCTTGAATGAATGAGCAGCCTAGGAATAGCCCAGGAGTTGAGGACTTCGTATCAACTTCGGACTGTTTATCCCTGTGTCGGTCCGATGATAATCCCCGTCAAATGAACGCTCGTATATAACTTAATTATGGCTTCTATTATCAGACTCTACCTCTTTTCCTTTTCAATAATTCAAGATACTAAGAGTAACCAAAACATAGAAAGACATCTAGCGTGAATCTATTACAGGCTGTCCCCTTAACGTGTTCCGTTCCGTGTGGGGTGGCGGATAGGTATGGCATAATTATACTCTCCTCAAGCAAAAACGGTGATGGGATTACAATCTTCGTCATAGCCCTGTTAAAATGAGACATATCTTTCTGGAGCAGGAATGATTCTCAAGTATCTCGACATACGCACCATCAGAATGTGGATATAACAGTATGAGGGGATTCTCCGAAGGTGTAGATTATCGCTGGGCATACCCGCCGCTTCATGGCCCAGAATCTATCTACCACCGCACCTCACGGTACAACTAGATTGAATGGTAAGAGCCAGCGCCTCCATGATTAATTCGATCCAATCTTGTGGCAGTAGAATTTCAGTAAATCCCATCCGTTTGGCCAAGTGTTGCCTTTGTCCAGCAACTGAATTGAAGGAAGCAGCGAGCCCGCGAGCCTTTCAGAGAGCCAGCTCGGTCAACCACACAATATCAGCTCACACAGGAAACTCGCGGGGATTGGCGTGTACGAGGCGAGAAGTGTGGTTTTCTAAGAAAGGCGTTGGGATGTCAAAGCCATTGACGTTATGGAGATCCGCTAGCTTCGCAGCAAGGGGCTCATCCTCTTGAGGCCACCTTATAAGAGCCCAGTCACGGCCTTTCCCATGCGGTCGCAGCACATACACTGGAAGAACGGCATTGGTCTTGTGTGCTGTGTGAAAGTCGTAGTCATGGTGGTTGACATCAATGACGAGAAAGGTTCGTTCACTCCATACGTCAATGGCGAGGAAGAGAATCCGATAGTCATTTTCCCACTCGGGAAAGATTTCGCTGGCAACAATATACGCCGATGCACGGTAGTTTTGAGGATCGAGGGCTTTAGTATTCAGTCTAACGACAATCCGTTTGGCAATATTGTTTCCGAGGATTTCTTTTCGTATATCAGACAGGTTGGGCATGGGTGCTATGCAAACGCAGGCATATAAACGGACCAAATGGATTGATGGAATATGATGGATAGATTTCGTTTGGGGGGGATGAACAAGGATTGAGAACGGTGCATGACTGTAGGAGAGGAATCACGTGTTGGATTACCCCCTGCTTGGACGGCGGTCACAGGTGGCAGAGGAGATGTAGGCATCCTGCAACTCGATAAATTTATTGTATGTACTGTACTTCAAGACTTTTTGGAAGGGCAGCCTACTAAGAACATTATCACTTTTCATCGCTTCTTAACGTCATAGACCAGTCATTTGCTGCTCTCTAGCAGCTTCAACGGGAACTGGGCGGAGCACCAAGTTGACGGCTCCCGCCTAAGGGGTGGGGGGTTAGTGCGCCAGTTTTGCTTCTGTTACTGCGTATAGTTGTATCTAGTGAGGATATCTTATACCTCGGTTTATCCCAATTCGGCAGGTCGACGCCCACGCGAAGTGGGGAGATCAGCGCTAACCCAATAACTAATCAAGATCTACCTAGTATAAAGAGGGGACCACGGCGACGACTACCTTCTATCTTATCCCTGCTTCTGTTTCCTGTCCGAAGATCTTTCACCATGACTATTAATTCAACACCAAAGCTTGACTGGCACGCCCTGGTTGCGCAAAAGCGCAAACAGCTCGACGCCCAAATCCCTCCGGAATGGCGACTTAGCGACTCCTTCGTCGCTTCGCTTCCTGAAAATGGACACCTCATCAAGGCCGACATTCCCCGTCGCAGTGGGATCCTGTCTGATGTCGAGCTCGAAATCACGGAGAACTATACGGCCGCGCAACTTCTTCAGAAGCTCGCCTGGGGCGATGTCAGTTCCGTGGCAGTGACCACGGCATTTTGTAAACGGGCAGCGATTGCACAGCAGTTGGTCAGTGATCATTTATCACTTGACTGGTTATTAGATTATAAGAACTGACGTTCGCAGACCTCCTGTTTAACAGAGCATTTCTTTTCCCGCGCTCTCGAGCGAGCAAAATACCTCGATGACTACCTGGAACGGGAGAGGAAGGTCGTCGGACCATTGCACGGTCTGCCGATTAGTCTAAAAGATAGCTTTCGCCTTGAGGGTATCCAAAGCACCATAGGATACGCTTCATTCCTGGCAACCCCTCCTGCCAGCTCCAACTCGGCCCTGGTGAACATGCTCCTAGATCTAGGTGCCGTGCTCTACGTCAAGACGAACATCCCTCAGACCATGATGGTCAGTAGCGCATTCATTCACCTTCATCTCAATCAGACATCTAACCCAGCAGACCGGCGACTCCGACAACAACATCTACGGCCGCACTTTGAACCCACACGACACGAGCCTCACAGCCGGCGGCTCCAGCGGCGGCGAAGGCGCCCTCGTCGCCTTCCGCGGATCCATTCTCGGCGTAGGCACCGACATCGCGGGATCGATCCGCATCCCGGCCCTCTGCTGCGGCGTGTACGGCTTCAAGCCTTCGATCGACCGGATTCCCTTCGGCGGACAAGTCACGGGTGCTGTTGAGAGCACACCGGGCCTGAAACCCTCCGCGGGTCCTCTCGCACATTCCCTTGACGATATCGAGCTGTTCATGTCTACTGTCCTGGCTGCAGAGCCCTGGAAGTACGATATCACAGCTACAGCGGCGCCTTGGGCTTCTGTTCCTCCTCTTCAATCTGCTTCGCTTCTCAAGATCGGCATCCTCCCTGAAGATCCGCACTTCCCTCTCCACCCGCCGGTCCGTCGAGCGCTTGACTCCGCCATCGCGGCTCTATCTAGCCAAGGCCATCGAATCATCCACCTTGACACCGCCCCTGACACAGACACCGACACCGACAGTCACAAAAACCCCAGTAAACAACTCGCCTACGCCAACCGCCTCGCCTTCCAATACTTCACCTACGGCCTACACACCGACCACATGGCTAGCAGCGGCGAACCCGCCGTACCATCCGTCCAACGCGGCTCGAATCCCATGTTCACCGGTCCGTTCCCGGTAGACCAGGACCTACGGGTCTTCGAGACGATTGACGCACTGCATACCGCGAGACAGAAGTACTGCGATGCCTGGCGCAAGTTATGGGTACAGAATGGACTAGATGTGGTGCTGGGTCCGGGGGCGCAGAATACGGCTGTGCCGCATGATACGTTCGGGTGGCCGCCTTATACGTTGGTGTGGAATTTGTTGGATGTGAGTCCTCCTTTCTTTTTCCTATCTGATCAGATGCTTGCTTGAACTTTGTGTTGTCTGTGTGGTTCTAATTGCTAATTGATTGAATCAACGTGATGAAAGTGCCCTGCATGTATCATTCCCTACGGCCACTCGTCGAGCGAGCTGGATCCAGAAGAAATGAGAGTTGGAGATGAGGTGCAGCCGAATTGTATGTCTCCCTGTTTCCCTTCCTATACGTTCCTATCCCGTTCCCCTAGTCTCAACACAACCTGACATGTGCCTATATGTATGGACATGCAATGCACTATGAACTAAACCGAAAAAAAAATGCATGCAGACAACCCCAACCGCACCCACGGCGCCCCTTGCGCCATCCAAATCATCGCGCCGCGCTTCCAGGACGAGAAGTGTCTTTCGGCGGCGAGGGTTATTGATCGAGATATTCGGAGGAGGAGGAAGGAGTCCACTGCGTCGTTATAGGATTTTCTGTAGCAAATTGGGTTAGGTCAGGTCGAGATGGGTAACCCTAAGCTGAACGTATATCCTCGTTCTTACCTACTATACAGTTACTATACAGTACAGATAGATAGATAAAGCATAAGCTATCATACCTTATCATATACTGCCTCTCTTCTTTGCGTGTTGGCTTATTCACTGGCTATTGTTCGTGATTTATGTCATTGGGGCATGGAGTTGGGTAGGTTCGTCTTTACTCTGGAATATCTTATATTAGTTGGGTGCAGCCATTACAAATAAGGATATTTTGTTCAATAAGACCAAGCATTACTACTATGTCCTGAGTATACATCCTACAATCCATATCCACATACCTCTGCCCCCAGCCCAAAAAACATCCCTCTAAAAAGGAGGCGGATTCAAATCCAACCCCTCAACCTGCAACCGAAACGCGTCATTCCTCGAATAACTCCCCGCAACATCCATATCAAGTCGTCCGCGCTCGCAATCCTCAACATCGATCTCCGACACGAGCAACCCGTCGCCCACGGCCCGAGGCTTCCCACCGAATCCGCCATCCGTGTACCCTGCCGCCGTGGAATCGGGCGCGTCATCGGCACAGACTTCCCAGATGGGTCCGGCGAGGACCTGCCCTTGTGGGTCGACGATGCAGGAACCGCCGCGGCAGACGTATTCGGTTGAGAGCGTGCTGGTGATGGGGTGGGTAGGGGAGGTTAGGGCTTCGGTGGATGCTGCTGACAAGGTTAGTTAGCCATCCATTCATCTCATTTGTGCATCATGAGATAGAGAAAAGAGGGAAACAAACCATCACCCTTCTTCCCATCCGGCCAAACAATCTCATGCGGCCCCTCCGCCGTAACCGACCGTTTCCGATAATGTGTCTGCATCGTCGCCGTGGGCGCATTTCCCTGCGCAGCAGCATACCCCCCCTCCCCATGCGCCGTAATCCACTCCGGCAACTCATTATACCGAACGCATTGGTTCGCGCTGAGCACGAACGTGCGGCCTTCGAACGCGGCGGTCCGCATCAACGGTAACCACGTGTCGCGCGCGTCAGCTGTCGGCGCGAGATAGATGTTCACGTTTTGCGAGTATAGGCTTTGGCGCAGCAGGGGCATGAAGTTTTCCCAGCAGATGGCGGCCGCGAGTGTTACTGGAACGCCGTTCAGGTGCGTGGTTACGGCTTTGAGGGTTGAGGGGGAACCTTGGGCCCAGACGAGGCGTTCTGTTCCGGTCTGTTGAATTCCCCGGAGGGGGGTCATGTTAGTACAGTTCATTCCAATTTGCTTCCAAGAGAGAAAAGATAAATACCGGCATAACCTTCCTCCTCTTCCCCAAACACCCCCTCGCAGGATCCACATAAACCACACCACAATACAAGCTCCCGCCTGCGCGCTCAATCACCCCCGTAACGATGAACACGCCGGTCTGGCGGGCAATCTTCTCCAGCGCCTCACGGGTGCCATCTCCGCGATGATTCTTCCCCTCGGCGACCGGCAGCGCGCGGCGGACCCAATCGTCCCCCGCCCCCGCTGGCGTATCGCCCAGATCGACCGCCGAGCGGAAATATGAGAGGAATTGGTCGCGGCCGTGCGGTTGGCGCGCGCCGACGCTGCTGCCGAATGAGCAGGTTCGGGGATACCCGCCTAGGTAGGCCTCCGGGAACAGTAGCAGATGCACGCCGCGGGAGGCGGCGTGGTGGGTGATTCGGGAAAGGGCGTCGAGGGTGCTCGCGAGGGTGGAGTGGGTGCGGGCTTGGGCGACAGCGACGGTGATTTTAGGCATTTCGATGTTTCTTTTCTTTATTCTCTTGTCTGTTCTTGGCTGCAATTGCAATTGACTAAGGAAAGAAGCAAAGTGACAAAGAGAAGTTCACGTTGGAGAAAAAAGTGAGTCACGGGAGCGGGGAGCGGGGAAGGTGACGTCTTCGGGGTTTGCTTTTCTTTGTCTTATCGGCCGATATGAATTCAGTCGAACTGAGTACAGCATTTACATTTCTTTCTACCTATCCTGGATCCTGGAATCTGAATCTGGATAATGTACATACATCAATGCTTGCGCATAGGCTCTGTCCCAGTATACATATATCGCAATCGCTCGCAACGCAGGAAGAATAGGAATTGTCAATGCATCGAATGCCGGGTATCGCGCTGCTCAAAGAAGTAACAATAACAAGCAATTCGAAGTTTTAAAGATGAGCAATCAGAAGTAAACCAAAATGATCGACTCGAGATGAGTGAACTCGCCACGTTCCTCTTTTTTTTTTTTTTTTTTTTTTTTTCCATTTTGTTGTTGGGCTTGGGCGTTGACCAACAGTTGCCCCGGCTGAGACACTAAACCGGTGCCCCCGCCGCCGTCGCCGCCTGCTGCAACACGCGAGGCCAACGCGAGATCAACTCCACATCGTCCAGGGCCCCCTTGCCCTGGTTCCGCACGTACTGCGCGCTGGGATCCACTCGCGGCTCGTAGTCCCAGATCGCGGGGTTGCCCCGGATCAGCGCCGAGTACACCAGACGTCGCCGGCGCTGCGACCGGAGCACGTCGTCGCGAATGCGTTCCATATCCCAGCGGCCCTGCGCTTCGTCCACAAAGTATGCAAGCATTTTCGCCGGGTCGGTGGTCGCGGGCAGCGCCGGCACGCTCTTGCCGGGGCTGGGCGTGCGCGGAGGACTGGGGAACGGGTACGAGGTCGGCTGCACTCGCGGCGACGCGCGCGGCGTATCTGAAGGCGTAGGCAAAGCGGCGGGGTGCGGTGGTGCCGACGCTGCTTTGACCAAAGGTGCGGCGGGCAGGCGCGACGATGTCTCCACCACGACGCCGGCCGCCAAGTTGACCTTCTCCTCGGGGTCGGCCTCCAGATCAAAGAGCATCGGCGGGTCGATCAACGAGTAGACAAATTTCCATCTCCCCCGACGAATCATCACCACGGGCGATTGAGTGCCCTCGGCCATATATTCACCCAGCACGGTGTCGGTCTTCAAGCCGTCCTGGCCGGTCAGGTACGGGTACAAGGAGACGCCATCCAGCGGCAGTTCCGAGACCAGTTGTGTGCCCACCATGTCGACGAAGGTGGGCAGGAGGTCCATGGTCGACACGTTCTGCGGGACGCGCTTCGGAGCAAAGCGCTTGGGCGCATGCACAATCATCGGCACCCGCGACGAGTTCTCGTACCAGACCATCTTGTACCAGAGCCCGCGCTCGCCCAGCATGTCGCCATGATCACCCGTGAAAACCACAATGGTATCGTCCCGCAAACCGGTGTTGTCGAGGACCTTCAACAACTTACCCACGTTGGTGTCGACGTAGGTGCAGGCCGCGTAGTAGGCCCGTCGCGCGGCCTTGATACGCTCATCCGGCATTTCCTTGCCCAGCAGGTCGATACACTTCAGGACGCGCTGCGAGTGGGGGTCCTGCTGATCATGGGGAATGGCGGGATTCTTGGGCAGCGGAATGTCCACATCCTCGTACAGATCCCAGAACTCTTTGGTCATGGCATACGGATCGTGAGGGTGGGTCATGGAAACGGTCAAACAGAAGGGCTGGTCGTTGCGCTGGCGCACGTGGTCGTACAGGTACTGGGTGGACTTGTAGATCACCTCCTCGTCGAAATCCAGCTGGTTCGTGCGCACGACGGGTCCTGCCTCCATGACGGAGGACATGTTATGGTACCAATCAGGCCGAATTTCCTGCGATACCGTTAGCGAAAGACATATAATGCATTTCTCCTCCTATTCTACTCACCGGCTCATCCCAGTTCACCGACCATCCGTAGTCACCCGGATAGATATCGCTCGTCAAGCGCTGCTCGTAGCCATGCAGCTGGTCGGGACCGCAGAAATGCATCTTCCCTGCCAGCGCCGTGTGGTAACCCTCGCGACGTAGGTAGTGCGCGTAGGTGGGGGTGTCGCCCGGCAGGTCGGAGGCGTTGTCGTAGGCACCGATCTTGGAGGGCAATTGACCGGTCACCATCACAAAACGTGAGGGAGCACACAGGGGCGAGTTGCAGTAGGCCGAGTCGAAGACGACGCCCTCCTCAGCCAGACGGTCCAGGTTGGGGGTCTTGATTTTGGAGTTCTTGTCATGGAAGGCCAGAAGGGGAGCGGCCATCTGGTCGGCCATGATGTAGAGAATGTTGGGTTTCTTAGTAGCCATGGCGGGCAGATGGGCACGAGACCACAGATAGAGATAGAATGTGCTCAGGGAATGATACGAAAGGAAACGTCACGAGAGATAGTAATATATAGTAGATAGATCACAGCGGGGTGGCGGGGAACAGCAAGGGAGGATGATGAACAGGTGTGTGAGAGAGAGAAGAAAGACACCGAAAATTGAGGAGGGAAGAGGAAAAGAAAGGCGGAAGATGCCAGGGGCACCCGAGGATATAAGTAAGCTCAACGGGGTGGATTCCTTCCAGAGAAAAATTGGGCGGAAGATAAAAGAAACGAGGAAAAGGCACCAAAAAAAAGAAAAGGAAAAAAAAAAGAAAAAGAAAAAAGAAAGAATGCCAAGGCGAGCCATATAGATCGGCCAGATGTCACGGCTACGGGATGGAACCATCGGCGGAGTCGATGGTGTGATTAGGGATTACCCACGCAGCTGCAAGCCGGGGGGATCTTCAGGAGGCTGCCTTCTCCATACCTCCGTGGACTGACTATCGGACTCTGTCTCTCTGAGTCCTGTTTCTGCGAAGATTGATGAAATGAATCTCTTCTCGATACTTTCCACTTTGGCTGTTGTCGTACCGGTGACTTGGACAAGACATCCGGGTGAAATTGCCCGGAGCAGCAACAAAATGCGGAGGGGCACGAGAGGCGAAGGATTGCCACGTCCGGCGGTCATTGGCCACCGGTGTCCAGGTTCTACTGGAACAACGTTCAGATAGTCGCACACGGTGACACAACCCCAACAACCCCGACTCGAGTCTCTCAGAGTTCATAGTATTTCATACTTCGTACTTCATACTTCATACTTCTCCAGCAGCTGATCCTTGCATCGCCGTCCACCTCCGGAAATTCGTGATCACCGGACTCTGGCGCTAGTCCCCTTCGGTTTCCGGCCAGTCGAATCTTGGCCCTCTTGGCGTTTTTGGCGGTGTTGATTGGCTCCCGGCCTCCCTCCCCCGGCCGGTTCCGACCAGGGTCCGCCCGATCACGGGGTTCTCGCCACGCCGTTTGATTGGACTGTCGGTGAGTAAAAATCTTTTTCTTTAATGATCTGGCTTTGTCGGGGATCTTTTATCTTTAATGATCTAATGAATATGAGTTGATAGAGTTGAATGAGTTCAATTGTAGATTGACAGAGAACGGACACCTTTATGAGAGGTCACGCCCCCTTTCTCCTGTCTGCGCCAAGCAGTACAACGTTCCCAGTGAGGTTGGTTACTCAATATGCGCGAGGGGTTTGACGGCAGATTTCGAACGTCCATCCCCGTGCTGCCTCCTATTGGTCCGTTTAGCCGGTTTCGGGCTTATCGCATGTCCCATTGCCAATCGTATCTTTGTAGACACTACCTTAGACAATGCACTAGACAGAGCAGAAATGTCTTGCGGTTGCCACTATCGTCTCCGCGTCTGCGAGTCGGAAGGGAATCCGCCAAGGGGTGATCCCTCGCTCTCGCTAAAGTCCTGTGTATGTGTACAGTACACCGTACATCTGACGGGCCCAGTCTGAATCAGTCGTCGTATATCAATCAGCTTGCCGACGGACGCGCAATCACATGGATTGACAGCGGCTGATCGTGCTGACGAAAAGGGGATGATGAAACTGACTCCAGACCGCTCTTCTTTCACATGATCCGTGCGGCGGTTTGAAACTCGGGGAACAGGGAGGGGACTTCCGCTTCGTTCTTTGTTCTGTTTACTGTACTTCGTAATGGCTGGCTGATTTCGACCTGGGGTTGCGAGTAACTCGAACATGCATATAGCTATACTTATAATTGATCGTAGTATTTCTGCAGTATTGGCTTGGCTGTGGTCGATTATTTACTGGATGTGCTCTATAAGACCAATGGATCAATAATCTGTACTATGACATAGCTGACCCTGCGAATCCACCGCTCCAAGATAGTCAAACACAGTCGAATCATGGTGCAGTAATCAACCACATGCTCGAGCGCAGTCTTCGAAAATACCAAAGGAGAACGGCTAGATCAGCTGACCGACCTACAGTGCTCCGTATCGGCGTATAGTCCACCTATATATCCGGAGACCACCACAGATATAGTAACACTACGTAACCCACCGTCCAACGAACAACAAGCAACAACCAACATAAAATAAAAGCTAAGCCTTCTACCACACCCGCTAGTTAACCAAAGCTCCATGATCGCAACTAAACCAGCCACCCGACGCAGACTTCCCCAAGTGACGCAGCCGGAGAGGTCTCGCGGCCGCTGATTTGCCCGTCCGGCGCAGCGGGTCGATGGCATCATCTCCACCCGCGATCACCTCATGCCTCATGGCCTTCTGGAAGATCGACGGAATTTGGGATTTACTGTTGCTTATTTATTGGAAGGGGTGGTATTACCACGCCCACGGCTAAGCTTTGAGTGCAGGAGGCTTCGGGGATTACCTGGCTTGAACTTTCAGGTAGTATTCCTTATTTATGTGTTTCGAGGATAGCTATAATGGGACGGTCATTAATCGTTTACTGTCATTCTTATTATTGAATTGTCATCATGATAAGGTAGACTAATAAGCGTACGTAACTGTCTACGACGTAGTATAGATCACCCCTAACATGCTAACCTGGAGTATACTCAATAGTTCATGTTCACTCAACAACTACACTGAGTACCCGTCACCGGAATTGCTCCCTTACATCAATCCCTCAAAGAAAACAGGTTGATTGTTGATTGATAACATCTCGGATCCAGGGAACCATCAAGGTTCAGCAAAATACGGGGAACGGAGAAAACGACATCGAGGCCTCCGAGCACGCCATCAAGGGGCGGATTCCCGGTTCCACTTTCTTGAGTTACTTTCTGGCAGTCTGCATGCAGTATCTTGGTAGAGAAAGAAGAAAGGAAAGACAAAGATCAAGGAAAACAAGAACACCAATGTAAATGCAAAACCTTCCTCTCAATTCAATCAAACGCGAAACATGCGAGAGATCACCGACGTCTTGCTCCTCTGCACCCCATACACTCTCCCCCGATCTGGTCCTCCGTGCCCATGCCCACGCCCGTGAGGATCCTCCTCCCCCTTGACCTCCTTCTCCGCCTTCCTCCTGCGCCTCCTCTCCGACCTCACCTGCTCCTCGACCTCCTGCACCCTCTGCGTCGCATTCTCCGTCCTCTTCCTCGCCGTCCCCAGCGCCCCCTTCAGCTCCTCGTTCGCCGCCATCACCTTGGCCAATTTCCCCGCCTGCTCCTTCGCATCCGTCTTCCTCTTATTCAACTTCGCCGTCAACTCCTGCACCAGTGTTCCCTTTGCTTTCAAATCCCGTTCCAATCCTTTCACCTTTTCCGCGTGCCGCTTTACCTCGCCTTCTAGCGCTTTCACCCGTTCTTCTCGTTCTTTGATCGTTCCCTCTGTTTTCCTGAGCTTCGCTTCGTGCCCCTTAATCTCCGTTTCTAATTTCTTGATCCGTTCTTCCCCTGTCAAGACCTTGTTCTCAGTGTCTTTCAGTCTCGCACGTATCTCCTCATCGTGACTCCTTGTCTCCGCATCCCGCAATTCCAGTTTCTGTCGCTGCACTTGTAACTCCTCTTCAAGCGATCTGATCCGTCGTCGACTCCCGCGCTTCTCGGCCATCAGCGTCGTGATCATGCTCTGTGCTTGGCGCAGCAGGATGTCGATGTTCGTTGCTGTGTAGCTGAGATCGGGGTCTTCTTCTTCGAATCGGGGAGGGTGGGAGTCATGGTGGAGGGTTGATTGGATTGAGTGCAGGGCTTGCAGGGAGTGGAGGGTTTGGAGTTCTTTGGTTGCGAGGTGTTGCGTTGCTGTAGAGTCGGGGGGGATGAGGGTTGGGGCGGTGGATATGTCGCTCATTTTTTTTTTTAATTTCGGTTCCCTTTACTAGGGTGTTTGTTCTGGGGGTGGAGGTTTATTCTATCGTCTTTCTTTTTGATGGTTGATAGGAGTTGGCGGCTGTGGTGAGGTGAGGTGAGGTGGAAGGTAGGATAGGTAATTGAGTACCTAGGTTGGAGAGAGAGAGGATCAGGTTAAGTAGGTGAGTGAGTGATTAGGATAGATAGATTTCGCTCTATCCTCTCTTCCTAACCTAACCTAACCTAACATGTACCCCCGCGATTAGAGTCTGCGGAGTAGGTAAAGAATAGATACCTAGATAGATAGATGAGGTGAGTAAGACCGCGACAGGTGACAAGTGACAAGTCCTACATGCAAATCTAGGTCGATACTTACCCAGCACATGTAATAAAGTACAGTAGATACCTATACTTCAATCCACCCATCTACTCCTAGTAACTAGTAACCACCTAGGAAGTAGTAGTACCAGAGCTCACATGCAGGCAGGTAGGATAGGACAGGCAGACAGGTAAGTAGATAGATAGCCGGGTAAGTCATACTCGAACCATCACGCACAGTCCCCCCCCCCCCCCCCCACAAAAAAAAACCGAGCAAGTAAAGTAAGCAGGACATATCGACAGCATTTAGTACCAAGAATCTTCACAGTCAACAATATTCACCGCGGGGTAAAAGCCACCTCTCGATGACTTGGATAGGTGGGTTGATACTCCATGGTGGTGTTGGTCGTGGACTCCCCCCCCCCCCGCTCATGACTTGGTCGGTCGTTATTGGTGGGATGGGGGGATATTGTCATCTTCATGGATACCTTAGGTACCTATCTACCTAGGTATCTACCTGCCTGCTTACCTGCCTGCCTGCTTGCTTAGCTTCCTATCTAGCTTGTCTTTCTTGTTTGGATTACTGGGGGTTTTTTGTTTGCGTGTTGCATGGCTCCGGCTTCATCTTGGCGTTCTATATTTTGCATTCTCTACAATCCTTATCTACTGGTCTACTTTGATTATTGATGGATACGGTACGATGATGGTGGCATGTAGATGATGATGCGTAGATAGATTCACAAATCGCTAACTGCTGATATATAGATACAGGACAGGCGCTGCCTTGAGCTCTGCTGCGGCAATAGCCTGGCGTTTACTTGATTGAAATGGTGGAGATGTAAGAAACAAGTAACAAGTTAAGGAATGGAGATGCAGATGCGATCAATCGACCTTGACAGCGCTGTCGGGTTAAAGATTAGCCTGTATTCATTCTTCTTTCTGGGAGGTTGCTACCTGTAAATTCGTCGGATAAATGTATACGCCGTCAAAAATCCGACCGTTCCTGTTAATAACCCGTACACGGCACAGGCCAGGAAACTGTAGCTGAAGAAGAGCAGACTCGACACAAATCCGGTAATGTGCAAGTGGAAGACGTAGTACCAGATACAGTAGGCAAACACCCAGAAGGCGCTGCTGCCGCCGGTCAAGAAACTCTGCCACCACCAGTGATAGTTCTACTGCGATTAGCTTCCGATCTGACGATTCCGCTGGAATAAACATACCTCAGCGCAGAGCTGACTGTAGGTAGCGATGATGGTCACCTCGCTGACTGTGACGATCAGGACGGTCGAGACCGCGCTCAGGAACCCAAACACGTAGTAATATCCACTCTTGTCTTGCCACAGGTTCTTGAACACGAACAGAAGCTCGATGAACAGAACTGCAAACGGAGCCAGTCCGGTCAGGAATGCCCCCTGGATGCTGTGCAGATACCACGGCTGCGGGGGAACCTGACGAGGGATCGACGTGGTCTTGGTCGGATGTTCCCATGCGGTTGTCCGGACGAAGCCGAACCAGCTACCCGCATACACCAGCGGGACTTGAATGAGCAGCCACAGCGCAAGGAGACCGATCAGCGTGCCGAACGGGATCGCCGTGCTGGATGCCTGGGCCCACACGAACAAATTCAGGATGAAAATGAGGGAGAATGCCAGTCCGGGGAAGAAAAGAGCAGTCTGATATGTCAGTCAGGGTTACGGGATAGGTGACGGTGCCAACTTACGATTAAAGTGTTCTTTCTCCAGTTCACACCACCAAATGTCTTATACAGCCGTCCGGAAAAGTACCCCGAGAACAGACCAGCAAAAACAAACAGGCCCATGCCGACGCTGACGAACCCGCCGCGGAAGCTGGGGTTGAGCACTCCGAGACAACTCAAGAACAACAGCCCAGAAGCCATGAAGAGAAGTTGCATGCCAGAGCCGACAAGGGGTGCAAGAAGTCCGCTATACTCGGGCGTTCGGAAGACATCGGCATGAAGAAGCTTCCATCCACTGACATCCTCGAGACCCTCGTCGTCGGACGAAAGCTCGGCGTCCCGCTCCACATCGTCGCCTTGCTCCTCGCCGGTCCTTTCGAGGTTCTTCATTCGGGCAGCATTGCGCGCCTTCAATTTAGTCTCGTCGATGGCCCCGTCCCCACGGCCCTTGATATCTCCCTGTACCGTCCGGCTCCAGATGACGTAGACGGCCACGGCAAGAACGCCGGAGATGGTCAGCGAGTTCAGAATTGCGAGCCAATGCGTCATCGAGCCCTCATCCTGGTTGCTGAAATACAGATCCCACCGGTTGGACCAGTCCACGCTATTATCCTCCTTGAAGAAGACCGAGTATGTATACGGGATCTTGAGAGTGGCTCCATCCTCATCGTCGCCATCATCCTGAGGAATATAAGACGACCCCGGGTACATTTCCTTCAACTTTGCCGTGTTCGGGGGGATATACAGCTCCAAGCCGTCGTGGTGCTCGTGCACCTGTTGGGGACAGCCACTTTCTCCATGGTCCTCCGCCCGGATACTTTTCGGATAAATCTCGAAGCCATTCACGTATTTACCACCTTCAGGGGATGACCGCCAGCGAATCACAATCGTGAAGTGGTTGTTAATGTAAGTCCGTTTTTTCCCGTCGACGGGCGAAAAATCCTCGAAGCCCAACTTGAAGCCGGTGGCGTAGTATTTGCGGCTGCGGTCAACCGTGACAAACTTTGTTGCGCCAGGCAAGTTGTCTGCAATCCATTCGGCCACGTAGCCCTCCCTGATAAGTTGTCGGGCCCATTTGACGTCTTTGCGCCCGACTTCCTGAGTGCAGAGCGCCTGACATTCCATGTTCTTGCCCATCCGGAGTTCAAAGTCGGAGGTCATAATGCGGTCACCGCGGAGGATTTCTCCAAGATTCAACGACACGCTCTGGCCTGAGCCAAACGGGGAGCCGCCATGTGTTCTCCCACTGGGAGGACAGACGAATGGTAGGTTATAGTAGGCATACTGGAGTTGGGTGTGGTCGGAAAAGATCTTGTTCACCTGAAGAGGGATCGGTTCGTCGTCGTTATACCGTTTGACGGAGTAGCCTATTGGAGCAGCGAAAACCAAGTCCATCAGCCAAGAGTTTGTCTTGTTCACAAAGTCGCGACAGCTTACCGGGGATGTAAAAAGCACAGGCGTAGGAAGCAAACAGCAGCCAGAGTGCCCATTGACGAGGGCCCCTAAACCATCCCAGCGCCATCGTCTACGAAGCGAAAAGGGGAGGGAAGACGAGCCCACACCGGTGTTCAAGACTAGCACGTCGACATGCACTGTTCTGTCGGTGGAATGAATCGTACGTGGCGGGTACGAGAAGCACGGATGTAGATCAATTAAGTAGATTTATCGGCACTAGTGTTCCCCCAGAGCTAGATTCGCGGGATGAAAGAGGAAGTGTAGAAGAAAAGGAAATGAAAGAAAGGGTATGTCCAGATAAAAATAGCACCGAGGATTATTCCAACTCACGACACGCAATGAAACCGAGAGCCGTTGCAGGGGCAGGAAGTGGACACTGAGATGCGACGGAGAAGAGAAAATCCGAGGGGAGTGAACCTAGGGCGGTCAAACGAGTGTGCAGGGCGCAAAATGCTTTAAGATGAAGAAGAAGGGAAGTAAATGATCGCTAGAGAGATCGAAGGAAAGACTGGAAGAAAGAAAGGGTGATGATAGGTAGTCGAGTGAGTAGAGAGTACGGAGTAAAAGAGGGAGAAAAAGAGTCAACTTCGTACAAGTCGATCGGCCTGAAGACCCGCGGCGGCCGAACGCGGTCAAGCGGCATTCCAGACTCTCCGCCAAGCCTCCCCTGACCGCCTTTAGTGCCATCATTATCTGTCCTACTGCTACGATCGACCTCATGCATTTAGATTTCATCATCTTTCATTAACCGTGACCGAATTACCTAGCAGAACAAGAATGGTGATGATATCACTGCCATGGGTGAAGCCATAAATATGCAAGCTTTCCTCCAAATGATTCTCCTATTCACATCCTGTGGTAGTTAGAAGCAGAATCCGCCAAGAAAAAATTGAAGAACAAAGACAAGTAGCCTGTCGTTTTCAACCACGAATTGAAAGGCAAGAAAAGAAGCGCGCTCGCTGGAATTAAGGAGAAGTTTATGATGGGTTGCCGAGCAAATATTCCACCGCACCTTGCACGCTGCCGCCTGACCGACGAAGAGCCTCAATGTTTCTCTCGAATTCAAAGAAGCCCATGTCGTTCAGCTGTCGGAGCTGCTCGGCATATCGTTCCTCGGGCGGTCGGTTGTCTGGGGGTGCTGGGCTTCCAAAACCACCGCCTCCGAAGAGGGATGCGAAAGGATTCACGCCGGCAGCAGCACCACCGTCGCCCGAAGGTCCGCCCATCGCTTGCATCATCTGCTGGAAGAGAGCCGGATCACGGAGGAACGGGTTCTGTTGGGGATTGAAGGGATTCTGACCAACCTGGCCGCCAGCCTGTTGCCCGAATAGCGCAGGGTTGAAGAGACCGAAAGGGTTCTGCGCGGCTTGTTGATTCTGACCCTCACCACCAGTGGTTCCAGCGGTACCCTCGCCTCCCGCCTGAGTGGCGCCTGGTTGACCGTCGCCGGCGGGATTCGATGGGTTTGCGCCCATGGGGTTGCCGAAAAGCGCGGCGAAGGGGTTACCGGCACCCAAACCTGGGGGCATGAAAGGGTTGAACGGAGGGGCACCCGGCGCCGCTGCAGCACCAGTTTCATTGTTGTTCTGAGTCCCCCGGTTCTCCTCCGGCGTCGTGTTGGTTACTCCGGGGGCTGGGAATGCGCTACCACCACCAAGTCCTCCAGCACCGCCCATGGCTCTTTGCATCTGCATAGCGTGGCGGAGGTTGCTGGGATCCGTAAGCATTCGACGGAACTCGGGGCTTTGCATCATCTGTCGCACTCCGGGACCCATGTCGCGCAACATAGGATTTTGTTGGATCATCATGTCGATCACCGCGGGATTCTGTAAGGCTTCGTTCATGGTGGATACGAATTGGGGGTTTTCGAGCATGCCGAGCAGGCCTTCGGCATCGGGAGGGGGTCCCATCTAGGCAACCGTTGACGTTAGCGGATACACATTTACTAAAGGAAGGGTGTGCCAAAAAAAAAAAAAAAAAAAAAAAAAAAAAAAAAAAAAAAAAACTTACCCCTCCATCTGGACCAAACATCCCAGCTCCTGGAAGTTGTGCGAATCCTGCATATCTGGCTCCTGTCAGTCCGGCGAGCGGGTTGTTGCCCGTGCCAGCTGCGAGGTTCGTGGGAACGCCGGCGGCCGAGGAATTCGCAGTGGCGGCGGGAGTTGGTGCGGAAGTGGCGGCACTTTGAGAAGGACCGCCTTGACGTTGATTACTGGCGGCGCTTTTCACCAGGTGAATGGTGTGTGAATCCTTAATTTTATAAGAAGCCAGAGTTTCGTTGTCTTTCAACACCCGTCCGGAGTAGATCAGGCGCTGGCGGTCGGCGGGAGTGTCTGCATACTCCGAGGTCGAGAGCTTCTCCTTCAATTCCGACACCGGCGTAGAAAGCGGGAGTGTGATAGTATATTTGGCATCGTTGGACGACTTGACGGTGAAGGTGATGGGCGAATCCTCCGCCGCGGCGGTATCATCGGCCATGGTGATGATGGATACGTAATGCTATGGATTGGGGGGGAGAGGTGGGGATAGAGGGCGAGATGTCTCAAAATCAACAGAAACTATTAGTAGACTAAAAGTGTCAGGTCACCCAGAAATGCGAAAGAATAGAAACGAAGAAGGGCAGCAAGGTCGCCCAGATGGTCTAGAAGAGGTAAGATCTGGGGGGGAGAGTGGGAGGGTCAAGAGGAACGGGGGGATTCGCCTTCGTCGTGAACAGGCAAAGCAAGTCCGTCTGAATAGTCAAAAGAAACGGGCAGAAACCCATCGTCCGCCTTTTCGGTGGGCGCCACGTGCCACGTGCGCTGTATTGTCGGGCAGTACGGGCAGTACGGACAGTACGGACCGTATGGTAAGATTACGGGCAAGCTCTCGGGAAAGGTGGGTCACCTGACATCAGAGCAAACAGGCCAAACCGAGCAAAGCTGTTTTCCCTTTTCTTCCACACCGGAATTTTTTCTTCTTTTTTCTCTCTTCTCCTCAGGACACGGTCGGCTGCGTTTTGAGTCGGGCTCTCCAAACCTCCCCCCTCCCCACTCCCCAATTGCGAGGACACTCGTTCTCGAGAGTCCTCTTTCTTCATCCCTGCTTCCTGCAGCAATGGGATTGCTTCCATTTTGAACTGTCATTCGGACTGCATTCGCGTCGTAAACAAGCACAACACCCATCCTCTCTCTAGCTGAGAGGAGCTTGGCTTGCCCATCATGGCTACCACTTCTCACATGTTCATGTACTCCCTGACGATCCAGCCTCCTACTGCCGTCACGCAAGCCATTCTGGGTCAGTTTGCAGGGACCAAGGAGCAGCAGATCGTCACGGCGTCCGGCTCTAAGCTCACCATCCACCGCCCTGACCCGGCACAGGGCAAGGTCACCCCGCTATTTTCGCAGGATGTGTTTGGTATCATTCGCTCCCTGGCCGCCTTCCGTTTGGCTGGAAGCAATAAAGGTATGTTCTGAGTCTCTTTTCCCCCTCCCCTCGTGGAATTTCCAAGATCATCATAGTGATTCGTCAAGCTTCCTGGGCAGCACGATCCCTATCGGCCGAGCCGGTCCCCTAAAGGATGCAGGACGTGCCCCCGGTCGACGGACGTTGACGACTGGGCGTTCTAGCTGGTGAATTGTGCTGAAATATGCATATAGATTATATCATCATCGGCTCGGACTCGGGACGTATTACCATCATTGAATATGTGCCCTCCCAGAACCGATTCAACCGGATTCATCTGGAAACATTCGGAAAGTCTGGGGTTCGCCGTGTAGTGCCGGGTCAATACCTAGCGGTTGATCCAAAGGGCAGAGCTTGTCTGATCGCTTCCGTCGAGAAGAACAAGCTTGTGTACGTTCTCAATCGGAACTCGCAGGCCGAGCTGACGATCTCGTCCCCGCTTGAAGCTCACAAACCCCAGACGTTGGTTTTCAACGTGATCGCCTTGGATGTCGGGTATGAAAACCCGATTTTCGCCGCGCTGGAGGTCGATTATTCCGAGTCTGATCAAGACCCCACTGGACAGGCTTTTGAAGAGGTTGAAAAGCTGCTGGTGTACTATGAGCTCGATCTCGGTCTGAATCACGTCGTTCGGAAATGGGCTGATCCTGTCGACCGTACGGCGAACATGCTCTTCCAAGTGCCTGGAGGAGCCGATGGGCCCAGCGGTGTTCTGGTGTGTGCCGAGGACAGCGTCACCTATCGGCATTCCAACCAGGATGCGTTCCGGGTGCCAATCCCTCGACGCAGCGGCCCCACGGAGAACCCCGAGCGCAAGCGCACCATTGTCGCGGGTGTCATGCACAAGATGAGGGGCGCCTTCTTTTTCCTGCTCCAAACCGAGGATGGCGATCTCTTCAAGGTCACTCTTGAAATGGTTGAGGACGACAACGGCCAATTGACCGGTGAAGTCAGACAGTTGAAGATCAAATACTTCGACACGGTCCCGGTTGCCTCGAATCTGCTGATCCTGAAGAGTGGTTTCCTTTTTGTCGCCAGCGAGGCTGGAAATCACCACTTCTATCAGTTTGAGAAGCTGGGTGATGATGACGAAGAGATCGAGTTCACCAGCGAGTCGGTCTCGGCGGACCCAACGGTCCCTTGCGATCCCGTCTACTTCCAGCCGAGGGGTGCGGAGAATCTCAATCTGGTCGAAACGATCAACTCCGTGAACCCTCTGATCGACAGCAAGGTTGTCAATATTTCTGAGGACGATGCCCCGCAAATCTACACCGTCTCTGGAACGGGGGCTAGGAGCACTTTCAGAACTCTCAAGCATGGATTGGAGGTTTCGGAGATTGTGGAATCCGAGCTTCCTAGCGTGCCTTCAGCCGTGTGGACGACGAAACTCACTCGGGCTGATGAGTTCCATGCCTACATCATTCTGTCCTTTGCCAACGGCACTCTCGTGCTCAGCATTGGCGAGACTGTCGAGGAGGTTACCGATACTGGTTTCCTCTCTTCAGCTCCCACGCTTGCCGTTCAGCAACTCGGAGAGGATTCTCTCATCCAAATCCATCCCAGAGGTATTCGCCATATTATGGTTGATCGACGGGTGAACGAGTGGCCGGCGCCGCAACATCGTTCGATTGTCGCGGCTGCTACCAACGAACGTCAAGTTGCCGTGGCTCTCAGCTCGGGGGAAATTGTGTATTTTGAAATGGATGCCGATGGAACCCTTGCCGAGTATGATGAGCGACGACAGATGTCTGGCACCGTTACGTCCCTCAGTCTGGGCGAAGTCCCCGAGGGCCGTATGCGAAGCTCATTCCTGGCTGTCGGATGTGACGATTCGACAGTCCGTATTCTCAGCTTGGACCCAGACTCAACTCTAGAGAACAAATCCGTCCAAGCTCTTACCGCGGCGCCATCCGCCCTTGAAATCATCTCAATGGCCGACTCAAGCTCCGGAGGCACCACACTCTATCTTCACATCGGTCTTTACTCCGGTGTCTATCTACGCACAGTCCTTGATGAAGTTACCGGCGAACTTTCCGACACTCGGACAAGGTTTCTGGGCTCCAAAGCCGTCAAGCTATTCCAAGTTTCAGTCAAAGGACAAACGGCGGTCTTGGCCCTCAGCTCCCGCCCCTGGTTGGGCTACTCTGATATCCAGACCAAGGGCTTCATGCTTACTCCGTTGGACTACGTGCCACTCGAGTGGGGCTGGAACTTCTCGAGCGAGCAGTGCGTGGAGGGCATGGTCGGAATTCAAGGCCAAAACCTACGGTATGTTTCATCTCTCTTATCCATTTCATCCTATGGCATTCCTGTCGATCGTATGATGAGAATTTCAATCCGAATTTCTATGTGGAACGTACTTTTTAGTTTATCTCCAATTGTTCCTACTGAGATCGAGCCTTCCCAAGCCTTTATTTCATTCATATTAGTTTTGATGGTCTTTGCTAATATGTCTTGACAGGATCTTCTCCATCGAGAAGCTGGACAACAACATGCTCCAGCATTCAATCCCTCTTTCATATACCCCCCGTCGCTTTGTGAAGCATCCTGATCAGCCATTGTTCTATGTGATCGAATCCGATAACAATGTTCTGTCGCCGTCCACGAGAGCCAGGCTCATTGAGGACTCCAAGGCGCGAAATGGTGACAGCACTATCCTCCCACCCGAAGAATTTGGCTATCCCCGTGGAACCGGTCATTGGGCATCGTGCATTCAGATCGTTGATCCCGTTGACGCCAAGGAAGTGGTTGCGACTATTGAACTCGAGGAGAACGAGGCAGCAGTCAGCGTTGCGGCTGTCCCCTTCACCAGCCAAGACGATGAAACATTCTTGGTGGTCGGAACCGCCAAGGACCTGAACGTCAGCCCGCCCTCTTCCGCGGGAGGATTCATCCACATCTACCGGTTCCAGGAGGATGGTAGAGAGCTAGAGTTTATTCACAAGACGAAGGTGGACGAACCCCCTCTGGCTCTTCTTTCCTTCCAAGGTCGTCTTGTGGCCGGAATTGGCTCTATCCTCCGCATTTACGATCTCGGTATGAAGCAGCTTCTCCGCAAGTGTCAGGCCCAAGTGGTACCGAAAACCATCGTTGGTCTTCAAACTCAGGGCAGCAGAATCGTTGTCAGTGACGTCCGCGAAAGTGTTACCTACGTCGTTTATAAGTACCAGGAGAACGTCCTGATTCCCTTCGTGGACGACTCCGTTTCTCGCTGGACGACATCGACCACTATGGTGGATTATGAGACCGTCGCCGGTGGTGACAAGTTTGGTAACCTGTGGCTGCTGCGTTGTCCCAAGAAAACGTCGGAAGAGGCCGACGAGGATGGATCCGGCGCTCATCTCATTCATGAGCGTGGTTACCTTCACGGCACCCCCAACCGTCTGGAGCTCATGATCCATGGGTATGCCCAGGACATTCCGACAAGTCTGCATAAGACCCAACTTGTGGCCGGTGGGCGTGATATCCTTGTGTGGACTGGATTCCACGGCACCATTGGAATGTATGTGCCGTTCATCAGCCGAGAGGACGTTGACTTTTTCCAAAACCTGGAAATGCAGCTAGCGGCACAGAATCCCCCTCTGGCTGGACGTGACCATCTGATCTACCGGAGTTACTATGCGCCCGTCAAGGGCGTGATCGACGGCGATCTGTGCGAGACGTATTTCTTATTGCCTAATGACATGAAGATGATGATTGCAGCTGATCTGGACCGTTCGGTTCGAGAAATCGAACGGAAGATTTCGGTAAGTTTCCAGCTCCTTGGCCTCTAGCATTCTTACTAACTTGTGCCACAGGACATGCGAACGAGGGTGGCGTACTGATTTGATAGGGTTCGGCCGGCGTCTTAGCAAGGGATTGTTATGGCTTTGTACGAGGGTTCTGACCTCAATACCCGATAATTTATTTTCTACCTATTATGTACTATCATGGATATGTACAGACCTGATCCATTCCCATTCCCCCCTCTTGTGGTCCGTAGTATCAGAAAGAAAGTCTCTTGCCTCGCTCGATCTTCCGCCTTCACTCGGTTGATCTTGAGCTGGATGCAGCATGTACCACTTGGGTACATCTTGTATGAGACGAGAATAAGGCTCAGCCTTCGACGCTTTTTGAGTACGGTTTTATCTGCTTTCTACGGATATGAATCGTAATTTATCAGTCGGGACATTTCTTGTCATTGTATCAGTTTAAAGAATTGAATCAATCTTTAATCTCATTGCTTTCCGCGAACGCATCGTGAAGTACTAGACAGACAGACTAATATCATGTCAAATCATTCATCTGTACTCTTCCTGAACCCTGACCTTGTTTAGTGAGGTGTTTGGGCACTATTGGTAAGGTCTACCGAGTGGTATGTGTGTGCTTGAAGACAGAGTACTGTAGGCTGGCTGATTTTATGCGTAGTCTATGGATAACTAGACGGATCATACCTACATGGCATACATAGTCAACATGAACATATCTAGCCAAGCTAGTACATCCAATCAATTCCAAATTCATCAAAATTTCTATATGGAAGACGAGAAGCAACTAACTAATCATCACCCTATTTATCCTATATGTTCACTGCCTAGCAAATACTCTTTCTTAACTGAGTGATATAAAGACTTACTTGCTTGCTTTAGAGGTATTCAATATCCCTCCCCAGCATTCTCAACTACAAGTAGTATGTTATAATAATAGATATTAAGTAGATCAGGATAACAATCAAGCCTCTCCCTCCCTCCCTCCCTCCCTCTCTCTATTCATCAACATCAACATCAACATCACCAACACCCAAGTGCCTCACTCCATCATGGTCCCTCTCCCAACTGCACCTAATCTCTAGCACTTGACTACTGACCTAATCCATGAGAGAAATGGGCATCTCTCACCGCGGTGCCTCTCGGCAATCCGAGTATGCGGAGGGTCCCTCGCTGCGCGTCTTTATTGGATGTGCACAGGAAGGCATCGCAGAGGCTGTGCGAATATTCCCGTCGTTTATCTAAATATCCATCTGAATAATCTCGACATTGACTTAAAAAATAAATTATCTAATTGCCAAAAAATAATCTTTTATAAATTTTTTGTTTACTAAAGTCTCCTTTCAGATTTCATCTAACAAAAAATCTATAACTCAATTAAAGGCTAGAATCACACTAAATATAATTACACATAACAATTCTTGTGAGAGATTGCATTAAATAATAAAAAACCAAAGCTCAAAACAGAATCAAACTATATCTCATTTATTCCATAAACAGTTTCTACGATAGATTGAAAAAGACACAGACCAAAACTCACTTCAACAAATCACACAATTATAAACCAAGAAAAAATGATTCTTGAGAATTCTTAATCCGATTTGCAATTATCTTGTTAAAGCAAACTATCGGACTTGTGCAACAAATCATTTCAAATATATAATCATACAATATAGCATTTCTGCGACATAAAACATGACTTTTGTTACATAAGTTTTTATTCAGAATGAATTTGATACACTTTCTCCCCTCATCTTCCTATTACGTGCTATCTTATTATATACTTAACTTTAAAATCGTACCACTAACGCTGTTGGAAATCATTCTAATACATATCTTAATTTAATTAATTGTACAATTATATTGACTAATTCTTTATGTGAAAAAAATTCAATTGAATCAATCTAAATGATTGTTATTATGATTATCAATTAATAACTTTTTACGAATTATCCATAAATCAAGAAAATAATACTAAAAAAAGGATCTCAACATCATTTTTGAATCGTTATTTTTTTCATAATATATATTTCTCGTAATAATTACTAAACATAGATATATCATCTATGCACTGTTATGTCAATCATAAATTGTATAAAAACAAAAAAAATAATATCATAATATATTAAAATACATATATTAACATTCATATCAATATTTGAAACATCAACACAAAACCGACTGACGTGCGATATTGTGACGGTCTACAAAGGAGCTTAGTAAAGACAAGTTTGTTTATGACTCTTAGTCAAGCAATTTTCCCATGAAGAGGAAAGGAACTATCTAACAAAGGATTCTAGGGCCCTTATATACTAACAAGGCCCGATTAGATACAGGAACCTTCCATCTTCCAATCGAGATCGTTCATTGAGATGTCAAAGCCTTCCTTCAATCTTACCGAAACGATTTCTCTGCTCAATTGAAATCACCCTGCGATTGTTCCAGACAGGCAATCAGTTATGTCACGTGTTCAGCCGAACCGAAACGTGACAATATCTTTCCCTTTTGAAAAGGCCGGTTTCGCGGCTTTACAAACCCGTAATATTAAACCAGTAGGTCGTCATCGTCATGTTCGTCCAGAAATTCATCATTGACTGCAGCAGCGAGCCAGTTAACGAGACATTGCAGCGGTTTTGATTTGTTTGAATATCGATCATGAAATTCCTGCAGTTTGAATGACGCGTTGCGAAAATTAGAGGCAGGATATCACGCCGGATCCAAGAAATGATTCTCCCATTAAACGCGATAACGCAATTTTTTATTATACATGTGTGATGCGAGAATTCTCTCCATTATCCATTCCGGTTCTTTTTAAAGTTCAATTGGAAATTCAGAATCGCGAAATTGGTCAGTCATGGGCGGAAAATCAATTGTTTTTCGGAGTTTCTTTGACACGAATATCGGATGCACTTGCAGCGTAGAAAATAATTCAAGTTTAAATGTATGCTCGACTTATTTCAGAATCTTATATGAACTAATTTATTAATTATCAAATTTGCGATTTGATTGATTCAATTCTCAATCTTTTGTAGTGACATATATTCGATCATTAATCACGAAGTCGATCAATCTTTGATGTTTATATGTTTGCTGTTTCATTTTAATTTAAACAAGTTCAATCTGATTTTTGGCATAATTTCAAATCTGTTCCAGCCTGTGGGCTATACAACGGGCTTCCGTCTGGTCTTGTGATTTATTTCGGGATTTAGAGAACGTGATTCAATCAAAAAATATTCGCAATTCATAATCTCGTTTCATCTGAAAAGAAGATAAGCCAGTCGATTCGTGTTCGAGAATAGTATAGACAAAGTCCATAACAGAAAGCAATTCTAACCAATTGTTTTGATAGTAAGTCACAAACGGGCGAAACTTCTAAATTAGATATTGATTGACAATCTCTGTATAATTATTTGTAGAAGATTTTTGTCTCGAAATCAGTTTCCGTTTAATTTGTAGTCTTAAATAAAGTTCTTTTCAAAATGTAAAGATAAATTGATCATCTTGATCAGAAAAAATTGATTTTGACAGATCAATTTATTGATATATATATTCAAGATAGAACTAAGTCATTTTCACAACGGTCACATTCTTATGACATGGAATAGAGATTATTTGTTTTGTCAATCGGTCAACAATCACACATATTTTATTGTAACCATGTTTGTCCTTCGGACAGGATCAAAAATTTATGGAAATATGTTCTCAAGGACAACTAAACACATCCAAAGATTGAAAAAATTTAGAAAATAGATTTCATCGGGTGTTCGTTCTATTACAAATCAAGCAATTTGTCACATATCATTGGATATCATATCGCCAATGTGATTATTAATATCAATTCTTTATCAAAATCTTTGTCTTCGTTCGTTTAAAATGCGTAGTCGAAGATTGTCGATGGATCATATCTAAAAGACAGATTCAAAAATCACTTTTTTTTGAGATCATTAAACGATTTTGATATAGCAAAAGCCCGTTTCGGAAGGTTCATTTTAATTTTTTTTTGTTTGCAGCCGCTCGTTGCTCATTTAGATTGGCTAAGTTGCAGTTTGTTTAAAGCATCCGATTCATCAATTGAACGTCGTCAATCTCAATAGATGCAAGAATTAATTCATTTTTTTCAGGCTGAACATTCTTCTCGAGCCATTCCGGTCTTAATAAAACAAAAATTTGCGAGTTTGGTTCCCGATCATTGCCTTCTGATCTAAAAAGAACATCTGTTGCAATATTTTTCAATTTTGATCTATATTTAATAATAAAATGAAATCAGAAAAGAAATTCCGACCATCAGGCCTGACACTCATTAAATTTTTTAATAATCATGAAGTATTTGAACGCGCAATGATCTGTCCAAATCTCAATTGATTGAGAACTTTGGAATTCTTTAAATTCCGTGCATCAGAATTTTAGAGATCAAATGATAGTCAATAATTCTTTATCATAAATATCATAATTTAATTCAGCACCAAACATATTCTTGAAAAAATAAACAATCAAATGTCAATTTTCTTCAAAGAACTGAAAGAATATTCTCGCAATCATTTCGTTTGAAGTGTCGGTTTCAAGTCTTGAGAATAATGCTGGATTATAATGACATAATAACGATGCGGAAATCAAAAATTTTTTGAATTAATCAAATGCTTTTTGGCATTGAAAAGTCCATTCAAAAGAGACGAGTTTCTTCGTTAAAGTGTACAACAGTTTCGCAATTCTATTGTAGACGTTTATAAATCGACAATAGAAGTTATAGAATCTCAAAAACGACTGGATTTCTTAGACTATAGTTAAGACTTTTCAATCAAGAATTATTGCAATCTTTTCCAGATCGGCTTCAATCCCTTTCGTAATTAGAATAAAACCCAAAAACTTGGTTCGTTTAACACTAAATTCACATTTGTAAATCACTGTTTGCAGTCCGATATCATAGAATTGTTGCAGCATTTCTTTGACATGAATTTTATGCTCTAGCTCGTTCTTGCTAAAAATCAGAATATTATTTACATAGATTGTCATGTATTTATCGATCAGATCAATAAAGATATTATTCATGAATTGTTGAAATGCGATCGGTTCATTGAATA